ATAATCCGCATAGGTGAAAAAGATCTGATTCAATGAAATACCTAGAACATCAAAGAGTTTTATCAGAATGCTAACTGTTAAAAGGTTGTTAAACAAACCTTTCGATGAATGATACCAGAAGAAGCAAAAAAATGCAGAGAAACATTCGATATTTCCAACGATGAGATAAGCATGGAAAAGTAATTTCCAGTCTAGTAAGTGAGTTTTTTGACGAATCGCTGGCGGACGAGACATTATATCCCGTTCAGCTTTCTCCGAAACCATGGCTAATGCGTTGACAACATCGTTCAACATACAAAAGATAATCGCCAGAAATGCAGATAACGATAGTGGAATGCCGAGCCAGATATTGAAGAAAACAGGAATGACTTCCGACCAAGAACCTTAAAAAAAGAGGTTATCTTAATCCATCGATGAAAATCTTTACCTCCGGGTAATAAGTAAATGGCGACTTTCTTCAGATTATCGCTTAATAATCGTCCTGTTTCAATGGCTTTGATAATCGATGAAAAATTATTATCCAATAGAATCATATCACCTGCTTCTCGAGCGACATCCGTACCCGCAGCCATCGCCACACCTAAATCTGCTTGTTTCAATGCAGGTGCATCATTTGTTCCATCACCCGTGACTGCAACGATTTCACCGCGCTTGGTGAATTCCATGACAATACGTAACTTTTGTTCCGGTGATGTCCGCGCAAATACTAGTTCTTGATGTGACAAAACCCAATCCCACATATAATCCTAAGGCAAAAAGAAGAATGATCGATATCGTTTTCCGTAAACAACTTACATCCATTGAGTGAATATCTCCGCCGGCGACGACGACTCCGTAGGGAATGAGTGGGATTTTTTCGACATCTTTGACTTGATTTGGATCGCTGAAGTAGAATCGAATTCGTTGGAATAAACTTGGCTTTTTCTTCTTCTCCTCCGCAGAACTGACACCTTTAACTTCGATGTTTGTTGTTAGTTCTCCAATCGAATGAGTTCCGAGTAAGGTTTTCGAATCTCTCATCATATGAGCAGAGATTTCACCTGTTTGGTTGTTTCGTTCGATTTTAAATGTATCAATGCCATTCTCCAGACTAATTTCTTTCGATAAAATGTTCACTTTCTTTGCAATTGCTGCCGCTGTTGTGGGATGGTCGCCGGTAACCATAGCAACACGAATTTGAGCTCGACGTGCTTTGAGAACTGCGTCGGGAACTTCGGGACGAGCTGGATCGAGAAGAGAAAACATACCGATAAAACAGTAGTTACTTCCCGGTAAACCGTTCAAATCAGGTTCGTCCGATGCTGTCTGTGCTTGTTTCTTGAATTTCTTGTATTTATTAATATTCGCATCGTATTGATCTTTGGTTATTCGTTGTTGAAGCATAGCAATGACTCGATACCCAGATTTTCCCAATGCTTCTTGTCGTTGCTGAATAGATTGTTTGAATTCATCAGTCATTGGTAACTCTTCATCTCCATCATCCTGTTTGTATGTTGTACATCGAGGTAAGACGAAGTCAGGTGCGCCTTTGAGGGTGATGAGAACATTTTCATCTGGAGTTTTGATTAAATTTTGTTCGAGAAGATTCGCTGTGATCATGAATTTATTCTTCGAATTGAACGGAAGAACGTTTATTCGTGGGTTGACTCGTCTCACTTGTTCGATATCAACGGAACATTTGTCTTGACTCAAATGATAAAGAGCGACATCAGCAGCATCTCCTACCAGTTTATTTTCTTCTTCAGCTGTTTCCGTATTGGAATCTTCGTCTTCTTCCGATGTTTTCGAAGTTGATTGAAATACAGCGTTATTACAAAGGCACGCGCCAAGAAGTAAGTCTTTCAAAGCATTTGATTTCGCATTTGGATGTAATGATGGTCGTTTCCGATCAATGACACGTTCTTCATCTGTTGTTGTCGTTGTTTCTTCTTCAGATCGATGAATTGGGACCATATATTCTCCTAGTTTTCCCCAAAGAAGCGCAGTAATTGTCATCTGATTCATTGTCAACGTTCCCGTCTTGTCCGTTGCAATGACCTATTCCAAACAGAATGATCATAAGTGTCTTAGGAGATGCTTAGCTACTTACGGAAACGAAATTGAACGTTTCGACAGTTGCTAAACTTTTCACAAGTACCTTTTGTTTGTACATTCGTTTTGCAACAATAGTTAATACAAGAGTTACAGCAGCGGGTAAGCCTTCCGGAATAAAAGCAACGACCATTCCAATGGAATTCACAATATTACCTACACGAAAATCAAATTTGAACAAAGTTTTACAAAAGATAAAAACGAACCATTCAGAGTGATATATCCATTCTGTTTAACATTCAGCCAAGCTGCCCATGTAATCCAAATCAGAATGACTGAAGTCAGTGCTGCACAAATAACGAATAAGACAAAGCGATTGATTTCACGATGCAGACCAGTTATGTCCGAACCTTCAGCTCCTCGTGTTAATTTTCCAACTTGTCCAAGTACAGTCTCGTCGCCAATGTTCACGACGATAGCATTAGCAGTACCTTGCACGATCATTGATGGATAAAAAACGAGATTTGTCGTTTCCATAAAGTTCAGATTTGTACATTTAACAGTGCAGTTGACTGGCTCAGATTCTCCGGTTAATTCTGATGTGTTCACTTGTAGATCATCACAAGTGATCAATCGACAATCTGCAGGAACTTTTTGACCCATGTTGATGCGAACGATATCTCCGGGCACAAGTTCCTCAGCATTGATTTGCATTTCCATACCATTTCGTTTAACTGTGGTTATTGTCGGTTGCAGATGAGAAAACGATGCAACGATCTTCATTGATTTCACTTCTTGATAAAAATTAAATATACCATTGGAGAAAATAACGAGAACAAGAACAACACCAAGACCTAAATTGGTCACATCAGGATCCGGATCACCAAATGGTTTCTGAAAAAGAAAACAATGTTCAACATATTCTCTTCCTAATCAGACGACACTTACATAGCTAAGAAAGGCAAACAGTGTAGCAACCCAGAGAATTCCGTTGAAACCAACAAGAATCTGCTTGAAGAACATCCATATAAGACTCGGCTTCGGTGGCGGTGTTAATTTATTTTGCCCATATTTACTCTGATGTTGTCGAACAGTATCATCGGTTAATCCACTTTCCAAATTACTTTCGAATCGTTCTACCAGCGTTTCCATCGGAACGACATGAACATCTGTTTTCAATGTTGATAAATCGTCGAGTTTCTCTTTATCGAAATCAACCATCGATCCAGCATCACTTGGACGATGAGGTTTAAAGGTGACCGATGGAACAACTTCGACTTCGTCTATAGAGATTGTTACATGGTCGGATGGTTGATTTGTAGCGACGATGGATTGAAGACGACGTGATGATAGTTCGGATTTTCGCCGCTGTTGTTCCAAATGAAGATTTAAGTTTTGTGACATTGTTTGCCAAGCTACGGACGTTTTTCTGATAGTTTCATTGGTATTGTCCTCTGGTGGAACAATTCCAATCGAACGACGAATTGTATTGAGACTACTCTGTCGCCGTTCAGGAGGTAATTGTGCAGGTACATTCGAAGATCTCTTTTTCCGCGGACGTTCATTCGATTGTCCAGGTAACAAATCCATCCCACTTGCCGTCGATGGAATCGTCTTCATTTGAAATCCCGACATATTATAAGAGCTTAACCGGTTTGATCAAACTCGTTAAATTGATTAAAATATAAGTATATGCTAATAGGATAGTATTCATCAAATAAAGATAAACGTATACACCTGTAAGCGTGCATATTTATACGATTGTACTTCGTTCTTTGCTTTATCATTTTTTCGACGGCAAATCGCAATGAAAGTCATGTTTGAATGCACATACAGCTGGGTGACGCCCAATATTCATCTTTATAATTTGACTCATGATTGACGATGAAGAAGCATGAGCCAGTGCGAAGGTTTTTTGTGCATACACCCTTATTTTTCTCGAACACATTCTCGTTATGCAATTACAACTGTGGTCAAAAAACGTTGCACGCCTTGTTGCGTAGATATATTTTTTTTAAAGATATCTCACATACTGTCTGATAGTCCACGCCGAATAGTGTTGTAGAACATATTGCGAATTTTTAATAGTAAAAAAGCACGAATTCGCCACAATTTTGTGTTTTATTTCTAAATCACGTGTTACACAAAACGAGTGAACGTTTTTCACGAGAAATTCATCTCAATACAAAGCATAGATCAGTGGTAGTGGAATGTATATCAATAGAAATCATGTGTATAAGAACATTTCTGTAATGTACACATAAATTTTGTTCTAATTAATTACTATCATAATCTACAGCCCTTAGTATAATGTATGTATTAATACTAACAACGAACATTTATCATATATCTTTGTTTTTATAGTATAATATTAAGATTTGACAGATTATTAGATGACTAACCGACATCATAGTTTACTATTTATTAGAGAGAAAAGAATAAAAACATACTTTTATACCACGGATGTATAATTCTAAAAAGATTGACTTTTCAGTCGTCTCTCATCGACAAGGAGACAATGATGAAATTTGACTGTTGATTGTGTTTAAACGAGTGAAAGGTAAGGTTGAATCGTTTTCTTTGAACAATATTAACAGTTGTTGGTGTTTTTTTTAATAATAAATGATAAATAATTGATATTTGAAGAGTGTAATAAAATATTAATTAGATGATTTTATTTCAGATGCGAAAACCAAGGTCGAAGAACACTTAAAAAAAACATCTTTTCTCTTTCTTCTCTTGCCTGATGTGTTAATGTTTGCTCTTGAAAGCAATGGTAAACGTTTTGTTACAAAAATTATCGATTATTTTAAGTTTTCTATCTGTTTATCGAAGAGAGAAAGCAAAGAGAAAAAGCAAAATGTCGTTTTTCTATTTACACACAATACCTCTGTGTAACAAACACAACTTTTCAGTTTCAATAGCAACAACAAGAAGTTAGTTGTTGTTGTGCTTGATTGCAGAGAAGAATGGCTGTCGCTTCACCGAGACCTCTCATCGGTTATGATCATCGACAAACTTCACCGAGCAAAAAGATGGTTCTACCAAAAATCGAACATCCGTCCAAGCGAATGATCGATAGTTATCGAACAGTATTGGATGTTCGTGGTAAATCTGGTGAAGGAAAATTGATTCGAACTGATCTTTCCACACCTCGTCAACAGGGACGATCGTCCGCATTGAAATCAGAATCCCGATGTTCGGATTGTCTGACTGATGTTCCGGAAAATGTCAATGCTATTTATGGTGAAGACCGAAATAAAGTTCGTTTACCTGTTTTCGGTAAATAGAAAGCAAGAATTTTTACGTTTCTTTCTAACCGACGGAAAAACTTCTTTCTTCAAAGGTCGTCGACCGGAAAGCACAACATCTTCGATAACTAGTGCAAGAAAAGCAGACACACCTCGAACATCTCGTCTGATTATCGATGAACTCGAAGCGTCACTACGAGAAAAAGTTCGTTTTCAACTTCATGACATCCGCGCGAAGTTCCGCCATGCAGCACAAAACGATCCCAGTGGAAAAATCGATCGACCAGCGCTACAACATTTGATTGCGACTATCTACGGAACGCAAAAGCAAGTTTCACCTGCTCAAATCGATCGACTACTAGAGCGACTTCAGTTGAAATCGTCGAATAAAATCAGCTTCGACGAGTTCATTCAAGCGCTGTCAAGTGGAGAAGAAGATCTTCCGAACTGGATTTCGAGAGAAATGTCGTCGAGACAAGAAAAATCATCACCGAAAAAAACAGCGACACAGATGTTTTTGATTTTGAAGGAAAAAGTTCGAACAAAGTAAGAAACTTGACCTTCTCGAATCATGTTATAGAATATGGTTTGTTTCGTTAGAGATAAGGATTTAATGAACTTTTGTCCAGCATTAGGTGGTGGAAAACCAACGCGAATCTTCAAAGTTCACTTTCACGATGCACTCGAAGATATGGGTTATAAAATGAAAGACACAGAATTTGATAAATTGTGGGATAAGTGCGTGTTTTCAAAAGATTTCTCGCGATAATTCTCTGTGTTTGCCTAGATTCGATACGGAAGAATTCCGAGCGATTAGTTCGGACAAGTTTCTCAAAGTTTTATTCGATGAATCGATTGAAGACGGCTTCACATCTCATCGAGAAGCTGTCATATTAAAGCCACGTTCTCCTCAATTGCGCACAATCCAAACATCTCACAGTGATTCGGAATTAAAAACACCTCGGCTTCATTGTAAAAGAAAACGAATATTGTTTTTTACGAACTCATTTGTGACTGTTTAGCGACACGAGGCGTTCTCGATGAAAACCAAGTGCAACAATGGTTGAATCGTAAATTTCCGCATGGTTACGCTGAACTCGAACATGCACTGGAACGTTTGGACGCAAAACAAACGGGATCAGTGAGTTAAAATCGTTCTATTTCCATGTATAATCTTCTTGGTTTGCAGTTACCACGCGAACGATTTCTCGAACAACTGAAACGGTTTGGTTTAAACTTAGAAACGCCACTCTTAGAATATTTTCTCAAGAAATTAAATGTGGACTTAGCATTGACCAACGACGGCATACCTTATCAAGAAGTGATCAACACATTCAAGCAAAAAAGCGATCCGACAAAGCGACGACTCAATGCGGATAATCCAGTGCATATCGAAGAAACTCGTCAGGCAGCATTAGAACGACAAATCGATGCATCGATTGCGATGAATTATGAACGAGTGGAAAACTTATTAAATCGAGCTGATGGTACACAAAGCGGATTCGTTACAGTGAACACAGTTCGATCGATAATTGAAGATCTGATTGAATACACATTGAGACCGGATGAATATCACGAAATAATCAAGAAAATGCCGATGGATGACTATGGCCGAGTGAAATATCGGGATTATTTGAAGCAAATTCTTGAAAGAACATCATATTTGCAGGAAGGAAAGCAACGGCAACCAAAGTCGGTCGGTTTTCTTGATTTTCAGCCATGAAAATGTTGTTTTAGGAATCCAAAATATGAATTTATGGTCGCGACAAACGTGCGAGAAAAAGTCAATCCGAAAGAATTAATTCAGAAGCCTTACGAACCAGAAAGAACAAGAACAATCGATGAAGTAACTCTCCTTCCTTCATTGAAATTGTTTTCACCTGTTCTCTGTAGCTCAGCGAATATCTGAAAAATTTAATTCGAAATCGTTCGAAGGACATTGAGGATGAATTCCGAAAAATCGATCGTGGTTCCTATGGTGAATTAACTCCGGATCTTCTCTATAATTTATTTCGGCGGTTTGCTATCTTTCTCGAACTTTTTTCTTGAATTTAAATTAATATTTAGACTTTATCTCGAACCGGCGATAACACGCGATGAAGTAGACTTAATTTGGGAACGTTGCCATTTGAAACGCGATGGAACGCTAGATTTTTACCAATTTCTTCGTGAATTTGGTTATTCTAAACAATCAGCACACTATCCGAACGCGCGAAACCACCCGCCAAAACGAGGCGATGCAGATTTCGTTCTAACATCGAATAAACTGTACGGAGAAAATATTCTTGTTCACACCCACGCAAGAAACGTGATTCGAACGAATTGGGATCGTTTACGACGAGAATTCGCCGAGTTAGATCCTTACCGAACAGGTTACGTTCAACCGGAGGAATTCGATGATGTTCTAAGTGAACTCTGCCCGGCAGTTAATCAAGAAGATCTCTACTTGATCAAATCGAAGTTGCATACGCAACACGATCCAAGGTAAACGAAATATTTTCTTCCGATATTTTCGATTATTCTGTTTGTAAGAATGAACTATATGCGATTTTTGAAATGCTATGCGCCATTGTCGGAATCATCGAATCTTATGGATGAACCGAATAAAAATCTTCTACAAACGATTGATGAAGAAACACCTCGGATAGGAGCGTCTGATCGATTGGTGTACACTCAAGTTTGCATTAAACTTCGAAGAAAAGTAAAGAACCGGTTCTTTTCGTTTTTATCTCGTTGATTTGACTCATATTTAGTTATCGGATTCATATAAACCCCTGCGTCGATCATTCAAACAACAAGATAAAACCAATAGTGGATCGGTTCCATTGAAAACATTTAAAGATATCCTCAATCAATATCAATGCTCGCTGAGTGATGAAGAGTTTTATACAATCGCTTCACAATTGGATACGAAATTGGATGGATCGATTAATTACAACTACTTTCTTCAACAATATATTAAAAACGTTTAAAGTCCTCCTCTTTTCTTTTCTTCTACAAATACGAAGACACTATTTTTTCAAATAAACACTCCTATCATCTTATATGTCCTAAATATTCGTAACGACAGTTTCAGTTAGAGAAAATGGGAGAAGACAAAGGGCTACACTTATCCATACGACATCACAACGCGATAATTACCTATTTGAAAACGATGTGTATTAAAGATTGTTCTTATCGATATTTGAAAGAGGTATTGTATTCACCTATGCTGGGTTCCCTCGTTTGATGATGTTCAAAACAGGCTTTCTGATTGTTTCTCGAAAAGCTTTCGATGCGACACAATAAACGTAAAAAGTAACACAGTAATTTAGGTAATGTAGAACAATCAGTGAGAAAAAGGAGACAAACGACTCGATTGCAATGCGATCTGCGCTTTTGTTCATCAAGTTGCTCGACAGCGTGGTGTATAGAGTTACCAATGGGTACATGGTTGTCAGAACCACACCGACGATAATTTCAACCATCACAAGTTTAATCAAAGTAGTGTCGCGCTTCGATAGATCGTTCGGTGGCACGTTATTCACTTCTGCCACTGGTTGAACACGATTATGGACGCTTCTCAAGTTCTTCACGATCAGCAAACAGAAACATATCTGAGAAGCTGGAAAAAGTAGCCCAAAACTACAGATCTGATAAATACTAAAAACCAATGCATACGTTCCGACGATTATGCATCGATTGTTGTCAATGACTTCAAAGATTGGCAGATGTATGGAGATGATCATGCATAAGAGTGTCATCCCGAAGATGACTTTGAGTGCAACACGTGGTTTGCTGAATTCACGTATACGAACTCGAGATGATGTCACTGCGAATCGATCGATACATCCAAGCGAAATCATTGTCTTGTATAGAAACGTTGAACTTTGTAGTAGAAAACCACGAAGTCGACAAAGAAAAAGCGACTGAGTGAATGGATCGGGTGGTTGATAGAGAGCATACATATTAGTACCGATACCCCAGTTGATGCCAATGATACTAGATATAGCAGCAGCAACTAGATAAAGTGAACAGGAGTTGTGTCGATACTGTTTTTGGCAGAAGATGTAGATAATGAAGAGATTGCCGATGTTGCCTAATGTGAGGGAAATAGGGAAACCATATCGAATGATAGCTTGTCGAAGAGATGTGAGCGTTTCAGAAAGCGAAGACATATCTATAAGGCAAAGACAAAGTATCTCTCTATCATGAATATCATTGGATACTTTTTTGTTGAAATGTAGCACGAACAATGTAAGTACGCCGAGAAAACGACTTTGAAGATATGCAGCATATTCAATGTGTTAGTTGGAAGAAAAGCTAACAAAAGTCTCCTATTGAAATTGAAAAAAGCACGATATGACAATGGGATCTTAAAGAGAAAATGAAGAAAACACACTGAGTGTGCTTGGCTAGCTCAGAAAATTATAGTTTTAATAATTGACTACTCTGGCTTCTAGTTGTTTATTTAGACCAGAAGCATTGTAGAATTCTTTCTAATTGACGTTTTTATATATATGAGACATAATTGTATCGATGGTTTCACTCAGTAATGCTGATAAAACTGAAAAATGTCACAAGCTTACCAGAGTATTCATTATGCCATTACATCCTGTTATTATTTTAATCAAGACGTGTTGTATGTGGCATCGTTCCCTACGGCAACTGATCTATGTCGTCATTTGCGCACCGAGACTTTTCGTATATTGTATCTGAGTTTATTTGTTCTGTGAATACAAAACGACTATGGTCATCTTCAATGGTCAATAAAATCTTATGGTACTGATATTAACTCAACTTGACTTTTCCAATTTTGATACTAAAAGCGTTTGAATGACAGACAGCAAGCTAGTCTGTTCTCTTATAGTCACTGGTATCAATCATCGAAGCTTTAAAATATAAGAACAATAATGGAAGGAAAGTTGTACTAGATCGAGACGAAATTGATTGAAAGACAAAGTCATTATTGCGACGTGTGCTATTGGGATTTGAAATTGAGAAAAAGTGCTACTATTACGTTCTTGTTGATTCTTGTTTAACACATTTTATGACATTTGCAATCTTTAGTCTCATGATCTTTGTCATGCTTCATAAATAATCATTCAGCATACTGGAAAATAAAATTTAAAATAGTAATTATCTGAGCTTGTGTAAGACTTCATATTGCTGTCATCCTATCAGCTAAGTTCATGGGAACAGTAATGCTTCGCATCTTGCTACTATGGTTAGGAATCGAACTGATTGTGCCACTCACTTTAGGTAAGTTTCAGTTCAGTTATATGGATGAGAGTGATTAGCAAAAACTGCATTTACTCAACGTCGCGGTGAACATTCGCCATTGATACGATCAGCAATGAATCGAGCAAAGATATGTCCGAGTGCCACTTGGAATCTACAAGAAATTATCTTTCTACAAAGAACACGGATAGACAGTCACCGCGTGGCATTTTCATCAATCATCAAAATCTTATCTATGTCGAGGATCGAACACACAACGGTATTCAGATGTGACTGAACGATGAGTCGAATCCGAAGAAAGCCCTATCTGGCAATCTGACCGGCCCATATGCTCTATTTGTAAGCCTTGACGGCGACGTTTATGTTGAAAATGGTCAACAAATTCAACTAGCAGTGTTGCTGATAATCATTGTATTGCATTGTTCATCGATACTTACGATAATCTTTATCACATAGTTAAGTACGCGACGACTGACGCAAGTAGACCGATAACGGTTGCAATCGATTTATCACTGGAATTAAATGAGATGAATGAACATGATCCAAAAACGATGATTGCAATTAAACCGAAAACTAAGTCAGTTATCTGCTCATTTGTTTGTAGATGGCTTTTCTCTTTCGACTTTGCTCGTATCTTCACTAACTGACAACGCCGGGGAATACTTTTTTCGTCAAAGACTACGAAGAGAAACTGAATAAAATGGTCAATATTCGTGATGAAAATTTTACATTTATGAGATGACGGAAGTTGAGAGCATCAAACTTCAGGCGTCTACTTTGGCGCAGTTGACTAAAGCAACAAATCACCTAACCCGATTAGCTTCGGTATCTCTGATTTTCTTCTTAATTGATTTAGTAATCTTTGTTGATTAGTTGTTTGTCTCGAGGAAATGCCATCAATTGTCATTGACTTTGCAAACCATGGCAACAAGAACCATGTTTGAAGATGTTGTCTATGCTGTCTCGACTTTCAGGCGATCAAAAGTCCATTACAGTAACGATCACCAGCTTTAGATTTTGATAGGATTCACGCTGATGATGGATCAGATACGGACGGATCTAAAGAGACGATCAATGTCATTACCCGTACTCGATGGAGTCGGAAATGATCCCTCTTTCACTGGTAACTCATCTGATCCAAATCTTGTTAAACTACCAATGATTATACAAAATGTCAGTTCGATCGGTACTGTTCAATGCTTTTATTTATAGTTCCTTAATATAAGCGGCTTGCATACCAACAGTCACGCAGTAATGTCACTGCATTTCGAAATACGTCCTCTGAACACAATTCGCGATTATTTGTTTATTTACAGATTTGATGAGCCATCTCGTTTAGGCAGCACAAATCGAGATAAAGATAGATATTCTGTGCTCTGTCCATCAAGAGATCTAACGGACGATCGTTTCTATACGTATTTCATCGACAATCATATTATATTTCAACATCAATCTCTCATATTTGGTCTACGTGAACTGAAATCGAAGAACTATGTTCGAAAATTGTCACACTGAATGGTCGGCCGACCACAAACAAGTCTTTTATCTTTTCATCTGATTATGCACTAAATATTTATAGCGCTGCTTACTACTATTTAGATTCAAACGAGAATTGGCGATCCGATGGATTACGAGTTTATTGAATACTTTTCTTCTCTCTCGTATTGTAACTCATTTCTATGTTCAGGTCGGTCGTTTGACAAATCACTGTCAGATACATTGCTATTTCACGCGCTTATCAACATAAACAGATCATTTACAACTTGATGTAATTCTCCGAAATGCTGCACTCGAGTGTACTAGTGAATCATCGATCCTTTGTTACACATTATCTTTCCATAATAATGCTTATTCTTAACAACTATCGCTTCTATTCTCTACAAATGTGCCTTGCTCTCTCATTTTATCTACCTCTTATAAAACAGATGACGTTTAGAGAACGTGCGAATAATGACTACTCGTCAAATAAAATTCTCGAAAGCTGTACCACCGAATATCTCTGATAGCAGTTCTGCTCTTTCGTGTAACATTCAAAACGAATCCTCTCAGTCGCAATCAAATTCAACTGTAGTGGTCAAGTCTGGTGGTTCTTCGAAACTTGTGACAATTATCACAAAGTATCCCTTTACTTTCACGGCTCTTCTAGTCACGTCTATTTCCGTATTATGTGCTGCAATTGTATGCATTGTTATTCTCACTCGCAATTCACCAATTGATGAGTGCATTCAATATGTATATATGAGACTGTACATGGTTTTATAAACTTTTACGAATTGATCGTAAAAGATTTTATAGTACAGTTTCTAGAGCTTTTTTGTACGACGTTCCATGGTATACTTAGCTTCTTTCTGAAAATGTGTTCGACGATAAAAATTTGAAATTACGCAGAGTATTATGTTACACTTAAGAAAAATGAGCTTTCACTGTAATAAAATCAGACGTTTTTTGTCTGAAATCACCGAAGAAACAAATCTGTCCTTATGTAAATTATAGGATGCAGCAGAATAAATGGCCCTCTCTGTATTTTGCGAATATCTTTCTTATAGTTCGACGTGAATACTTGAGTTTTTCCCAATAGATAGCCCGTGAAATTCTCTACAAGTCCTGAGTGAAAGAATTCTTCTAGAGAATCATCTTAAAATTATACTAAGTCAATCTTACCATGCCCTAAATCAGTCTACTTTCAAATACGCATTTTATAAAACTAATCATTGTATTTCTTCTAGCTATGTTAAATAGCTACAAAAATCTGCTTTGATGTATGTCTATTGGATTTTTACACGCGCTTTTTTACATAAAATTGAAAAGAAGTTGTTTGAATAGAATTGCGAGTGTCTATCTGTCAGTCTTCCTAAAACGTGAGAAGGATTTATCGGTTCGTTCAGTTCTGAGTCTTAATCATTACAACAACAAATTTTGTATCATCCTATTCCCATCAAAACCAGAGAAGAAGCATTGTACTTCAATATGGTAATAAATCTGAATATATAACAATTGCTTATTTCGTGTGTTGAATTCAAAACTACAAGGAACTCTAAAGTAATATCTTTTGAATGAAATTAGCGGGAAACAGAGGCCACACTTTTTCCAGCTAAATTGGCAATATATCGAAATGACGTTTCCATCTATTGATAGAGCATTTCACGGACTAACGGGCGGGCCATAAATAATGAGGGTGTTAGCATTTTGATCATAACTTTTTATGTCTTCAATGTTTAGAGCGGCTTGTTGAATTAGATAATGCGCCTTGAAAGTCTCTACAAAATCATAATTAATTTCAATTTTATAGGATGTTAGGGAAATGCTGTAAGCGAATATTACTGGCAGCACAAAATGTACCTAACTTTCGAAGCAAACCAATTTTTTACGACCATTACGCATTTATATTTCTCTGGTTTGATTACAAAAAATTATATTAAAAGATGCCGCACGAAAAGCTCTACAATCTACATAGGACGTTGTTCTATACGAACAGATAAAGTGTTTTTAAATTATGCAAAATCCTACGTGATCAAATTATTATGTTTCTTGCAAAATTGAAAATAAATTGTACTTCGCTTCAAAAATTAAAAGTCTATGTTTAGACGAAAGTTGACAATGCACCTTGTAGAGATTTTCATGCTGGATCTTATACCGCACTCGTATTCCAAGAATAAATACACGATATTCGAAAATGATATACAACAGACTGACTAATCAAAGAACTTCTTCGATATTTGAAAGTTAAGTACATTTTGTGCTGCCATTAATATTAGCTTACAGCATTTCCCTAACATCCGATAGAATTGAAATTAATTATGATTTTGTAGAGACTTTCAAGGCGCATTATCTAATGGAACAAGCCGCTCTAAACATTGAAGACATAAAAAGTTATGATCAAAATGCTAACACCTTCATTATTTATGACCCACCCGTTATAAATTGCTCTAGCAATCTTTTCTCCATGTGAAAGAAGGAGCTATATAGAATGATAAGTTTAATCGATAGTGCTTTGAAAGTGGACTGATTTAGGGCATGGTAAGATTGACTTAGTATAATTTTAAGATGATTCTCTAGAAGAACTCTTTCCCTCAGGATTCGTAGAGAATTTCACGGGCTATCTATTGGGAAAGCCTCAAGTATTCACGGCGAACTATAAGAAACATATTCGCAGAATACAGAGAGAGCCATTTATTCTGCCGCACTCGTGAGCGCTTCACGCGGTATCTTTCGGCTTATTTTTTCATTAACACAACCTATTCCAATGTATGAAATAAGAGCAAAATAGATTGTTCAACTTAACCAAACGTGCAAACAATTCTTCTCGTGTCCCTTTGAAAGAGGTGTATTTTTTCGATTAGAAACAAAGATAATCAATTCGAAATACTCAATTTTTGATACAACGAAATGAAATGTTATTTGAATCAGATGAATACATCATTGAAGAGACAATTGATAATTCAATCTTATTTGAACAGCAGTGTAGCGCTTAATATGTAGATAAAAATAGGAGCTAACATGTGACATTTCGCTCCACGTAGTCAATATGGTAAGGATTCGTATTTAAATGAGCAATAAATCGTGTGTATAAGGGACAATAAGAGCTGAAGTATTATTCACTTGTGTTGGATATTTCTTTTCTTTTGTTACGACACTGAAATATATTATTTTTTCTTCCTTCTGCACCTTTGCAATTTTCTAGATGCTGACTTATCCGTCAAAACCCTTCTCTCTTATTTTTTTTGAAACTTCCCATCCAACTTATGTGTATGTAACCTGCATCTTCTCAGATAAAGAGCGATGCACTTAATATCAGTTTAATTAGATTGAAGTCTCTCTTTATAATTACTTTCTTTACCTTCGCCCGGACTTTTTCTGTTATGGCTAAAATCTGAAATTCATATTGCTATTTGATAAATTATTTAGTGCTCATTTCTTAATGGAAAACTGCTCAAAAATATTTTGTGAAACTCACATATAGTTTTCAAAGAAAAATGAATGTGAGTTCGAAAGCCAAGAACTGTTGGGCCCCTACGCCCTTCTGAAGACTCACCTTCCTATGAAGTCCTATATATTTGTGAGGAAATGATGAACTTTTTTAATAGATTTAATAACTCAGTGGAAGGAGAGCCCACGCTTGTCACCGCATCTACATATTCACTCACTCACCCTCCGTTTCCACAAAATACAGATAACATCAGAAGGATTTTTACATTTGTTTAAGTGATCTTATGAGGGGCAAGGGCGTCCGGGCAACAAGACTAATATATCCTGTGATATCTCCTTCCCCTCGTACACCTTGAGGTTCATAAAATCAATATAGATAATGTTACCATGGAGATATATGAGATGGAGTAGCATGGCAAACATTTTTTTCATTAAAAAAAACGGCTACGTTCATGATCTTCCGTTATGACAGAGAATATGAGAGCGAATATAGACTGCCTCCATCCCAATAAATATCAGAATTAAGTAAAAACCTTTTGGTACTATTACATACACAGTCTTATTCTCTGTATTTCTTCTTTAGAGACGCGCTTGACTGTACACTCATTTGCGTTAACGGTAAATCTCGTCATAATTAGTATCTAATCATATTGCAGACACGAGACACGAATATGAGTTTAATTTATTAATATTGTATCACCATTCGCATTCTCGTTCTCGAAAGATGGAAATCATGGAAATGTGAGTTCCATATTTTAGCCCAAAAATGGCTGCGTTGACAAGCTTGTTACTAATTCAAATTTTAGTTAATGCTCGCTCCTATATTTTTATCGCTCAAATAAATACATCTCTATGGTGAGCACACTTGGCGAACATCTGAAAACTAAGTAATAACCATAGAGGTTTTGATAAGAATTTGTGCGCTTATGCGGAGGTGCTACTTCAGCAAGTAGTTCACTGTGATATTTGTTATTCCTGTTAATTCCACTCAATCTGTATTAATCTGGCAAAGCTCTGATGCATAATTGGTTCGCACAGCATCTTTTCTTTTGTATCAAATCCTGTAATTTTCTAGATTGCTACCAGAACAGATCCTATTGTATATGAGTTGTCAAGTCAGCATTTTTATACGTCATTGCATTATTTATCTTATTTAAAAGTAAGTGTTCAGATAAAAAGCAATCAGAAACACGTCAAGAAATGAAGTAATGACATATAAAGTTCACTGAAAAAGTGCTAGCACTTTTTAGGAGTTAGATGTACCTTGCGTTTTCCTCTGATGTTGTTCTATTAAAGATATTTTCAAGCATTTCGATTCTTCCTTTCGCAATACTTAGTTTGTCTCTATTTTTCGATCAAATTTTATTTTTTCTCGTCCTGCTGTAATCTATTACAGATACAACATTTCTTTCTATTACTAACCGAAAACCTTTTTGGACGTTCTTTTTTCTAGACCGCAAAAATTCTACTATAATCGAAAAATCCACGAGATTCGCAATATTCTTCTCTCATTGCGATAGAATTCTTGGAACGAACACAAATTCCATGCTTTATATAACATTTTAATTCTCTACGAAGATATACTTAACAATTTTCACCTTTTCTAATTTATATCAACTTAATCTACACACATATCTGATCATTCTTTGTGTTTTGTGGACATGTCTTCGCTTTCTGAAACGCTCACATCTCTTCGACAAGCCATCATTCGATATGGTTTCCCTATTTCCCTCACATTAGGCAACATCGGCAATCTCTTCATTATCTACATCTTCTGCCAAAAACAGTATCGACAAAACTCCTGTTCACTTTATCTAGTTGCTGCTGCTATATCTAGTATCATTGGCATCAACTGGGGTATCGGTACTAATATGTATGCTCTCTATCAACCACCCGATCCATTCGGTCAGTCGCTTTTTCTTTGTCGACTTCGTGGTTTTCTACTGCAAAGTTCATCGTTTCTATACAAGACAATGATTTCGCTTGGATGTATCGATCGATTCGCAGTGACATCATCTCGAGTTCGTATACGTGAATTCAGCAAACCACGTGTTGCACTCAAAGTCATCTTCGGGATGACACTCTTGTGCATGATCATCTCCATACATCTTCCAATCTTTGAAGTCATTGACAACAATCGATGCATAATCGTCGGAACGTATGCACTGGTTTTTAGTATTTATCAGATCTGTAGTTTCGGGCTACTTTTTCCAGCTTCTCAGATATGTTTCTGTTTGCTGATCGTGAAGAACTTGAGAAGCGTCCGTAATCGTGTTCAACCAGTGGCAGAAGTGAATAACGTGCCACCGAGCGGTCTATCGAAGCGCGACACTACTTTGATTAAACTTGTGATGGTTGAAATTATCGTCGGTGTGGTCCTGACAACTCTGTACCCATTGGTAATTCTATACACCGCGCTGACGGGCAACGTGATGAACAAAAGTGCAGATCGCATTGCAATCGAGTCGTTTGTCTCTTTTTTCTCAATGATTGTTCTACATTACCTAAATTACTGCGTTACTTTTTACGTTTATTGTGTCGCATCGAAAGCTTTTCGAGAATCATTGAAAAAGTCTGTTTTAAGAATGGTCAAACGTCCAAAACGGGAGCAGTCAAATTCTACAGCTCTTTCGACCGGAATAAGAAGAAGAATGGAAAATATCCTCTCTTAAGTACTTTGCACGATTTCACGGTCGATCATATGGATCGTCTATTATTTCATGTTGTAAAATTACTTGTTTGAATTTTTCAATCTAAGGTAGTTGTGCAACTTTTTCGTGAACCCTCTGTGGCTTTTCGTATCTATTTGCTCAAATAAAATTGTTCATTATGAAAATATAATTTTGTCGTGTGGATCAGTGTGCTGGAATCAAACTTCAATCTCAAATAAGATGCATTTATGGAGATTAAGAAACAATCGCTACTTGGTTTTAGCAGTGGTATCCATAAGTTTTGTTTTCTTCTTATGTCTTTAACTTTCTATTGAAACTTATCTTAATCCTTGGTCGTTAGTTCGCCAAGAATAGCATTCAAAGATTGATTTTTTAAAGTTTCCATGTGATTTTGATATATATGAAACGACGGATGGACATAACGCTTGATATTTTGTGGAACTCACTAACAACAATGAAGTATCACCTACTATATAGAGAATCACATGAAACTTATTTTCTTGTGAGGTAAAAACTATTGTCAGTCGGTGATTTTCTCCATCATTCCGAGAACTGTATGCTAGTCGCGAGAATATCACTCAATCTTATGGCAACATTAGTAGAATAATAGAAAATACATCCTGCTCCTTAATTTTATACATTTCGGAACAGAATGAGTGCCGGAGTGTACTAGTGAATCATCGATCCTTTGTTACACATTATCTTTCCATAATAATGCTTATTCTCGACAACTATCGCTTCTGTTCTCTACAAATGTGCCTTGCTCTCTCATTTTATCTACCTCTTATAAAACAGATGACGTTTAGAGAACGTGCGAATAATGACTACTCGTCAAATAAAATTCTCGAAAGCTGTACCACCGAATATCTCTGATAGCAGTTCTGCTCTTTCGTGTAACATTCAAAACGAATCCTCTCAGTCGCAATCAAATTCAACTGTAGTGGTCAAGTCTGGTGGTCCGTCGAAACTTGTGACAATAATCACAAAGTATCCCTTTACTTTCGCGGCTCTTCTAGTCACGTGTATTTCCGTATTATGTGCAGCAATTGTATGCATTGTTATTCTCACTCACAATTCACCAATTGATGAGTCTTCTTTAATGAACGTTACAGAAGAATTGTTGAGCTCGAATATTACACTAACGGAGATAACAACGGCTACCACTGGTATGCTCTAGAATAGAGTCCTTTTTCTGATTTAATTTTGAAATACTCTTAAAGGCAAAGCATATTCTCTTCTTCTATATAGAAAGAAAACTCAACAAATGGAAACAGAATGCAACGACTGTCGCTGGAGGAAATGGAAGCGGAGGAGAACTCAATGAACTCGCTTATCCTTCCGGAATCTTTATTGATCAAAACGATGATATGTTGATTGCTGATTTTAGGAATCATCGAGTTGTACGATGGAAACTACATGAAAACGGAGGAGTAGTTGTTGTAGGCGGGAACGGAAAAGGAAATGGAACTAATCAATTGAATGAACCATCCTGTGTGATTGTGGATCAATATAATAATTCTTTGATCATTTGCGACTCTGGAAACAAACGAGTGGTTCGATGGTTCAGTGGAACTCAACACAAAACTATCATTCAAAATGTCGATTGTTTTGGTTTAGCAGTAGATAAATACGGATATCTTTATGTTCCTAATCCCAGGAAGAGTGAAGTTAGAAGATGGAAAATAGCAGAAGAAATTGGAGAAGAAGAAGGAGTAGTAGTTGCTGGAGGACACGGATATGGAGACAATCTTAACCAATTCAAGAGTCCCGGGTTTGCTTTTGTTGACGATGAACAAGCAGTGTATGTAACAGACCAACAGGCACATCGTGTAATGAAATGGAGGAAAGGCGTTGATGAAGGAATTGTTGTTGCAGGTGGAGACAATTGGGGAAATGATCTGAATCAATTGGCTCGTCCTATGGGAATAGTTGTTGATCATTTTGGCCAAATCTATGTTGCTGACGAAGAAAATAATCGAATAATACGTTGGAGTGAAGGGAGTCGACAAGGTGAAATAATTGTTGGTGGAAATGGAAAAGGAGCAGAATCGAATCAGTTTGCTTATTCTAAAGATTTAGCATTCGATACTGGAGGAAATCTATATGTCGCAGATGTGGGAAATAATCGAATTCAGAGATTTGATTTAATTTGAAATAAATTTCCGAAATGAAGATCTATTTTGATAGTTACACTGAAGCATTTTGCGATAGAAAGATCGCGTAATCATAGCAAAAATATGGAACACTTGTTTTATTTTGTCTTTATCTAATTATATGCCGACCTGGCCGAGCACGGGCGATATCGGCTGACACTTCAGCTGTTATGCTAAAATAAACGAGCCATCGACAATGGTCATTCTTTCGTTTAACGTCAGTTTGAGAGGTAATAGCGCAAGGATGCAAGCCGAATATCGGGACATGCCTGAACTATTTCGATCGAATCTTGTAAGTATAAATGATTGGAACATCATTTCATTTGTTTTGTTTTTTATCTTGGTATAGGTAAACGGTACGTATCGATGTTTTATTGATCGAATTGTCAGATCTTGCACGTCATCGTCATTTATTTCGATTCTAACAAAAAAAAGCTAACATTGTTCATCACGAATTAAAGTAAATCTTTGTATTCGATGATTTGCTGAATCAGTGACGTACAGATTTCCTTCGGCATCAAACGATACATCCATAGGGCAACTTAATTGATCCGATTTCTCTCCTGTACCATTTCCACCAACAATAGTTTCGCCCTCTGTCTGACCTTCACGCCAACGGCTAATTCGATGATTCCCATGATCCGCAACGTAAATTTGCCCAAATCGATCTACGATCAGTCCCTCAGGACTATTAAGCTGATTCAGATTACTTCCTTCCCCGTTTCCACCAGCGACAAGCACGCCTTCCTTCGCACCTTTCAACCATTTCATGATACGATTGTTCTCATTATCGGAAATATAAACCGATTGTTCATCATCCACATAGATGTAAGTAGGACAATTGAATTGATTCAGTTGATTTCCTTCACCGTTACCTCCAGCTACTAATTCACTTTTCTCTTCGCCAATTTTCCATTTTCTCACTTCATTGTTGATAAAATCTGAAACATAAAGGAACCCGTGTTTATCCAATGCTAAACCCCAACAGTTGATGTCTTCGATAAGAATTTCCTCTTCGTCTTGATTCCACCACGAAATCAACCGACTGATTCCTTCACCCTGGTCTAAAGGCCATCGAAGTACTCGTCTGTTTCCTGTATCGGCAATAATCAATGAATCGTTCTCTTCATCAACAATCACATCTACTGGTTTGTCTAATTGATCAATTTCTGGACCTTTTCCATTACCACCGGCAACGACTTTCCAATCATTTTTATTCAATTTTCGTGTAAGTATACGATGATTCCACGTATCAGCAATGTATATATTTTTGTTTTTATCAATGCATATTCCTTGAGGACGGTCGAGTTGTTGTAGTCCGCTGCCTTGTTCATCTCGTATAGTGATCGTCTTTCCATTCTCTTTCCACTTATTCGGTGTGATTTCTAAACAAAATACTTTTGATCAGAATACAATCTTTTCGTTGTTTCAGTACTTTGGGCGAACTGCAGGGAGATTTTCTTGATAAATTCTGGTGAATCCTCTTCTCGAATGGAAACTATCGATGGAGAGCAAAATTCTTTCGTAATACCGTCGATTTGTTTTCTTAAATACTCTAAACTAACTCCATCGGATCCATCGCCATGTCGAATTCGTTTGAAATCCTTCAGTTTCGTTTCGATATTCGACATAACGCTCGTCGTATATTTCATCAGTTGCTCTCGACATTCACGTGCTGTTCGCTGGATGGTTTCGATGGAATTTCGCTCCCACTCGTCAATTTGTTTCATCAACGGTTCAGTAAAATTTAATTTTGAACCGTCTTGACAAGCATCCATGACGTTGCGCGTGCGATCATGCGCCATTGATGGAGAAAGAAATTTTTTGAAAAAACAATACTTCTATTACCTTGAGTTGTTTCAACATCAAGAACAACACATTAGATGGATAGAGAAAAAAGCTTTACTCCGCATTCTGTGATTGAATTTTCGTCATTGTCATCAACGACATCTATCCGGAATGAACAAAGCACATGCTTCTGCCTCTGGAAATGATTTCCTCCTGTACATCACATAGGCTACGAAAGTTGATTTTCTACGAGCCATGATTTGCTAATGGTCTTGACCAGTCAGCCATTCATCCATTGGCTAACATAACACATTTATTAATTACAGTGGAATATGAATCCCACTTACCAAATACCCTGAAACTAACGCCGAATTTGGAAAGTTGGAATTTCCGACTTGTTTGTACGATGGTTATCCGGATTTTCAGAATTTAGAGGCATCTTGGAATCTATTCGAAGGTCAATTACATCAACGCTCCTAGTGAATTTTCAAATTTTCGATCAATTTCAAGGTTTGGTAAAGATTTGCGTTGCTTTACAGTCGTTTCAATACAAGATTTTCACGAATGATCACCCTAATAAAAACTTTCTGAATATCAAACAACTGTCGAATTCTTGGTACACGATGTTCACATATCCCCAGCTTTAACTTTTCCATTCTCAAGGCAAACGAAGAAACCGAGAATGTGAACTTTCTTCAATGTTAACATCAGATCGATTATTGATGTGCGAAAATACTTCGTCTCGACTTAGACACCTTAAGAGCATTCATTGTCGGTATTCAGCTGAGATTGATGGGTTCATGTTCAAAGTAGTCGATCTCTCATCATATCTGACAGATTTAACAATTTGGAGTTGCAATGAAATACTTTTGATCGAAAATTTTCTCGAAATTAAAGCGATTATATTGTCCTTCTACTCATCGAGCAGATTCTTCTGCTGTGGATCTACTTCGACACGTTTTCATTCATATCAGATGTCATTTTACTAGAAGATCTATTTCCGAAATAAAAAGCGCGCAATGAAGGATGAGAACGCACAACTACTATGTCACATCCACTCTAGTTCTTTATTATGAATCTTTTGATACTATATCACAGCAAAACTTTATTTGAAAAGCTTTGTTTTCACACGTTGAACAACGGACAACGAACGAGTAATAACTGACGCTAGCCATGGCGTTAACATTAAACTTAATCCAATGCGTAGAGGAAGTAGAAGTTTAACGATTGCGTATGTCATTGAGAGATTGACTAGGACCATCGATGATTCATCTAGCGGTTCGAAACCATACCGAGTGCGCACACGATTGATCTTCTTGTTTCCTTCTGAAAGAACGAAACGAGATTTTGTGTTGTACAGATAGAAACAATTTCACCTTGGATATATTCGATTGGAATAGGAAGGTATTCTCCGATGCGTAGCCATTTCAACGGAAAGTAGATCAATGGAAATGGAAGAATGGCGGTCACTTCATGGAGGATAGCAAATGCGGTGATATGAGATGCCGGACGGTCTTTCAATTGATTAAGATATTTTCTCCAACCACGTTGACTACTGTTTATTGTTGATAATCGACGAAAAAATAATCGCTGCATCTGAAAACTAAAGAATATATTCTTTTATGAGTTTTATCACTATATCAAGTAGTCTTTTATGGTTTGCAAGATCAGCTATCACTCTATATATGATATTCAATACTTCTCCAAGCATGATCATTCGCCGGCATGACAACTTTCCGAGTGTTGTTACTTTTTACTCTCTCGTTATGTACCAAGGGACTGTACGAATGTTATTTTGATTATGATGAAAAATGTCTTCCCGGTCTTCCATCGGGTTCGTATGTCGTACTGAATGAAACGAGTGACGAACCACGGCTACCTGCTTCGGATGTAACGGCGATTGGTAAACGATATTTGTTGAGTATTTCTTTCGATCCGTTCAAATGTTCTCATCATAGGAACGTACAATGATGATGGCGAATGTTTTTTTCCATATGAATTGAATTCCTATCAAATGTATTTCTGTGCAAAGACAGATCCGGATTTACCAGCAACATGTCCAAGTTTTAACTTAACAGGACCTAAGCTGAACTGCAGTGAAGGTAGTTGTTCATTGAAAATCGAATTCAGGGTAAAACGTTTTTTTCTCTTGCGAAAAGGTGAATATGGATATGAAAAGTTCGAGAGCGGAGAAACCGGTTCGCGTGTGCATCCAGTTGACATAAGACGTCCTCTCGAGGCTGGCGAACAATGCATTGGGTTTTATTATTATCTATCAGACAATAAATCGAATGCGAGTATAAATGTCATAGTTGAAGATACAGTATCGAATACCAATACTACAATTCTATCGGCTTCTGAACGTCATGAAAATCGGTGGCATGAGATTCGAGGGGATTTCTATCTCTATAATGAGAATCCAACGGTAATTTCGTGTCGTGTTACAATAAAAAGTATTTTAGCTGTTTTTGTCTTCAAAGATCTATTTCGAATTCCAACGAGGAGCTTCTCTCGATTCGTTACCATTCTACCTCGCAATCGATGATATAATCATCAATAATTTCGAATGTGGTATGAGTTAATATTAAATTCTTATTCCATAAACGATGTTCTATTTCTTAGCACCGATAAATACGACTACCATTCCAACAACGACAATTATCGTAAACGAATATTCTTAAATATATTCTTACAGAAAAATTTCATCATTCAATCTAGACTACGACGACCTCAACTTCTTCAACAACGACAACTACTACAACTACCCCTCTCACCACTTCTCAAACCACGACGACCACTACAGTGAGCGCTTCTACATCCACGAAAACAACAACAACAACAGTCGGTTCAACAAGAACAACGACATCTTCGGGATCGACAACGACGACGACAACAACAACAACGAGTCCTCCTACAACTTCTAGGACTACTTCTACATCCACGATTACGACTAATACGCCACCATCATCCTCAATTCAAAGTAAATTCTCATTCTTCGCAAACGTTCTTTTCATATTTTTCTTTATTTAGTTCAATCTAACTTTCCAATGCTTCTCTTTTTCTTCTTATTTTTTCTATTAAAGAAAATTCTAATTCAATAAACTACACAAATAAAAACAAACTTATCTTACTTTGTTTGAGAGAATCACTTTTCTGTTACATCTACACATCCCTCCATGTTTTACCTGTTCTTCAAAAGAACGAACAAATCAAATAGAAGTCAGACGGTAGATGTCTTATCTTCGCTCTTGCAACAATCAATTCAAAACTACACAGTAATAAATATCTTCTCTTTTACAACAGATCTTGAAACAAAATCATGATTTAGTAACAAAAGGGCGTTCTTTGATCTTGACTCATGTAGAAATCATCGAAGCTTAACCATTTTCTCGTTTTCTTTTGTCCCATATATGGACGCTGTTGATATTTGTTTCTTGTATGCGCGTTACACCTTTTTGTTTTCTCTCTCTTCTTATTCTCTGTATTTAAGGACGGTACATGTGCGTATGTATTCATTTCACCTATCAAATGGCTCAAATTCAAGTGACAGTTGTCGAAGGACGAAATATAAAACGTAAAGATTTATTTAGCGAAAGTGATCCGTTCGTTCAAATTTATCTCGACGATAAACATATCAAGCAGAAGACTCGAGTGAAGCATAACTCGAAGAATCCACAATGGAATCAAATTCTCGTCTTGTAAGAAGACTCTCCTCATTTCTACTCAACGAACTGTGAATTATTTAGGAATCATTTACACGGACAAGATACTCTTCATGTCGATGTTTGTGACGACGATAAGATCAAATATGACAAAATAGGCTCGTTCGAAATCGATTTGCATGAGCTGTATGAAAAACGTAGGTGAATTTTGATTTCGCAATTTATTGAAATTTGCTCGATTGTTCGCAGATCGTATTGAGAATTGGTATAGTATACCCTCGCGATTCGGATCGTCCAGTCGTGGTGAAATTCATCTGATCATTGAGTATCAACCGTTAAAGGTTTAAACGTCGCTACCATAATGCAATCGTTTATTTGATGGATGATGATTCGTCTATTGTACAGAAGAAAAAAAAAAACAATGAAACTTCGAGTGGAGAGATTTTACTGTCGTTGTTTTTTTCTTTTCTTGAAGCAAATCAATTTTTTGTTCGAGATTTTGTAAAGTTGTTTCGATGTCGCCTTTTTTGTTTAGTTTGAAAACATCATGCCAATAATCTTCAGCTATTGCAGTTTCTCGTCGCATTTCATCGCTAACTGGAAAGAAATGTTTATCAAAAGATGATCAAGGCGTCATTTTCACTTACTTCGGAATTGTCCTTGAATCTCATCATCGGTCGTTTTCACGTCATCCAACAATACTTCGGTTGTAACTAAAGAGAGAAAACATAAAAAGTCAATGGCACAAGTCGATAGGTTTACTTGATCGTTGATAACTTCGACTCTGATTGATCCGCATGACAACAAATCGAATCATACAGAAAGCGTAGTAGAGAAGATTAAACGGAGCGGGTAGGATAGGTTTTTTGCTAAATTCACTAACGATCAAGAAACGTTGATAACGCCATAAGTCATGAGATTTTTCTTGTACGTTCTGAATGGTCACACTAGGACAAAAGATTTTAAAAAGCTCCTGAATCATTTCGTTGGTACTTACTTGAAAAGAGCAATGAGAACATTTAAAAGCAATATATTGGCAATAGCCACAAATATAATCGCCAGAATAAAAGCAATATTCGAATACGAATCAGTTCCACCTTTTACACAATGAAAACCTCGAATACAAATGAGAAAAGACAATGCTACAACGAACCGATTGGATCGACTTGGCCAAAGACTTTCCAAACACCATACTGTGCAATATCTCGAAGTAATTGCCATGTCCATGTATTCTGTTTGTCGACAGAAATTGTAATATTTAGTAGTTTTCCATCGTCATTGTAGATCCAGTTAATCTGACCCGCAGAAGACAGCAACGACCATGATGTGATGGAAAAACCGCACAGGAATACAAGAATGAAACAGAGAAAGAACGAAAGATCGCGCATCTATTTAGGGAAAAAATACAAACGAGAAAAGAAAATTGTCAAACGAACCGTGTTGAAAATCATTAATAATTTCGGTCCAAGACGTTCGAATGCCGAAAATAGATAAAGAGTTCGAACAAACCAAAGAATTAAATCCAAACACAAAAATATCCTAATACACAAAACGAACAAATCGATTCCTACTCAATATTTACCCTACTTCGATATCATAAAGAATGTTTCATGTAAGATGAATCGCGTTACAAATGCGATTAAGTACAAAATAATTGCCGACACATCGATTAAATTCCATACACTCGAGATATATTCATAGAAATTCGAATGACTAAACTGAAAACCAAACATACGAGATTACCCTTCGAAAGGCAATCGTTTATCTTACTTGATAAACTTCTTCTCCGATTAAACTCCAGGTGCAAATATGTAGAGCGATTTCAGTTATCGGTATCGGTAAAATTTTCATATAAAGATCCTTATTCGAATGCATATTCAATGGTAAATAATCGATGAGAAGAACATAGCTGAATAGGCCAAGAAAAAGAGCAAAGAATATCTTTGGAAGAAAAAGTGAATCAGCGAGGAGGAAATGAAGAAGAGCACTGATAACATACGACATTGTAGAAAAAACGAACAATCGGCGCTTGATAGAAATAGACGATTCTTTTCGACCATCGAATTGGATTTCGTGTATTAATTTGATCAAATCTGAAATGGAAGTTCAATGGAGGATTCGTAACTTCAAAAAATCGATCTACTTAGGTAATGCCGGCATCATTTCGTATATCTGAGGTTTGAGTTCATTCCGAATCTGTTGACGTTTTCTTACATATGGTAAAAACACCGAAAATAACGGAAGCAATGGAAGAAAGAATGTGCAAAGTAAAATCTAAACGAAAAAGATTCGTTTCCGATAACGAAAGACGCTACAAAACAAATAACCCTCATGTTGATGGCTCTGCGTTTGTAATTGATATGTCCATACCTAAAATTGAAGATGTGATTGGAGATGAAGCAATTTCGAATGAATACCATGTCTCATCGAGGTATTTTTGAACGCATTCCGATGCAAGAAATGTTTGACAACTAGCTTCTTCAGCTAGTTGAAGAGGCTTAACGTTATCGAAAGCCGCAGCTGGTTGATTCAACAGATCAACAGCGAAATCTTCGTCAGTGTGAAAGCATTGATCAATAATCGCAGTTGCATATTTATCGAATTCACTACAAATCCTCAGCCCTTTCCATCGATCCTGTGATCAAATTTAACTCACGTGGCGTTATCTCTATAGCGTTGTTTCTTTGCCGTATGAAGTGGCATCGTCAATGCATATCGATAAATTGTAGCAGCGAGCAACGGACTTGTTGCTGGATTCTACAAGGCATATGTCAAAGATTGAAATATTGAGAAATATCGTACCCAAGTTTTCGAACAGAGATACTTTGCGAGTTCGAATCGATCGACGAAAATGGCCCAGAGAAAAAACTCTCGTGTAGCATTTTGTCCCAATGGTTGATTTTTATTCGATGAGATTCGATAAAGCTATAAGCACTAGATTGAAAACAGATTTCCAGTAGCAAAAAGAACACACTTACTTCAGTTGCCTGAGGAAAGTAACATGCATAGTATTCTTCTCTTGTGGGAATATCTCCTTTAATTTTGTCATCAATCGGCAACCCGGAATCAACCTATAGATGCAAAGTGATACGAAAAAACGGTGCCGATCGAAAGACATACTTCAGCTGATGCATATAATTCTTCGAGATGCTGTACAGTTAATTTTCGTAGTGATGTGCCATAATTCATTAGTAATATAACAAAATCAACATAGTTTCGATGGAGAGCTTCGATGAGTACTTCGTAAAGATCATTTTCCTTCGAGAACAATTAATATGAATATCGATAAAACAACTTCGAAAGCCTTACTGTCCATCGGGATATCGTTGCGTCAGTAAGAATATGTTTTTTCGCATAGTCAAACTTTTGCCATGCCTGTATAAAAAGATTCGATATTCTCTCATTGATATTTCAATCAATCTTACCATCGCTAATTTCATTTGTTCATCCAAATTATCTCCTGAAAATTTCGCACCTACGACAAGCATTCCGGTCAAGATTCATTCTTCGAAACCAAATTACAACAAACCATTGAAAACTGCTTCGAGAATCGCATCTTCCAGCTGTCCATGATGTCGCGGATTTTCGAATTCGAATATCACAACGAGTTGCTTTTGTTGGTATAATACTTGGCAAAGATCCTCTTTGATCTCATCAACCCAAGAGTTCTCCTCGGATCGTGCTGCTTCTAATCTAAACAAAGAGACAAGTGCAGAACGATCCCAGCACATCGGAGACTTTACATTGCATTTAATTCAGATTTTTGTTTGTTGCCAGTTTCTTTCTCGGAAAAAAATAAATGTAAATTTGCGACAAGGTCTGCCGCTCGACCCGTTCCCTACCAGAATTAAAAAAAAGAATGATCAGAAATGCAAATATGACTTGTCAATCCTACTTTGACAACAACTAGCGGTGTATTTGATTTCAATGCTTGACAAATCGTACGAACTGAATACGGACCACCTTCAACTAGTATCATAACAATAGGAACCAAGGTCTTTCCTGCAATATCGGTCGTATTGATTTCACGGGAATATTTTTCGATTCGGGCACGCTGTAAAAGTGCTGTATCATTGATGGATGATTTGCCTTCAAATAGTAGAAAATGAGTATGATTAGGTTCTAGATCGCATCGTTTGTCTTCCGGTTGTTTAACTGCATATGTACGAATATAGCTTTCATCTACTGCATCCTATCAAAATCATCGGTCAATTCAAATCTTTTCATCTTTCATCTTACCAGTACCGTTGATTCAATTTGCAAACGACTATGCTGACGAAATTTCGCTGGTTGATCCAGCAGACTTGTATTTGTATTTACAGATGAATCGACCACTGGTCGTACTAGTTGGTCGTTTCCAGCTGTATATTTCCAAGTGCCGATCCCGATACATGGTACATCGAGACCGTTTCTCCGATTTTTATATCGATAGTTATTGAGAGCTTCTCCGACTCCTTTAACAACACCTGCATTGGTACCAGCGGTGATTATCCATGCATCTAAAAACAACAGTATCGCGAGATTTTTTGAGGAAATATTTCAAGTGAATTACCTGTTGTAGCAGCTGCGGCGACTAAACCACGTTGAAATGTTTTTCGAAGATGAGCAGGCATGTGACATCGTTTTCCTCCACCTGTCACTGATATAATTAAATTTGGTGTTGGTAATTGCCAAGCATCTTTCATGAATTGAACCACGGTTGTCGCATCGGTTTGAAGAGCTAATCGAATGTATTGAGACAAACGTGTCGTTGAATCAATATCAGATCTTCCGAATTTTATATATCCAAATTGATTTGTCACATCACTGTCGAAGAACAATGAACTAATTTCATTATTTTTCTCATGTAAATTGTTTTCTTACGAGCTATTATCAGATTGATGAATATTCAATTGACGAATTACCTAGATTAAAACAAATAGATTTTTGAATAATATTATTGATTCTATACCTCTTGTATACGAGCCATTTTCTCATAAACGTCTGTCGCCATTGCGATTGATTCTTCGGTAAAATACTTGTCGTGGCTCATTAGTAAACATTTTACTCCATTGCTGATGCAGAAGAAAAGCAACGGGCAAAAATTTGACTGAAAAGAAAAGAAAAAGAAAAGAACTGGCAGCATGCCGCACACTGAACAGAAAAGAAAAATATCATTCTTTTACTTTGATACTATATAAAAATGTAACATCTGGCTGTTTCTTAGCCAAGTGTTGAATTGTGGTCAAAGAAAAGGAAAGGAGAGGAAAGAAAAGGAAAGTGAAAGAGATTCTTTCAGTTGTACGGCATCGACTTAACGTATAGCTGTAAAAAAGTAAAGACAACAAGGATGTTCGGAGAAGACAAGGACGGGAATAAGAAGATCAAACAGTTCCATCAGTTCTCAATGTTAATTAAAAAAACATTTCTCTTGTTCTGTCGATGTCCTACGTATTTTTTTGGCCTTTTGAGAACCTCTTGGCAAGACGCATATCCGTGAGCACACATTCGCAAACACAATTTCTTTTTAAATTTCTGGTGGGCTTAATCTAATGATTAGCATACGGCTCAGCCAGTCTTTACTGCTTTCGGTAAATAAAGAAGAGGTGAAAGTATGGGTGTATATTAACTGAACGCATCAAAGTCAGTTTGATCAAATTTTAAAGAAATGATGCAGCTATCGGTTGGAAATAGCACCATTGGATGGAGTTCTACAGTTTTATTCCAAAATCACATACTTCTAGGAATTGCGTTGCTAGGTACATTTCTTCATTCGCTGTTGTGGTTTCAGCTGTTCTTTCGTAGAATTCCACTTGATCTTAGCCTTATCTTCCCAGCCTGTTATATTTCTACCGATATATTTATCCTATCCTCATACTTTGTTCAATATGCTATTCGTAGTACAGCAACAACACCAACATGGCGTGCTTCTTGCTATTTCGAAGCATACTTTGCATTTTATTTCAATGTTCTTGAATCGTTCTATCTAACAGTGCTGCACATGTGTCGTTATTTACAAATTGTTCGAAATAAAAACATCTATATGGATCATCGGTATCTTGTTCTGCTCATGTATATAACAGTTCCGACGTTGGTTCTCATCAATATGATCATTCAACATGAAATTGCATGGTCTATTGTCATCGAAAAACCAGGATCAAGTTGTTCATTGGTTTACACTTCTCTATCGATTCGTGTTTGGAATGTCGTCGTTTTCTTTTGCTTACCAATTATCCTTAGTTTTACGATGTCGATTCGAAGTTTATTCTATGTCAAACAAACGTGCTCTCAACAAATGATGATACGTCGAAATCATCATCGCCGTTTAGTCTATCGCTTTCTCATCTTCTTTACAATATGGTTCATTCTTTGGACGCCATCTGTCTTGTTGACTTTTCTTGATATTCATACTGTTGGTAATCAGATCAGATTTCTTTTCGCTGCAGCAAATGGATTAGAAGCAAGTATTGATGGAGTTTTAGTTATCATGTTAGACACACGTTTTCAAATGGCCTGGCAAAAATCTTATGACGCCATTCTTCAACGGCTAGGTTGGCAGAAAACAAACAAAGTAAAACCGGCGATTCAAGCAACACCTATTATGCACGATAACACCCGCTCAACGAAGAACAATATGCCTGTCACCCATTAGTCTATATCAGAAGAACAACTATGACCTATTGACCGAAATAAATGTAGAGGAAAGTCGTTTGTTTTAGGGCAACATTAGTTTTAACAAAAATATGTCAAAGGTAGTAAAATTGCGTTCTTTTCAACAATATTGACATGACTTAATTTAATTTTTTCAATTAAATACAGTTGGATGCTAGACCCAGCACGACGGTGTTCTCGAACAAATTAATTTTATCGTGAAACATGAAGAAATACTTTTGTTCTAATTCAATATAAGTCACTTCCAATTAGCAGAGAAGCCTTTGTCTTCGTCAAACATTTCCCATAATCAATACAATAAAATTCTTCTGCAAAGATGAGAACAAATACGATGGAAAAGCATGTGTTTCTCTATGTGACCATCTGACGTTTGTGAATGTCATCAGAGGAAATCAAATAATATTCGATGCAAGCAAAGCCAATGAAAGAAGCAGTGACGTAGCCGTAGTCATAAGTTGTGAACACTCGACATTTGCAAAGAATTCATGCATATTGTGAGACATCGGATTCAATCCATTGAGAAGATCAGAAATGAGCTTTAGCGTATCGAAAATAGTCGACACTAATCAGAGAATGGCATAACAGTTATTCCAAAGAGAAGCGAAGGAATTGGAGCGTAACGATTCAATCTTCGGCTGAGTGATACTGTCGGCATATTTAACTATACGATCTGATTTGTGAGTGACATTAGAGTAACATGAAAAGGAAAATAGGAGGTGAGATTAAAATACCAATTACCATGAGGCGAAATGGAAGAATACTTTTTTGGTCGATTAACAAAGCAACCCGTGATATTTGAAAGTTCTTATCAATCTTACTTGAGAGTTAACGTGAGTACAAGAAAGAGAGAAATTAAATGGGCACTGATTTTGAATGGTTTCATGTGGCTCAGGAAAGAATGACCCTCAATTTCTTTCTTTCTTTCTTTCTATCAATAGTAGTTTTACACTGGAAATTTTGATCAATATAATTCAGCACTGTTCACAGAATAAGGATTCTCTCCATACCAGTCGCTAATACTTTTCTATTCGGCAACATCGATCCCGTATGTTGACAACGTGCAACACCCATCATCCATTCTACACAAAATAGAAAAAAGACGTAACTTCTTGCTCTTCGAAAACTTTTACATAGAGATTGAAAAGTGAGTTTCGTTGATTTCAATGACTATGAATAAAAATCAGATTTGATTTGCTACAACTCATAACTTCTAGAATGGATAATTAAATCAAACTTTTTCGATTAGATGATTATGTTTGATTGGTAGGAAGTGGTTTTCATAGATATGAACATAGTTTATACGATTGTATTCGATCATTTCCACAATCTGCAACGAATAAAGTCAGATTAGTTTCATCACGAAAAGTTCCTCGAGAAGTGTGAATCGTAGTGGATGTCATAATCCAGCAGTTCATATTCCTGCAATCAGTTGATGTTGACTAGATGATGAACAATAAAGAATTTGAGCTTTGCTTGTAAAAATGTCCAAACATTGTTGACAGATATTCATTCGTGGAATCGAATCAAGATTTGTTCAATTTGCTTTTATACTTTCATTTGGCGAATAAAATGTATCAACAGAAATCTCATCGTTTGTTGTCACAATAAACTTAATGAACTCGATAGATTAACAGAAATGTGTTTGATTAAAGTCGAGAGAGTCTATCTGATACTCGTGTCAGAATGAATGAAATGATGAAGAAACGAAATTGATTATTACACCACATCAAAAGTGATCAGCTTTGATGTTAAACTCTTGTTTGCTCATTTGAAAAACATGGTTATGTAGGAACTTGAACAACAAAGATTGAATTTAGAATTTTTATCGAAGACCGTTTTGAAAATAAGTAAATAAAAGTTTCTTGTTTGCAAAAAATGCTCAATAAATACAGGAAAATGGTTGACGACAATGCCTGAGTTCCTTGCAACATTTCTTTGACACATTTACAAACAAAATGGATTTTATAAAGAAAATTCTCAAACATTATTAATACCAATTTATGTGTGAAACATATCACCCAGATCGTGATTTATCGGTTAATCAGTAGAGAAAACGTTATTAATGAGCAAGGCGAACAACACAACTCTTCAGATAACATCATCCATGTATTTGCGTGCGATAGAGAGTCTTTCAATTAACTTTCGCAATTGTCATGAAACGAACGTTATTCATCGTGACAGTAAATATCTTTGCATTTATGATACTAAACGACACTTTTACACAGGAAAAGAACAAAGAAAAAACACCATGTGGGTTGTGCTTGTGCAAAGAAACGCTGTCATTTAGTAGAAGAAATCAGATTTCAGTCGACTGTTTTTTTGAATTCAATTTAGTTGAAACATGAGTTCTTCTCATCGCCTTAAAGGTCTTTTATCGATTACAGTTTTAAAAGCAAATAATCTTATCAAAGGCGACTGGCTTGGTGAAAACGACTGTTATGCTGTTCTCTCTCTCGAACCACTGCCGACTGAATCCAAAGGAAGATCAAGAAACAAAGATCGACAAAGCGAAGTATCTCAACTAACGCAGATTCATGATGGATCGAATCCAATCTTCAACGAAAAACTCGTCTTTCCCGTTGCGGATAAACTGGACACATTGTATATTCAATTATGGGACTCCGATCCTGGTAAAGACGATCTTTTAGGACAAGGAACATTGAGTTTACTCGACGATGACCAGGGAGGTCAATTCGACACCAATGTGAAGAAAGAATGGCTTTACGTTACAACAGTTTCATTGACGACGGAGAAAGGAAAGGCCGGTGGAACTGTTGATCTCGTCCTTCATTACATTCCCGAAACAGTCGCTGCTTACATGGGAAGAAAATTCGATTCTGCTCAAGCCGATTTGAAGAAGAAATTAACGCAGAAAATTGTTTCGAAAGTGACAGACGCAGCATCTGATAAAATATTTGGTGATTAACATTTCGAAAGGATACATAGAACAATCACTTTTTTTGTGTTTTATATTTCACCCACATGAAAATCTGAATCATTAAATATATTTGTTAAAGAACAAAACACGTGCGCATGCTTCGAGTGCTCATATTATTCACCTATGCAAAGAAAACCGATCATTTATATCTTGAAAACAAATCTCACTCGATTACTCTTTCACGTTGAGAAAGTGATAACGACATGAGTTCTGAACGACTTAAAGGTCTCCTATCAATTACAGTTTTGAAAGCAAGTAATCTCATCAAAGGCGATTGGCTTGGTGAAAACGACTGTTATGCTGTTGTCTCTCTCGAACCACTCTCATTCGAATCGAAGGAAAAATCCAGAAATAAAGATCATCAAACGGAAACTCATCAACTGACCCAAATTCATGATGGATCGAACCCAATCTTCAATGAAAAACTCATTTTTCCCGTTGCGGATAAACTGGACACATTATATATTCAATTATGGGATTCCGATCCGGATAAAGACGACCTGTTGGGACAGGGATCATTAAGTTTACTTGATGATGAACAAGGCGGTCAATTTGATACAAATACCAATAAGCAATGGCTTCATACAAGTAGTATTTCATTGACGACGGAGAAAGGAAAGGCCGGTGGATCTGTTGATCTTGTCCTTCATTACATTCCTGAAACCATCGCTGCTTACATGGAAAAGAAATTCGATGCTGCTCAAGCAGAAATGAAGAAAAAACTAACGCAAAAAATTGTGTCGAAAGTGACGGACGCTGCATCGGATAAAATGTTTGGTTACATGGGAATTGGAGAATAGAAACTAAGAAAATAACTTGATTGACTTCTCCTTTTCTTTAGTTGAAATAAAATTGATGTTCGAAGGAATACTTGTAATATCATGCGGTTTTGATTATGTGTGAAGGTGAAAAATAAGAGTTCAGATTTTTGTTTTTTTCGATAATTTCAATATTCATTGTTTACTCAGATAGAAAATAATTAATAAGAAAGACATTCTCTTGATAGAATAACAATGAGAGAAACCTATTGGGTCACTTTCTCTTTACATTTTTGTCCTCGATAATTCAGCCTAAAAACAGAAATGCTAATATAAAATGAAAGTATTCTTCATCTCGAAACAGAATCATGATAAGCACCAATCTCCTATCCCACACCCAATCATCTCATCCATGGCGAGCAAATCCAAATCAAATTCGACGAATTTCTGAATATCCTACAGTCCACCAATACAATTATGAACGTCCTCCACTGCCTAAAAGATATCCTCAATGCATTTCACATCGTCGATCATCACCATGGACTCCGAGAGTGGATTATTTGCAAAATTCATCGGTAACTCATGTTATAATTCGGAATTTATAAGTATATCTGTCTGTTATCGATTCTTTAGTTGACACAATTTGCTTCATCAACATCGCGAGATAGCTTCGGTTCCTTTTTCAAACCTAAACATGCTTCAAACAACGAAAATAAGCAACGAGAAAAATTCAATCTGCGTCGTGCTATTCTACTCTTATCCTGTTGTCTCGGAGTTCTTCTTCTTCTCGGGTTATTACTTGCTTTACTCCTTGGACTTCTTCAAAGTATGTATTTCAACTAAATTTCTCATCTATAAATTCTCCATACGAGATAATTTACATATAGAGAATCAACCTTCGACAACAACCGTTACAACACACAGTAAATTACATACTGGACGATGACATGACTGTTTGTTGTTGTTGTTTTTCTTTAATTAGCAATAACAACAACAGTAACAACTTCTTCTACTACCTCATCACTAGCAACAACGAGTGAGAATTAACGCTTTGTTCCTTCTAGTTTATGATTCTTTTCAAATAGCTACAACGGACACAAGCACCACGACGGAAACGAGTAGGGAAAATAAGCTGAAAATGTTCGAAAGTGCTCTTTTTCTTTAATTTCAGCTACAGTAACGACAAGTGAGCGATTCTTTTATTCTACTCGTTCTCAATTTCATCAGCCATTCAATAAATAAAGGTACAACAACTTCTACACAGAGTACAACAAGCAGTAAGTTCTATTCTATCTTATTAATATTCTTATTCAATAATCGAACACCTGTTCGTCTTCAGCGACAAGCACTTCAAGTGAGTTCGCCTTTCGATTGAATAATTTATCTCAATATAGTAATTCGTCAAGGTACAACAACTGCAACCACATCTTCGACAACAGGTAAATCCTATCGACTTCTCTGTACTTATAATTATCATTTTGTTTCTTTTAAGTTACAACAACGACTGGTGAGTGATCATCCTTGTTTCCTTGCAAACAGATTATTGAATCGAGTTTTACTTGATAAATATCAGCATTCAATTGTGCTTCAACAATCACTTCGACTTTGGGCTCGTATTCAAAAACTGATTGTCCAGATGGCCGTTGGCATACATTTTCCAAAAGTTTTGCTTCATCATACACCGGCCTACGCACACTCGTTTTTGCCTTCACCAATATTAAACATGCAGTTATGTATCTAACGAATATCAAAGTGTACGATGCTAGTAATACTCAACTGATAAGCAATGGAGATTTTTCTTCCTCGTCTGGTGTTCTACCAACAAATTGGCTCAAATGTTCAGACAATGGACAAGTAGATTCGACATGCACTCGTAACACATCCATTTCATGTTATACGATTTCGGCAGCTGGTGGGACGATATCACAATCATTTGCAGTTGTATCCGGTGCGAATTATACGATTAGTTTTGATCTTTATCATGATGCTCCAAGTGGTAATAGTGATCAAATCAATTTAGATATTTCTGCTGTCTGAATCAGATTTTATTTGAATAGAAAGCAAAAAAAAACGACCAATCTTTTCAGTATCCTTAACTAAAATTTACCAACTGCTGAACAGCGTTAGCAATTGCGTTATAAAGTTGAGTGTTTGAACCAGTATATTGTTGAATTTGTGCTAATAGTTGACTTCCAGCACTGTTGGCATCAAGTTGACCACTGATGACCTGTTGAGCAAGGCTAAGAACTGAGTTTTCAAGGGATTTCAATTGAGCAGGTGAAAAAGCAGCGATAGCTTGATTAGCCAAAGCGGCTAATGAAGCGGCTATGTTCTAAAGAGATTAAAATAGTGAGTATCAGAGAGTATTGAAATCATTGATCTTACGGCGTATTGTGGATGCTGAACAACCATGGATTCTAAATCACTAATTTGTAAGTTTCGACTCAAAGCTGGACGAGTTAAACCGAAGCCAACAATATTAAGTAATTGTTGAACAATGCTGGCAACCGAGTTGAAAAGTTGGGTGTTTGAACCGAAATATTGTTGAAGTTCTCCCAATAATTGATTAGCAGCGGCATTGGCATCGACGTTACCATTGAGAACATTTTGAGCAAGATTCAAGACTGTGCCGCCAATTGATTGCAATTGAGATTGCGATAAAGCAGAGCTGACTTGATCAGCGATGTTAGTAATTTGATTGATTAAACTCTAAGATGAATAACATTATTCGATCAGCGATGAAGTTTCTCCTAAGCTTACGGAAAGTTGTGGAAATTGACTGAGGAGACCTTGTAAATCACTTGGTTTAAATTGATTGGCTAACGTTAGAAGATCAGCCGATGATGGAAAAGCAATACGAGTTTGACCGTTGAAGTTACCCGTAAGCGTTTGAGCAATACTGACGACTTGTTGAAGAAATGATTGAATGTTGTCGAATAATTGAGAATTTGAACCAAGATATGCTTGAACGGCTCCTAATAATTGACTAGCAGCAGCATCAACACTAAGTCTACCATGAAGAACTTTATCAGCAAGGTCACTAACTAAATTTCCGAGTGAGTTTAATTGATCTTCAGAGAAAGCAGTGATAGCTTGGCTTGCAAGGCTGGTAGCTTGGTTGATCAAACCCTAAATTAAACAGTAAATAAAAAATATCGCCTCATCCGTCACTAAACTTACAGCATATTGCGGATATTGAGCAGCGAGAGCTTGTAGATCGCTGATATTGTTGAAAAGCGGTTTGCTTTGGACGAAAGCAACGACGATCAGGAGAAAAGCGAATCCGAACGAAAGACGCATTTTGAAAGTTGATTGAAAAAGGTATGAAAATTGTGCTTTGTTTTATACTATTGTTTAAAATCAAAGAGATTAAACGTGTCACACGTGATGGTTTCGAATTAAATCCTGTTTTAACTCCTTTGAATAGAATACGAAATTGAAAAAAAAACAACAAAATATATAGGTATTAAGTTTTAATTGAGAATCTTGTCAAGGACAAATTGGAGGCCGCCTCGTATTACATCGGGATTGATACGTATCTTGTCGTGTTAGTTCTAGTTATGTAAGAATGAAGGCAGTATTTCTTTAGATAATCAATTTTGCAATATTTACTCGGGTATGTCTCATTTAATCCTCGAAAAGTATTCAAACTTGCCTACGACATTTCGCATGATTCACGTTTTCGTTATCAAAAGGAAATAGGGCGAGTGATATGTTTCAAAGAACGAAATTATAGAGTCGATATTTAACAGTATTTTCTGCACAACTTCGGCAGATAAGGAAACAAACATTGCTGATATGATATTCATTAGCAGCATCTGCTGCATACTTGATATCAGTGAACAAGTTCTAATTAATCGTGCAGATCTAGCCGTATATGAGATCTCGTTTAGGTACGTAACTATCAATATAAATTAATATACTTGAAGAGGAAAGTGTGCCGACATGATGAATAGAACGATCGGTCAGTGTCCGATGATCAGACAACATTCAGGTCCAGACCGATAGTAGCATTTCATCGTCGCATCTCTTTCTACTGTATGCGTCTTCTCTGGTATATAAGCGTGTGCTTTTTCAGCTTCTCATTGTTGATCAATAATAGGTATATACTGCAGTAGTAACGAAAGATCTTCATCGATATTTCGTTACAGGTAGCAATTGAATTGGCTCACATTTTCTCTTGTTAGTATTGAGTATCATATTTCCCTGCTTTCTGTAGAATGTAAAAATATTTACAAGAGATTTATGGTTTACCAGATGGAATATGCGCATAACCAATACAGTTCTCTCGAATTACAGAGCTGAGTTGATGGATTTGAAGCTTGTTCAAGCTCTTGATGTTATAAAAAGAAACATTGCTAATGCGATAGTAACTTCTGACGACAGTTATGATCAAGTAAAGTGTTGGAAAGCTAGATTTTGATCATATCTCATTTTATCATGGACACAGACTGTCGAGTGCACTATACTATTTCACGATGTTGTTTAATACGTCTAAACGAGCAATATTATAACCTTCTAACTTACGCTCAACGATGGATTTGCAAGTGTCTTATTTTACATTCCATTAAATCGTGCCCGATTGTATCTATTTTGTTGTTATTATTAAGTCAGTTACTAGCTGTTTAAGCTACTACCACCTCTATGGTTCATATAGTTCAGTGGTCATCAGATTAGCAGAACCACTCCATCCACTGGATACTAATACTTGGCCGTTGCTTAACAACGATGCTGTAGGTCCTTGGCGCTTATAATTCATACTGTAAGTCGTAGTCCACATTTCTGTCTTCGGATCATACAATTCAGCAGTCTCTTGAGCACCGCTATTACTATATCCACCAGCCAACAACACTTTGCCGGTTTTTAACAGTACAGCTACATGATCGTATCGTGTATAATGCATATTACTAGTTAATGACCATGTATTTGTCACAGGGTCATAGATTTCGGCACTATTTAGATAGACACCATTTTCTCTTTCTCCACCAGTTACTAATACTTTTCCGTCATTGAGTACGGTTATTGTATGACTATGTCGTGGATAGTGCATGCTCGACATTGTTGTCCATGAATTCGTCATTGGATCGTACAGTTCTGTACTACTTAAGATAGTACTACCATCATACCCACCAACAACTAAAACTTTTCCATCTATAACTACCGCTTTGTGACCTTGTCGAGCATAGTTCATGGAGGACGTTAACACCCATGCCCCCGTTGACGAATCATATACTTCAGAACTATTATAATAAATATTTCTCATGTGTCCACCAGTAACCAACACATTTCCATTAGTTAATAGTGATGCTGTATGCCATTGTCGAAAAGAGTTCATATTGACGGTGTTCGTCCACATTTTTCTCGAAGGATCATATAACTCAGCACTATTTATATTAAAACCACCAGCAACTAACACTAATCCACTCATCAATACGGTCGATGTATGGCCCTGTCGTGCAACATTCATAGGAGCAGTTAATGTCCAAGTTCCCAGCAATGGATTATATAATTCAGCAGTATTTAGAAAACCATCGTTGTATCCACCCGTAACCAATACGTCCTCATTCTTCAATAATGATGCTGTATGCGACACTCGTGCATGGTTTAGATTACCAGTATTAAACCATCCTAAAAGAAAAAGAAAGAAACATGAATATCTTATCTTCGCAAAGGATGTACATTATAAAACTTGAAATGTCAGAACATACCTGGTTGTGAGTCGATGTTTGTAAATGATGATGAGACTATCTCCAATGTTGCTGTTGCCGAGTCAGTTGTAAATGCTGCTATGACTGCCGATACTGTATCAGCACGTGATGTTGCTATTGCGGTTCTCGTTGTAGATGTACTTGATGAAATAGATGTTTGTTCTGAAGTCAAAACTTTTGTTGTTATTGATGTTGACAACGACGATAATTGTGTTATGCTACGAGTTGATGAAATAATTCCTATTTCTGGTTGAACGAAAATAACAAAATGTAATACGAGTCCAATGATAAGACCACAGATAATTAAAATCATCAATAAGATGATTACGATTATGATTGTGATACGACGCCGACGCGACCATTTTCGTGGTTGATTCTCCTTAATCGCTTGTTCACTGAATACTTGGTTCTTAGACATATTCTACTTCGGAAGAAATTTGAACGTAGAAAACACAACGAATCGTTGTACGAAAAATAATGAATATCGATTTTCTAACACAATAAAAATATGTAGGTTATTCAGCGTTTAATGATATGCTGAGATATCATTTGAAGAACAATCTTATCATAATAAGCTTTCGAATAAATGCATAATTCCTATCAATCATAATCTGCTGGACTAATAAATACTTGATAAGAACTATGTGTACAGAAGTATCGATTTTAATCGTCGGCATGAATGTTTACGTTCTTGAAACCACCTGCAATACACTTAGATTGTAATAGTGAATCCGAAGGATACAAAACGGAGTGAGAGGCCGATATGAATCTTGTTCTTTTACTCATCATCCAATTAGATATGTGAACCAAATTCTGATGAGAGCAGAGGAATTAGAAAATTATGATATTGTCGTAACATTGTATTGAATAGAAATGCACTACACACAGTACAAAGAAACGTTCTCTAGATATCATTGTTCGGTTTATTTAAGTCGACTCAATTCGTGTAAAACTGACTGACTCACGTTTCCTATTATCATCTATTGATTATTTCGCAAATCAAACAGTAAATGAGTATTCTGTTATATAGTCCCCTTTATCAATTAACTCATTTGTATTGCATGAAATAAATATGAGAAAAAAACAACTTTTATTGTTAAGGAAATGTCTTCGATTTTCTAATTTACAACGACTCGCTAAACAAGACGGGCTGAATTTGGTGATGGTACTCCCAAATCATCAAATATAGTCATAAAACCGCTCGTAGGCATTAACCAATCGGAAGGAATGTAATAGTAACTTTGTGTTGGCTCCGAGTATTTTATTTAGTTCTGTGTACACCAATCTGTTTGCGATCGACAAACAGCTTCAATTAATCAGTAAATACCAATATCATTTCCGTTAATAAATACATGTCCACGATTTAAACCTTGAGCAGTCAGTGAAATCGCATTTATATTTGTATCTTGCTTCATCAGATGATCAAGGTCAAATCGTTCTTGAAACCATGTGAGGGTTTTCTTGATACTTTTCGTCCAGTCATTATTTTAACTGACTCTTGTCGATTCTTGTTCCGTACAAGCTTGCAATTCTTCGCCCACTAAGCCATTTTGATGTTGCCAGAAGTTGGCCACGATTCTATTATCAAATAACAATTGACCATCGAGCCCGAGTGAAACTGAAAGAATTTCGAATAGATAGTGCTGATTTGGTTTAAAACTTGACAGATCGAATGTGATTGTAGGTTCGAGATTACCTAATTCTTCATCGTGATCATCAAATTCACCTAGATATTTTCCACCTAAGAAGAATAATAGTGCATTTCCTTTCCGTGTCTGAATTCGAAGTGATATATTGGGCAATGGTTGTGTCAACGTGACATTACAACAGTAGTATAAATGAAAAGCGTTTCGCCATTTGTCACTGTCAATTGCTCAACAAGAGTCGGAGATATTACCATTGATAGAAACAATAATTGTATTGCTGGCGTTGACATCACTGAAATTAGCACTATCATATGATAAGATCATATTTTCATCATACGCACGTACGGATTGGCTTGACATTGTAATCGTTTGATTTTTAAAGAGAGTCTTAAGTGGAACATGGACCTGGTGAATAACAAAATGAGTAGAAGGAAAATATGAATACGCAAATTGTTGTATACCATGAATACATTTAGTTTCATCCCAATACGGTAATACTGTACGATTAACATATTGACTCCACAGAGCTTCCGAGCGATCAGAAATTAGATGTTGAAGACGACTCAATTGCGTATATTTTGGTTCATTTACAGTATACCATCTAAATGAAGGCACACATCATCTGCGTACATTGTTGCGATACCTGAACCCACTGTATGTCCGTAATTATTTCCACCATGTCACATATAATAAGCGTAATAAATACTGCCACCGGCAAACCATTTGACAACAGAATAAGCAGTATCAGATGCAGTACGTATCGACATCGATTTGCCTTATAATTGACGATGACTGTCAATCCAATCGTCGTCCTGACAGTTGCATGAATTGCATGTTTCAATTGTTAGATTAGCCGAGTAACCGTTGTACATTATCCAAAGTAGTTTGGCAGATGAAAGTTCAACATGAATGTGCGCACCAGATCTTTCCATGGTTCATTGATAGAACACATTAATAGCTTTGGTATTTGATTGATTCATGTTGGTAATCCACCGTAATTTCATTCGCCGCATACATAAGGGCCAACACGCAGATTGACAAAGAAGCCAGCATTCATCGCTTCTTCCCAAAAACGACTTAGATTAGCACCTGATGTAAGGATCGTTCGAACGCCGTTTGATAATGACTGTTCAATCGTCATAAGCAACTGGATTTGTATTCACGTCAACTAGACCGATGAATTTGTTACATATTCTCTTTTAAATGGATATACATTTGAACAGAACACGGCTTTTTACAGAACGATGGCGTTCTTATCTTTGCGCATCACTTCTTTATACTTCCCATTTACAGGACACGAAAGCAATATCGTGACTTTGATCAGTGTTTGAGAATGTTCACTAGACCTGTCAATCCTTTGTTATCGTTCATTTTTTAAACGTAATAAGGACTGTGAGAATGTCAATCGCTATTTTATCGATGATTGACAAAGTTGAAACAGATCATCAGAATGTAGGGAAATGTTAAAAGTCAAGCAATGTGTTTTTTTAAGCAGAATCATCTGCCACAGATGCGTTCTTAAGGTCTACGTAACGTAAAAGTAACAGAAAGTGATAACATCCGTGTTGTATCACACCACTACTTAAAAAATATTTTGAGTACTTTTCACTTTCTCCACACACGTATTTCATTCTGGATCTGGTATTTTTCATTGCTGTTTTGAATCACCGAGTACTTTTGAGGTCAGATTCCATCTATTTTGAATGATGCGTGCCAAACGAATGTTTCTTTTCCATCCTTAATGACTTAATTTATCTATAAATTTCCGGTAGGTTAGTTTCTTTCTCTTGTTTGCCTGATATCTTTAATAGATGAATTCATATCTTGATTTTATTTAATGAACAAGATGTAGAATTGTTTTTTCATCTCAGTAAAATGTCACTGTTATACATCAACCAACAAATCACAATCTATCTTGGCACGTTTCTTCTTTTCGCTGGTGTATTCGGAAACACTCAACATTTTTATCTTCACAAGCGTTCGCACATATCGCCAAACAGCTTGTTCCTTCTATTTTCTCGTCAGTTCTATCAACTGTCTTCTATTTTTATGCATCAATCTTACATCTCGAATCACCAGCGTTGGTTTTGGTATAGAATCAACTCAAACATCAATATACTGGTGTAAACTACGAGAATATTTTATACTCATAATGGGCTCATTTACATTTTCATGTTCCTGTTTGTCCTCAATTGATCAGTTTTGTATTACATCGCGACATGCTCGTGTTCGCCGTTTGAGTAACATCAAATTAACTCATAGGATCGTCTGTATTTTAACTGTTATTTGCTTGCTTCATGGAATTCCCGCATTGATGTTCTTCGAAATATCGCCAATCACAAACAAATGTGTTAATGTCAATCAAGGTTTTTCTATTTATATACTTGTATATGCATTCTGTCTGAACAGCATCGGTCCACTTATAATAATGATTGTATTTGGATATTTAACTTATCGTAACGTTCATTCAATACGTATTCCTGTTGATCGACAACTGGTTAAAATGACATTGTGTCAAGTCATACTCATTTTTATGACTGCAGTCCCTTACGCAACTGTTTTAGCCTATAATTTATTAACAGCAACACTGAAAAAAGATTCGAATCGACTAGTAAATGAATATTTTGCCATTTCGTTTCTTGGCCTATGGACTTATTTGTATTATGGGGTAGGTTTGTCTTTCCACTAAACCGTAGTTGATGTTTTCTGCTTAGGGAAGTTTCTATGTGTTTTTTATTTCGTCCAGTCGTTTTCGTCGAACAGTGAAAGAGAAAGTCTTCTTGTGGCAAAACCGAAATCAAATTAATCCGCATGTACAAGCTTCAATACAATGATCTGCACGCATATCATTCTTCTGCTCAATGAACTTTCGTAATTGTATTTGCCTTTAATGCTTCATGGTGCATTTATGCACATCGGATTAATGAGAATAAACTATTGTAATAAATTATAACGAGGATAAACAGCACTGTTAAATCCCAGCAGGATACATGAAAATATGAGTGTGAAATATGACACGTGATAATTGTTGTTCTATCAAGGCATCAGCAGCATTAACTCAACCTCCTTCGGTCTATTTCCTTTCAATTTATGAACTTCCATGTGATAGAAATTGGTCGAAAGAGATAATGATGCTCTAGCAATTAACTATTCTTCAAGATTTTGTAATAGACCACCAACCACTCTTTTCGCGGATTTCGTGCGGAAGTCCGAAACTGACGGGCGTTGAAAATCTACTCAAGAGAAAAACATGATGAACACGACCATTTGCTTCACATTCTTACTCTCACTCACATCCTGTGTTTCGGCTAAACCAAGATCGAATAAGTTATGTGTACATCAATCTGCAATTTGCACACACAAAGAAGTGAATTGACGAAAACAGCGTACAAGATGTGTATTTTCTCATCAGTTTATTGATAATAGTCATGGATAGGAGCAACTTAACGTTCATTATAATCCAACTTGCAAATAATTGCCGACCATTTCTCCTATTTTAGCATAGGCTTTTTGATTTGGTTGAGCCAAGCACTTTGGTCAAAAAGACGCCAAATGCACGGATTACGAGAAAACATTTCATGACCACGAAAAGCACCTGAAACATCAACATATCCAATATTGGCTTTAGCAGCAGCTTCTTTAATCGTTGCCCTTATCAATTCCATCATTCGACGACATTTAACTTCGTTTGGAATTTTTGCGGTTGGAACATGAGCTTGAATGTTTTTGTAGACAGTCGCTTGCTTCGACGGAACCACCTCCATCACTCGACGTTCATAAATCGCCAAAGCCAACTATTAAGTTCTCGTCTAATCAGATGCAGACAATGTGTTTAGCTTAAAAATGAAAAAAAAACATTCAACTTACTTACTGATTGTTGTCGAATGGTCAAGCCATGACATAAGGAGAGCAAGAGAAGAACAGTGGAGGATAATGTCAACATGTTACGAAAACCCTGATGCTGACGATGATGATTAAAATATCGCTTAACAGTGATCTCGTTGTTTTTATACGCGGAATAAAATGAATGGATAAAACGGCAGACGTCGAATAATATTCTAATAACTTGAAGGTGAAGAGGCGTAAACTCATGCTGTTGTACTCGTTCTCACCTTCAGTTGCGGTCGCAAACTAAGTACATATGTCTTAGTGTTTTCATTCTATATCTTCTATGACCAATCGCTTACGTCATAGAGTACACCATGTGTATGCACAAATGATAAACTATATGACAGCATATGAAGTTATGTAACTCATAGATGTTTATTTCAATCGTAATGCATCGAGCAAGAATGTTGCTCGATGTTTATACCGATTCAGTAGTCTTCTATTCATCGCCAGCATTCACTGAGTTTTGAATATCTTTTTTCTTTCTAAAACAATTTGATTTACTATTAATGTCATTGAGACTATCGATAAGCCTTGCAAATGCATATGCCCACGTTACGCAGATCAATGAGAATAATTAGTAATGATCATAGATTTACAAATACAGCAACATGCAATTTTCAAGAACCACTGTCATCAATAGAAAAATTATACATTAGAGAGTTGCCGTTAAATATTATATGACGAGAAGCTTTCGTATGAAAATCATGATTTGTTTTCTATCGTCGACGTTCTCAATGCTGATTATTTTCTTTAAGAATGGCAGTATCCTTGTACCATCACGGATGCTGAACAATAACAACCGTAACTGTCGTCCTCAATGGAAGAATACTATACTCATCGATGGGTGCTTTACAAATGTTCGATTTCTCCACAAATTTGAGATTTATTAGCATGCAACACTTCGGCAGTTTCATGTTAGTGCTGTGTCGAATCACTTTCGTTTTATATTACTCTATTAATTAACGTTTAAAATTCACAACTTCAACCATAACAACATGCAACACAGCTCATTAAACAGGGGTCGTCGCGTTTCCATTCGCTCGCTGAACGTTAGCAGGAGTCGCAGCTACTACTTGTACAGGTCCGATGGTATGTCCTCTTCTCCAAAACAATAAGGCATCTCGACATTTCGTCCGTAATCCAGGTAGTGATGCTGCACATGCAAATGGGGTTAACAGTACTATGTAAAAGCTGAAAAATAACGAGTTAGAAAAAAAATCTGCTCCCACGGTTCGTGATAAGCCAGCTGAATACGCAGCATATAATAACATAGGTGGTAGTTGCAACAGCATGTAAAGAAGAGCGATCGGAAATAGTTGCCATACCATTTTTCTATAATTTCTCCAAATAAATCGCCGATGAACTTGATATTTTTGATGTAACACACGTAGAAAAAGGCCCACACTAAATATAACAGTAACAAACGCAAGCAAAATGTAATGTACCAAGCCGTCATACAATCCGATATTTGGTGAGCTAATAATGCATGAGTAACGACCACATTGTCTAAGTGTATATGACAATGGAAGATTACAAGGTACAAGAAAAAATAGGACAAAATAAAATGTCATCGGGTATAGAATGCATGCTACGATAGGTAGATAATGAAAAATGAGACGTTTTTTTCTTGTCATTAGCATATTGGAATGAAAGATTAGAATATGACGTTCGATCGCTGCCCAAGTAATTAAAATATAGATTGATACGGTCGCTACTGTATCCAAATACACCCAAGCATAACAAAATGTTGACGTCAATAGCGGACTAATATTATTCCGAAAGAAGTATATGTTCCACACAGTTCCGGTAAGTTCTTCTACAAGCACAACAAAGAGAAGAACAATAATCACATGATTATTGAGAGCTGAACGCAATACTCGATTCTTCAATAAGTGGTAGAGAACAAAAATAGTGATCATAATAGAAGGAACCAAAGGTGCTAATAGAATCCAGGAACGAGCGTAAGATGATATAATCATTGCTGATATATTATACCGTAGATCGAATGCTTAATTGAAACAAAAGAGTAGAAGCTTATACGGAATGCTCACCGAAATAATACTCGGCAACTTCAGACGGCCTTTTTTCTGTGCGGGTTGACGAAGCTTTTTATCTTCTCTATCGCTCTAACATCAGTTGAGTAATAAAAAAATTATTACCCTATTAATGTTCCATATATAAACAATTCTTTTGTTGAAAGAACAACCCTCTGCGTGTCAATTCATTTCAATAAAATGATTCGATAAAAACAAAAGGATAATTTACATGCAAGAAAACCTAGATTTTGTAAGTTAATCAAACAAAAGAAAGCGAAATTAGGTGCGAGATCAAAGCACCGCTTTTCATATTACAGAAAAAAACTTGTGTCGATTAAACTTAACATAAGAACACTGCAAATGGAGAAGTTTTCAAAGAAATCTATCTTGTCAATATATATGTCACTAAATAAAAATGAATCTAAAATGATTCATGAAAGTAAGATTTGCTTTCTCTGATGCTGTTATCAGTGTTATTGTTAAATCTTCGTTTTATTTATCTTCTATATGACGTAATCATCACAGTATGGAATTTTTCCAATCGATATCCAGCGGCATCTCGATAGGAAGAAAGAGAATGATTTATGTAACTACATATATATATATATATATGTGATTGTATGCAGTTCTTTATTCGAGAAGAAAACAAAAGAAAAAGATTCTAGCGAATTTTGATCAACTAGTCGAACAAGAAATGTCTTCGAATCGTTTATCGACATTTGGTGAACGTCTACAATCGTTAAGTGATTCATTTTATTCAACAATTCTTCAGGATTCGAAACAGGAAAGTAAATTTCAAGTGAAAAACGCACAACAATTAGAGAATCTGACAAAGACTCATTCGACTGAACAGAATCATGATGATTTTACATTTGATCAATGTTCAATTAGCCATCTGACATCAAACGATGATTTTAGTTTTACATTTCACTCCATTGAGCAGTCAAAATTACAAGGAAACAAATCTCGACAAAAACATCAAGTCAGAGAACTCAACTTGAAAGTTCAAACGGAATCTATTCTATTTATTTTAATTTAGATATCGCGAATAAAACATACGTCAACACCATATTCTACTCATGAAGATCGTTCAATTAAAAAGTCGGAAGACGAAACAGTCGTTGTCGAAGAAACTCATCGTCCATCATCATTATCTTCTCCTTCCAGTCAACCAATAATTATTGGTTATTATCCGGTTGTGACGTATCAACCAGTTTGTGTTCCACCAGCCATTTATTTATCAAAAGAACAGATCCAGTCGCAAATAAATGACTATTCGACGCTAACAAAAGTCACTCCATTAAAGAAGCGTTAATTTCCTTGTTAAATAATAGAAACCTTCTTCTCTTTGTGAATAAATAATAGTAATTATATATAAAGAAGCTGATTTGTCTCGAACAGACGTTCCGATAGGCTCATTGAGTCAAAGACTTTCCCTCGTGTTTCATTTGATGGAAAATACAAATGAATAAAATATTGATTTAATCAGTTCTACTTCAAGCATTATTTGTCTTCTCAGTCATCGTCATAATTCCTGATTACTTCTGAAAGCGGTAGAGGACTAGCTCCTAACTGATCAGCATCCTTGAGAAATGGAGAGAAAACGAGGTTTGATCAAATGCAGTATATGCGTTTTACAGCAGAGAATACAGAAGAGATCCTCGCCATCCAATAACGGTTTGGTGTGATGTTCCTGAGTTTCAACCTAGTCCAGATCATTCTATCTATTCGAGATTCCGTTGCTCTAATTGTTTTTATACATACTATATATTGATTTCACCTCGGATCAATTTTATCCCAGACAATACAAACTATCGGTGTGATCACTCAAACATTTTTTTCTGTGCATTGAAGAGATATATACGTGTCTGATCGATGATAAAACGGATCACGCGTTTGATGTATGTCCACTACTCTTTGCTTAAACAACCTTCTTTTCGTGATTTACATATTTAGCATATGGCAATGGAGAATTGTCAAAAGAGAAGCTAAAAAGTTGTTAGAAGACTCTTGTTTGAAACGTATTGACGTGAACTACGCAAAAGGACGTTTAAGGATGAACCGATGCGTTTCTCATTAGATAAATAATTGAATTCATTGCTATTATTATACTATTTTATCGAGTCCACAGTCATGTTCACCAAATTAACCTTCAAGGCGAGTTACAGAAGACTCAAACTCATTGCACACACTTTCCTACCTTGTCCTTACAGTAGTATATATTATTATTTATCTCTTAGTGAGCGGTCGTTTATGAAATATCATTGCTATTGATATCTAAGTATGGCAAAGCTTCACTCAGTCCAGATGTCCTTTTAGAATATCGTTATTTCAACTGCAGACGTACAAGCTGCAAGATAATATATTTCATTCAACTTGGATCTAGATAGAATTTTTCCCTCGACTGAAAGAAGGGTCATACAAAAAAAAATAGTTTGTCTGTGTCAGGGTCAAAGGTCAAAAAAACATTATTTTCGAAAATGCTCAAAATTTAACAAAATATTGTTTGGAGTTCGTTAAAAGGTTAACCGAGCCTAATTTTTATATGCCAGGGAAAGAATCTCAGGTCTTAAACAGACGTTGGCCGCAGCAATAAATTGACTAATATGATAAGATATTATGGATATGCATATGTACACATTAGATATTTTCTGGTCTGGAGAGAGGGTCATATGACGACAAATACTGTATATGGGGGTGTGCTTGTGTCAGAGTCAAAAGGCAACATTAATAGTGACTTCGCGAATAGAATTCGAAGATCGATGAAGCGAATCGATAACTGTGAGGGATTGTGAAATTGACCAATCAGGTATCGCGGTTTTGAAAGCTGACAAATTGAATATCTAGCATGAATGAATCAGGAAACCAGTCATTCAATACGTTATATTATTTAGCTGTGTGAGTCTCCTTCCATAACCTCCTGTAAATGAACACCAGATGCTATCTAAAAAGTCTTTACGAAATGAGTGGAATAAAAAGAAAACCAGTGAAGAGCTAAGCCACTCTGCCTCGGCGAGCAGTATCTAATTCTCTAAATGCTTGCAGTTATGGGTAAAGGTGGATTATTTTTTTCATTAAACTTGTTTTCGTGTCGTGGAATTCGTATTGTTAACTGAAAACTAACGTTATTGTGTATGTGAATATCATCTTCAATTTTTCGAAATAAAAAATGTTTCAAGAAATCATTTCACTACCCAGGCCAACAAATCCGATGCTGGATCCGACCATCCGAAAAAATCCGATCGGATTCCTGGAAACGAAATTGCATTGGAATCCGACTAGAAAAATCTCGTCGGTTGTTGCAAATTTTATGAGCGATCTGTTTAGCTATGTTCTATGATGACCCTTAGAAGATCTAGGAAATTCATGTTCCGGATCCGAGACCGTCGGAATCCAATGCGATATTTATGCAAACCCAGACACTGTCTTAAAGTACTTGTAAGTCAACTATTTTATCATACATATGATGAAGTCAAATCACTTTGAAGGGAAGCTTCGAGTCGTGTGCACAAAGATACGAATTACAAAAGATTCATATACATTGTCAGTATAGACGGATTTATTTTTCAATCAAATGAAATGAGAACTTTATTTTTCCTTCCTCATTACGATCGTACACTTTACCATACATGCATAGCTTGAATATGCGCCTCACAAATCTTGTATCAATAGGAATAACACGACAAAGATGCTCTCAGTTCAGGCGTTCTTTTGAAATAGCGTCATTTCAGCTACATACGTAGAAGCTGTGAAAGAAAATATCTGATTGAATTTCGATACAGAAAAAATACATTCGAAGTAACATCTGGAAGCAACCGATCAATTTTGACAAGACGTATTGGACACTCTTTCACCGCCAGGTAGCTCCTCGAATTACATCTATCGAGTGCGAAAAGCGCGTGGTCCAAAACGTAAACAAGTTCAAATATCTCGGTACGTTTCTGGATACAAAATTATCTTTCAATATGCATATCGGTTTCATCAAGTCGAAAATCCACTCAAATCTCAACATCTTTAAACGTTTGGCTTATAGTCGGATGTTAAATGAAAAATCGAAATATCGTCTCTTCAACGCCTTCATCAGACCACATCTACATTCGCTGCTTAATTTCTACTCGATTCTGACGCCGACCAAACAGGAGTCGCTCGAAGGGTTCAATTGAAAAATCTATCGATCCATTCATCTGTGGTTTGACGCCAAAAACGTTGAAATAGAAAATCTTCCAAAATATCAATCGCTGTCTACCCAGGTTATTATGGCACGGTCGATTCCGGCTGGTTAGGTTCGCTTTCCGACCATTTCCTTGGCGCCGGATTCCGGCCGGAAGTTCAAACGTAGGCTCCAGTGATTTCCCGACCGTTTCCTGCAAACCTCGAGCTGGAAACAGTCAGAAACTGATTGGATATTTCCTGTGCAATTCCGGTCGAAATCCGGCGGCAAGGAACCTGCCGAAACTTGCTGGAATCGGCGAAAACTGTGCCGGAATCGAGAAGAGCTGTACCGGAACCGACTCAGATTTCAACGGATCCAGTCGCCGGAATGATCGACCTGGGTAATTTAGCTAACAAGCATTGGGCCAACTTAGTGGTAAACATCATACATACAAATCCCAGTGTAATCGAAGATTTCTTGCAGCACAAGCTAGCGCTACTATGCATGAAGGAAATTATGAACAATCCAAAGTTAATAAATGAGAGACGTAAAATCTTCAACAAAGGTAGACCTGGTAAAAACATCCGCAAGTTGGTGTCCGAAAGCCGCCTATCGTTATTGGATCATACCCTCTGTTTCAATCAATGAAGATCAATTACTCTGTTCGCATCATGTTGGGCTTCTGTAGAAATTATCCTTTCTCTCGCTCGCTTGCTTCTCTTCTTCTCTGCTTTTGTCTCTGTATGCTGTTGATACCAGTTTTTCATAGCGACTGTCTTCTAAATTCTACTAGGTTTTGTTTTCATGCAACAGGAGCGAAGTTCACTCATAGCCATTAAGTGTGTGAAGGACTGGTTAGTTCTCGGCACTTAGAATAAAATGCTATATGAAAAAAAATACATTCGAAGTAATTCCGTACACATTAAATGAAAATGTCATTGTTTGCTGTTTTTCTTTGTAGAACCACTGCCACTGCAGAATCGATCAAGCGAAAACACATCTCAATAGTTTGACTTCTTGTTTTATTTTACATTAGTTCGTTAAAAGTTTTTGGTGATACTTTTTTCTGATTTGTTTCGAAAAAAAGTAAAATAGATTACCATTTGAATCATTCTTTGTGGAAAAAAAGCTACTCAAAAGACAAAATAACATCTGTCAGTACTAATTTGCTACGTGAGAACTGTTTCGAAAGGGAGGAATTCTTCGCCACACGCAATTTACAAATTCAGATCTCCAAGAAACAGTCCGACTCTGCACGAAAAATACATTAAACCATAAACAAATATATCTAACAATCGATGGATTTCAATGCGTCTATTCACGAGAAAGCATAGATCGTTTATTTCTCATATTTTATTTGAAAACAAAATAGAAAAAAAAACAATAAACTATTGATTTACTGTTCCACTCACTCAATCCTAGTTGATCATTTGTCTTCTCAGTCGTCGTTGTCGCTCTTCAGAACCATTCGATGGTTCGCCAGATATGTTGGAGAAATGAATATTCTACAACAAGGAAATCATTTGAGAGAAGAATGGACAAAGACGAGGAAACCTACCGCATTCTGTTGAACAAGTTTCAGTTGTTTACTTTGATCGTCGCTGAACATACAAATGGCCACTCCTTGTCTTCCAGCTCTTCCGGTTCGACCCGATCGATGAACATACGATTCCCAATCCTATTGAAATTGCACATGTTTTTTTTCGAATGATCATCAATAAAATAAGTTCAAACCTGTGGTGGTGATGTGAGAATAACTAAATCAACTTGTGGAATATCTAAACCACGTGCTGCTACATCCGTAGTTATCAATACCCGAATCTGACCTTGTCGAAAACTCTACAACAGCACGAAGAATTATATTAAACAATTCATTAATAGCTTTACTTGTAACACTTGTTCTCGTCTTCTTTGTGAAAGATCACCATGAAGAACATCGGCAGATATTGATCTCATCGCGTCTGATTGTGCTAGTTGATCGCATTCGCGTTTGGTTTGACAAAATACGATCGCTTGACTTTGACCAATGTCTTTCGAATACTTTTCCAATAATTTCAAGACAGTTGCCGGTCTTCCCGAGAGATTATTCAATCGATACGATAAATGTTGAACATTCATTGCAGTCTTCTGTTGTTCATCACCAATGAGATTGATAAATGATTTGTTTGTCGGTGACATATAGCGTGCCACACTCTTTTTCAACCATAACGGTATGGTTGCAGAAAAGACAATCATTTGTGACCGAGGAATACTTCGAATAATATAATCAACATCGTGCTAAAGCGAAAGAAAGTTCGTTTTCGTAGAAAACAAAAACAGACAAGTTGTTTACTTGAAATCCCATATCGAGCATTCGATCAACTTCATCCAGAACTACGATTTCACATTGTTGAAGGTTCAATTTCTTTTGATTGAGAAAATCTTTGATTCGTCCAGGAGTTCCGACAACGACATCTGAGCCTCGCTGTAATGACAGTTCTTGTTTTGAATATTCTTTTCCACCATAGAGTGTGGAAATTGAAAGAAGACGAGATTTGATCGAAAGGAAATCATTCGTCACTTGTTTAGCAAGTTCACGTGTTGGTTCCAAAACTAAACAACGAGGAAAACGACCTCGCTCTCTGGATATTTCACGCTGAAGTCGTTCAACGATTGGAAGACTAAATGCCAATGTTTTTCCTGTCCCAGTACCTTTTCAATCGAGAAACAAGATATTGTCGAGAGGAAACAATCAATAAAAACTCACGTGCTTGAACAATACAGTCCTTTCCAGATATGATATCGTTATATGAACGAGATTGAACCGGAAATAAGTATCGAACATTGCGATCTAAAAGCGAATTCGATTTTGAAGAGGCACAATTCTGCAATCATTGGAAGAGAGAACCTTGTAATCGTTGTTGTGTTTGAGCACTGATATCGAACTGTTGAAACGCTCCTAATTCTTGTTCATTCTCATTCGATTGTGATTGATCAACATCCTTGGATGCTCTTGCAATATTCACTCCACTTTGATACCGAACTAAACAAGTACCTAAATACGATAAATGAGCTTAGAGGGAAAACAGATTGAATATTAGACTGACTTTGAATAAGTAATTGCTTAGTATTGAATCCAACGAATAAATGACGAATCGTGAGTGAAGAGGTAAACATTGATCAACTATCTTCGATGTGAATTTCAAAATGTAAAACTAGAAAACTGCACTGAACTCGATCAGTCTATATTTTACCAACGATGTAGGAAACGAATGAGAAGAAATTCGTTCAAAAGATGTCGCCACTCTTCAAACTATTGAGTTGACGGTGTGTTCTCTATTACAGAAAAATCAATATTGGATTCAATATGTTGCTCCAAATGACACGCAGTCCTAGAGAATAGAAAATTTCCGACGTTTCTTTTTTTTTCTCTCACTATTGACAATTGTATAGCTAATATTGACGTTCACGTTCTAGTTGCTGCTGCCATTCCACAGAAAACAAGAACTTTACTGATATTAGAATGGGTCAATTGGAAGTGACTGTTGTTGAAGGACGCAATTTCAAACAAAAAGACACATTTAGTGCAAATGACGCGTATGTGAAAATTTATTTAGATGAAAAAACCCCAAAAGAGAAGACGAAGGCAAAATTGAATTCAAATAATCCAACATGGAATCAATCGTTCTTTTTGTATGACCATTTTCGTGAGGTTGTTCTCTTCTGACAGTTCCTTTTTAGTAATCATCTCTACGGACAAGATACTCTTCATCTTGATATTTACGACAAAGATGCAATTAAAGACGAAAAAATAGGTTCAGTTCACATTGATTTACATCAATTGTATCTGAAAGGTTTTCCTCATATCCTCGTTTAGAAGCATTATTTATCTTGCTAATTTTCTTTGTAGGTCATATTGACGATTGGTTCGATATTCTAGACACGCAAGGACAAATTCGTCTTATACTTCATTATGAGAGACTTCAAATCTAAAGAAGTTTGAAATAAAAACGATTGATTAACTGAGACATCTATTTCACTACTTCGGATTCGCTGAAAGGATTTAACAAATACTAATTGTGTTCATAGAAGATGATAAAAGTAAAAGAAAATGAAACGAGTATTGGAAATTGATGAAGAAGATAAAAACGAGTTAGCTGAACGAATTGCTTCAGCTAGTCACCATCGATTTAATCTGTTATCATCACGCGGAAAACCGTCTTCGAATGAATGGACACATTTAGCTGCATTTGTTGCTGTTGATGAGAACGATCACATCGATGTCATCTCATTAGGTACAGGAACCAAATGTTTAGGTGGTGAGAAGAATGAACGAGGTACACAAGGATGTTTATTGCACGATAGCCATGCCGAAGTTATCGCACGAAGATCATTGTTAAGATTATTCTACGATGAAATCATTCGTGGAACTAATTCTACTCTTGTAAAACAAGAGGAAGACAAGAAATTTGTATGGAATGAATCTCTTCGACTTTATTTGTTTGTCTCATATCCACCATGTGGAGCAGCCGCATACTTATCTGATCCAGTCAAACGTCCAAAGTTTGAACATAAATCGTTGAATTTGTCGAATGAGCAAGAACAACTTTATCTCAAACCAGGCAAAGGTTATCAAACAACAAGTCTTTCGTGTACAAATAAGATCAACCGATGGATTTATCAGGGACTCGAAGGATCTCTTCTCAATCAATTCATCATCTCACCAGTCAAATTATCTGGTTTAGTCATTCAAACCACTGTAGACTTGTCTTCTGTTTTCAAAGATACGCTGATGATATCAGTGAAGAATTCGTTTGAATGTGGTCCATCGTCCGAACGAACTCGTCCGTGTGCTATGTCGATGGCTTGGTGGAAAGGTCTCGATGTCTCCACTCCTGTAGTTACAGTCGATGGATATCCATTGGGTCAAGTGAAAAGGCTACGACATCGACAAGAATATGCTAGTCCAATTGCCAAATGTTCGCTATTTAAATTGTACCTTGAACTGAAGGAGAATTTATCATCGTCATCATCATCAGTGACGACATATGCACAAGCAAAAGCATTCTCGTCGAATTCACTGAGAGATCAGTTTATGACAAAACATCCAGGATGGCTACAAACCGATTCAGATGTATTTTATTCATTTACCATCAATTCTTCGTCTTCATCAAAACGAGATAAGGACGAAGAGTAACATTTGTGTGATTTGTGTTAAAATAAAACAAAACGGTTTTCACTCAGGAATCTATCAACTTATACGAATCGTAGATACTTTTCGAAAAGTAAAGCTCTTCTGAGTCGTTTTATTATAAATACGAGAACGGCGTGACTGTTGTTGAAGACCGAAATTTGATTAAAAGCGTACACAACAATATCAATCGAAAGCATTACAAATTTGTAACAGTTCAATAGGGAGCCATTCAAAAGTTTTGTGAAGTCAGATTGGTTCATGTCACAGATAAGCCTGTGTTTAATTGATCGTCTTACTTGAAATGCTCTCTTAGTCTGAAGTGTGTCAATAAATTCCATTCTGACGAACATCGTTTTTTTGTTCTGTTATATTGATCCGATTAAAATAGTTGTCGACTGAATCGAAGAAAAACGTAGACTATTCAACCGTGTTGAGCGTTTATTGGGTCATTTAGGCAACAAAGTTTGAAATATTTTTTTCTGAATACTATGAGCGACCCTTAAAACGTATTACTATCAATTAAAACTTTTGCTCGATAAGAAAAACGACACACAAAAGTAAAGTTTTCGAATTGGTTAACAAGAGAAAAAAAACAATGACATCATACAATCTTTTATCTAGAAGTTTCGTCATGTGCGATGATAGTTGACTTCTAAAATATAGATATCATTATCAGTAACTAATAAATATCACAGTTTTTTCGCTTTCTCTGCTCATTTCTCAACATCATTCTCGACAAAAAATAACAATGATGAAAATCTTCTTCGCCGTTTTCATAACTATTCTCCTACCAGTGATGAGTGATGCTCGTTGTAGCTATGGTTGCTCCTGTTCCGATGATAGTCCATGTGAATATTACTGCGAAAATAATATGTGTCAAAGTGCAACTTCACTAGGGCAAAGATGCTCAAGCTATTATTTTCATCCTCGACAATGTGGAATCGTTTCATATTGCGATCCCGATTCAGGCTATACTTGTCAATTACAAAAGAATTATGGTGCATCTTGTACATACGATTATTCATGTTTGTCTGGCAATTGTGATTTTTCATCAAAGACATGTCAATCTAAATCATTCAATTTTTTATATCCAATTGTTATACCGGCTGTAGCAGTCCTTTTTATTATCATAATCATTATTATTTCGGTTAGCATACGTCGACAAAGAATGCGGGCATTAGCACTTTATCGAGCTCCCTATGTGGTTCTACCAGCAGGTACTCCATATTCCTATCAAAATCCTTATATGGTTGCAGAAGTTCCACCGCCAGCTTATCCAGGTGCTACACCAGCACCAAAACCGTATCAAAGTGCATAGGACTGAATTTTGATGTGTTGAAAGAACAATAAAATTGCATAGATATATACGACTTTGTCTAAAACCCCGTCATACTTTTTCAGATCCCTGGAGTTTGATAGTTTTCTTTTCAATTAAACTGTATGAAACAACCACGAAATTTCGCTTAACTCGAATAATTGGAAATTCCGTGATGAAATACGAATTTCGAATCGGACTTGCATGCAATATCCTGTCTATTAAAATATAGCACGCGGACATTGATTCATAATTGATGTCTTCATAAAGAAAAGAGCCAAATTGATAGATCATCAGCTCTGTTTGGTTAGACCTCAGCGAAGTGTGGGTATTCTATTGGGAATACTTTTTCTCGGGAGAAGAAAATAAAAACGTTTATTACAATTCAGAAAACAGGATTTTAAATGCTAATAAAACCTAGGAAAATCGACGTATCATGTAATACAGTAAACGTGACATGGTTCACGTGCAACAAATAAATCAAAAACGTTAATCATTAAGAATGTCGGTACTGTACCCAAAGCCGATCCCAATTGTACACTGATACCAAAATAGAACAGACCATTTTTGTTTGACCATTGATCTTTAATTCGATTACCTATCGTGATGCGTACATAGCCAGTTATCAATGCCATTATCAAATGGCTAAATATGATAATGAATCCTCCATGAATAGTATCCGCCCACCAAGGACATGGACTTTGAGTAGCAATAAAAATTAAAAATATAGCGATGATATATGAAACAATTGATGCAGCAATGGTAGAAATCATTGATAGATGGGGATGTCGAATACTTAATAGTAAAACCGTTGTATATCCTATTGTATCAAGAAAAGTCGAATAATAAAGTGCCTTTTGTCCATATGGTAATATAATGTAGGTAATTAATGATGGTAAAATACCGTACACTACTAACGAATTAGCAACATTGATACAAAGAAGAAAAAGAAATGTTTTCTCTGTTGTTTGTTTCGGTACTATTGCTATTGGCGTTTGGACGGATTCGTTTGTCGAAATGATTGCTGACTTTTCTTCTTCTCCATTACGTACGATGTCTAGCTCCGTTTCCTCACTAAAGTTAGCCGGTTCTGCGGCATCAGCTAATGAGATTATATTCGTCCATCGAAGTAAAAGAAATGCCAACAAAGACGCAACGATAATACCAGTGATAACAAGCATATATATTCGAACACTAAATCGTGGTTCGGTAAAAGTCGGTTTCAAGAGAGTATCATTGCTCGTTCTAACACAAATCGCTTCACCTCCTATTCCTTGTAACAATAATAATATTGTTGGAATTGTGCCAGTAAATCCTTCGCCAAGAAAAGCAGCAGTTAAGTACAGACCACGAAATCGTTTCATATAATCGAAAAACACCAATGATGACGTATTATCAAGCAAGGATATAGTAAAAACCAATCCAATTAACCAAACGCTTCTTTCACGACCAAATAAATAAACTGTCTTGTGCCACAATAAAGACAATAAAAAGCACGAAACAATTCCAACAGTAATAATCAAATAGATATAAGGAATTTCCGAAAATTTTTTTCCTTGATACCAACGCAAAAAGACCACTAAAACTGGTAGTAGATTTGCTGCACAATTACATACTAACATCATAGATGGCAATGTCCATCCTTCAGGTACCAGTGGTATGATTAACGGTAGTTCAGTAAATACACCAAATAGATCAATCCATGAACTTAAATTCATAATAGCAATCAATGCGAAACATATTATTTGTGCCGTTTTCCTAAAAGATGTAATACGTTGTTTTAAATCGTATTTTACTAAAAATATTTGACTTTACATTTTGGATGGTTGAGAAACAGAATGATTCGGCTCTATTGAATCAGCGATAGCAACGTTCGGTATCATTCTTTTTCAAAAGTTGAAACGTGTGTGTCGTGATTGACTGAGGTGGTTAATAGCAGGAGCGTTATGTTATGCATGAATAGTTTTATTTATTTTTCCTTTCATCTTCGATACAAAATTAGGCAAAAATCTGATAGCGTTTAATGGAGTCCAAATGAGTTTTGTACTGACTTATTTGAGGATGATTATACGGCAACGTCATGAGCGCTTGTTCAATGGCTTGTTCACAAGCAATCGATGCTTCGTCGAATTGTTTTAATTTCAAAAGCGTTTGAGAGAGATCAAAATATATTGTCGCAATTTGGTGATCATGACGTTGTAAGACTTTCAATGCGATATGCAATGCTTTTTCATAGAGAATCAAGGCTTCGGTGTACATTTGCAGATGAAAATACACTCGAGCAGTTCGATGATAAACAATCAATAGCGAGGGATCATCGTGTTTCAGATGCATCTGATACAATTCAAGTGATTCTTGATAGGAAACGATTGCTAATTCATATTTTTCTTGTTCGTGATAAATATGTCCAAGATTGTGAGTAAACAATGCTATAGCATTGACATCAGTCAGGAGAGATTTTTTTGATTGTTCGACAGATTTATACGAATACTCTTCAGCCTCGGACCATCGATTTAGACCGATATACGCCGTTGAAATGTTATGATAACTAGTTGCAATCGAAGAATGATCATTTGCTAGGGAATTTTGTTCAATTTCTAATGCTTTTAAATAGTAGGGAAGCGATTCTTCGAAGCGATCTTGTTGAAAGTATGTTCTGGCAATATGATTGTTTGTTGTGGCTAGAGATGGATGATTTGGAAGGAAATATTGTTGTTGAATATCTAATGCCTGGTGGAAATGACTCAATGCATCTTGAAACTGTTTTCGTAATAGACATTTGGAGCCAAGTTTTATCGAATGATCAGCTGCAGCTTTCGGATCCAATTTCAATGAACTTTCTTCCAAAGTATTGGCTTTCTCCCGATAGAGATCTACAAAAAAAAGGGCATTGACTCACACGTTAAAATTATCTAATCTTCCACTCACTTGCTTGCTCGAAATTTCCTTGATTTCGATATACTGAACTGAGATATCCGTAAGTTTCTGCGATTGACGGATCGTTTTCGCCTAGGAACTGTTGTTGTAACTCGAGAGCACGTTTATGATACGTCAATGCTTCATCATATTTCTCTTGGCGTGAGTAAATTTTACCAACATTGTTTGTATAGATAATAATCGAAGATAACTCTGGTTGATCTGAACAGATTTGACAGTCTAAAGCTAATTGTTGGTATTCCAACGCTTTTTCATAATTCGATCGCGCTAAATAAACACATCCGATGTTATTGTAGACTGGTGTCAAGTTCTGATGATTAGCAGGAAGATATGTCAAGTAAACTTCCAGAGCCTTTTCGGAATGCTCTAATGACTCTTTAAGTTGCTCACGATTAAGGTAAATTAAGCCAAAAAATTGATAGATAGAAGCAGATACGAGGATATTACTATTTAACATTCTATCATTACGAAGAATTTGAGAAAATCGATCGAGATATGTGTAATCGGACAGTTGATTCATCAATCTCAAAAGTGATAAGAAACAATGAGTGAAGCCAATCTGTTGTCGAGTAACACTCGTATATGCTGCTAATTGTTCATCCATATTTTCACTCAATGTTAATTTCACACGATAATAATCATTCTCTTGCGCAATTTCGACAATGCGAAAGACACTACCCATGGAAAATAATAGTTCATGTTCACAAAATCCTGTTTGCAAATATGGAATACGCTCGATGTTGACGATTGGAATATCTTGTACTGATGGGTCGATATGCATTTCGAATAGAACGCCGACGTTGGAGCCGAAAAGGAAATTCAACGCGACATCTTTCTGTAATGATGTTGAGAGAAAATTGTTAAACGAAAGGAAACCTCCGAGATTGTTTTTTATCTTTTCGATTTGATCTTCGGATATACTTTGTCCGCGATAGACGATCATTTTCGATAGACTAGCTCGTTGTTTTTTACCTTCGGCAACAATTTGCTTATGCAGATGTCGTAGAAAATACCTCAGTCGATAAAGGACATCGATTTCGACTTTCCATAGAGCTCGGTTCAACATTTGATGAAGAAAACATTCTCTCGTATACCAGTAGATCGCAAGTTCAGGAATAAAATCTTTTTCAAATTCGTCGAGGATGACGATCGCTGTTGGATTGTGAGCTTTTACCTCTCGGCAATAAGCTAGCATCTCCTCTTTACTTTGTTGATCCGATTCTAATAGATAATTGTGTGTGAGAACTTCTTTCAATAGTTGAAAATACATAAACGATGGGTCTTGTCGATTTTCACCCGACGAAATGATGTCCGTCGATGAGACGAATGATAGTGCGATTGGATCACGATTTCTTTCTTGTTGAATTCGGCTTGGGATTAATCTGATATCAGAAACGATTCCTTTGATTTTCGAATAATCTTTCGCCCATTGATTATCGGTTGTCTTCGATGAAAAGAATAGATAAATCGATGCGATTCGTTTGTCAGAATGAATTCTCAGGAGGAGATTTTTTGCTAGATTACTTGAAGTAATCAGAAGTATCTGCCCGTCGAAGAAGTTCGTAATGAAATCCAGACATTGTTGAGGTTTGCTAAACTCTTTGAAATTCTCGAATAACTCTCGTATTTTATCTTGAGTATCACGGTATTCTTCCGAACGTAGTAATTGATTATCCAACCAAACACAGGTGAAGTCTTTTCCCGTCATTTATCTAAAATAAACATCAGAGCATACAAAAAAGTAGAAGTTTTTTTCGAAACAAAAGCGTTGAAATTTCTTATTTATTTATAGGAAATCACAGGCAAAACTATTTAGACAATTCATACTCTTTGTTGTATAGCATCAACATTCCTTTGCGCGCTCACAACTTCTGGATGATTGATCGGTAAAGTTTTACGTAGTTGATGAACTGCTTGTTGAGCAGCGACCAAGGCATCATCGTATTGTCTTAAATGATAGTATGTAACAGCTAGACTGGAATAAGTCTGTGCGATAGCTTGTCCATCATCAGATGAATGTTTCGATTCAATATCCAATGTTCTTTGATAGAATATAAGAGCGTCAGTATATTTCTTCAAAGAAAAGTAAGCATTGCCGATTCGATAATAGATCCCAATTAATGATGAGTCATCCTCAGCTGAATAGAGACGATGTAGATGTAAAGCTTGATCATAATAGGTTAAGGCTTGCTCATATTTGTTTTGTTCAGCATATACGTATCCGATATGATCGATGTACGACGCTAATGTTACCTGATTGGTATCCAGTGATTTCTTTAATTGCTCGACAGATTTCATTGCGTATTTTTCAGCATCTGACCATTGTCCTAAGCCTAGGTAAGCTTTCGATATATTGTGGTAACTACTGGCGATCGAAGGATGATCCGTCGATAGAGAACTTTGTTCAATTTCAAGTGTTTTCAGGTAATGTTGAAGAGATTCTTGATATTGATTCTGCTTATAGTACGTATCAGCAATTCGACTATTTGTCTTCGATAACGAGGGATGATTAGGTAAAAGAAATTGATGTTGAAGATCCAATGCTTGTTTAAAATAATTCAATGCTAGTTCATAGTTTTGTTCTGAAAGAGCTGAATCACCGGCTTGTATCAAAGAACTCGCGGAAGCATTTGGATCTAGATCGACACTGGTATCTTCTGATCGAATATGACCACTTTTCATCATATACGAGACTGGAATAGAATCGAAAATGATAGCTAGTAGAAAACAAAAGCTAAAACTACTTACATGCTTCCATGAAATCACCTTTAGCAAAGCAAACTTGAGTTATCGACCTACAAGTTTCTGCTATCGATGTGTCGTTTTCGCCTAGACATTGTTGTAATTCTAAGATACGTTTGTAATAATCTAAAGCTTCAGCATTTCTTCCAATGGTTCTATAAGTTTGAGCGAGACTTTTTGTATAGTGAATAATTGATGATAAATCTGGCTCACGGGAATTTGTCTGGCAATCGAGAGCTAATTGAAAGAAAGTCAATGCTTTATCATAATCGGATTGGTGTGAATGAACCGAAGCGATACAACTATAAGTCGGTGATAATCGTTGATGGTCAGCCGGTAGGAAAGTCAAATAAACATTCAATGACTTATCAAAATGTTCGAAAGATTCTTTATACTGCCCTCGATTCAAATAAATTATTCCGAACATATGATGAACCGAACCGAGTAAATTTCGATCCACAGCAATTCCAACATCATCGGCAAGCATCTGAGCAAACCGGTCAACACTTCCATACTGTCCCATTTCATTCATTAATTTCAGTAGAGACAAAAATGAATGTGTTGAACGTGTTTCTTCTCGTGTTACCAGCGCATAACTTGCTAAGCGTTCGTCAACTTCGTCACTGAGTCTTAGTCGAACGCGATAGAAATGATTTTGTTTTTCGATTTTGAGTATCCGAAAAACGGTTCCAATCGAGAAAAGAAGTTCTTGTTCCATTTCTGAACATCCTAAATAACTCAATCCTTTCGTGTTCACAAATGGATACTTTTGTATGCTTGGATCGATTTCCATCTCGAACAGAACACCTGTTGGACATCCGAATAGAAACATTTCTGCGACTTTTCGATCTAAGGATGTGGAGAGAAAATTATTAAACGAAAGAAATCCATCGACATTTTTCTTCAACTTCTCGATTTCATTCGTCGACATCGATTGACCCCGATAGACAATCATTTTCGCTGTATGATCACGTTGTGCTCGTGCGTGAAGAGAAATTTGGCGATGAAGATGTCGAAGAAAGTATCGTAATCGATAAAGTACGTCAGGTTCGGGCGTCCATAGAGCTTTGTTCAGCATTTTGAAAAGAAAACACTCTTTCGTATACCAAAGAATTGCAAGTTCAGGAATAAATGTCCTTTCGAATTCATTCAAAATCTTCAAAGAACTTTCACTATCGGCACACGCTTTTCTACAGTAGGCGATCATGTTTTTTCGGGTTTCTGCTTCCGATTCAGCGAATATATCATTGAGAAGAACTTCTTTGAGTAATTGAAAGTACATAAAGGATGGATCTTGGCGATTGATATCATCTGAACATGAAAGAAATGAAATACCAGTGGAATTCTCTTCCTTGTCATTTGCTTGTGGTTTGAATTCATCGCAGAGTAATCGAAAATCATTGAAAATGCCTTTAATTTTTCGAAAGTCGTTCGTCCAATCATCCGCAATATGCTTTTTCGAATAGAAAATGTAAATCGACGCAATCTGTTCGCATGAATGTATTAATGGAACGATGAGTCTTCCTAACACATTCGAAGTAATCAATACTATTCTGATATCTGGATAACTTGTAAAATAATCTACACATTCGTCGGAATTGTTGAAAGATTCAAACGAATCGAAAACGGATCGAAGTTCCTCTTGAGCATCAAGATATTCTACGGATAGAAGTCGTTGATTGTCGAGCCAGATACATGATAATTGCTTCTCAGTCTTCTCTGACGACATCGGCCTATTGAACTAATTCAAATTCACATGAAAAAGTTGATGTTGGAGAAAACCCATATGAAATAGTAAGTATAACATTTTTTTTTCTTTTTCTTTTCTTCCGAAGCACAAGGAGCTCTCTGTTGACTTTGACTACGCCATGTGAGTATCCAACCTGAGAGAACAAAAAAAATCTTGAAGGAAGAAAAGAACAGCAAGGTTTTATTATTCATCGCAATGTGTCACATATTCTATTTAGAGTCTTTCTAAACTTTGTGACAACCGCATTTAGTCTATTTCAATCAACAAGGATTTGTGTGATAATTATTTGTATTTTATTTAAAATAAAGAAAGAAAAGAAGAAGAGAAATTGATTGTTCAGTACCAAATCAAATATCCCGAAGTGAATCCATCACGATAGTTTGCTTGTCCAATGGGCAATTTACATCGACAAAGTGGACATGAAGCGTTCCGATCAAGCCATGATGTCACACATTCTTCACAAAAGACATGCTGCAAAAAAAAAGAAGAATTCTTATTAAGGAAAAGATCCCACTCAAAAACCCAACGAACTTTGCATGTTAATACAATCGGATCTTGATATTCGGATTGACAAATAGGACACATAGTTTCTTGCAGGTCGTTAATGGATACCGATGGGAATGGAAGTGTTTGAAAAGCTTGTTTTAATGATTGCCGTAATTGAAGGAGAGTTTTGTAAATATTGAATAGTTTCATCAGGGAATAGAATATCAACAGAATCGTTGAAAAAATGTATTTTTCTTGATTATTGTCTAAGAGAAAGTGTATCCAAGGACGAATGGTTAATAAACTTATGTAAAATTGAGATAAATGTTCGATTAAAGAAAAATAAGATCCACGTTTGCGATATGTTAAACAAGATTTTCCTCTATCACTTATTATTGGATAAACGATCAGTAGACTTTTGCAAATCATCACAATCATCCTACAAAACGAAATAAATGCTGTTTATTTCAATATTTGTCTTTTCTTTTGAAACTTACTTAACAATACAAAACGTTGAGTAAAGTACCCAAATAAGAGTCCACAGATCCCATTTTGTATAATTTGGACGTGAAAATATGAGGCATAAATAAAATTGCTCTTGTCGATATAGATACAGGAACAGAACTAAAGAAAGACTTAGAATGACTATCACTCGAAGGACAGGCCAGATATGACGAGACGACTAAAACAAGTTCAAATATTTATAAATATGTATTCTCTTGCTCGAATCTTTACTTTCAGAGCTGCTTGTTGAACTAAAACTGTATTTGCATGATAAATACTTGCAGAGAAGAATACAACCATCAATATGCCGGCTGAATGTTCGTAGAAAGCTTTGAGGATAATAATAAGTGCAAAAGGAAAGGTCGATGTTAAATTATCTTTGAGAAGTGTAATTAACTGATGAAGATGATCGTTAGCAATGTCATTCGTTGGTGGTGGTGGTGACGGGCGAGTCGGTGCTTGAGCTTGATGAAGAATTTCTTCGCCGACGGTCTCGATTTCTTCGAGATTATTTGCAGGATTTAAGTCAATACGATAATCGGAATTGTTAGTCGCCATGGAATAATTCAATCGACGAGTATTCATTCTCGTCTTCTACTTCATTTTTCAAGCAAAACGACAAATCTGAAAAAAAAAACCAAAAGCTTCAGTTTTTATTTTTCATTTGATAATCTTTCAATAAAAATTTTTCCTTGAGATACTTCATTCCAATCGAGATCGGTACGAGAAGGAAAAGTGGTCTTTAATTGTCCTTTGTCATCAACAACACGTGTTTGTTGTAAAGTTAAAACTTGTCGAAAAGTTTTCTCTTCTTCATTCGCCTTCTTTCCTAATTGATTTTCGAGCACCTGTCGAAGAAATGCATCCATGACACGACGGCAGATATCCATTGAATGACCAGATGTAATTTCAACGAAGATCGAGTCACTTGTCGGACTTAATTTACTTCGTTCAGCATTTGTCAATGGTGGAAGCGAAATCACGTAACGATCTTGATCGGACAAACACGGAAACTCATTTTGATCTTCCAATAATGTCAAATATCTTTCAAAAACAGAGTAAACTATTTGAAATAAACAGGAAACGATATTCACATACTTGTGAAGACCTGATAATTGATTTCGCTTCTTTAGTTTTCTTTCGTGTTCTGCATCGCGACACAACTGATCGTAAAAATCACGTGCAGAGACCAGTTTCGGACCTTTGCCAAGTGGTACTAGACCAATATCATCCGGATTGCGAGCATCATAAACCAAATCTCCAGAGATTAATGATAAATCATGTGTACCTATTGTTGCCAAGGTGCGTTTTTGACAAATATCATCATGAAGTTCATTCTTAAACACAAATGATACTTACAGAAAAGATTTGCCTTTCCTTCCGAAACTTACTTGCAAATTGAGAAACTTCTTCAAATTTCCTGGTGTTGCTAAGTCAACGTTTCTCAGAATGCAACACAATATATGTGGTCGAACACTGATTACTCTTGGTAGTAATGTAACTAAACGGAATCAGTTGGAAAATAGTCAATTATGTAGAAGAGAAATAAACAAACTTTGTCTTCCTTTGAGGTCTCCAGCTGGATCAAAATGCAAAATTTCGATTTTATCTTGAATTTCGACATTTTGTTTCGCTTTTTGTTGTTGTTGTTGTTTTGGTTGTGCTGGTTTTGCGGTTGTCGATGCTGATGATTTGTGTTGTTCGGTCCATTGCTTTGCTAAATATTCCAAAACCGGTTTGATTTTATCTTGTTCCATGAGTTTCTTCAATCGATTGTCTTTCAAAGGATTGGATTTAAATCGAAGCTCTACGAAAAGATGCCGTTGAAAGAGAATGAACAGCAATGGACAATACCTTTCAGTTTGTGTAATTGACTAAGTTGACATGGAATTTCTGTCAATTGATTCGATTCGATANTAAGAATGAAGGCAGCATTTCTTTAGATAATCAATTTTGCAATATTTACTCGAGTATGTCTCATTTAATCTTCGAAAAGCATTCAAATTTGCCTACAAAATTTCGCATGATTCACGCTTTCGTTATCGGAAGGAATTAGGGCGAGTGATACTTTTCAAAGAACGAAATTATTACATCGGTATTTAACAGTTTTTCTGCAAAACTTCGGCAGATAAGGAAAAATAAACATTGCTGATATGATATTCATTAGCAGCATTCACAGTATACTGGATATCAGTGAACAAGTTCTAACTGATCGTGCAGATCTAGCCCTATGAGATCTCGTTTAGGTACATGATAACTATCAATATAAATTAATATACTTTAAGAGGAAAGCGTGCCGACAGGATTAATAGAACGATCGGTCAGCATCCGATGATCAGACAACATTCCGATCCTGACCGATAGTAGTAGTTCATCGTCACATCTCTTTCGACTCTATGCGTCTTCTCTGGTATATAAGCGTGTGCTTTTTCAGCTTCTCGTTGTTGATCAACAATAGGTATATACTGCAGTAGTAACAAAAGATCTTAATTGATATTTCTTTACAAGTAGTGATTGAATCGATTCACATTTTCTCTTGCTAGTGTTGAGTACCATATTTCTCTGCTTTCTATAGAATGTAAAAATATTCACAGAAGATTTACGGTTTACCAAATGGAATATGTGCATAACCAATACAGTTCTCTCGAATTACAGAGCTGAGTTAATGCATTTGAGACTTGTTCAAGCTTTTGATGTTATAAAAAACATCGCTAATGCGATAGTAAATGGAAACGACTATGAACATTCTTCTGACGACAGTTATGATCAAGTCAATTGTTGGAAAGCTAGATTTTGATCATATCTCATCTTATCATGGACACAGATTGTTGAGTGTACTATACTATTTCACAATGTTGTTTAATACATCTAAACGAACAGCATTAAAGCTTTCTAACTTACTCTGAACGATGGATTTGCAAGTGTCTTATTTTACATTTCATTAAATCTTGCCCGAGTTTATCTATTTTGTTGTTATTATTAAGTCAGTTACTAGCTGCTTAAGCTACTACCTCTATGGTTCATATAGTTCAGTGGTGTTCAAATTAGCAGAACCACTCCATCCACTGGTTACTAATACTTGACCGTTGTTTAACATCGATGCTGTAGGTCCTTGGCGCTTATAATTCATACTAGCAGTCGTAGTCCACATTTCTGTCTTTGGATCATACAATTCAGCAGTCTCTTGAGCACCGCTATTACTATATCCACCAGCCAACAATACTTTGCCGGTTTTTAACAATACAGCTACGTGATCGTATCGTGTATAATGCATATTACTAGTTAATGACCATGTATTTGTCACAAGGTCATAGATTTCGGCACTATTTAGATAGACACCATTTTCTCTTTCTCCACCAGTTACTAATACTTTTCCGTCATTGAGTACGGTTATTGTATGACTATGTCGTGGATAGTGCATGCTCGACATTGGTGTCCATGAATTCATCACTGGATCGTACAGTTCTGTACTATATAAGATAGTACTACCATCATATCCACCAACTACTAAAACTTTTCCATCTATAACTACTGCTTTGTGACCTTGTCGAGCATAATTCATGGAGGACGTTAACATCCATGTTCCCGTTGACGGATCATATACTTCAGAACTATTATAGTAAGTACTGCTCATGCGTCCACCAGTAACTAACACACGTCCATTAGTTAATAGTGATGCCGTGTGCCATTGTCGAAAAGAATTCATATTGACGGTGTTCGTCCACATTTTTCTCAAAGGATCATATAACTCAGCACTATTTATATTAAAACCACCAGCAACTAACACTAATCCACTCATCAATACGGTTGATGTATGACCCTGTCGTGCAACATTCATAGGAGCAGTTAACGTCCAAGTTCCCAGCAATGGATCATATAATTCAGCAGTATTTAGAAAGCCATTGTTGTATCCACCCGTAACCAATACTTCCCCATTCTTCAATAATGATGCTGTATGCGACACTCGTGCATGATTTACATTACCAGTATTAAACCATCCTGAAAGACAAAGAAACATGAATATCTTATCTTCGCAAAGGATGGACATTATAAAACTTGACATATCAGAACATACCAGGCTGTGTGTCGATGATTGTAAATGATGATGAGACTATCTCCAATGTTGCTGTTGCCGATTCAGTTGTAAATGCTGCTTTGACTGCCGATACTGTATCAGCAGCTGATGTTGCTATTGCGGTTCTCGCTGCAGATGTGCTTGATGAAATAGATGTTTGTTCTGAAGTCAAGACTTTTGTTGTTACTGATGTTGACAATGACGATACTTGTGTTATGCTAAGAGTTGATGAAATAATTTCTATTTCTGGTTGAACGAAAATAACAAAATGTAATACGAGTCCAATGATAAGACCGCAGATAATTAAAATGATTAATAAGATGACTATGATTATGATTGTGATACGACGTCGACGTGAACATTTTCGCGATTGATTCTCCTCAATCGTTTGTTCACTGAACACTTGGTTCTTAGACATTTTCTATTTCGGAAGAAATTTGAACGTAGAAAACGCAACGAATTGTTGTACGAAAAATAATGAATATCGATTTTCTAACACAATAAAAATATATAGGTTATTCAGCGTTTATTGATATACTGACATATTATTTGAAGAACAATCTTATCATAATAAGCTTTCGAATAAATACATATTTCCTATCAATCATAATCTGCTGAACTAATAAATACTCGATAAGAACTGTGTACAGAAGTGTCGATTTTAATCGTTCGTCATGAATATTTACGTTCTTGAAATCACCTGCAATGCACTCAGATTCTGATAGTCAATCCGAAGGATACAAAATAGAGCGAGAGGCCGACATGAATCTTGTTCTTCCACTCATCATCCAATGAGAGCAGAGGAATTAGAAAATTATTTCGATTGTTCATAAATTAGTAGCATTATGATATGGTCGTAACATCGTATTGAATAGAAATGCACTATACAGAGTACAAAGAAGCGTTCTCTAAATATCATTGTTCGGTTTACGTAAGTCGACTCTATTCGTGTAAAATTGACTGGCTCACGTTTTTTATTATCATCTATTGATTATTTCGCAAATCCAACGGTAAATGAGTATTCTGTTATATAGTCTCCTTTATCATAATTAACTGATTTGTATTGCATGAAATAGATATATGGAAAAAACAACTTTTCTTGTTAAGGAAATTTCTTCGATTTTCTAATTTACAACAGCTCGCTGAACAAGACGAACTGAATTTGGTGATAGTACTCCCAAATCATCAAATATAGTCATTAAATCGTTCGTAGACATTAACCAATCGGAAGGAATGTAATAGTAATTTTGCGTTGGTCCCGAGTATTTTATTTGGTGCTGTGTACACTAACCGGGTTGCGATCGACAAACAGCTTCAATTAACCAGTAAATACCAATATCATTTCCGTTAATAAATGCATGTTCGCGATTTAAACTTTGAGCAGCCAGTAAAATCGGATTTATGTTTGTATCTTGTTGCATAAGATAATCAAGGTCAAATCGTGCTTGAAACCATGTGAGAGCTTTCTTGATACTTTTCGTCCAGCCATTATTTCAACTGACTCTTGTCGATCCTTGTTCCGTACAAGTTTGCAATTCTTCGCCGATTAAGCCCTTTTGATGTTGCCAGAAGTTGATCACGGTTCTATCGTCAAAGAACAATTGACTATCGAGTCATACATTACCAACAATACCTTTGTATTCCAAATTATACGCTGTCACATCACTATTGATTCTGAGTGAAATTGAAAGAATTTCGAAGAGATATTGTTGATTTAGTTTAAAACTTGACAGATCGAATGTAATTGTAGATTCGAGATTGCCTAATCCTTCGTCGTGATCGTCAAATTCACCTTGATATTTTCCATCTAAGAAGAATAACGATGCATTTTCTTTCCGTGTCTGAATTCGGAGTGCTGTATTTGGCTATAGTTGTGTCAACATGAAATTGCAACGGTACTATAAATAAAGCGTTTCGTCATTTGTCGCTGTCAATTGCTCAGTATGAGTCGGAGATATTACCATTGATAGATTTGACGCGCTTGGTTCTGACGATATTTGCCATTGATAATTCATTACCTGTGGTAGGAACAATAATCGTGTTGTTGGCGTTGACGTCAACGTAGTTAGCACTATCGTATAGTTAGATCATATTTCCATAATAGACACGTACGGATTGGTTTGACATTGTAATCGTTTGATTTTTAAAGAGAGTCTTAAGTGAAACATGGGGCTTGATTCATAACAAAATGAGTAGAAGGAAAGTACGAATACCCAAATTGTTGTGTACCAGAAGTCCATTTAGTTCCATCCCAATACGGCAATACTGTACGATTTACATATTGACTCTACAGAGCCTCTGAACGATCAGAAATTAGATGTTAAAGACGACTCAATTGCGTATACTTTGGTTCATTCAGTATGCCATCTAAATGAACACACACATTATCTGCGTACATTGTTGCAATACCTGATGAACCTACTGTATGTCCGTAATTATTTCCACCATGTCACATATAATAAGCGTGATAAATACCGCCACCGGTAAACCATTTGGCAACAGAATAAGCAGTATCAGATGCAGTACGTATCGATACCGATTTGCCCCATGGATGACACCGTCCTTCATTTTCAGTAAACATCATCGGTCGATCGAGAACTATTTGATGACGACTGTCAATCCAACCGTCGTCCTGACAGTTGCATGAATTGCATGTTTCAATTGTTGGATTAGCCGAGTAACCATTGTACACAAGCTTGGTCATTCGTGTGATATTCATTTTCGATTTGAGCAAGAATAACCGGATCACCTTTTCTAGCCAGATAAGGTGTGATATAATCAAGTAAGTTTAACATGAATCTGCGCATCAGATCTGTCCATAGGTCATTATTAGAACAATTCGATAGCTTTGATATTTGATTGATCCATGCTGGTGATCCACCGTAATTCTATTCGTCGCATACATAAGGGCTAATATGCAGATTGACAAAGAAGCCAGCATTCATCGCTTCTTCCAAAAAACGACTTAGATTAGCACCTGATATAAACATCGCTCGATCGTCATGAGCAACTTCATAGGGTCTACCACGAACATGATCATAGATAATTGGATTTGTATTCACGTCAACTAGTCCGATGAAGTAGGTGCACAATCTCTTTTAAATGGATATACATTTGAACAGAACACGGCTGTTTATAGAACGACGGTGTTCTTATCTTTGCGCATCACTTCTTTATATCTCCCATTTATAGGACACGAAAGCAATGTCGTGACTTTCATCAGTGTTAGAGAATGTGCACGAGACCTGTCAATCCTTTGTTATCGCTCATTTTTTAAACGTTGTCGGGACTGTGAGAATGTCAATCGCTATTCAATCTATAATTGACAAAATTGAACCAAATCATCAGAATGTAGGGAAATGTTAAAAGTCAAGCAATGTGTTTTTTTTAAGCAGAATGATCTGTCACAGATGTGTTCTTAAGGTCTACGTATCGTAAATGTAACAGAAAGTGATAACATCCGTGTTGTATTACATCACTACTTAAAAAAAATATGTTGACTACTTTTCACCTTCTCTACACGCGTATTTCATTGTGGATCTGGTATTTGTTATTGTTGTTTTAAATTATCGAGTACTCTTGAGGTCAGATTCCATCTATTTCGAATTATGCGTGTCAAACTAATGTTTCTTTTCCATTCTTAATGACTTAATTTATCTATAAATTTCCGGTAGGTTAGTTTCTTTCTCTTGTCTGCCTTATATCTTTAATTGATGGATTCATATCTTGATTTTATTTAATGAACAAAGTGTAGGATTGTCTATTTCAATAAAATGTCACTGTTATATATCAGCCAACAAATTACAATCTATCTTGGCACGTTTCTTCTTTTCGTTGGTGTATTCGGAAATATTCTCAACATTTTTATCTTCACAAGCGTTCGCACATATCGTCAAACAGCTTGTTCCTTCTATTTTCTCGTCAATTCTATCAACTGTCTTCTATTTTTATCTATCAATCTTACATCTCGAATCACCAGCGCTGGTTTTGGTATAGAATTAACTCAAATGTCAATATACTGGTGTAAACTACGAGAATATTTTATACTCATAATGGGTTCATTTACATTTTCATGTGCCTGTCTGTCCTCAATTGATCAGTTTTGTACCACATCGCGACATGCTCGTGTTCGCCGTTTGAGTAACATCAAATTAACTCATCGGATCGTCTGTATTTTAATTGTAATCTGCTTGCTTCATGGAATTCCCGCATTGATGTTCTTCGAAATATCGCCAATCACAAACAAATGTGTTAATGTCAATCAAGGTTTTACTATTTATATACTTGTATATGCGTTCTGTCTGAACAGCATTGGTCCACTTATAATGATGATTGTATTTGGATATTTAACTTATCGTAATGTTCATTCAATACGCATTCCTGTTGATCGACAACTGGTTAAAATGACATTGTGTCAAGTCATACTCGTCTTTATGACTGCAGTTCCTTATGCAACATTTTTAGCCTATAATTTATTAACAGCAACACTGAAAAAAGATTCGGATCAACTAGTAAATGAATATTTTGCGGTTTCGTTTCTTAGTCTATGGACATATTTGTATTATGGGGTAGGTTTGTCTTTCCACTAAACCGTAGTTGATGTTTTCTGCTTAGGGAAGTTTCTATGTGTTTTTTATCTCGTCCAGTCGTTTTCGTCGAACAGTGAAAGATAAAGTCTTCTTATGCCAAAATCGGAATCAAATTAATCCGCATGTACGAGCTTCAATACAATGATCTGCACGCATATCATTCTTCTGTTCAATGAATTTTCGTAATTCTATTTGTCTTTAATGCTTCATGGTACATTTATGCACATCGGATTAATGAGAATAAACTATTGTAATAAAATATAACGAGGATAAACAGCACCGTTAAATCTCCAACAGGATAAATGAAAATATGAATGTTCTCATTACCTCTCGTTTATTAGGATTATCTGTTCATTACATTACGAAGAAAGTGAGAAAACCAGGTTGCATTCGTGTTTCATCAAAGTGTGAAATATGACACGCGATAATTGTTGTTCTATCAAGGCATCAGCAGCATCAACTCAAGCTCCTTCGGCCTATTTTCATTCAATTTATGAACATCTATGTGATAGAAACTGGTCGAAAGAAATGATGGTGCTCTAACGATTGACTATTTTTTCAGCTATTTGGGATAGACTACCAACCATTCTTTTCGCATATAATTTCAGTTTAATGATCTCGAAGTCAAAAGAACACTTGATTTTCTTCTCGTTTTGAATTTTCATAATTTGTTTTTGTGAATCATACTTCAAGAATAAAACCAAGTATGATCTCGGATCAGTATTTAGTACAACCATGCTTAAGTATAAATTCAATGCTATTCATTATTGGAGATAAAATATGTCAAATGTGAGACAAAATGGATGAACTACGTTTTGTATCGCCCATTCCGAACAAATGGGAATGGATGAAAATATGTGGAAAGGAAATTACTGTTTGGCGGATTTCGTGCGGAAGTCCGAAACTGACGGGCGTTGAAAATTTTACTCTAGTGAAAAACATGATGAACACAAGCCGTTGCTTTATACATTCTTATTCTCACTTACGTCCTGTGTTTCGGCTAAACCGAAATCAAATAATTTATGTGTACGTCAATCTGCAATTTGCACACGCAAAGAAGTGTATTTTCTCATCAGTTTATTGATAATAGTCATGAATAGGAGCAACTCGACGTTTATTATTATTCGGCTTGCAAATAATTGGCGATCATTTCTTCTATTTTAGCATAGCATTTTTGATTTGGATGAGCAGCACTTCGGTCAAAAAGATCCAAAATAAGCGGATCTGCAGAAAACGTTTCATGACCATGAAAAACACCCGAAACAGCAATATATCCAATGTTGGCTTCAGCAGCAGCTTCCTTGATTGTTACTCTCGTCAATTCCGTCATTTGACGACATTTAGCTTCGTTTGGAAGTTTATTTTGAATTGCCGACGAAATTCGGATAGGGAAGTGCATAAACTTTAGCGGTTCGAACATGAGCTTGAATGTCTTTTGTAAACAGCCATAAGCTTAGGTTTTGAGCGTAATAAGTTTAGCAGCAACACCGAGATCATTGCCACCTGTAGTGATAACAATATGCGTGGGAGGATAAGGAAGCGTACTGAATGTTTTGCAGCAACAAGTGGATATGCATTTGGTGAACGACCATTTACGCTCCAACGGAACTACGTCCATGAATCGCCAATACCAACTATCAAGTTCTTGGCTAAGCGGATACAGACCATGTGTTTAACTTAAAAATGAAAAAAAAATCACTGAACTTACTTGTTAATTGTTGTCGAATAGTCAAGCCATGACATAAGGAGAGCAGGAGAAGAACAATGGAGGTTAAAATCAATATGTTACGAAAACACCGCTTAATATCGATCTCGTTATTTTTATAAGCGGGAATAAAATGAATGGTTTAGACGACAGATGGCAATTAATAGTCTAATAACTTGAAGATGAAGAGGCATAAATTTAGGCCGTTGTACTCGTTCTCACCTTCTGTTACAGTCTCAAACTAATCACATATGTCTTAATGTTTCCATTCTATATCTTCCATGACCAATCGCTTATATTATAAAGTACATCATGTGTACACACAAACGGTAAATTATATGATAGCATATGAAGTTATGTAACTCGTAGATGTCTATTTCAATCATAATGTATTGAGCAAGAATGCTGCTCGAAGTTTATACCGACTCAGTAGACTTCTATTCCTCAGCATTCACTGAGTTTTGATTTTGAACGCCTTTTTTTTTCTTTCTAACACAATTTGATTTACTATTAACATCATTTAGACTATCGATAAGCCTTGCAAATATATGTGCCAACGTTACGTAGATCGATGAAAACAATGAGAATAATTAGAGATAATCATAGATTTCGAAATACAGTGACATGCAAGTTTCAAGAACTGCTGTCATCAATAGAAAAAGTCTACATTAGAAAGTTGCCGTTAAATATTATATGACGAGAAGCTTCCGTATGAAAATCGTCATTTGTTTTCTATCGTTCACGTTCTTATTAACCAAGTATTTCGAAAACAGCTGATTATTTTCTTTTAGAATGGCAGTATCCTTGTAACATCACGGATGCTGAGCGATAACAGCTGTAATTGTCTTGCTCAATGGAAGAATACTACAATCATTGTTGACTGCTTTACAAATGTTCACTTTCTCCACAAATTTGAGGTTTATTAGCACACATCACTTCAACAGTCTCATGTTTTTGTATTACTCCATTAATTAACGTTTAAAATTTACAACTTCAAATATAACAACATGCAACACAACTCGTGCCAATATTAAATACGACCCGTCGCGTTTCCATCCCCTTGCTGAACGTTAGCAGGAGTCACAGCTACTACTTGTACGGGTCTGATGGTGTGTCCTCTTCTCCAAAACAATAATGCATCTCGACATTTCGTCCGTAATCCAGGTAGTGATGCTGCACATGCAAATGGAGTTAACAATACTATGTAAAAGCTGAAAAATAATGAGTTAGAAAAGTAATCTGATCCCACAGTTCGTGATAGGCCAGCGGAATAAGCAGCATATAGTAACATAGGTGGTAGTTGCAAGACCGTGTAAAGAAGAGCAATCAAAAATAGTTGCCATGCCATTTTCCTATAATTTCTCCAAATAACTCGCCGATGAGTTTGATATTTTTGATGTAACACACGTAGAAAAAGGCTCACACTAAATATAACAGTAACAAACGCAAGCAAAACGTAATGTACCAAGCCATCATACAATCCCATTTTCGGTGAACTAAGAATGCATGCATAACGACCGCATTGTCTAATTGTATACGACAATGGAAGATCACAAGGTACAAGAAAAAATACGACAAAATAAAATGTCATCGGGTATAGAATGCAAAATATGATAGGTAGATAATGAAAAATGAGACGTTTTTTCCTTGTTATTAACAGATTGGAATGAAAAATTAGAATATGACGTTCTATCGCTGCCCAAGTAATTAAAATATAGGTTGATACGGTCGCTACTGTATCCAAATACACCCAAGCATAACAAAATGTTGGTGTCAATAGCGGACTGATATTATTTCGAAAAAAATATATGTTCCACACAGTTCCAGTAAGTTCTTCTACAAGTACAACAAAGAGAAGAACAATAATCACATGATTATTGACAGCTGAACGTAATACTCGATTCTTCAATAAGTGATAGAGAACAAAAATAGTGATGATAATAGATGGAGCCAAAGGTGCTAATAGAATCCAGAAACGAATGTAGGATGGTATCACCATTGCTGATATATTATACCGTAGATAGAATGGATAATTCAAATAACAGAGTAGAAACTTATACGGGAATGCTCATCGAGAAAATGCTCGGTTACTTCAGATGGCCTTTTTTTCTGTGCGGATCAACGAAGCTTTTCATCTTTTCTATCACTCTACCATAACTTAAGTAATAAAAAAATAATAATACATTATTAATTTTCTACATATAAATAATTCTTTTGTTGAAAAGAACGGCTCTGTGCATGTCAATTTATTTCAATAAAATGACTCGCTAAACACAAAATGATAATTTTTATGCAAGAAGACCTACATTTTGTAAACTGATCAAACAAAAGAAAGCGAAATTAGGTGCGAGGTCAAAGCACAAAACATCGCTTTTCATACACAAAAGTAAACTTATGTCGATTAAACCTAACATAAAAACACTGCAAATGGATTAGTTTTCAAAGAAATCTATTACGTCAATATAAATGTCATTAAATTCAAAGGAATCTAAAATGTATAATGAAAGTAACATTTGCTTTCTTTGGTGCTGTCATCCATGTTACTGTTGAATCTTCGTTTTATCTATCTTCTATATGAGGCAATCATCACAGTATGGAATTTTCTCAATCGATATCCAGCGGCATCTTGATAAGAGGAAAGAGAATGATTTATTTAGCTATATATATATGATTGTATGCAGTTCTTTATTCGAGAAGAAAACAAAAGAAAAGATTCGATGGAATTTTGATGAACTAGTCGAACAAGAAATGTCTTCGAATCGTTTATCGACATTTGGTGAACGTCTGCAATCGTTAAGTGATTCATTTTATTCAACAATTCTTCAGGATTCGAAACAGGAAAGTAAATTTCAAGTGAAAAACGCACAACAATTAGAGAATCTGACAAAGACTCATTCGAGTGAACAGAATCATGATGATTTTACATTTGATCAATGTTCAATTAGTCATCTGACATCAAACGACGATTTTAGTTTTACATTTCATTCCATTGAGCAGTCAAAACTACAAGGAAACAAATCTCGACAAAAACATCAAGTCAGAGAAGTCAACTAGAAAGTTCAAAATGAATCTATTTGTTCTAATTTAGATATCGCGAATAAAACATACGTCAACGCCCTATTCTACTCATGAAGATCGTTCAATTAAAAAGTCGGAAGACGAAACAGTCGTTGTCGAAGAAACTCATCGTCCACCATCTTTATCTTCCCCTTCCAGTCAACCAATAATTATTGGTTATTATCCGGTTGTGACGTATCAACCAGTTTGTGTCCCACCAGCCATTTATTTATCAAAAGAACAGATCCAGTCACAAATAAATGACTATTCGACGCTAACAAAAATAACTCCATTAAAGAAACGTTAATTTCCTTGTTAGATAATAGAAATCTTCTTCTTTTTGTGAATAAATAATAGTAATTAAACATAAAGAAGCTGTTTTATGTCGAATAGACGTTCCGATAGATTCGTTCAGTCAAAGACTTTCCTTCGTGTTTCATTTGATGCAAAACAGAAATGAATAAAATATTGATTTAATCAATTCTACGTAGTTAATCATTTGTCTTCTCAGTCGCCATCAGAATTCCCGATTGCATCTGAAAGTGGTGGATGACTAGCTCCTAACCGATCGGCATTCTTGAGAAATGAAGAGAAAACGAGGTTGGATCAAATGCAGTGTATTTGTTTTACAGCAGAGAATATAGGAGAAATCCGCGTCATCCAACGGTTTGGTGTAATATTCCTGTGTTTCAACCTAGTCCAGATCATTCTATCTATCCGAGATTTCGTTGCTCCAATGGTTTTTATACATAATATATATATTTATTGCACCTCGGATCAATTTTATCCCAGGCAATACAAACTACCAGTGTGATCACTCGACCATTTTTTCTGTGCATTGGAGAAAATATATACGTGTCTGGCCGATGATAAAATGGATCACGCGTTTGATGTATGTCCACTACTCTTTGCTTAAACAACTTTCTTTTTGTGATTTACATATTTAGCATATGTGAATGAAGACTTGTCAAAAGAGAAGCTAAGAAATTGTTAGAAGACTCTTGTTTGAAACGTATTGACGCGAACTGCGCAAAAGGACGTTTTTCTGGTGAACCGACGCGTTTCTCATTAGATAAATAATTGAATTCATTGCTATTAATACTATTTTATCAAGTCCACAGCCATGTTCACCAAACTAACCTTCAAGGTGAGTTACATAAGACTCAAACTCATTGCACGCACTTTCCTACCTTGTCCTTACAATTATAGATATTATTATTTATTTCTTAGTGAGCGGTCTTTTATGAAATATCACTGTTATTGATATCTAAGTATGACAAAACTTCACTCAGTCCAGATGTCCTTTTAGAATACCGTTATTTCAACTGGAGGCGTAGAAGCTGCGAGAAAATATATTTCATTCAACTCGGATCTAGATCGAATTATGTTGTGGCATCATTGACAACTCAGTCAAAGGAAAAACATGTACCAATAATCTGATTTCTTGTTTCACAATGTGGATTAGATCTCCAAGAAACAGTCCAACTCTACGCTGAAAATATATTTAACTATGAATAACTATGTCAAATAGTCGATCGACTTCAATGCATTTATTCACGAGAAAGCAAAGATTGTTTATTTCTCATATTTTATTCGAAAAACAAAATAGAAAAACAATAAACTATTGATTTACTGTTCCACTCACTCAATCCTAGTTAATCATTTGTCTTCTTATTTGTCGTTGCCGCTCTTCAGGAGCATTCGATGGTACACCAGATATGTTGGAGAAATGAATATTCTACAACAAGGAAATCATTTGAGAGAAGAATGGACAAAGACGAGGAAACTTACCGCATTCTGTTGAACAAGTTTCAGTTGTTTACTTTGATCGTCAGTGAACATACAAATGGCCACTCCTTGTCTTCCAGCTCTTCCAGTTCGACCCGATCGATGAACATACGATTCCCAATCCTATTGAATTTGCACTCGTTTTTGTCGGATGATCATGAATAAAACAAGTTCAAACCTGTGGTGGTGATGTGAGAATAACTAAATCAACTTGTGGAATATCTAAACCACGTGCTGCTACATCCGTGGTTATCAACACCCGAATCTGACCTTGTCGAAAACTCTACAACAGCACGAGACAATGTATTAAACGATTTGTTGATCTCAGAGATTGTTAGAGATCGAGTTTCTTTCGGTTTGGTGTTCGGATCATGATTCTTGAGTCTTGTTGTAATGACAACTCTTGCTTTGAACATTCTTTTTCACCATAAAGTGTGGATATAACGAGGAAACGAGATTTAATCGAGGGAAAATCATTCGTCACTTCAAGTACACGTATTAATGGCTACTATATCGAAAAGGTTCTTATGAAGAGAAGTTTTTCATTCATTGCTATTTGATACTGACATAATTTGATCCCATACAATACGTTCATTTTCTACTCTTTTCTAACGAATTAAATATTTTCCTTAGTCGACGTATTCGTTTGTTATGACATGAAGGTCAGTTATAGTAGAGAAAGGAGGAACAAGTTGTCGGTATCCGTCGGTTTAGTCTCGTGTTCGTTCGTTTCGCCTAGTCTAAATCGTTATCGGTTCGAGATTCTGTTGATTCACTTATTTTTCTAGATATAGATATGCATTCATTTCATTTCAGATTAATTTCATCTCTAGTGATCAAACATAAATGTCATCATTCGAAAAGCTTTTGTGCAAATATGGAAAAGCAAACTTGTTCCTCGATAAAAATAAAGCTGACGAAGCATTGAACGTATGTGTCATATGTCTATGGCTCTTCACTCAATAAACTTTTACTTCGTATCTTTAGGAATTAACAGGCATCATTGACGAACTAACAAAAGATAAGACTTCAATTGCGAATGCCTAGCTCAAAGACTTGTTGGAAACATCTTGTTTAAAACGAATTGAGTTAAATTTCATGAAGAACCACTTTCAAGGTAAACCTCCCAGGTCAACAAATCCGACGTTGGATCCGATGGGAACCGATAGGATTCCTGGTGACGGAATTGCATCGGATTTCGACTGAAACAATCCATTTATTTGTTGCAAATTTTATGAGTGTTATTTTTAGCTAGGTTCTATGATGACCTTTAGAAAATCTGTGTTTCGGATCCGACAAAATCCGATCGGATCCGAGTATGGGATTTGTCGACTTGGGCTGTACATTTTCATCAAGTAAATAGATGAATTCATTGATGTGACTACTTTTTTTCACTAGATGTCTGTCTTGATATCGAAATCTTGAAGTTAATTCAATGCGACATTTATGCAAATACAGATATTGTCTTAAAGTACTTGTAAGTCAACTATTTTATCATACACATGATGAAGTCAAATCATCTTGAAAGGAAGCTTCGAGTCGTGTGAACAAAGATACGCTTCACTACGAATTACAAAAGATTCATATACATTGTAAGTATAGATGAATTTATTTTTCCTTCCTCATTTCAGCTATAGACGTAGAAGCTGTGAAAGAAAATATCCCATTGAATTTTGATATAGAAAAGATACATTCGAAGTAATTCCGTTAGCACTAAATGAAAATGGCATTGTTTTTGTTTTTCTTGTAGAACCACTCCAAAATCGGCCAAACGAAAACATGTCTCCATAGTTTGATTTCTTGTTCTACATTATGTAGTTAAAAGTTTTTTGTGATACTTTTTTCTGATTTGTTTCGAAAAAAAGTAAAATAGATTACCAGTTGAATCATTCAAAGTCATTCTTTGTGAAAAAAAGCTACTCAAAAGATCAAATAACATCTGTCACTGCTAATTTGCTACGTGAGAACTGTTTCGAAAGGCAAGAATTCTTCGCCATATGCTATTTACAAATTCAGATCTCCAAGAAACAGTCCAACGCTGTGCTAAAAATACTTTTAACTATGTCAAATAGTCGATCGACTTCAATGCATTTATTCACGAGAAAGCAAAGATTGTTTATTTCTCATATTTTATTCGAAAAACAAAATAGAAAAACAATAAACTATTGATTTACTGTTCCACTCACTCAATCCTAGTTAATCATTTGTCTTCTTATTTGTCGTTGCCGCTCTTCAGGAGCATTCGATGGTACACCAGATATGTTGGAGAAATGAATANTGGAAGTTGTTCCAGAAGATTTTGACTTAAATTCAATGTTTCTAAATGATCGAGCTTTTCGAATAAATCATCATTTAACCGTTGAATTTGATTATTCGATAGATTCAAATGCCGAAGATCGACTAGGAGTTTAACTTCGATGGGAATTTCTTTCAATTTGTTCGAGGTTAACGTCAGTGTTGATAGATGAGTTAACTTTCCGATATCTCCAGAGAGATATTCGATTGATGGACATTGGCTGATCTCAAGAAAATTCAATTGTTTCAATGTCCAAATCGTCTCATCTAACGCTTGTTTTTCTTCATAATATTTTCGTAATTTATCACCTGATAAAACCAATTCGTATCGATGATTTGATGCGACTTGTTCAACTTCAGGCCAAACCATTCTTCCTTTTTTTTTCTCTTTATCAGTTTATATCGGAAAACAATGTGGTCGTAGCAGAGAATAAATAAAAAAATCTTGTGCAAGACAATGACTCATCACGAGAGATTTCTTCCTCTCAAACGACTTTTTTATTTTAATAAAATTATCGAAAAAATTCTTTTTCTTTTGTGTTTTTCCGTAAGAGAAAATACAAAACTGGCATAAAGTCACCATATAGATGTCGCTAGTGGGTCAGTCTCACTGTTTGTGGATGATGAAGATGATGTCTGAGGAGAGACATCAGAAAGGATCAAGACAAGATAATGTGGTTCGTGTGCATACTTCTGATCGATTTATTCGACGATCTAATCAATTCTCACTCATAAAATCATAGAAACAAATGATAGGACGTTATGTGAATGCCGAAGCCAGTTGTTGTAGCTTTGAGCCAGTCATGAAATCACATCTTATTCTTTTGCAATAGTCGTTCCATCGTCGACCTTCTATAGTAAAAAAGACGTTTCTTTTCTTTAATTATTGCCTTTCTCCCTTGCTGACAATTCATCGCTTTGAAATCGTAAAACACATGACGGAACTTCTTGGTCGTTTTCGATATGATATTTGTCGTATGAATAAACATCGAATATGCGAAACAGAAAACAAAGAACAGTGACTATCTGTGTATCTGTGACTGTGTTCATTCACGTCAAAGCAATGCCATCGTTGACCACTTTGCTTTCGTTGCCTAACGAATTACTTCTCTCGAATATCTTTATTCAGTCCTGGCGTCTTGTGCAGCCGATATGTGAACTACCGATAAGAACGTTCGTTGCTTTACTGTTCAACTTGACTTTAACAATGACCGAACAAATATTGACCGGTGGAAAGCATGATTGTCGCATGTACACAAATTAATAGAAGTTCTTTTTTTGTTCTTTGTTAACATCTTCACACAGTTGTGGAGTGATCGTAGTTAATGGTCAAAGATGATAATGGGTTTACGAATAGAATTTTGTACACTCTGAATTCGTCGCGTGGATTTCGTGAAACGGTTTTACTATGGAGATTTCAAACGAAAACATACGACGAAATATAGAGATTTCTCACTCTACTTGGAGAGTGTTTATCCCTTCTATGAATTCGACTGAAAAAGGAAAGCTTTGTTGACATTCACCTGTTTATTAACATCTTCAACAAATCCTCGACTTTGTTTACCTTGATAGAATTCAGTGGAGAATCATCTTCGTTATTGTTCACAAACATATTCATCTATAATCTGGTTCGTGTCCTCATTTTTTAACTCTTATCAACTGGAGACTATACACAACAGCTTGCAATGTATCAAAAGAATATTTATTGATATAATACAGCATGAAAAACTATGCAATAGGGCCGTTTTGATCCCACCACATGAACGAAGGATTAGCAGATGTTTTTTGGTTGTGTGGTGGTATTACACTAGATTCACTCGACGATGTTGTATCATCGTTCAATCGGCTTTGTCGATAACGAAAAGCGAAAAAAAAATATCAGCGATGACACCAATTACCAGAAGAATCCAAAGCAGGCTGAATGAACGCGTTTGTTCGAGACTTGTGAGTTGCATTCAGACGTGATTGAATTTAGAGCAAACTTCCCAAGCTGAACTGTTTTCATTTAACCTCACTCTGCGATGTTTATCGTTATTATAATTCAATTACTACATTGCTTCGTCGAATGATAAATCTTGAGGACTTAACGTTCTCATTGACAGTGAAAAGATCTGATTCGATTCATATCGATGGTGTTAATTTATACAACGGAATTTTTATTCATATGTAGCCAAAGAAAATACGGTGACTAATTGTTCAGGTGAGAGTGACGAATAGTTTTACTGCTGATGCTGCTAGTTTCAATTTTGCTAAATTGAAAGAACTTGACGCATGCGGATTATCTGATCGACCAGACAATTTTTCCGAATATTTTCCTTTAATCCACAAATTATACTAAAAAAGTGAACCTTAACCCCAATTTCCACAAAAATCTTCTGTAAAATATTCGAAACTACATGTATAAGTAAACATTCTACAAATACTATCAAACAATGATAACTCCATAATCAGAGGATGACTTTCTTCCTATTCTATTACGCACACATTGTTTTTTTTTTCTTTATATAGACACTCTAACACTGAGCAAAGTGAATGTGTAAGAAATTGATTATTATCTGAGAGATAGTCGGAAAATCGGATATGGCGACTTTCTCATAGACAAGTCCTTGAAATATTTCCATTGTGGTGATCGTTTTCTATGGAGATTTTTGACAACAGTTACAAGACAGCGTCATTGATTTACTAGACATGCATCTCATCTGTTCTTGTAATGCTAATTTCCAAGCATTATCTGATGCACAACACACGAAAATGTATAAATAAAGTGATGAAAGATTAATTTTCATATTATATGTCACATATATGATAAATTATGGGCTCGGCTTATAAGGAAGGTCGGTTCACATTAACAAGTTTACAATCCGTCTTGTTGCTAATCGGATAAGACAGTGTGCTTTGACTTTATCTATGCTACTAATTTAATAATAGTTCTTATCTATAACATGCATTAGTTTTGTAGATGAAATGTCAGAGAACAAGTAACGCTCGTCGAATACTTTATTAGCATCTTTCTCTTACCGAATATGTTTCTAAACACCAGAAAAGTACTTGAACACTTTTGCGAATTACTGCTAGATTTGTGTGTTCGAGACCAGTCAATGAAGTGCAATCACATGCGCAAGTAGGGGGTTTCTATGTTTTAGACACTTCAGTAAGAATTTTTTTACTCGAAGTAATTATAAATAATTGAGTGCCCCACAATGAACGCCCACTGAGAAGAGTATATATAATGGAAAACAAAAGAGAAAGGAATTGAATTGACCTGATAAAACTTTCTCTAAGTTCAAATGATGTTATTTGCCCGTTTTATTCTATCGTTTGTCAAAGTCGGCGAAAAGTGACAAAAATTAACTCTCTGACACTTATATACCTCTCAATCTATGTAATCATCTTAGATACGATGATTCCAGACGAGCCAATCTTTTTATTAATATCTTCATCAAAGTAAATGATTACAGAGTCATCAAAGTCCGGAAGAGAAATCACAAACGGCTGTTGAAATGGTCTCCTTTTATTTCGATGTAGTCGTACTTTTAAATTGATTTCGTGCTTTGTGAAACATTATCCAATAGTCATCGACCTAAATCATTTTTCTTAGTCAATGAATCGATGACATATGTGAATATACATGTCTTGTTCTTCTGTTCTTTCGTCACTAAGTTTGCTTCTCATTATGGAAACACATGGACTGTATCTGCAAAGTATGCGAAATATTTGGAAAATTATTGTCAGAAAAGAAATGCGCGTTGTTCACTATCAATTACAGAAGGAAATCACTTTCCGGATGTGTAGTTGGACTTCCTGCAGATAACAAGGAAGTAAAGAGCGGTCAATACCTTAGGCATCATCTTATCGTTATAAGTACGTCAATTGCTCTTGATGAGAAAGAGAAAAAAAAGAATCTTCTTTTTCCTTACAGAGGAAAAAAATCTTTATTATCATTCCAACTAGTGTTTTCTCTGAGATGAAAAGTGTCAAAAATAACAAGTGGGAATAATAGCGTTTCTCAAAATATCATTAGGAGATACAAATCAGACAGAATAAGGTCAAGCTATCGATCTTCAACGGAGCAAAGAATTTAATTATAAAATACTTGGGAAAAAAGGTAAGAAAATGTCTTGTGTAAAGCTAATAATGAATAAAGTTTAGTTGTTTTTTTTTTGAATGACGATTGAAATAATTGGTCCGTTGACATGAGAAATTTCACTGAAGGAGAAATAATTCGAAAAGAACTTGCTATTAAAGATAAAATTAATATTCCACTTGATAGTTGTTTCCGTTTGGTTAGAACGAGATAGATTTTCTATATCATATATTGGTTTTCTCCTCTCATAACGTTTGTTTACAGTTCGCTATGGATCTGTATTATGATAGTAAGAATATCTTAGCTTAATAACAATTAAGAATTTGCCTTTGTTTGCTTCATATAGAAAATGAGATGATAATGTACCCGCCTCCATTTGCAATTTTCAATGATACGATGACAGATGAATCCGAATCTTCATCAATCATTCTTTCTTCATTGCTTGGAATTGTTTTAAGCTTAATTGCTTTTACAACAGCGATGGGCAATATTATCGTACTTTTGGCGTTTTATTGTGACAAAAAGTTACGTACAATCAATGGTAAGTCATCTCAGAATTGACTTTTTCTATACTTGCTCTTGTTTCTTTACAAAAAAAAGATTATTTCATATTGAATATGGCTATTGCGGATTTTCTTGTTGGATTTTTTTGCATTCCTTTTTATATTCCATTCAGGTAAGTTTTCTAAGGCGATTTTTGCTTCTTCTCATACCAATGCCAGACAAATCCGATCAGCGAAAATGAATTTCATATTTTATTATGTATAAATTTCTTAGTTTAACGCAAATATGGCCATTCGGAAGACTTTTCTGCAAAATTTGGGTAAGACAAACATGTTGATCGTGTTCGTCAACAATGCGATCTCTTTAGGTCACTGTTGATGATGTTGCAACGATGGCCAGTGTGATCAATATCGTCGCAATCACTGTTAATCGTTATTGGTCAATTGCATACCCAATTGTCTATCGGAAATATATGAAACAACATTTTGTTTCCATCGTTATGTGTGGAATTTGGTGTCTTTCATTTTGTAGGGAAATGCTTTTCAAGAAGAAGAGAAAAAACGACCTTCTTTGCTTTTTTTTGTAGTAAATTTTGCACCAGGTATCTGGTTGATAAATTTTTCTTCAACGGAAACGAATGTTACTCGAACCGATTGTTCCGGTGATTATAATAATTCATTTATTTATATGCTAATAGCACAATTTAACTATTTTATCTGGCCATTTATTGTCTTATGTGTTTTAAATATGTTGATTATGTTAAATATCTGGAAACGAAGTCGTAAAATGAGTCGCCTCATAAATGTGCATCATTTTCCAAAGTCTAAAATCGAAAATCCGATGTCGTCTTTACATGGAACAGAGAAAGATGGCGAAGATGAACAAGGTACACCGTCTGAAACGAAAGTTCAATTGAATCCACTAGAACGTCGTGTAACGCTCGTCGTTGAACGAAACGAAAATCTAATCCGGACCTCTTCATCCAATCAAAACATCAGCACTCTGTGCCGACCTCAGCCACCCATCGTTCAACATCGATCTTCCAAGTAAAGCCTACTCTTTCATCAATTAATTCTTCAAGGTCATTCTCTTTTCTCTAGTTCATCATTGACAGTGCGTTCTTTGCGAAAATCTGCCAGTACAAATCGTTCAAGTTCTCGCCGTTATCAGAGCGAAACGGTACACGAGTGTGACCTTGATGCCTCACGAGCAAATTTCGACGACAGAGGATCATCATTTCGTTATCGACCAAAATATCGTGAATATTGTCAAAAGCGTTCGCGGATTATTCGCGATCGGAAAGCGGCTCGCTCTTTATTTATTCTTGTTATTGTTTTTCTTATCTTCTTATTTCCATATGTGATATGTGCAACAGCATCCACAGCTGGTTTAAAGATTTCTTCGCTTATCTACGAGATTTCCTTTTGGCTCTTGTGGTTGAATTCGACGTGTAATCCAGTTCTTTATCCATTCATTCAGACGAAATATCGAAAAGCCTATTTGAAATTATTTCGATCGTGCGCAAAGTCTTTGCCATTCTCGTCTGTTGGATAATAGAAAACAAGTGTGTTGTTGTTTATTTTTTGTTAATAAAGCGCGTCTTTCTTAAACAAAGATTGATTTTCTTGATTTGTGTTTATCATTTGTCATTTTATCCAATGAGAGAAACAATATCAGTGACATCATCAACACAAAATAAATTGAGAAAGCGATTGAAAAAGTCGACAAATCTGTCCAATCATGAACTTTCTCTCGAACAAATACAGAAAACGATTCCGCTTTTAGCACAAGCATTTGCTCATGGATTTTTTATTGAAGTTAATTGTCGAACTTTATCGGAAAATCTTCTCGATCAATTGGCACATCAAGTATATGAATTCGTGCAGAAGCAGGAAGAACATCTCAACCGTTCGCTGATCTTCCATTCATTTGCCGATTATTCACTGTTGAAAGAGTTCGTTCGGAAAATTTTTATCGGCGATTTCGAAGAAAATCAAACGAAGAAACGTAAAGAAATTCATTCGATGAACATTTTCTTATATAAAACCAAAGATGATCATCCATCGATTCAAGAAATTCTCGTCGAAAACGAAAAGCAACAATTTGCTTCGCGTTGGTCGTTGCCACATGAACAATTCGAGTCACTATGGGAAACATTAGAATACGATTTACCACTGAAATCACAATTAATGCAATACGTTTTCACCGTGATTCGTTTCGATAAAGCAAATGTTGATCGCACTGTTCTGCATTGTAATCAAACTATTCTTCTTTATGGACCACCGGGTGTGTCTCTCGTTTTGCATCTCGCGTAATGAGGGGGTGATGACGTTCGTGAGAACATTCATTCAAGAACTCACTGTCAATGTTAATTATATCCTCCCGCTATGATCTCGATAGTTAAATTAGCTGCGCCCTAATATCCTTTTCCGAACTTCCGGATACAGATTACCGTTAATCAATCTAAATGTCTATTTCAATGTATTTTAGGATGCGGGAAAACAACACTATGTAAAGGCTTAGCTCAGAAAGTGTCGATTCGAATGAAAGAATTGTTTTCTCGATTCTACTTTTACGAATTAAATGCCGGTTCATTGTTCTCCAAGTGGTTTTCGGAATCGTCACATAATTTAACTCGATTCTTTCACGATATTACACAGATTTGTCTTGATCCAATGACATTTGTTATTATTCTTATTGATGAAATTGAATCTCTATCGATGTCACGAACATCATCATTGTCATCAAATGAACCATCAGACATGTTGCGTGTCGTCAATACGCTTCTCACACAGATTGATCGCTTGAAATCATTTTCGAATATTCTCATTTTAACAACGTCGAATCTTATTGAAATCATCGATCAAGCGTTAATCGATCGATCTGATTTAACTTTGTTTATTGGCCCGCCGTCACTGAAGACAATTTTTCATATCTATCAAGCGTGTTTAGATGAGTTAATTGAAAAAAATCTCATTCATTCGTCAGCGAGTCGACCCGAAGAAATCAAAGGTAAATTATGGAGTTTGGCTGAAGAAAGTGATGGCTTAAGCGGAAGAACGCTGAGAAAACTACCGATGATTGCTTTTTCACACATACAACAGTCAGACGATTTTATTCAATGTGATGAACTTTTCAATGCTATGCACGAACAATTGAAACACAAAAAGAATACAAATGATTATTTACATCAATTGAACAATTCCTAATAGCAATTTTCTTTCGTATCAATAAACAAAGATCTTTTTCGAGAGAAAAATCGTCGCTCAGAATCTATAGTTACATACCATGTTTGATAAATCGCTACCATGACGTTGTGTTTGTTGACCTGCTCGTAGATTGAATGGATTCATGTAATAATGTATCTAACTGGGATTCTATTTCTAATTTGAAAACTTATATAATAAAGACATAGGTTAGGAGAGCAATGCGAGCATGTTGAAGTAAAGCATAATAATGAAAAGTTCATTGAATAGATCCTTTCGTGAACAGTTGTATTCAGGGGTATACTCATCATTTCGATAGATGAGACTAGCGTTGGAAATTGCGAATAAAGAAGAAAATTTGTCAAAACAAAGCACATTTTTTACTACCTCAGTGATCACACTTTTTCGCAGACGAAATAAAGGTTGCAATAGTATTCATAGTGGTGTAGTCTTGTATCAACGAATTCTGCTCAATCCTCGATTTGTACGGACTTTCTTCTATATTCGCAATTTTAAACGAGTATCTTATCCATCGAAATGATAACTACAACCCTGGTTCCAACTTTTCACAGGCTCTAATCTGATATAGAATTCATTTGGTGCCCAGCTCGAAATCATAGTAGTTTCCCCTACCAAAAAAGTTATGCACAATCCGGTATATTGAGATTATTCTTCGATAATTATCAGAATTTATTTCCTCAGTTCATCTTTCTTGTATTCATCAAATATTTATACAGAAGAATTCTGTATTAAGAATCAGTTTCTGAATAGTTGAAAACTTGACTTGAATCTCCAACTTTAACACAATAAGGTAGAAGTGTAAATTATTAAAACTCAGTGTAATAATATCCCTAGAGAATTTATTTTAATTATAATAATAGAACATTCTATTCAGTTATACATTCAATTCATTTTCAAAGGGCTAAAATAGAAGAAATCGCAAGAAAGTTAAAATTGTGACATAAAAACAGAACAGAGTTCCTGTTACACGCAAGGCAGATGCAGGAACGATAGGAGTAGTAGCATTGGTATCGAAACATTGAAAAAGTGCCATGTGAATATCTGTCCCTGTCTCACCAATTGCTTGTGCTAGATGAGTCGGTCCAAGAATATCAGCATTTGTGAGAAGAATCACACCAATACTGTGCTTTTCATTGACTAATACTAAATGTGACATACCTGGAAGAAAACCAGTATGACCAATGTATCGACGACCATCACTCATAGTATTCCAATACCAACTAAGACCATACTGGGGTGGTGGCGGTGGTGCTCCTCCTCCTACCCCCGTAGAATCACGCGTCGAATCTGGACTGTAAGGCGGTATAAGTCCACCGCCAACTACTGTTCGCATTTCAGCAATAGATCGAGGAAGAAGAATCGAAGAGCCATTGTTGATGAACATGCGAAGATATGTAGATAGAGTCTTAGCTGACATTCGTAAGAGACCTGAAGGATAGAAATTGAAGCTGAAGTCTGGAATATGTAGCCACGTAGGAAAATTGCTCTGCAAAAACAATATTCAGAATGAATATAACTAATCAAAGTGATATTTTTACTGAAATCGGTGTGATATTCAACTGTGGTATAAAGTGTTTCCATCCTTCGAGATAAGATGCATTGAATGCATAATTATAATGTTTAACAAAATTTTCTGTAGTTGCAAAATCGGATAGACGGACACCCGTTTTACTAATATCTACACCCAATGGTTTCAAAATGCTTTCTTTGACATATTCACTATAGGGCATTTTCGATACTCGTTCGACAACCAGTGCAGCTAGAGCGGAACCTTCATTGGAATATGATGTAACACTGCCTGGTGGCTTCGGTAACCAGTTTGATGTGTTTGGATTCACATACTGGTAAACGACATCAGCTAAAGATCTTTGTTCATAAGCAGTATCATCAGGCTGATAATACGTATTTTGCACTGCATAGCTGACAAAGATTGAAGCTGAGTGTGAAAGTAATTTCCGTAGAGTAATTGAATGAGACGGATATTTAGGATGAAAGATTCGTTTTCCAGGTTCGGATAAGTATTGATTAACATCTGTGTCAAGATCGACAAGTTCCTTCTCGACAAGTTGCATGACAGCAGCGGCAATGAATGTTTTCGAAACAGAAGCAAGAGGAAAAATTGATGTGTTAATATTCATTGGTATTGGTGGTACTAATGACTGGAAACCAAAAGCTTCTTCATAAAGTGTGTGAGTAGCATTGATCACGATGACTGCGGCGCCTGGAACTTGAACCTTTTTGAGAGACTCTATTATCCACTGACGATCTGGACAATTCGAACCAGAAATATTAATTATGTTGAGCGTAGTTATACATATTATCAATGATAATATCTTCAGCATTTATTTCTTTTACACGAATGATGATTTTTACTGCTGGAAGAATTTCTTGCAATTAAATGCAACCAAATTTTGCGTATAAAAAGCTTTAAATAGAAGAGAGAGAGAGAGAAAAGCCTTTTTCTCACTGTATTACGTAGGTCGATCTTCATATTAAGACTCACCTAACGTCAATATTGAAAGATAAAACAAAGCACAAATATAACGATAGTCTTCTTAAAACGTATGACGTCAAAGATAGAAGGTAAAAAAGTGAGTAAGAAAGTAGGGCAAAGGAATCGCAAAACAACGATAATATGTAAGAAGTACTCAGAAATGAGTAACAGGCTCACATTTCGTTTTCTATTACTGGTATTCAAGGACATCGAGATGAAGAGTTGTTGTTGATTATCGAATTTCTTTACTTAAATACTTGTTTATTGCAGAAATAACCAAGCAACGAATATACATAGCTATGTGTTTAAACAAGAGACGCTCACTACGGGAAATAATAGGCAATCGACCTAAACTAATATTATCGATGGATGGGCAATTATTCCACTGTCTTTTCGGTGTCAATTATAGTACAAACAAATGAAAGATTTTATTTAGCTTAAGTAAGAAAACGGACATGTGAATTGATTTTATACATTTGAAAAAATATATTCACAACGACTTTGCCTAGTAGTGCGTCAGCTGCCATTTGATATGTGATGAAGAAAATTAATATTCAACTCTGTCGTAAATCTCTTCTCAACAGCAAACCGCATGTAATATTCTTTGTATATAACATGAAAATTAAGAATATTATTGGATATCTTACGGTTCATATCACTTCTCATTTTATTTTATATTTATCCAAATAATCCATCAATCGACTTGACGCATCAATAGCAACTGAAATTAGTCATTCAAGAAACAAATCATGATAATGAGCATAGTTTCACTATTCATACGATGCCATACAATGATAAAGAGTTTATGTCGTGTTCGTTGTATAGAAATACTCAGATATATGTACAACTTGATTATTTTTTGTCAAAATGCGTAAAGAACTTTCTTTTAAATAGGTTTTGTCAAGCTGCGTTCAAATCATTGAGATTATTTTCATGTTTTTAAGAATTATCTATCAGATCAGACACTTTTATGCGAATACTACAAATGGCATACATACTATCCGTTCGCTGAAAATAGTTAATATGACGTTAATCGGTTACTGCATATGATATCATACAACAGAAGTCATTAAACATGTCTTACAGATAATCAAGTTAGTTTTAGTCAGATGATGTTTTCAATTGGCTATAACCATTAAATGCCCTGGACTATAGAACGACATTATTCATTGATGAACAAAGTTGCATACGTTTGTACAATCAATTACCTCAAGTGACAAATGTCGCGTTTCATATTTGGATCTCACTTGTCAGTCATTATGCGTTGTTGATGGTAAACATAGATCGACTATGATGATTGTCAAACTGCGCCGTTTCATTGTTAATCGTTTCCACGAACTGACATCACTTCATTATTAAACATGAATTTAACTTATCTTATTTGAAAAAACAATTACACGAACTCCGAAGATTTAAACTGGTTCATTGTATGATATATGTTTAATAAATCTAGTTATATATATAACCCATATGTGGACTGTAAGATAGATCTAAATCGGATGCAGGTGAGCAAACACCTTTGGTGAAAATTCATCGCAACGTCGAAGGAAAAGCAATGTAAATCGTGTTTCCTTGCTCTTTTCATTTTAGAAGGCAGGAAAAAAGTTTTTTTTTCTTTTCTTTCTCCGCGTTAATGAATCGTCGGTTAAAAGAAGTCTAACGCTCGACAAAAAACTGAAGAATCATGTTGGCACACGCACGTGCTGTGTGAGCTTTGAAATCACTCTCTTTTGTCTTGACAAAACGATGAACAACATCTATGATTTTCATGAGAAACAATCTAATCCATGTTCGGAAATTCATCCTACCGACACTTTCGTTTGGAATAATTTTATTTGCCTATCATTACTTTTATAAATCATCGTATAACCTACTGGATTTGACCACGTCCAACAAGCTCATACCGTCAAATGCGTCCCGTGATCAACATAATGGAACTTATCTATGGTCATTACGTCTTGCTGATGAGACTTATTTCCGTATAGCAAGTTTATTACCATGTCGAACTGCTGAATATGCTCGAGGATCGCAGAGATATCAAATGAGTACATGTAGCAACTCCTCTACAAATGAATTCACCATCGCAAATACATTACAAGCACAGAAATGGCTATTCGATCATCAGCATCCGAGAAATTGTTCGAATAAACGATTCGCTATTATTCGCAAATTCGCATGGTCAGGTTTTGGATCAACAATTCATCAAATTGCATGGGCATTTGGTAAAGCACTGACAGATGATCGAATCGGTGTGTATGAAACACCCGGTGATTGGGTAAGTCGATTGGTTTCTTTTTGTTATTTGATCCATTTGTTTGTCTTGTAGATCTATGGGAATTGTAAATCCATCAATCCAGATTGTTTTTTCTTGCCAATAACAAACTGTTCAGTTCCGACTGTTGTTGATGGCACTCGAACGATCTATATCAATGCTAATATTGGTCAGTGGAAAGATCCTGTTCATCCACCTGTCTTTCAAAATCGAACTTTCAACTGGTATCGTGCGCAATTGGTCTTTTATCTCATGCGTTATAAACCTGAAACATTGATTGAAGTACAAAAGATTATCAATGCATCTTGGAAAACATCATCGATAGATTCTTATCGTCCATTTATTGCTGTTTATGTTCGCCGATCGGATAAGATTATTGGAAGAGAAATGGATCGAGCTTATCCATTGAAAGACTATTTTGATCTATTTGATGCAGACGCTCGTCGTGCCAACGTTTCCAATATCTATGTAAATTCTGAAGATCCAAAAGCATTCGATGAATTTGTTCAACTAAACCGACAAAAACAAGGTTACTACAAGTTATTCAGTATCAAAGCAAGAAAAAACATTGTTTTCTCTTTGTTGCTACGCATGCCTCGCAACCAGCGAGGACAAATTATCTATGAATTTCTCACTGATCTATTCATCGAAGCAAATGCAGATCTTCATGCAGGAACATTAACTTCGAACTGGTGTCGACTTGTCGATGAATGGAGACTGACACTCGGAAAAGCGACAATTTATTACACACCAGAGAAGAAATATTTGTTTCGTTGACGAATTTCTTTGGAGAATATGTCAACGATAAAGAGTATTGTCATTGAGAACTTGATCGAATTGTGCGTGAGTGAATTAAATGAGGCCAAAGTTGAAATCTTTTCGTTGTATCTGCGGTGTCTTGTTTGAATAAAGCGTTGAAACAGCGCAATCGTAGTGTGCTTTTTTATTAATATTATTCTAACTATCATTTATCGTTGGAAACCTATGGTAATTATTCGATTATTTCATACACCAGATCTACGACAAAGTCTGAACAAAGATCGAAATAAATCAAAAAGTTGCCTTCTGGGAAGAGTTATTCTTTTACAAACAATCTCACCTATATCGTTAACTGTAATAATGGAAGAGTTATTTATAAATTCTCTTATAGTCAATACTAATCTTGAAATACAACAAAATTTGAATAACTGCGGATGATTATTTATCTTTTTAAATCTGAACATCTCGGTTTTCTCAAGAATCAATCCTGTTTGATGATTACGTTTATTTATTCATTTATCCACGTATTTCGACATTTTCAAGGTCTAGATGATTATAAAAAACATCTTTAAGAAAAAGAACTTATGTTAACGGTGTGCGTGTTCCCATCATAGTTCACGTTTCAATAGCAGAGAAAGAGAGAAATAAAACAAAATGAAAATTTCTGACTTTATAATCCGAATTATCCCATGCAACTCTATTTGTTTTAATAGAGAAAAAAAGTTGTTGAAAAGTTCTTTGCAAACTAAGAAATCCTGTAATTATAAATATTGAAATGTTCAATTTGTTAATTGGCTGAGCTCATTTAAATCACACATGTTTTTTTCTCATTTTGAATTGCTCTTTCCAGAACATTTAAGCACAAGTTATTTGAATTGATCGTATGTTAAAATATCGCCGAATAGCTTGTTTCGTTTTCTTTCGATATGTCTTCGATGATAATGTATATATGTAGAAATTGAGCTAAATAAAATAGAACAACAAATTACTTGATTTGCTCGAGAAAGAATAATACTAAGACTTAGAGTAGCGACTTATAATATAAGAGACGAATTCCTAATACACTCCTACACATACTTAGGAATAGATAGCGATAGATTTTGTTATACATAGTCTCAGGAATACTCTCACCCGAGCTATATGTCAGTCTATGTCCATCGGTATACACAGGTACAACTAAATCTATCCCTATCTATTCCTAAACGTGTAGGATTATACATCTATTTATATTTGAACTGAGAGTAGTCTATCAGATATCCATTTATAATATAAGTCGAATTAGGCAACTCATGAATCTATATAAGGCAAAGCAAAAGTAATTTTTCTTACCGTGAGATAAACATAGGTTAATATTGATGCAAATGAACTAACAAAACTTTCAATGGCTATTTCATCTGCTGTTTTCTTGTTATTTGTTGCAACCAACATATAAACAACATACACGGCATTTGGTAAGTTGAGCATAATGTAGAGAACAACTTGTGCAAATGAAAGTCTTGTTAAATGTTTCTCTTGTTGCCGTTGTGCGTCCCAATTATTCGCTTGGTTATGTCCGCCCATTTGATCGTTATGTTCGATTGTTCCAGTAATAGTCATCACAGGCCTTTTGTTGATCGTGAAAGTTTTTGAAGAAATAACGTTTTTTTCTCGTCGTAAACGTAATGCACGAATTTGTTTGATCATCAATAAAGTAAATACACTCATCACAACAATTGGTATAATAGCATCAATCGATACAGTACATACAGTCGTAAATGTACTATAAAAACCTGCTTGTCGACCACAACTTGTTCCACCACGTGTATTTTCATAACCAATTAAAGTATGTACATAAAAAATTGCCCAAATCAAACAACTTATTGGAACAAGCCGTTTTGCTACTTTGAAAGAACTAAAGTTGCGCAAAGCAACACTTGTTGATGTAATTAAAAACCGATCAATAGCAATTAGACATAGAAAATGCCGCGTAAGTGTTAAAAATAATCCCGAGATATAAGCACGACCTTTACAGTACCAAAGTGTATTACGAGATGGATCAGGTACATCTAATGTTGGTAATATTCTTGTTAAATAGCTGATATTGATTAAAATCAGATTTGAAATAGATATAATAAGAAAATAGATTGAACATACACTTGTACGTAATGGCTCACGAGCAAAGACAAAAATATTAAGAGTATTACCGATATTTCCCATGACGAATGTGGGACAATAGACATAGCGAGCAAGTTGTACACGAACATCAGCAAAGATCTGTGTTAGTGCAGATGTTTGATTTGTTGTCGTTGTCATTTTGTCGAAAGAATAGATGTGACTAAATAAAAGGATGAGAATTCACAGGAAAAATAAACCTAAACATGCAAATGCAGAATACTATCCTCTCGCATATTAATCTGCGAAAATGACAGCTTTCATTATATTTATAGATAATTACACCAGATGTTTTGTTAAAAAACATAGGAAAACTACAATATGTTATTAAAAAAGTTTTTCTCTTATTTCTACAAGCAGATTTCAATCCAATCAAATTTCATTCCTATAGTCACCCATTTCTGCTCCTTTCATCTGTCAAATACAACTGCGTAAAATCTGTTCTAAATAACAAAATATTCTTAATATTATGCTCCACAGGTGTTTAATTTTTTATGATTAACTTGCAAATGAAAAAGAAAATGAGAAGGATATGAATATTTTATTGATAAAAGCACCCTAAATCTAATATGATAAACTTAAATTCAATTATTCAAATACGTATTCAGTTATTCTATTCCAAATGAAAAATTTTTGATGATTATAATTGAATAAAATTTCACAAGTCTGATTTTTCTGCAACAAATCTAAATTAAAATCCAAATCTTACTGATTATAATCCTAATTTTAATTTAAGACGCCTATCTTTATTATATATACCAAACTGATAAATGCTTCCAATTTGAAAAATCTACGGCAATGTTTATGTTACTGACTTTGATCGACAGTGTTTATCCGCCCGATATTTTGTTGATCAATCCATAAAAGTATTAACAAATATTGTCGAGAAAGTGATAGAAGAACAAACCACCATAGTGACTAGTCAACAGCAAGCCGTTCAAAAACCTACTCAAACATTAATTAGTGCTGGAATATCACAAGCAATTATTAATACGTATGTTTAATCCAGGTTACCAACTGCCCCAAGTCTCAAAAGGGGTGTAGTAAGTCTAAAAGGGTATACGCAATTTAATTCTTTTCAGGCCGATGGCGAAGCTTGAAGTCAATTTCGCAGATTAGTTTCGAGAAGAAAAAACAGTGCTTTCAATTGATTACTTTGGTTTAAAATGTATACTTTTCAAAATCAAACGGATCCACTTGCGTGGAAGAGCGGAGTTAGCATCTATCGATGCTGTTGCTCTATCATCTTGATCTTCAATGAAACTTGTCTCTTTGTCGACATCTGGTCGAGATGAACTACTCAAGAGATTCGTTGCTTTGATAGTCGAAATCTATAACAGAAGTCCATGTTCTGAATCGTTAAACAAAGACGAACTGTCAAACACATCAACTGACTCAAAGCGAATTAAAACAGAGAAGACAAATAAATTACCTGGAAAAAGACGATTTAAGTCGAAATGGATCAATTACGTCGATGGCTCTCGCTGATCTTTTTCAGGGTGTTTAAGACTTAAACGAGAGAGGGAGACATAACCAGCGACAGACTTCTCCAATGGTTACCAGTAGACCATAGTATGGTCGATTCACGACGACTCAGTTATTCAAACAGACTAAATATCTGAGAAAACGGCGGAACTTTTCAAAGTCTCCAATCGAAATATACACGACAGTAAAGACATCACTGAAAGCCGCGAATGGTGTACACTTGGTAACGCCGAATCAGAGATATGATCAATAAAATGTTACAGAAAAAAAGAAAGATTTCAGAAATTCTGAAGAGGAATATCTTCTTTATCATTCCTAAACAGCACCAAATGTGGCTTGTAGTGCTTAAATCTTTGAATGTTGAACGAAATCAGTATAGGTCATTGACAGCCGTGCAAACAATTTGAAGAAAGAAATTGTGTTGTGACGATAAATATCCGATATGGATAGGATAGTTCTAATTTAAATATATACACCACATATAACAAACGGAAGTATGGAAGGCTATTTACGTTACTAAATAGTCTCGAAATGGTGATGTAAGTGAAGAACTATGAGCGAAGTTTGGTTCGTTTGTCTAATATGAAGTGTTTTGCAAGTTCGAATCGATATCACAGCAATCCATCTTACCGAACGAAAATGAACCATCTGTGTTTATTTTGACGTTTCAACGGATGGAGAAAGAAAAGAAAACTATTCTTTCCACTCACTATCGATTTATTCGAATGTGATACCGTCGAATAGTTGTACATGACGTTATCGTTTCTTTTTTTTTCTTCTTCTGCATTCGATAAAGCTGAATGAAAGTGTGAACAAGTGCATAGTCATTTATTCTCTATACTCTTCTCGTTACATTCAACGCAATCTACGAACAGTAGTTCTAGCCAATCCATATATGAATATCAGTTGTGTACACAAGATCTCGATTAATTACACATGTCGATGGTAATTGTTGTTGTAACCATGAAACAAATTCATCATCGTTTGTCTCTTCGAAGGGATCATCTTTCGATTGAAGATTCAGTGCACGAAGATTAGTCATATTATTAATCAGATCAGGTATTATATCGCGTTTTCGTACTCGAACGAGTAGAACTTCACATTGTTTGCCCAAAGGCGACTGTAACAGCATAGTACACTCGTCTGTATCAAGATGTTGCCAGGCATATCGCAAATCGAGTAGAGAAATTCTTGGATGTGTAAGTCGAAGGAGCGATAGACGTCTGGGATGTAACGACCATGGATTAAAACCGAATGAAGAAAGATTAGGCATTCGATTCAGGAGAGTTTGGAGATCAATATTAGCATCCGCACTATCCGTAATGCAAACGGTCAAGGAAGTCACTTTTTCCAATTGAGAAATACGAGACAAGAATTGGTTTGGAATGGAAGGATGAATCGATAAGTCCTTGACGTTGTTGAAACGAATAGACGATACAATTTCTGGTTGAGTGACATGATACTCCATGAGAAGATCATCAACATAATGAAATGATGAGAAAAGTTCATTGTTGGGACATGTAGATAGACACTGCATCGAAGAACTCGTTTGAAAATCTGCAAATCGATAGGGTAATGTATACAGACAAGCTTGACCTTCTTCATCCCATTGACATTGAACGAGCCATTGACGTTCTTCAAGCCAAAATCGACCGCGAAAGGATCGAAGTAAATCAGCTACTTGTCTATCCAAATCATGTCCATTCTGGAAATAGAATTTCATTCTCAATCGAAAGACTTGAAGATGGGGTAAGTAATCACGAAAAATCATTTCCCATTGATAACCATTGAAAATTGGACTCGATGAATGAGAATCAAGAGAATCAATATCAACGATTAATTGCCTTAAATTCAGCATCGTTTGCAGTATGCGCTCTAAATGATTTTCTTCTATGTGAGATAAATGTAGGCTAAAGCGAGTCATTGATGGGAACTCATGTTGAAAAGGGTCGACCGGATCAGGAGAATCCATATTGAATAGAATAGAACATCGTTCTAGACAAGGTGTGTGCCGGCAAATAGTATTAAATTGCATTTGATCATATGTAATACTCCAAATAGATAAAAATTTTAATGATACCGACCTGACTGTTGGTAAAATAACTCTATTTTCTTTGAAGCTAATATTCAGATAAGAGTAAGTCAGAGTCGGCAAACTCCAGATGGCGTCGATGAAATTCTGACTTATGTTTTGATCGCAAGACAGATAGCAATCAGCTAGAATTAAACGATTAAGAGATCTCAATTGAGAGATTGTTGGGAGCATTGCCTCCTGTAAATTAATGGCATACAATGAAAGTGATTGTAAATTGGGTAGTTGGTGAAGTGCTAAACCATGTTCAAGAAAAACTTCCATTTGTTGGGGTGTGTTATCATCGTTAGAAAATCGCAATGAGGTTATTTGATTGACTATCAGCGGCAAATACTCCCGACAAACCAGACGAAAATCACGCAGAGCTATTGATCGAAAATCGATGGTAGAAGTGCGAAAATGAGCGAAGAGAAGTTGATTGAAACGAAAATTGAGATTGTAGACGGATCGAAGTAGATCGAAGGTAGATAAACATCGAAAGATTTCGATGAACAATTCATTGGGTAAATCTTCCAGAATCATCTTGCTGCTGAAGCTTCTCTTTCATAAAATACTTTCATTACAAAATATGAAATAGTGACATCATGTTGTGCAATCACGTCTCTATGCATTTGTTTTCAATCGCGAAAGAAAGAAAAAATTTTCTTTGGTGTGGTCATATACATCGTTATGTTGTCAAAAGAAAGGAAAAAAATCCATTGAAACCTTCATTACCATACGTCAGACCGAAGTGGAATAATAATGCGGGTGTGTATCATCTCATCTTCATACAGTTGTTTGTGTTTTTATTGATACGAAAAAAAAACTCATGCAATAGGACAACACATTTAAAGCAGTAGTTTCTACTTAATACTTTGATCAAACTACTTAGGAACAAACACACAATGCGAGTTAATAGAAGCTGCTTTCAATCAACTTTAAAGCCCGTATGATGGGAATTATTTGTCGGTACGTCTTGATCTTGTTCCTTCGTTGTAGTTGCTTGATTTGACGAAGGAACTTTTTCCTGTGTAATAGTTTGTTCAGCTAAAGACGGCGATTCATCGGAAAGAGGTGTACTCCTATTCACTGACTTTTGACCGACTACTGATGATGTCGTATTGTTTGGAGGCGGAAGGCTTAGCTTTTTCAATTCAGTTATTTTCTGTTCCAAATTTTCACATTCCTTTTCCTTGAGCTCCAATTGGTTTACCTTCTCCAAATATTGAGGCGACTTTGTTACATCAGGTGTTACAACAGGATGGAAACTAAAAAGTCCATAGACCGATGTTAACGCATATTTTGATCTTGTAATAATCAGAATGAATAAGAAAAATAGAACGGATGAAATTACGATTGGTGATGCAATAAAAGGCACATGAAGCATTAAACCAGCAAAAAATGCCGAGATGCTTTCGCCAATCTCACCAAGTGGCGTGATGAACAATTGGGCCACAGTTAGCGATACAGCCTAGGAAAGACTTTCATGAACATTCTCATGTGATCATTTCAAAACATTACTTTCGCTAGTGTAGCATGGGCATGAGGGACGTTACGTAAAGCTTTTTGATATTCGAGGCATTCATTATGTGATGCTTGTACTGTTCGAGTAAATACCAGTTTCATCGTATGAAAAAATCCATGGGAATAACTTAAGCAATGTTGCGGTAAAGTTTTGATAAGTACTGTATCGATTTTCGCCAATTCCTCCTACAAAACATATTCACTAAGTTTTTTTGTGTCAATAAAAGTTGGCCCAAACAAACCAGATAAAATCCGTAGCAGTTCTGTACAACTGATATGATAAATATAAATGTGAACATAATTTTAAATGTTCGTCGAAAATGATTTCTAACTTGAAGACTCATAACTACGGTTAATCCGACGCCAGTTGCCAGAAACACACCCTGCAAGAAAACATCAGTCGACGAAGTTGAATTTTCGGTAAAACAGCACTTACGAGAAGTACTTTCCCTAAATCCAATGATCGTAATTTTTGTGACCAGGTTTTCTTAGAAAATGAAGGTATAAGTTCTTCGATTCGAACTGCACTTTCCTTGAGAAGTTTTGTTACCATATGTACTTCATTCAAAACATTTCCCTGAAATGTTCGAAACATGAAATAGGATAGAAAAAGAGTGAACATCAGACATGGAATTCTGACAAATGGATTTAAAAATGATAAGAATCTGATTGAACCGATCATTTTAAGGATGCAAGGTGATATTCGCTCGTATAAAGATGAAATAAAAGCGCATTTCAAAGACTTTCTCGATCTTCAAGAGGTCGAAACAGTTCCCACTGAACTGATATTTTTTGAAGGCCTCGGTCTCGATAAATTCCTCATTATTCAAGAAGATAAATCCTGGTGGGATTGGAATGCGTTTGCAGTGGCTATGATCGGACTTACTCAAGTGATCGGAGGAGCTGTTCTGATCGCTTTTGGCGCTGTCAACATCGGCAGTGCGTTGGTTGCCGAAGGTCTTTCCGATATGATCTACGCGACTATGGCAGGCTTATCAGGACAGTTCAGTTGGAGAGATTGGGCGATACAGAAATCGATTAGTTTTAGCGTTTCGTTGTTAAGCGTAGGCATAGGTGCTTTGTCATCGATAGGATCAGTTGCAGCTAAGGTAGGTTCAGTTTCGAGAGCTGCATTGTTTTTCGGAGTCGTCAAGCAAGTAGCACAACAATTCGCTCTGACATGTTTGACTAATATTATCACGGAAACGGTAATGGAACAGGTGAGAAATGGCATCATACCAAAGATTGTCAAAACAATCGAAGAAACGTTATTGAAAGGGATATCGAGTGCGGTCAGAGCTAAAGTTGAAAGGCTTTACTCATCTGATAAAACTGACGGCAAAATCGAAGAGGAGTACGGCAAAATGAAAGGACACCTTGTAGACGCATTATTTGGTCATCAGTTATTGTCGCGAGAATTCGAAAGTATTCGATCACAAGTTGTTAATGCTTTACAAAACTCCTATAAAGCGATTGCCGAAGGTTTCAGTAAATCGAGTTCGAAATATGTTAAAATGATTGGTGCGGCTGCTCAAGTAACGCTATTTATCGATAAAATGTATAACGCAGTGAAATCGTTTTTAAATGTAACGAGTGTTATAGCGACGTTGAACAATATTATCGAAAGTTCTGCGCAAACAAATAATGAAAATGTTAAGAAAAACAATTCCAATGCTAAACTTGTCGAAGCAAGAGCAGAAGAATTGATGAAACATGTGAAAGATTGTATAACGAAAAAGTTAACAGCACTACTGGACCAAATTTTAAGAGCAATCATCAATAAAACATTAAGAATGGTTGGTACAGCGCTAGCAGCGGGCATGCAAACAATGGTTAGCTCAGCAACTGAAAACAAACAACAAACAAAGGAGAATAAAGATAGTCAGGTCAGTGTCGAAGGACCTTCTCCGAAAGACTGTACTCAAAAAGATGAAGATGCTGAAAAGAAGCGAGAAGATTTACAAAATAATGTTAAAGCCTGTAAGACACAACAAGAAATGTATGAAGATGAAGCAAAAGATACAACACGAGGCAAAAATCTTGCTGATATTCATTTATTATCGAATGCAAAATGTCGAAACATTATCGTTATTGATACTGAAACAAATGAAGAGAAAATCATTAGACCCGATGGATTGAGAAAAGTCGTTGCGTTTTTTAAAACCGATGCTAAAATTAAATATATACCAGGTACTGAATATGGACAAATGGGACATTACACAACTGCACGGGGTAAAGAAAGTTTTGTCCAAAAAAATGGACGTAATGATTGTTTATTAATCGCCTATCATGAATCATTGGGAAGTAAAGTAGATGAAACTTTTATAGACAAGGAGCGCATAGCTTTTAATCAATATACTTCGCAGCATTTAGATTTGTATGTGACATATCGGACACATTTAGATGCAACTGGTCAGAAATTAATGATCGGTGGGAAAGTACCGCTCAGAAGTGATGAGGTAGTCACTCCGAAGAAAACAGTCGCTTCGGATGACACTGACACGAGCAAACGACCAAAACTTAATTCGAATGAAGAAGAAGAGAAGCGAGATCAAACACCACGCACAAGCAGGTCGCAAGAGCGAGAAAAAAAAGAAGAAACACCTCAAGTAAAAAAGCGACGAAGTTCTTCTGAGCGCAGAGGAACTTTTGGAGGTAGATATAAAGAACGAGATCGTCTAGCAGCTGAGCACGATACACCTGTTACAGGAGAAACTCACGAGGCTGAGCATGTTTATCCTTACGGTTCAGTGACTGATGGATTATCAAGAAAATCGCCAGCCGGCAGGCAACTGGCAAATGAGTCACTTGCTTATTACGAAAATAGAGACGCACATCGGCAACATATAGGCACAGGTTCTAGCCAAGGCAGTGTTGCTTATCGGCGAGCGACGAGAACAGCCTTAGTGGAAGAGAGAAGTGCTGGTAATGCAATTCAGTTGAATCAGTTAGAATATGCTCATACATCAGCCTTCGTTAAGAACAGGAACCATATAAGTCTTGAAATAAGCGATGATTCATTTTCTTCAATGCTGATGAGTGCGAGAAATAGACCTATACCTTATCGTGACAATAATAATTCATCTCCTCCAATAGTACAACTCACCGATACAGATATCAAAGAAAGCCTTTTAGCACGATGGACAGCAAGGCACGCGAGATATCCATCAAGCAGCGAGGCGCAAGGGATCATATGGAAATTTTACGAAGCATATAAGCTAAGATCCCCGGACGGAGCCCGTACTTTCTCTCCGAACATTTCTTGGAACTCTACTCCTCCGCAAACAGACAAGAATAAATTCTGTGGTACTGAGAAGTAATTGTATGAATATTTATTTGCCATTTGTTTGCTTAACGAAGAGTATAATCAACTCAGATAATTCTCTTGTATTTTCATTACATGGAATCGTTCAAAATGGAAATTCTCAACAAGACCAATATTTTAAACAATGAACATATTCCCATCCCTTTTTAGTTTTACTTTTGTACCTTGAAGCAAAATTCTTGATTTTATGTTCAATATTTTATAGCCGTTCGTTTTCTTTTTTCTCACTTTCTATCAAACTTGTACTATATACTCGCAGTTGACGTCTAACGTATACCAATATCTCACTATTTACATCGCACAACTTTGGTACAATGAAGAAAAGAAACTTCAATGTAACACTCTTCGTGAATTCGATGAGTTTATACTGTGCACGAACTTTTAATCGCCAAAGAACTGTGCTGGATATCAAAATTAACAACATTAATATTGATGATGATGCGAAATGAAACTCCTCAAACAATATCATCATTTCTTTCTTGTATGACGTACGATATGTGAAGAAATCAGTACAAGTTCTTTTTTGAATGTTTCTTTTTGTAATTTGATTTTTTTAGTTTTATTCTTTTAATTGGAGTGATGTCTTTGACGCTTATAACCAAAACTTTTTTTTTGTAAGTGAATAAAAAAAGTTGTTCGAATTTCTAGAAACGTTGACGATGCAAGTGCGTTTATTAAAGCCAAATATGGATTTCCGCTCTGAACTCGGGATCTCTGTTGATTAAACATGTTGGTGGTAGATGCTCTCTTAGCCATTGAATAATCACATCACCATATGTTCCCGTAGAGTTATTACCTTCGAGTAGAATAGTCAAAACACGAAGATTGGCCATATTATGAATTAATTCAGGTACGACAGACTTCTTCTCTATTCGTATGTACAGAACTTCACACTGTTGGCCTAGTGGTGAACGGCATAGAGCTGCACACTGGTCAGCAGTTAAGAAATTCGAAATAAATCGTAGGTCTAGTTCACGAATTTTCGCGTGTGCCAATCGAAAAATCGGTTGTTGCATACCAGCGATTGAAAATTGATGAAAACCGAGTGAAAAAAGGTTAGGCATCCGATTGATCAGATCTTGGAGTTCGACATCAGCATGAGTACTGCTAGTGGTGAAAAGAAATAGTGCAGTAACTTGATTCAGTTGACAAATATCACTCAGACATCGTTCTGGAATAGAACAATCAATCCACAAATCACGAACATTCCTGAAACGAATCACTGATGGAATTTCTGATCGAATAGGGCAAGATTTATATTCAAGACGATTCACATGATAATGGAACCAATGATGATCGTTGTTTGGACATGTCGACTGAAATTTCGTTGAAGAATCAAGCCACACATCGTTATATCTGTAGGGTAATGTATAGAGACTAGCTTCACCTTCTCCATTCCAGTGGCATCGAACGAACCATTGATGTTCTTCAAGCCAAAATGGACTCCGAAAGGATCGAAGTAAATCAGCTACTTGTCCGTCCAAGTCATCTTCATCCGGAAAATAGAATTTCATTCGCAATCGAAAAACTTTTAGATGAGGTAAGCGACGACGAAGGATCATTTCCCATTGAGAACCATTGAAAATTGGACTTGATGAATGAGAATCAAGAGAATCAATATCAATAATCAATTGCCTTAAATTCAGCATCGTTTGCAGTATGCACTCTAAATGGTTTTCTCCTATATGAGATAAATGTAGTCTAAAGCGAGTCACCGATGAGAACCTATGTTGAAAAAGATCGACCGGATCAGAAGAATCCATATTGAATAGAATAGAACATCGTTCTAGACAAGGTGTGTGCCGGCAAATAGTATTAAATTGCATTTGATCATATGTGATACCCCAAATTGATAGACATGTTAATGACAGTGACTCGACTGTTGGTAGAATGAAGCTATCTCCTTTGAAGCTGATGTTCAGATAACAGTAGGTGAGTGCCGGCAGACTCCAGATGGTGTTGCTGAAGTTTTGACTTGCATTTTGATTACATGACAGAGAACAATCAGCTAGAGTTAAACGATCAAGAAATCTCAATTGAGATATTGTCGAGAACATCGTCTCCTGCAAACTAATTCCATACAATGAAAGCGATTGTAAATTTGACAGTTGGTGAAGTGTTAAACCATGCTGGAGAAAAACTTCCATTTGCTGAGGTGTTTTGTCATCATTGGAAAGTCGCAGTGAGGTTATTTGATCGACTATCAGCGGCAAATACTCTCGACAAACCAGACGAAAGTCACGCAGAGCTATTGATGAGAAATCGATGGTAGAAGTGCGAAAATGAGCGAAGAGAAGTTGATTGATCCGAAGATTGAGATTGTAGAAGGATCGAAGTAGATCTAAGGTCGATGAACATCGAATGATTTCGATGAACAATTCATTGGGTAAATCTTCCAGAAGCATGTTGTCGCTGAAGTTTCTCTCTTACGAAACGTTTTCACGCAAAAATATGAAACAGTGACAGTATGCTGTGCAATCACGTGTTTATGCATGATCACTTTCAAAAGGTAAATGTATTTGTTTACAGAATGAGGATGTGGGTGTGGGGAAGAGGGTCGACGAAAACAGTATTCCACAATAACGTCATCGGCGCAGTGATATGAAGAATAATGACCACGTCACCGGATAATCAAATCGAAAGAATTGAAGTGTGTCAATTACTTGGTGATCGTCATAATAACCTCTATCGACATCACTTGCAGCATGTGATTTAGATGACCTCTGAGGCGAGTCATAGATAGAAAGCGGTGTGGAAAATGGCAGAGGTCCGCAAATGAGTAAAGAGAAATCTACCATATACATTTTGGTTGGGCTTTATTTCGGTAATAATAATGCATTCGGCTCATCGATGCCATAGTTAGGAATAATAGATTTTGTGAATGACTTACAAAGAAAAAAGAAGTTGTGTTTCTTGTTTTAGGCGTCGGTAATTTAGTTAAAAGAATGGAAAATATCTTTGTGCACGAGTGCATATAAATGACAGGAGAGAAGGATATTCTCATTATTGTCAAAGATGAAGTTTTGTGCTTCAGAGTATGGCCAAGTATTGCAGTTTGTATCACAAATCAGGTCGACGAAGTATCTTCGTTCGAATTAATCGATGAAACTCTCTTCGAAAGATTGTCGATGAAATCATAAAATTACAAAATGTCAAGGAGAATCCCAGATAGATCAAAACATATGTCATACTTTCTGCAAATACCTCACTTGTACGACGAAGTGGAGAATCAAGAAGTCGTAATGTTATTGATTGATAAATAAGATAAGCTGGATTAGGAACATTTAAAATAACAAACAAAACGATTTGATTTGCTAACATGCGATGTAACTGAAGATCCTTCCTGGATAATCTTGTCTGATTCGGTCGTACACCTGGCCCAATGCGGTTTTTCATTTGATGAACATTCCGTACTGTCAACAAACCAAAAGTAAGCATGAGAAGTAACGGTAAAACTCCAGTGTCGAGCGCGATATAAATACTAAAGAATATTCCGTAGGCATTTGATGGATATGTGCATATGCCGTCCTCTATGTCATAGATAACGATTACTTGAATGTACAACAAACTCCAAATTAGAACGTTTGCCAGAATTAGACGAAAGGCGATCTTCGGCGAACTCCTTTGACGATAAATCACCTCAGGTGAACTAGCGAAATAACGATCCATCGATGCTAGGATAATATCATACCGAGGAATGCTGACAGAGATATAAAGTAGATATGAAAGCAGTTTGCAATACCATAAAGAATTTCTCAAAGCATAAACACCATATCCATTACAAAGCATATGAGTCAACAGAGCGAAGTTGTAAGTGAAGAATTGAGAAAGACTAGCAGCGAGGAAAAATATGGCGCACGGACTATGACGGTAAGTCGGCTGAGTGAAAACAATGCACATTAGGATAGATCCGATGTTTCCGATCAACCAAATAACAGCCAGACCATATTGAGATATGATTTTGTTTAGAAAATTAACAAACTCGATTAATTGAGCTTGACTAGGGCTTGTGGAAATCAATGAGCTGTTTGCTATTGTGATGTTCGACATGATTTGTTCATAGAGTTACAAGAAGTAACAATCACTGATTCGACGGAATATAAATAAAGTCAGTTGTGATGTTGAGTATGCCGATATATATTCGAAAGTAGTATAGAAGCCAATAGATAGTACGATTATCAATTGTTGAGCTTTGGGAAATCAAAAATGAAAAGAAAAAGATTACTCCTGACTTTGTTCCATTCGTCTACAGGTTATTAAATCATGCAGAATGTCAGATGTTATTAAATTAAATGTATTTATAATACGGTGAAGTATGTTTTGTTTGTTAATAATCAATCAAATCATACTTACTACCACGATCAGTTATTTCATCTATCCATGTAGCATATTTGGGAGCTAGTTCTACCAAGTGCGCAATCGGATGTCTTCTCTATTATATTTTTGTACAATAAGTACATAGTCCTTTATATATACCTTCGTTTTTTGTCATTAAATGGGATGAGCAAAACGTGTCATTTGTTTGTCAGTTCACGTTTTCTGCTCATAAGTGTTTCACTTAAGATATTTTCGAGTGTATTCCTAGTCTTAGAATATCTAGTCAAGATATCTAGAGCATCTTCCACTTCAAACGGCTCCTACAAATGAGACATTTAATGAGAAGTAATAGAAATAGAATTCTAATTGAAAGCATGATTTTTACATTCTACGCTGATTTAATTCACCGACGTATTTGCTAGTGTACCAATTTTGTGACACATGAGCTGAGAGAAACTGTCGAGAAGTTTAACAGTGAAATTTCATTTGAGCAACAAATGCAACTCATACCAATCTGATGATAGCTGCTAACGAAGGGCAAATATTCTATTCACACAGTGCTAATCGAGATAGCACGTCGCTTCCGAGAGATATTGCGTCCAAATGAAACAAGAGAAGAAATTAATTCTAGAGTTTATTTATAAATGGATGCCTGTCGATTTGCCTTGAAGATGACATTCAAAATATCGAAAATTTAATAAATTGTTCTTTTTCTCCTACTAATGTTTTTTCTTAATATTCCATGTTATACTTTTCGAGCCGATAAACTGGTGGACCAAGTTTACTCATTGACAATCCATTTGCCATCTCCACTCGTCTGAGAAACTCGAGTCTTGTTTCACCAGACTGAACACTCATTGGATTTGATCCAGGAAGATTTTCAAATATCACGTCACCTACATCCATCGCGTCGTTCTGTTCCTCATAGTTTAGACTCTCCAGTTGTGCAATTGTACACACTTCATACCACATTGTCAATCGAATGCCAGCAGTTTGAGGATAAACAACTCGATGAATACCTGCCTTCAATCGGTTCTCCGTTGCTCGAACTGCTGCTTCTCCCAACCAAATAACACCGACACTCGATTCCATCGGTCCATCAATCCATTCATTTCTTCTCATATCTTTCAACTGTAGTCCTTCGTGTGTTGACAGAATACTGATCGATAGCAGACCAGGATCATAGTGTGGAACACAGTTGACTTCTTCCGTCGATTCTCCATTTTCCGGTGCTTTGAAGCCATTCTTCTTGTTGAAATAGGAGACAATGTCGAGCATTCCAAATTGCTCGTCTTTCAGTGGTAGATCTGCTTTCTGAATGAGTGTAGACAATGATGGTTGTGATTGGAAGACACAATGTTGATCGAGAAGCTCGATGAGTCGTTTTGTCACTGCATCGAATGCTTGAGAGAGATAGTTCAATGGTTGGACAAGATTTCGGGGAACTAAACCTTTGTTAGCAAACTGTCCATAGTAACTACCTGTTAACAGTTTTAGTCCTTCTTTGTGATCGACTTGAGAATAACCATAGATTGGATCGAATTGAGAATATCTCTTCTTGGCTGCATCACTTTGGAAAAACTTCTGGAGTTCGTGAGTCAAAGCGGATGTTGGAATAAGTTCTTTTGGTAAAGACACGAAACACCACAACCATTAGATTCGAATTCTTGCTGCATTCGTTGGATTTCAGTTGAATCATTTGAAGTCAAAATTTTGTTCAAATCAATGATTTCCTGTGCGCTTGAGTTTGGTAACGACAACATTTTCAATGTAGATTTTTTTGTCTATATTTCTTCATTAATACACATAGTGACAGTCGATTTTATAGAGAGAGGAAGTAACCTCTCTTGCGCAATATAATAGGCAGATGCTTGTCCATGATTCACCGTACTATCGACTGCTTATGCATGTTTGGGCAAAAATCCAATATAGACAGTACATACTACTGTAAAGGACGAAAACGTGAGTCTATTAAATCAATGAATCACTTTGTACATGAATAAACCATCTTGGCAAAAAAAAAGAAAAAGGTCTTTTTAGTTTCTTTGATTATGTAATTTCACTTAACGGCTTTCGAACATAAGTTAGTAGTTCATGAAAATACCGATAAAATGCTTGTTGATTACGATTTAAGTCAACATGTTGCTGAGACAGGTCTTGCTTTCGTTGTTGATAGTAGAGAACAGTAAGCAATAGGCAGGTCTTGGTATGAATGTACACAAGTAACTCTTTCGATAGTTTTAGACCAAAAAAGGCCAATTCATCATTCACAATGGTTTCGATTGACTTGATGTCTGCTGAGATTCTTCGCACCATTTCATGTGAAATTTTGCGCGCAGGATCTCGATTATTTATTGTTTTGTCGACATGTTGAAATATTCTGTTGCAAAATTTACTCATTTGAAGAATATTTGACCAGCAAAAAATATCTTCTTTCAGTTGTGTTAGTATGGTCATTTTGATACTGTTTTGATGGTCTGTTGTCGGGAGAGAATTTGACGTACTACTAAGTGGTCCGCGCTCTGAAGAACTTTTAGCGAGACGATTTTTATCAATATATTCGAAATTTTCCATCGGAATCAATGAACTCAGCCGAGGATTTTCTTGTGTTTGGATTACACATTTATCACCAAGCGCAACGACATCTGAACGCATGGTAGTATTCCATTCTTGTACTAAAGTTTTTCTGTCTAGCTCCACAAAGTTTGAAATCGCTTCAACTGGAAGTTTTTCTCTTTCATATTCGTTTTGATTGTAGTATTCTGCATGGACATATTCGATGGAGTCACTGAAAAGTTTTGTAGAGTCAAACTTTTCCATTTGCGTAGACCATTGAATCGCGAACTGATAATCGAATTCATCACTCGACCATACACCTTGACTACTGCTATTTTTATTTGTGTCGAAAGCCACTTGCTCCAATGTGCGTTGCATATCATTGAACGTTTCATTCAGTTCGCAATCCACTACAAGTTGAGGCCTTTGCACGACAGTAGTTGGTGGAAGCTGGACATTGGAATGATCTGCGAAAAGAATACGGTTTTAGTTCAGTTTGAGAAAAACGTAAAATATTAGCTTACCAGCAACTGGTTTGCTGACTGGGTGTACGATGATTGCCGGCGGCTCAGTTATCGACAACGGCTGTAGTCTCTGAGAGATATCTTGACGTAGAATTTTATATTGAGCTTGGGGTATTTTATCGATGATCCATTCAATTCCTTTGAGCCAACCGTTTTTCGTGACGTTATCGGCTAGGTGCTTACAGCGTTGATTTTTATCAAAAATATTGTTTTGATGGAATAGATGCTGTATTTCTTCATAAAAATACATTTGTAGGGCTAGAGTTAACATCGATTGTTCGTCGTCTATCTGCTCCTTCAAATCCACAGGGGCGATATAATTCTTATAAGCTTCTTCTTCTGCTCCATGGATGCCGTTCTCTGTTACGGACTTGAATAAACGTGCGAAGATGTTTCCATTTATTACATCTTCGTCGGTGATACCTTCGAATAAGAGTTGCAGGACGAACGACAATACGAATGACGAATTAATGTAATTCGTACCGTATTCAGCAAATCTTGTCTGGACAACAGAAAAATGATCACAATTTTGAGAATCTTTTTGTTCCTTGATCAAACGAAAAAGGTTCGGTGCACTCTGTTCGAGTAACATTTGTAATTGTATAAAGTAGTATTCTTTCAGTAATAGTAATAAACGTGATTCAGGTTTTTCACCTTTTGTCCAATTTTTTTCAGTGTTGAGTACATCAGGTTCGATCCATAACCCATACCGGCAAAACACCTGCCGGCCACCTTTGATTATTGCAGAGAGAACTCGATCTTTGTCTCTACCATCATGCAAATGTAAGTAGTCGGTAATCTGTTGTGATATTATTTGTGCAGTTGGAGGTACATCTGACGAGGATCCATCTAACGTTAAAATAATACATAACTTTCTTCGTGGTAAGTTCATTTACCTGGCTTAGGAGGATTGCTTGATGAAGAACGAACAGAAATTTCGTGTGAAATCGACTGAAGAACTTGCTCGTAGAGAAACGGTGGTAATTGCGATCGAACGGCTTCCATCCCTGATATCCAGCCATCTATCGTGAACGCATTTACTGCTGCATCACATAAATTATCCCTGTTTATTATACGATTTTTCTCAAATAATTCCGCGGCTTTCGACTTGAAGTATCCTTTTAACGCTAAAACTAATGGTGTTTCGTCTTGTTCACAATTTAAATGTGCTTCCAGCTCTATTGGTGCTATGTATTTTTCACAGTCTTGTAGGCCGTTAATCCCTTTAGTGGTGATCGAATTCCACAAGGTATCTAGAATGTCCGTCATGTGTACAATGCACGGAAATGACAGTTGAAGCACTAAAAATAGGATTTGTGATGCAGAATCTTTATGTTTATTGCCATTGTCTACTACTTGTTCGACTATTTTACTGAACAGATTCGAATGTTTATCCTTCACACAATCATAGAACATTTTGAGTGCTGACTGTCTCGGCAGTATTGTCTCCCAAGTTTGAACAACATTGTTCTGGAGTAAGGTTAACAATTCTTGATTGGATAGATAATCTAGAGGTAATTCAGCAGCATACTTTTTTAATGCCTGGAGTCCATTGTCTAGTAAATCTGTGATAATATCGTCAGCTTTTGGATAGTTCTGTAAGTGTAAACAGCGGGAAATCTGTATATAAATGTCTGGAGTGGAGGTTGTACTTGTTGTCATCTAAAAGTTTATTGGCTCTTTCATAACGTGTAGATGCATGATAATTCTTTGATATGTTGTGTACTCGTATCAAGTAACACGTGCATATTTATATATAGCTACGTGATGCAACGGTTTTTTCCCTCTGCGCGAGATCGAATGTGCTTCTAAAAATGATATCGAATCATAGTGAGAAAGAAAACAATGGGCACGTGTATGCGAAGTTATATGAATTTAATCTATTTATCGTCTACATACTACCCTATGTGAAGAACGAAAAAAGTATAAAAGTGGTGACGCTGCTTTTGATAACGTCATAGTCGCTTCCGGTAATTTCCAATTCGAGAGCAAAGAACGGATAAATTTCAGGGTACGATCCTTTCTATGTCATTCGTATGACAACCTCAGATAAGGTACTTACAGATTGAATACAGCTAGTGCGATGGCCACAGATTCAAGTGCTGAATTTTTTACCGAGTGGGCACCTGACACTCAAACACGAAAAACGTTCGACGCACTTCAAGGTGAAAAATCTCGCCTCTATGATCATTGCTTGAAAGAGAACAACAAGGTCGAAGATGAAGCATCAGTCGTACAGCAAGAAAAAGAGCAACTAGATGAAGCAACAAAACGAAGCTTTGAAAAATGTCATCGTTTACTAAGCCAAATGGGACAACAAGCACAAAGAGCAAAAGAACTAGAACATGAACGTCAGCAATTGATTAATCAGCGTCAAGATTTGCTACGCAAGCTCGACAATGATCAAAGCAAACTCGACAAATGCGAATCGAAATTCGTGGAGGTTGACGAAGAGATAAATGATGGTACAGAAGAATACGAACGATTGAAACAAGAAAGTCAACAACTTCAACAACGGCTCGATGATTTGAACAGAAAAGAAAATGAAAATCTTGAACAACAAAATTATCTACAACTGTCACTAAATGGACTACAAACGATCATCCAACGAACGCAAGAAGAATTACAAGAAAAAATGCAACTGTTAAACGACGAACAAGCGAAACTAAAGGAAACTGAAGAAGAGATACAACAATTGAAAGAACAATTGAAGCACATGGAACTTCAATTGAAACAAATTCAACGAGATCTCGAACGTCTCCAAGACGAACAAACGCAATTGAACTTCAAACAACAAGACTTACAACACGAACAAGAACAATTGGAAAATATCGTTGCGCAACTTCAACAATCCTTGAGACAAAGAGAAGCCGGTCTTTTACAGATGCAACTCGACGCCGATGTTCTCAAAGAGAAAATTCAAACATTGAATAAACAGTTGGAAGCGATTGAGTATGCATCGTCGTGTTTTTGATAAAAAAATCTTCTCCACTATTTTGTTCTAGTGAAGAGATACAACAGCTCACCGAACGATTGAATAATGAAAAGGAAAACGTTAATCGTCTGGAGCAACAATTACTTGAAAATGACAATGAAAGAAAAGCGTTGGAGACTACCAGGCACGAACTTATCAAGCGCAAACAAGAACTTGACGATGAACATGTCACTCTTGTCAATCAACAAGATGAATTAAAAGTTAAACAAACTGCTACCGAGAATGCGTTGCAAGAAATTAAAACAAAAATACTCGATATCGAAGGTAAACAGCAGAGATTACAGTCACAGTTAGCCGATCTGGATAAACAAGAAGAACTGCGCCAAGCAGCTCTCGTTCAAAAGACCAATGAGTGCGAAAATCTGTCGGAGGATCGAGACGAAGCGAATCGAAATTTACAACGAATCGAAAATGAGCGACGAGAAAGCGAACAAAGATTGCAACAAACTAAACAACACTTAATGGAAGCGAATCGTCAGTATGAACAGGCGACAAGCGAAGAGCAAATGGCATTGGTACAACTGAATGATGCAGCACATGAAATGCGGGTAGCTGAAGAAGAAGTACGCGCGAAACAAGAAGCACTTGAAGCTAAGCAAGCGCTTGCTGCCGGGTGTACGGTAATTAGTATACTCGGTTTATTTAGTTTTGGCAAAGCCGCTAAGGCAGCACATACGGCCGCAGTTCAACATGCACAACAAGAACTTAGTGAGGCCAAATCACGCTTAGAAACAACACGGCATCAACATCGAGATGCTCAACAACGACATTTAACAAGCAAAAATAAAACTGCCGACGCTAGTCGACAATTAAGATATAAAAAAGATGAACTTGCCAATCAAGAACAGATATTGCAAGTGAAGATCGACGAAGTGACTCACGCAAAGTGCAAATTCGACGGGTTGAAGGTAGCGTGCCAACGAGCTCAATTGAAAAAGAGCGAATTAGAAAACGATGTGAAAAGAGTGGCGAAGAGAATTACAGAAACTCGATCTAATATTAGCGTTGCAGAGACCGAATTACAAAAACACCAACAAGCCGAAGCGACGCACGACGCTCAAAAGAATGATCTTATCTCCAGATTGAAGACTATGGATATTGAAATTACAAAGCACAATCGAACGATCAAAGATCACAAGGAAATAATGAATCAAAACGAATTGAATTTAGCTGAAAAATTAAAAAAACAGCAAGATCTAACTAGGGAGATTCAGCAAGGAAAGCAGAAGGTACGATCAACAAAGCAAGCGCTAGGAGCCAAAGACAACGAAGAGAAAGCGAAGAAACGCGAAGTTACCATGGAGGAAACACATCTGGCATCGCAAAAGCAAAGTGTTGTTGAGTTGCAACAGCAGATTCAAACTCAACAGGGACGATTAACCGAAGTTCGAAAGCAGAGTGCAACGAATCGATTTGAACTAAATACTGTTGCTGACAAGTTGACAGAATTAACTGAAGAAAAGAATCGAAAGCAACAAAACCATGATGAATGTACGAACGATATAAAAAAGAAAGAGAAAGTCTGTCATGACAGATATGCTCGTGTATTACAGCTCAATAGCGAAATTCAAAGTTTAGAACGAAGACTAGCTACGCTTAATGAACGTGACAATCAATTGATGAAACAAATCTCCAATCTGGAGAAGGAATTGCAAAACAAGAAAACAACAACGGACAAAAGTGGTTTACGTCTGGAGAAAGCCAAAGATAAAAAGAAGTCCGTTGAGTCAGAACGTACTGCAGCAGCGAAAACATTGGAAGAAACAAAGTCTCGAACAGAAGATCTCAGATTGAAACTAGATCAAAACGCAAAGAAATTCAACGAAAATGACCAACTTTTTCATCAATTACAAGATAATCTTAATCAATCAAATGGAGAATTCGACATGAATGAGAATAAGCGTACTCAAGTTCTTGATGTACTTCACGGACATGAAAAAACGATGACAGATATAAAAATCTATTATGCTCAAACGCATGCCGAGTTGGAAGAGAAATCATTTGAACTGATTGATCAAGATATCCAACGGCGTCCGAATCATCGTTGGAACCAAATAGCACAAGTTCAACAGACTCCTGTTGTTCACTCCAATCAACAAAATCGATATCAATGACATCGCACATGACTAAGAAAAGTAATCCGATTTGTTTTTCGTTTCAATATATTTTCATTTTCACCTACTGTTAATAAATACCGAAACCGTTTACTTTTTCATCACAAGAAACGCTTGTTGTGGATATTTTCAGATACTTTGAGAGAGAAATGCCGTTTGTGAAGATGGAATCGTCGTTTTTTTCTTCTCCATCACCGACGAGAAGTACCCCCGTTCCGACTTCTTCCCCAACATCGCCAGCAACAGCAAAAACGGCCGTAATCATCGATGATCTGATTCTACGTGTGAAATTGAATTATCCTTACAAGGAGATTCGTGATTTTTACAAAGAATTATCAACGCCAAATGTAGATACGGCTATTGGTAATCCAAAGTTATCTATATTACAACTCTACGCATTACACGCGCTCAACACTCCCATCGATATGAGTAATCAGAGTGTACGTACTGTTTACCGGCCGACATTGAACATACATCGGAACGATGAATTTAGTCCATTTAAGTATAATTTTCTTTTGAATTTACTCGATATCGAATATACTATTGATGGAGAAAATGGTGGTCAATTTCCAGTACTATGGAAAACAACATTCGACACTAATGTGACTGTTCGGTTGATCGAATCAAACAGTACCGACAATTGCCCAACGACATCGGCAGCAAATGTCAATAAAAGCAATAGTCATACAACACTATTAGACTTATTTAAGACGATTTGTCGAGAACAGAAGTATGATGAATCACATGTAACTCTGTGGGAAGATAGTTTCAAAGGTATGCACACTCAGACAATAATTAATGACATCTTTTCTCGTTTAGCTGAACATATCAATACTCTCAATCACTTACGTAGCGTGACAAAGAGTAGTTGGGAGAAACTCTCGAAAGTTCCCGAAGTTGTAAAACAACTAATCAAGAATTACATTGAAATGAATGTAGATACTGCTGCCAGTGGATTGAATCCACAAGCGAGTGACCCGTACCAACATTCGAAAGCAACGTTATTTGCTGATATTCATCGAGTTCGTCGATACTTTTATTATGTCATACAAAAACTTCATTTACTTGCATATCTCTCGCGGCAAGCAGTGACTTTAGCAATTGACGAGGTCAAAAAAACATATGACGACGACGGGAATATTTTGATTAACATTCAAAACTATCTCAATACATTCTGTTTAGAAAATCGGCTCGAAGATAAAGATTCGTATGGACTGAAGAAAGCTGACTGGCAACGCGAATTCGATAAATTAACGCAGGCTGAGTTGAGCAATGATGAAAAGGAAACAAAATTAAAAGCCGAAGTTCAGAAAGCTGAAGAAAAATGGAAACAATCTGAAGAGCGTAGAGAACGCGTATGTCACAGTACAAACGAGGCACTGTTAAGTAAACAAATCGAGACGATATTGGAAAGGAGAACTACGAACGAACGTGAAAGACACGCGAATATACAAGAAGCAAATCGAATTAGACTTGATCATGAACAGAAGAAACTGGAAGCAGAAGAGAACGCCAGACAAGATTTCAACGAATACAAAGAAAAGAAACAAGAACATTGGAATTTGATTGCGCAAATACCAAGTGAAAAGGCTCAAATTGAACATCTAAAAAGTTTAATTGACATGGAATTCGAAGAAGCAGAGAAGAAATTGATGGTCAAATATGGACGAGGATTGTTGCTCTACGGACCACCTGGCACAGGCATGTCGTTCTTATAGTAAACCATTGAACAAGTCTATTTTTCTCTATCTAGGTAAATCTGAGTTACTTAAACGAATTGCCGTTTATGCTGGTATTACTATGATTACCGTACCATTATCTGCGGGTGAACTCAATCGTCCATTAGTTGGCGAAACGGAAAAACTTCTCGTGGATATCATGAATCGCGCTCATACGATACCTTTTCTCATCTGTGCAATGACTATCGATGAGATCGATGGGCTCGTACCAAAACGAGATAACAACGCTCAACAATCGAAAGTCGATGGCATCTCGGTCTTACTTTCTCATATTGAAGGTGTCAAAAACATTCCGAATTTGATCGTTTTCGGTGCCACAAACCGTCGAAATATGATGGATGAAGCGTTTCTTCGACGCATGCAAGCGAAGGTGTTTGTTGGCCGACCATCTCCAACAACACGCAAGAAGATGCTCAATCCTCTTGTCTGTATATCGAAGACTTTTACATCGCAACTTATCGATTCGTTAGTCAAAGTAACCACCAATTTTAGTGGTGCTGCTGTTGGTGCACTTCGATCAAGTATCGTTGTAGAAATCGATCGTAATCGAGACATTCATGATCGACGTCTTCTGGAACTAGCGGACACAGTTGCCAGAGAATATAACATTTGGTTTGGCATCACAACAGTGCCAGCTATTTGTCGTCTCAATCCGAAAATCTTTAGTTCGGAGAACGAAGATGAACACTATTCGCTTGATTTCCGTGATGTACCGCCGAGTGGACGCATTCTAATCGATTTGCAGGATAAAAAATGTTTGATCGAACTTCAAGAACACGAACCGACGATAGAACGTAATTTAGAAGCAAAAGAAACCGCAATTCAATCTCTTCTGGCGCGATTAATTCAAGGCTGTTCGACACGTAACATTGATACTATTCAAGTAATTGATTTAAACTTTTTAACTAAACAGAACGCCACCGATGAAAACCAAATATTCGAATCTTTAACGACTCTGTTTTTGGAATGCGATGAGTACAGTAAATCCATGCTCGTCTTCGACATTGATTCGTTGATTATGTTGAATAAATCAGATTCAGATATGACCAAGTCTACATCGATCTCGAACATCCGTCTCTATCAATTTATCCGTGAGAAATGTAAAGAAGCGATTGTCGAGCAAGAGAAGAATGAAGCATGTGCTAATCGGGTGAGTTTCTCCAAGAGATGACATAAAATTAACCACATCTTTTTCATTTTGAATTTAGAAGAATAGTGCTAAGCTCATTGAAAAATGGATCGTTATGGTTGTCAAAGATCCTTATCTGAAATCGACGTTAATCAAAGATATCGAATTTAAAAAGACGACGGCACAGATCAATGAAGAGACGTACGAAAAAGAGAAGAGTGAAGATGACGAACGTTCAAGAAAGTGTCCAAAATGTTTTCGAGATTATGTCCCAAAGGATACGAAATTTGGTGATTGCCACTATCATGATGGTTTTATTATCGATTGCGATAAACCAATTGAAACAGCGGTGGTCACCATTGAAGTCGCTCGACTGAGAATGCAGCAAGCGGAATTGCTCAAAGAAGAGGAGGAACATACGCCAGTGAAAACACCTGTTCCAAAACTTTTTTGGTCTTGCTGTCAACATCGTTATGGCGGCACTCACCCTGAATGTCGAATCTCGAAATGCGGTTTACCAGAAGAGCTGGAAAGTCAAGTAAACATGAAACGCGATGATTACATGGCTATCGTTGAACAACACTTCATGAAAAATAAAGTGGCGATTAAAAATGCGAAGAAGATCATAGAAGAATACAAGAAACGACCAAAACCGAGACTTATCTTGCCTACCAGCAGTAAATAATTTTTTTTCAACTGATAGCATTCGAAATTCTGTGCCTTTCATCATTGCGCAACATTCACCTATTTCTGTTTCATGCACGTAAATATGGCAACTATTACACGTACACACTCAGTGGATGACTCAGTTGATTTTATTATGGCAGAAAGCAATTAGATCAAAACCTTATAATAAATATGAAAGGCAGACACGGTAGAGATAGTACCTACCGATGTTTGGTTTAGATGAAAATACAAGCGCTGCATTCTCTTGATAAGTAAAGCATATGTTCGAGACTAATGTTTATTCATAAGAGAGAGAAAAATTCATGGTCTATTCAAGTTTTGAAAATTATATATTCGTTGAATATGAAATGTCATGTTTGTCTAGTTTATAGTGTGGCGGGCCTGATTTACTCATAGATAATCCATTTGCCATCTCCACTCGTCTGAGAAACTCGAGTCTTGTTTCTCCATTTCGTACGGCAATAGGCTTTGATCCAGGAAGATTATGAAATACTACATTTCCAGCAGCCATTACTTCATTTTGCTTCTTACTACTCAGATTCTTCAGCTGCTCGACGGTACACACTTCATACCACATTGTCAATCGAATGCCAGCAGTTTGAGGATAAACAACTCGATGAATACCTGCCTTCAATCGGTTCTCCGTTGCTCGAACTGCTGCTTCTCCCAACCAAATAACACCCACATTCGATTCCACCGGCCCATCGATCCATTCATTTCTTCTCATATCTTTCAGCTGTAGTCCTTCGTGTGTTGATAGAATACTGATCGATAGCAGACCAGGATCATAGTGTGGAACACAGTTGACTTCTTCCGTCGATTCTCCATTTTCTGGTGCTTTGAAGCCATTCTTCTTGTTGAAATAGGAGACAATGTCGAGCATTCCAAAGTGTTCATCTTTCAGTGGTAGATCTGCTTTCTGAATGAGTGTAGACAATGATGGTTGTGATTGAAAGACACAATGTTGATCGAGAAGCTCGATGAGTCGTTTTGTCACTACATCGAATGCTTGAGAGAGATAGTTCAATGGCTGGACAAGATTTCGGGGAACTAAACCTTTGTTAGCAAACTGTCCATAATAACTACCTGTTAACAGTTTCAGTCCTTCTTTGTGATCGACTTGAGAATAACCATAGATTGGATCGAATTGAGAATATCTCTTCTTGGCTGCATCACTTTGGAAAAACTTCTGGAGTTCGTGAGTCAAAGCGGATGTTGGAATAAGTTCTTTTGGTAAAGACACGAAACACCAACCATTAGATTCGAATTCTCGCTGCATTCGTTGGATTTCAGTTGAATCATTTGAAGTCAAAATTTTGTTCAAATCAATGATCTCCTTTGTACTTGAGTTTGATGACGACGCCATGGTGAAAGCAGGTTGTTGTCTTATTGTCGAATAATTTTACGTATAATATTTTTTCTTTCTGGTTATAGTAGCGCTGGTGATCATACGCTTCATTTTATACAGATACTCAAACGTGAATTGTGCAATATTTCTTTCGTTTTCTGTAATAGCGAAAAATATACAACAAATTATTCTGACTATTTACTCATCGATGAGTCATTTAAAAGAATATTTTTCTTTTTCTTTCGCAAATAGAAAAGGTTGCCACGGATAACCGTTATGGATCGTGAGTCACTGAGTCTATTTACTTTTCGAAGAGCTATGACATACTTTCTTCATCCTACTCGAGAAGGACAGTTTTAATAACTCCATTTGAGGCAATAATTTTAATAATAAAAAAGTTTGACTGTTGTGTTACCAACAACGGCCGTTTAATGCATAATTCAGCGTTTATTTAGAACCGAACTGCTATTATTTTCATCAATTCCTAGTTTTAATTATCTATTTTCCGATAGTTCTGATTGCCTGAATCTTAATTCTCTATCAGATTTAGATTACAGAGAACAAATCTATTCACAGTAGCACTTTTAGTACAAATCAGATTTATTACTTTGTTTTATATCATATGATCTTTCGAAAAAGGCAAAGCTATTGATGTCTTGATTAGTTCTGAATACAGAATATTTTTATAGATCGACATTTCCAATCAAAGGTTGTTTCATAATTCGTATATGTGAGAAGCTCTCATGGGTTTGTTAAATGGTATAATCGATTATTATCTTTGCACTTATTTCAATTGTTACCAATATGACGAGCGATTCGTTAATGCTGACTCCGTCGACATTGTTACATGCATCGGATACGTTGACGGTAATCGACGATAAGTCAGTTATTAGTATTTATGATATTCGCAGTAACCGACGGCGTTTATTCGTATTGATTATGATCGCTTTTTCATCTATTATACTTCCATTTTGTGATACGGTTTACTTACCAGCATTAGCTCAATTAGAACACGATTTGAAGACAAGTACGACATTGGTGGATTATACCATTTCATCGTATCTAGTAACATGTGGAAGTTTTGGTTTGCTTTGGGGTCCATTAAGTGATCGATTCGGCCGAAAGATTATACTTTTAATCTCGTTTGCCTTCTTTACAGCGTTTACTATCGTGTGCACGCTTGCTCGTTCGATAATCGTTCTATTAATTTTCCGTTCATTACAAGGCGGAGCAATATCTGCATCGTTGATTGTGGGACAAAGTGTTGTGGTAGACATGTATCCGCCGGAACGGCTCGGTTTCGCCATGGGTCTTTTTCTTGTTCCGTTACTAGTCGGACCAATCATCGGTCCATTTATTGGTGGCGCTCTAGCGAGCTCATTCGGATGGCGAAGTACATTTGTCGCTTTGATAATTATGGCAGCGATTTCGACAATTGTTATTCTCGTATTCGTACCGGAAACTCATCATTATTTTATAACGCAGCGTCAGTTGAAATTAGGAAAGAAAATCAAAACGAACACAATTCGCGAAATTCATTCGATTAGCAAACCTACTTTTATGCCACCATGGCGACCGTTCGTCTTCTTACTTGATATAACCATAGCACCGCATATCTTCGTATGCGCTACTATTTTCGGTACTCTATTTGTTTCGCTGACTCTGATAGCCAATCGAGCAGCTGACAAACCATATTCACTCTCGCCATTCCTTATCGGTCTCTGTTATATTCCAACTGGTACTTGTTCATTGCTCGGCAGTCTGTGCGGTGGTTATGTGTCCGATTGGTCAGCGAAGCGTTTTTCACGAATAGCGGAAGGTCGTCTGGTTATTAGCTTATTGGGTGCGACTTTATGTCCAATGGGATTGTTACTATGCGGGTGGACATTTCATTTCAATGTTCATATAGTGGTGCCGCTGATTGGTGCGTCGATGTTTTGTTTTGGTGAAACGTTTATATTCACAAGTGTTGCCGCTTTTGTTAATGTAAAAAGATCAGCAATGGCCGGTGCAATTCTCGCCCTTATCAACGCACTCAGTTTTGTATGTGCTGGCCTAGGAATTATCGGTGCAATTCCTTTAGTAGCAGTGATTAAATTCGGACCTTTGTTTAGTCTTTTAGCTGGATTATCATCGTTCACCATTATTATCGCCATGGTGGTTGTAGCGAACCAATTTCGAAAAACAGCATTTATCATCAGAGCATCCGATCTACCGAAAGCTGAATCGTTCTCGATCAAAAACAAGCAAATTATAGAGGAATCAACTTCACTGCAATGGTTCTAGCGATGTTTTTATACAGCAATTTTATCGTATAACACACCATGTAATTAATAAATCTAAATATACCTTTTCTCACTTCATATATTCTCTTAGTTTTTTTTTCTTTCTTTTTCTTATTATATTGGATGATAATAAACAGGTGTGTTATTCAACGATGACGGAAAACAAATTTCCTATATATGTATGCCTTTTATATAATGCACATCGTTAATATCTGAGGACATTTGATAATAATGGATCATTTGAATGTCTCAACTTTCCCACAAAGAGCATCGATTACTACAGAGCATTCTTCAAATGCATCGAGAAATACCTCAAATCAGCTTGTTCATCCGTACGATAACAAACTTCTCTTAGAGGAAACATTGACGAATTCTAAAAGCAGGTAGGTAACCTATATTTCATCGAATCGTATTTCCTACACATTTTTCTTCAAGTTGTTTTCCGTTTCTTTCATCATCGGTTAAGCGCACAGTTTTCTTCAGTATATTCACAATCATAAGCATAATCATTGCTGTTATCGTAGTTTGTTTAACATCACCAGAACCGCCAAGTATGTTGTTCATACTGAGTCGAATTCTTTGTTATTTAAATCCGAATTTAGGTGTAACATGTCGATATATCATCAAATCGGAAGCTGAAATTTTCATCAATGCCGATTCGTATCCAAACGGAATGGCAACCGGTGATTTTAATAATGATGGTCGAATTGATATTGTTACAGCAAATTCTGGAACGAACAAAATCGGACTATTCCTTCGAGATGATGCACAAACATTTCAAAATCAAATCACTTACTCTACTGGAAGTGGCTCTCGTCCATATTCAGTAACAGTAGCAGATTTCAATCGTGACGAGCAATTAGATGCTGCCGTAGCGAACTACGGTACAAACAGTATCGGAATTTTCTTCGGAAATGGTAATGGTTCATTGACATTCTACAAAACTTTTCCTCTTCGATCATCTCGTCCACAATGGATTGATCATGGTGATTTTAATCATGATACTTTCATTGACTTAGTTGTAATTAACAATGGTACGAACAATATCGGAATTTTGTTCGGAGATGGACTTGGCAATTTTGCCGAACAAGTCACTTACTCAACTGGATTCGATTCCGAATCGTCTTCATTGGCTGTTAACCATTTTAATAACGACAATAATCTGGATATTATTGTTACTAATCGCGGAACAAATACTCTTCTGATCTTTCTCGGACACACAAATGGGACATTTGCTAATCCAATGAGTTTCTATACTGGCATGAATACTCACCCGTATGCAATTGCTGTGAACGATCTGAACAATGACAAGTACATGGACTTTGTCGTGACGTATTCCGGTACAAATCAAATTGGCGTTTTTCTTGGTTTCGGTTACGGAACTTTTACATTGTAAAATCAGTACTCAGCTGGAAACAATTCTTTACCGTTATCAGTCGTTGTTGGTGATTTCAACAATGATGATCAACTCGACATCGCTGTCGGTAACTATGATATTCCAAATATCGGCGTCTTCTACGGAAATGGAACCGGTCTCTTCGCTGCTCAAGCAGTATTCTATACGAACATTGTTTGCAATCCACATTTAATTGCCACTGATGACTTTAATAATGATACTCAATTAGACATCGCAATAGTCAATTATGATTATAACTATCTCGATATTGTTTTGGCGCATAAAAACTATGCTTATTCAAAGCAGATTTCTTATCCAACCACTGGCGGTACATCTGGATCTTGTCCTCAATCGGTTGCAGTTGGGGATCTGAATAATGATCATCGGCTGGACATGGTTGTTGAAAACTATTGCAGCAGTACGGTCGATATTTTTCTAGGAGATAACAATGGAAACTTTGTTAAAACTAAGACTTATTCAACGGGAAATAGCTCAGGGCCCTACTTCGTTGCAGTAAGCGACTTAAACAATGATCAACAATTGGATATTCTTGTTACAAATTACGACGTAGATAATATCGGAATACTCTATAACGACGGAAATGCAACATTTCGAAATATAGTGACTTATCCAACTGGAGATGGTTCATATCCGTACTCTCTTGCCGTTGGAGATCTAAATAATGACAATAGATCGGACGTTGTCGTTGCGAATTATAACTCAGACAACATAGGTATATTCTTTGCTGATGCGAACGGAAATTTTAATGAACAAATAACTTATTCAACTGGACATAATTCTGGTCCACAGATGATAGCTGTTGGACATTTTAATGAGGATAGTTATCTGGATATCGCTGTTGTCTGTCAATATTCTTCCAGTTTGAATATATTTCTTATGGAGAACGATGGAGTATTTTCTAAACAAAATGTTTATCCGTTAGGAGCTAGCATTGAACCAAATAGTTTGGCTACTGGTGATTTGAATGAGGATGGTTACTTGGATGTAGTTGTGACTACTCTTTATGGTCGTAACATTCACGTTCTAATTGGATCCAGTGATGGAACATTTCGAAATGTCGCGATCTATTCAACTGGTAGTGGATCTCGACCATATTCATGTGCTATCACAGATTGGAATAATGATCAACATTTAGACATCGTTGTGAGCAACTGTCTTACAGACAACATAGTATTATTCGAAGGGTATGGAAATGGAACATTTTCTCTTGAACAGAATTATTCAACTGGTACCGGTTCGTGTCCCATGTCAATCGCATTCGGCTATTTTAATGATGATAGTCTAGTTGATATTGCTGTTACAAATCATGATAGTGATACTCTTGGTGTTTTCCTTGGATACACTTATATGAATGGTAAACGTGAAGCAACGTATTCAACTGGATCTGCTTCTCAACCGCGAGCTGTGGCACTTGGTAATTTCAACAGTGATGATTATTTGGATATCGTTATGGCGAATTATGGATTGGGCAACATTGACATTTTGTTAGGACATGCCAATGCAACTTTTTCGATGCAAACGACATTCTCAACTGGCGTCTTATCGTTTCCAACTTCACTTGCTATTGGTGATGTTGATAACGATGAGAAGTTAGATGTGATAATAGGAAACTCGGGTACTGAAAGTATACTTATTTACTATGGGTATGAAAACGAGAATTTTACAAGAACGAAGGTGTACTCGACTGGTGTTGGTTCATCACCACAATCATTGGCTATCGGTGATTTCAATAATGATAGGAAACTTGATATTGCTGTCGTGAATTCTGGTGCAAATAATGCTTTAACACTGATGAAATATGACATGGGAGCGTTCAGACAGCAAGTATCTCATTCGTTGAATGAACATTCTTCCCCACATTCAGTACGAGTCGGCGATTTTAACAATGATAATCGATTGGATTTTGTTGTTGTAAACAGAGATAGTAGCAGTATTGCTGTTTTTCTAGGACAAGGTAATGGAACCTTTTCCAATCAAACCACTTATTCAACTGGTGAAAGATCGAATTCCTGGGCAGTCACAACTGCTGATCTCACTAATGACAGTTATATAGATATTATTGTTAGTAATTATTGGCAAGATTATATCAGTATTTTTCTTGGCCTCGGTAATGGTACTTTTTCCAATGAAATAACTTGTTCAACTGGCGATGATACCGGATCATCTGATACTGCCGTCGGCGATTTTAATGACGATGCTCAATTGGATATAGTCGTTTCTCTCCAGTTTTCTTATAAAATATGTATTTTGTATGGATATGGTAATGGCACTTTTTCGTATGGAGAAGATTATTCCACAGGCAGTGATTCCTATCCATCGTCTGTAGTCACTGCCGATTTGAACCTCGATGGATATTTAGATATTGTCGTTGCCAATTATGGAACGTGGAATCTATATGTATACTACGGACAGCGAGACGGGACCCTTATACGTGCGTTCATTTTGTCTACTGGTAGTGGCTCATCTCCGCAATCACTTGTTATTGATGATTTTAATAAGGATGGTCGTTTGGATATCGCTGTTGCCAATAGTGGCACAGATAACGTTGGAATATTCTTTGGAGCTGTCAATAGTACATTTCTTAATCAAATCACTCTGCCTACAGGCAAAGGTTCTGCTCCATATGGCATTTCTGTCGGCGACTTTAATGATGATACGCAATTGGATATTGCTGTTGCCAATTATGGCTCTAATAGTCTAGGAATTCTCCTCGGATGTATCAATGGGACTTTCTTCAATCAGTTAACGTACAAAACTGGTGATTATTCTCAACCGTGGAGTGTAGCGGTTGCTGACTTTGATAATGATCATCGTCTAGATGTTGTCATCGCTAATTTGGGCACAAACAATGTGGGAGTGTTTTTGGATATATTATGGAAGATTTTCTAACAGCGCCTGTTTATTCCATACCATCTTCGTCACAACCGGCTTCGCTTGCCGTTGGAGACTTCAATTACGATACGCGGTTGGATATTGTGATTGCTAACGAAGGAGCAAATAACATAATGCTACTGTATGGATCAGGCTATGGAACTTTTACTGGTGAATCAGTCTACTCAACTGGTAATAATTCTCAGCCACGTTCAATCACTACCGCCGATGTAAATAACGATCAGCGATTGGACATTATTGTAGTCAATTCTGGTACGAACAACATCGGAATATTCCTGGGAAGCAAAAATGGAACATTCTCCGATCAAATAACATACTCTCTTGATGTTCATGCTCAACCGAGTTCCGTCGTAATTTTAGACATTAATAATGATACATATTTGGATATTGCAGTCGCTAACTTTGGCTCAAGCAATATCGCTGTTTTATTCGGTGATGGCAATGGAAATTTTGGCAATGGCTTACTATTTAACACCGGCTATCGTTCGTATCCATATGCACTCAACGTGGGCGACATCAACAAAGATAATCTAACTGATATCGTTGCGACAAACAGTGGCTTTGGAAACATTGATATTATCATGAAAGCATGCTCTTAGAATGTACGATAAAACTTCTCTATATAGTGAACACTATAAATAGACCTTTCAAGTTGTATGAAACAAAATAGGCAAAAATATATTTGACTGTACTATATATTTTCATTTAGTTTTTACACGAAAAATCATCGATTTTTATTTGTTTGATTCCTTTGGAGTCGATGAAGAGTTGAGTTAGTTGCGAATCCATTTATAAAACTGCTGCATATGATTTTCAGTGTTTTCTGAGTAAAGGGAGAAGATATACTTGTCTAATATTTTCCATTCCGTCAATCAGTTTTGATGATGTTTCACTAGCCATGTTATCGTTCTCATGATTATTATTATTTTTCTTATCAAATTCTTTATCAACGAAGGTTGCATTGCTGTCCAAGTCATCCCAATCGTTAGAAACTGGAAATAATTATGTGTCTATTTCTACGAACTCAGTTGCTGAAAGACTTCGTCCGGCAATCGAACCGTTGATTGAGTACCAGCGCCCCAAAGCGCTTTTGTCTAAACTACGGCACCAGGGGCTGTTGCAACAGCACAACGTGACGTTACATGTTTCGCGAGATATCAATCTAAATGAATTCAATCATATTTGATAAAATGTGGAAAACTACGATACTGGCGACAATGATACTTGAAATTCTTGATTGTACTTTGCTTAAGTGGTTATAGCTTCGATTGATACGTTGGAATACTGAAGATCAAGACTTTTTGACACAGCGAATGATGTATAGATAATAAAATTTTGCGCTTTCACTCGATCATAAGTTACGATTCTTTTTCTCTTCTCTTCAATTAAAAAAAAGCGTTCACTCTTCAAAGTTTAGAAGTGTTCGCTAAAGGCAGCTTTACTGCATCAATACTTTGCTTGTCTAATGACTATGATTCTGTTTTTGTTGTTGATGATAACAACTTCTTTTCATCATGATGATGTTAACAATGAATGTTCTCGATAAGATATATTCTTATCTAGCAGGATTGCATAGTCACATCGACTGTGAAGCATGATGAAGATACGTTTCATTTGTGAGCTTATTCTGGTTTTTGTCCTGGTTAGTACAATCCTCGCTGATTTATCGACTGAATGGGATAACTTCAAACACAAATATAACAAGCAGTATAAGACCATCAATGAAGAAAACGAACGAAAACAGATATTTTTTGAAAATTTAAATGAAATACATTCATTTCAACAAATGCATCCTGATGCAACCTTTACATTAGCAATTAATCACTTATCAGATCGACGTATTCAAGTATTTTGCAAAATTTCATGTAGATCATCAATTTCGTCTTTTTCATAGGAAATCGTATCTCCACGAAGAAAGTCAATTAAATCTTATGCATCGTCATCATCATTCAAAACGTCAACTGATGTTCAAGATTTACCCAGCAGACTTGATTGGCGTGAGAAAGGTGTTATTACAGAAGTGTATCATGATGAAGTAGGAATGATTGTTACTGCTGTTGTCAGCACCGGTGAGTATCAATAAAGAAAAAGAAAGGCTTGAGCATATTTCTTCTTTGTTTAGAACTCGTTGAAACGCTTCATGCGATCGAAACCGGTAAACTTATTGCAGGCAGTATCTCACAAGTATACGATTGTTGTCAACAGCCTGTTGACGCTTTTGATTGTATCAAGAATATGAGTGGTATTTGCCGAAAAGTAGATTATCCGAAGGAACTGGGCAAATGTCAACCGAATACATGCACACCATTTGCCACTGTATGCGTCGATTTGATGTATCGAAAGAGTGCAACGATTGGCTTTCTTTATTTGTAGTTTGATACAATTAAACGAATGGGAAAACCTGATGAAAATGTGATGCTAGAATGGATTCAAGATTCGACTTTATGGGCAGAGATGAATGTTCAGGGGAAAGGTTTTGTTACGTATAGCGGAGGTATTTACGATGAGCCATCGTGTGCTCAACATGATTTGAATGATGTCGTAAGAAAATTAAGGAATACTCTGCAGTTTGATCGAGTTGATATTGTTGTACAGGTACAAATTGTTGGATATGGCAGCGAAGAAGGAAAACCGTACTGGATATGCAGAAATTACTGGGGTACGTATTGACGACAGATACATTTAGCTATTCTTTCTTGTGAGTTTAGGCTCAAATTGGGGTGAAAAAGGGTATTTTCGAATTGTACGCGGGAAAAATATGTGCGGAATTGCTGATCTCATTATACAAGTGGCAAATACGAAGAAAAGTGTCGCTACTCAACAAAGTCCTCTTCTTTTCATCCTTTTTGTAGCAGCGATCATCCCAATGATTATTAATCATTAACGAAACTAATACAAAAATAATAAATCAATGATATTTCTGCGTTGATATGCTAGTAAAGTGTACTAAATCTTGCCGATAACTAACTCCTTTGATGATTAAGAACGAGCATGCTCATCAGTTCTTGATCTTCATTGCATCTAATGAAAGAAAACACAAAATAAATAAAATCATATCATCCAGACTCTTAAACGCATAACTTGGACAATAAATATATGATTGAGATATGTTTACACATTCCGCTCTGTGGTTGTCGATATAAAATTACTTGAAGATGTGCATGAAGCTTTGCCTATAAACTATAATGCTCAAACAAACTGGTAACTTCTCTGACGTCATTTTTTTTTGTTACAATGATCAGACACGGAACTTCGGGCGATTTCATAACCTGGAGTGCGTAATTTATTCAAATTTACTAGATCATCGAAGAAGTTAATAAATCAACACAGCGATTATGCCAAATTTTCTTGCCTGTACTTCGTCCTGTAGTATTCCATATGTACCTCTCAAACATTCGAATGCGTTTTCAGCAGAATTGCTTCGTATATAAGATCTCCAATCATGCCGATATATTGCATAGCCAATTTCCACCCATAACACATCCTCTTCGAATTTTTCAATCCACATCCACGAATCTTCACCATTTTCAGAAATATAATTCGTAGTTGGATAATAAATGTGAAAAAAGATATTAGAAAATAATACTAAATCATTTCCGATAATGTTCTTATGTTGTGAAGAAAGAAAAAGATCGATTCGTTCGTAATTTTCCATTTGATTTCGTACATACTGGATGCATTCGTTTTGGTTGAAATAATACTGTACACGATCACCGAGATGACTTTCGATAGTCGGATGTCGTCGTTCGATGTCAAGAAGAACAACAAGTTGCATTGTTTATATGGGGAAAAGAAAAGACGAGGAAATCTACAAGAGGAATCAAAAATGGGTAATATGCGTGTTTAAGTATAGAAATGACGTTGTTTATTATTCGGTAAGATGATTACAGTAAATGAATTTATGTGAAATAAAAATTACTGTCTGCGTCCAAGATTACTTAACATTGATTTTACCAAAGGCATTCAATTGATCAAGAATACCGATACATTGATTATAATCGTGTACCGCACTCTTCTGATTTTGTTCTCTAGCATGTCGATAGCCAGAGATTCGATGTTTAAGAGCCATATCGATTGCGATTTGAATGGTTAACTCTTCTGGATCATCCGACATGTAACGAATTGAGTAATATTTCGTAAAGAATGTTTTCTTCTCGTTCGGAGTAACAGGCTGGCGTCCCAATATATAAATTACAGATGGATGACTACACGAACATAAGTTGTCCAAGAGTAGTGCATCATCATCATTGGACGACGATAAAACGATAATTGTTGAATCAGTTCGCTTTAATAGTTGTTGATAATTCCGGTCTTCTGTTATATATATCGAGTTTTTACCAAACAGATTGGTCAGATTTGTACAGATTTTTTGAAACTTTTCATCTGCACATGGTGGCTTGAAAAGAATGATCTTCACATCAAAATTCAACGAAATAGTACCTGGAAGCGAGGATTGCTGGACATCGACAGTAGTGCCTTCTATGATATTTTCATTAGAATCCGGTCGATACAGTTGTTCACGTTCTTGGCTGACAGTTACTTGTTCGAGTAGTTGTTTGGTCTTCGTTATATATTCTTTCGCAATCGATATACGACCATTTAATACGATAGATGGGTAATAACGATTAAATCTTTCGAAGATCGACACAACTCGATTAAAGTTTTTGCATGCTTGCGATAGAGATTGGTATGTGTTCTTATTGAGTTGTTCTTGCCCAAGACAAACGAAGTAATCTCCGATATCTTGTACTAATCGGGCTAGAAGGTTAGTAGCACTTTCGTCAATTCGTACATGGTGTTCAAGTTGTTCTTGTATTTCGNCCTTAAATTCAACATCGTTTGCAGTACATAGTTTAAATGATTTTCTTCTATATGAGATGAATGTAGTCTAAAGCGAGTCATTGATGGGAACTCATGTTGAAAAGGGTCGACCGGATCAGAAAAATCCATATTGAATAGAATAGAACATTGTTCTAGACAAGGTGTGTGTCGGCAAATAGTATTAAATTGAATTTGATCATATTTGATACCCCAAATGGATAGACATCTTAATGACAGTGACTCGACCGTTGGTAAAATGAAGCTATCTCTCTTGAAGCTGATATTCAGATAACAGTAGGTGAGAGCCGGCAGACTCCAGATGGTGTTACTGAAGTTTTGACTTGCAGTTTGATTACATGACAGAGAACAATCAGCTAGAGTTAAACGATTAAGAAATCTCAATTGAGATATTGTCGAGAACATCGTCTCCTGCAAACTAATTCCATACAATGAAAGCGATTGTAAATTTGACAGTTGGTGAAGTGTTAAACCATGTTCAAGAAAAACTTCCATTTGTTGAGGTGTTTTGTCATCATTGTAAAGCCGCAGTGAGGTTATTTGATTGACTATCAGTGGCAAATACTCTCGACAAACCAGACGGAAATCATGCAGGGTTGTTGATCGAAAATCGATGGTAGAAGTGCGAAAGTGAGCGAAGAGAAGTTGGCTGATCCGAAGATTGAGATTGTAGAAGGATCGAAGTAGATCTAAGGTAGATGAGCATCGAATGATTTCGATGAACACTTCATTGGGTAGATCTTCCAGAAGCATGTTGTCGTTGAAGTTTCTCTCTCATGAAATGTTTTCACGCAAAAATATGAAATAGTGACAGTATGCTGTGCAATCACGTGTTTATGCATGATCACTTTCAAAAGGTAAGTGTATTTGTTTACAGAATGAGGATGTGAGTGTGAGGAAGAGGATCGACGAAAATAGTATTCCACAATAACGTCATCGGCGTAGTGGTATGAAGAATAATGACCATGTCACCGACTAATCAAATCGAAAGAATTGTAAGTGTGTCAAATACTTGGTCGTCATAATAACCTCTATCGACAATAATTAGTTGGTCTAAATTTGACACCACTTGAAGCATGTGATGTAGATGACCTCTGAGGCGAGTCATAGATAGAAAGCGGTGTGGAAGAACTTCGATCTGATCAGAAAAATACATGCCAAATAGAGTTATCAAGAAATCTCGATTCAAACATCAATGCCGCACAATGAAAGGAATTGTAAATTGGGTAGTTTACGGAATGCTATGTCATCTGTCCTCAAGACAATATTCTCGATCAGTAAAGCAAAATAAATGGCAGAGGTCCGCAAATGAGTAAAGAGAAATCTACCATATACATTTTGGTTGGGCTTTATTTCGGTAATAATACACTCGGCTCGATGCCATAGTGAGGAATAATAGATTTTGTGAATAACTTACAAAAAAAAGAAGAAGTTGTGTTTCTTGTTCTAGACGTCGGCAATTCAGTTAAAAGAATGGAAAATATTTTTATGCACGAGTGCATATAAACGACAGCCGAGAAGGATATTCTCACTATTGTCAAAGATGAAGTTTTGTGCTTCAGAATATGATCAAGGTCTGTATCACAAATCAGGTTGACGAAGTATCTTCGTTCGAATTAATCGACGAAACTCTCTTCGAAAGATTGTCGATGAAATCATAAAATTACAAAATGTCAAGGAGAATCCCAGATAGATCAAAACATATGTCATACTTTCCGCAAATACCTCACTAGTATAACGAAGTGGAGAATCGAAAAGTCGTAATGTTATTGATTGATAAATAAGATAAACTGGATTAGGAACATTTAAAATAACAAACAAAATGATTTGATTTGCTAACATGCGATGTAATTGAAGATCGTTCCTGGACAATCTTGTCTGATTCGGTCGTACACCTGGCCCAATGCGTTTTTTCATTTGATGAACATTCCGTACTGTCAACAAACCAAAAGTAAGCATGAGAAGTAACGGTAAAACTCCAGTATCGAGCGCGATATAAATACTAAAGAATATTCCGTAAGCATTTGATGGATATGTGCATATGCCGTTCTCTATGTCATAGATAACAATTACTTGAATGTACAACAAACTCCAAATTAGAACGTTTGCTAGGATTAGACGAAGGGCGATCTTCGGCGAACTCCTTTGACGATGAGTCGCCTGAGGTGAACTAGCGAAATAACGATCCATCGATGCTAGGATAATATCATATCGAGGAACACTGACCGAGATATAAAGTAGATACGAACGCAGTTTGCAATACCATAACGAATTCCTTGAAGCATAAACACCATATCCATTAGAAAGCATATGAGTCAACAGAGCAAAGTTGTAAGTGAAGAATTGAGAAATACTAGCAGCGAGGAAAAATATGGCGCACGGGCTATGACGGTAAGTCGGTTGAGTGAAAACAATACACATTAGGATTGATCCGATGTTTCCGATCAACCAAATAACAGCCAGACCATATTGAGATATAATTTTGTTTAGAAAATTAACAAACTCGATTAATTGAGCTTGACTAGAGCTTGTGGAAATCAATGAGTTGTTTGCTATTGTGGTATTCGACATGATTTGTTCATAGAGTTACAAGATGTAACAATCACTGATTCGACAGAATATAAATAAAGTTAGTTGTGATGTTGAGTATGCCGATATATATTCGAAAGTAGTAGAAGCCAATAGATAGTACGATTATCAATTGTTGAGCTTTGGCAAATCAAAAATGAAAAGAAAAAGATTATTTCTGACTTTGTCTTACTCGTCTACAGGTTATTAAGTCATGCAGAATGTCAGATGTTATTAAATTAAATGTATTTATACACTGAAGTATGTTTTGTTTGTTAATAATCAATCAAATCATACTTACTGTTACGATCAGTTATTTCATCGCGCTATGTAGCATATTTGGGAGCTAGTTCTACCAATTGTGAACTCGGATGTCTTCTCTATTATATTTTTGTATAATAATTACATTTTTCTTTATGTAAACCTTCGTTTTTTTGTCATGAAATGGGGATGAGCAAAACGTGTCATTTATTCGTTAGTTTACGTTTTCTGTTCATAAGTGTTTCGTTTAAGATATTCTCGAGTGTATTCCTACTTTTAAAATATTTAGTCAAGATATCTAGAAAATTTCCCACTTCAAACGGCTGCTACAAATGAGACATTTAATGAGAAGTAATAGAAATAGAATTTTAATTGAAAGCATAATTTTTACATTCTATGCTGATTTAATTCACCGATGTATTTGTCATTCTACCAATTTTGTGATACATGAGCTGAGAGAAACTGTCGAGAAGTTTAACAGTAAAATTTTATTTGAGCAACAAGTGCAACTCATACAAATCTGATGATAGTTGCTAACGAAGAGCAAATATTCTATTCACACAGTGCTAATCGAGATAGCACGTCGTCTCAACGTATTGGGCGTCGTTTCCGAGAGATATTCTGCCTAAATGAAACAAGAAAAGAAATCAATACTTGAGTTTATTTATAGACGGATGTCTGTCGATTTCCCTTGAAGATTACATTTAAAATATCGAAAATTTAATAATTTGTTCTTTTTTCTCCTACTAATGTTTTTTTCTTAATATCCCATGTTATACTTTTCGAGCTGATAAACTGGTGGACCAAGTTTACTCATTGACAATCCATTTGCCATCTCCACGCGTCTGAGAAACTCAAGTCTTGTTTCGCCAGATTGAACACTCATTGGATTTGATCCAGGAAGATTTTCAAATATCACGTCACCTACATCCATCATGTCGTTCTGTTCCTCATAGTTAAGACTCTCTAGTTGTGCAATTGTACACACTTCATACCACATTGTCAGTCGAATGCCAGCAGTTTGAGGATAAACAACTCGATGAATACCTGCCTTCAACCGGTTCTCCGTTGCTCGAACTGCTGCTTCTCCCAACCAAATAACACCCACATTCGATTCCATCGGTCCATCGATCCATTCATTTCTTCTCATATCTTTCAGCTGTAGTCCTTCATGTGTTGATAGAATACTGATCGACAGCAGACCAGGATCATAGTGTGGAACACAGTTGACTTCTTCGGTCGATTCTCCATTTTCTGGTGCTTTGAAGCCATTCTTCTTGTTGAAATAGGAGACAATGTCGAGCATTCCAAAGTGTTCATCTTTCAGTGGCAGATCTGCTTTCTCGATGAGTGTAGACAATGATGGTTGTGATTGAAAGACACAATGTTGATCGAGAAGTTCGATGAGTCGTTTTGTCACTGCATCGAATGCTTGCGAGAGATAGTTCAATGGTTGGATAAGATTTCGGGGAACTAAACCTTTGTTGGCAAACTGTCCATAGTAACTACCTGTTAACAGTTTTAGTCCTTCTTTATGATTGACTTGAGAATAACCGTAGATTGGATCGAATTGAGAATATCTCTTCTTGGTTGCATCACTTTGGAAAAACGTCTGGAGTTCCTGAGTCAAAGTGGATGTTGGAATAAGTTCTTTTGGTAACGACACGAAACACCAGCCATTAGATTCGAATTCTTGCTGCATTCGTTGGATTTCAGTTGAATCATTTGAGGTCAAAATTTTGTTCAAATCAATAATCTCCCTTGTACTTGAGTTTGATGACGACGCCATTGTCAATGTAGATTTTTTGTCTATATTTCTTTATTAATACACATAGTGACACTCGACGTTATAGAGAGAGGAAGTAAGCTTTCTTGCACAATATTTCTTGCTGTCACGTAATGATTATAAACACGCGACAATATAATAGGCAAATGCTTGTCCATGATTCACTGTACATCGACTGCGTATGCATGTTTGGAGAAAAATCCAATATAAACAGTACATACTATTGTAAAGGACGAAAACGCGAGTTTATCAAATCAATGAATCACTTTTCACATAAATATACGATTTTATCGAAAAAAAGAAAACGATCTTTTTAGTTTCTTTCATTATGTATTTTCACTTGACGGCTTTCGAACATCAGTTAGTAGTTCATGAAAATATCGACGAAATGCTTGTTGATTACGATCTAAGTCAACATATTGCTGAAACAGGTCTTGCTGTCGCTGTTGATAGTAGAGAACCGTGAGCAATCGGCAGGTCTTGGTATGAATGTACACAAGTAACTCTTTCGATAGTTGTAAACGAAAAAAGGCCAATTCATTATTCACAATGGTTTCGATTGACTTGATATCTGCTGAGATGTTTCGCACCATTTCATGTGAAATTTTGCATGCAGAATGTCGATTATTGATTATTTCATCCACATGTTGAACTATTCTGTCGCAAAATCGACTCATCTGAAGAATATTTGACCAGCAAAAAATATCTTCATTCAGTTCTGTTCGTATGGTCGTTGCGATACTGTTTCTATGGTTCGTTGTCAGGAGAATTTCTGGTGTACTACTAAGTGGTCCGCGCTCTGAAGAAAGACTTTTAGCGAGACGATTTCTATCCATATATTCGAAATTTTCCACCGAAATCAATGAATTCGTCTGAAGATTTTCTTGTGTTTGGGTTACACATTTATCGCCAAGCTCAACGATATCTGAACGCATGGTAATATTCCATTCTTGTACTAAAGTGTTTCTGTCTATCTCCACAAAGTTTGAAATCGCTTCAACTGGAAGTTTTTCTCTTTCATACTCGTTTTGATTGTAGTATTCTGCGTGGACATATTCGATGGAGTCATTCAAAAGTTTTGTAGAGTCAGACTTTTCCATTTGCGTAGACCATTGAATCGCGAACTGATAATCAAATTCATCACTCGACCATACACCTCGACTACTGCTATTTTTATTTGTGTCAAAAGCTAGTTGCTCCAATGTGCGTTGCATATCATTGAACATTTCATTCAGTTCGCAATCCACTAGAAGTTGAGGTCTTTGCACGACAGTAGTTTGTGGAAGTTGGACATTGGAATGATCTGCGAAAAGGATACGGCTTTAGTTCAGTTTGAGAAAAACGTAAAATATTAGCTTACCAGCAGCTGGTTCGTTGACTGGCTCGACGATGATTGCCGGCGACTCAGTTATCGACAACGACCGTAGTCTCTGAGAGATATCTTGATGTAGAATGTTATACTGAGCCGGAGGTATTATATCGCTGATCGCTTCAATTCCCTTGAGCCAACCGTTTTTCGTGACGCTATCAGCTAGAAGCTCATAGCGTTGATTTCTATTGCTAATATAGCGTTGACTGAATAGATGCTGTATTTCTGCATAAAAATACATTCGAAGTGTTAGATATAACATTGACTGTTCGTCAGCTATCTGACTTTTCAAATCCGCACAGGCAACATAATCCTTAAATTCTTTTTCTTCTGCTCCATGGATGCCGTTCTCTGTTACGGACTTGAATAAACGTGCGAAGATAGTTCCATTTATTACATCTTCGTCGGTGATACCTTCAAACAAGAGTTGCAGGACGAACGATAATACGAATGACGAGCCAGTATAATTAGTACCATATTCAGCAAATCTTGTTTGGACAACAGAAAAATGATCACAATTTTGAGAATCTTTTTGTTCCTTGATCAAACGAAATAGTTTCGGCGCACTCTGTTCAAGTAACATTTGTAATTGTATAAAGTAGTATTCTTTCAGTAATAGCAATAAACGTGATTCAGATTGTTCACCTTTTGTCCAATTCTTTTCAGTATCGAGTACTTCAGATTTGCCCCATACCCCATACCCGCAAAACACCTGCCGACCACCTTTGAGTATTGCAGAAAGAACTTGATCTTTACCACTACCATCATGCAAATGTAAGTAGTCGGCAATCTGCTGTGATATTATTTGCGTAGTTGAAAGTGATTGAGCTGGTTGAACAGTTGAAGGCACATCCGGTGGGGATTCATCTAACGTTAAAATAATACATAACTTTCTTCGTGGCAAGTTCCTTTACCTGGTTTAGGAGGATTGCTTGATAAAGAACGAACAGAAATGGAGGGTGAAATCGATTGAAGAACTTGTTCGTAGAGAAACGGTGGTACTTGCAATCGAACGGCTTCCATCCCTGATATCCAACCAATTTTCGTAAACGCATCTGCTGCTGCATCATATAAACTATCCTTGTTTAGGATGCGATTTTTCTCAAACATTTCCGCGACTTTCGACTTAAAGTATTCTTTTAACGCTAAGATTAATGGTGTTTCGTCTTGTTCACAATGTAAATGTGCTTCCAGGTCTATTGGTGCTATGTATTTTTCACAGTCTTGTAGGCCGTTAATTCCATTAGTGGTGATCGAATTCCACAAGATATCTACGATGTTCGTTATGTTTGCAATGTACGGAAATGACAGTTGAAGCACTAAAAATAGGATCTGTGATACAGGATCTTTATGTTTATTGCCATTGTCTACTATTTGTCCGACTATTTCATTGAAAAGATCCGGACGATAAACCTTCATAGAATCATAAAACGCTCTCAGTGCTGACTGTCTCGGCAGTATTGTCTCCCAAGTTTGAACAACATTATTCTGGAGTAAGATGAACAATTCTTGATTAGATAGATAATCTAGAGGTAATTCAGCAGCATACTTTTTCAATGCCTGGAGTCCATTGTCTAGTAAATCTGTGATAATATCTTCTTTATTTGAATTGTTTTGCAATTGTAAACAGCTGGAAATCTGTTCATAAATGTCTGAAGTAAGGAACGTATTTGTTGTCAGCTGAGAGTTTATTAGCTCTTCCATGACGTGCGCGTGCATTCTTATTCTTTGATATGTTGTGCAACCGTATCGAGTAACATGCGCATATTTATCTACAGCTACGTCATGAAATGGTTTTTTTCCCTTGCGCAAGATCGAATTTACTTCTATAAACACTGTTGACTCGTAGAGAGAAAGAAAAACAGTGGGCACGTGTACGCGAAGTTATATAAATTTAATCTTTTTATCGTCTACATACTACCCCATGTGAAGAACGAAAAAAGTAGAAAAGTGGTGACGCTGCTTTTGATAGCATCATAGTCTTTCGGTAATTTCCAACTCTAAAACAAAGAGCAGATAAATTACAGGGTGAAATCCTTTCTATGTCATTCGTATGACAATCTTAGATAAGTTACTTACAGATTGAACATAGCTAGTGAGATGGACGCAGATTCAAGTGCTGAATTTTTTACCGAGTGGGCACCCGATACTCAAACACGAGAAACGTTCGACGCACTTCAATGTGAAAAATCTCGCCTGTATGATCATTGCTTGAAAGAAAACAGCAAGGTCGAAGATGAAGCATCAGTTGTACAGCAAGAAAAAGAGCAACTAGATGAAGCAACAAAACGAAGCTTTGAAAAGCGTCATCGTTTACTAAGTGAAATGGGACAACAAACACAAAGAGCAAAAGAACTAGAACATGAACGTCAGCAATTGATTAATCAGCGTCAAGATTTGATACGCAAGCTCGACGATGATCAAAGCAAACTCGAGAAATGCGAATCGAAATTCGTGGAAGTTGACGAAGAAATAAATGATGGTACAAAAGAATACGAACGATTGAAACAAGAAAGTCAACAACTTCAACAACGGCTCGATGATCTGAACAGAAAAGAAAATGAAAATCTTGAACAACAAAATTATCTACAACTGTCACTAAATGGACTACAAGCGATCATCCAACGAACACAAGAAGAATTACAAGAAAAAATGCAACTGTTAATCGACGAACAAGCGAAACTAAAGGAGACTGAAGAAGAGATACAACAATTGAAAGAACAATTGAAGCACATGGAACTGGAATTGAAACGGATTCAACGAGATCTCGAACGTCTCCAAGACGAACAAACGCAATTAAACTTCAAACAACAAGATTTACAACACGAACAAAAACAATTAGAAAATATCGTTGCGCAACTTCAACTATCCTTGAAACAGAAAGAAGCCGGTCTTTTACAGATGCAACTCGACGCTGATGTTCTCAAAGAGAAAATTCAAACATTGAATAAACAGTTGGAAGCGATTGAGTATGCATTGTCGTGTTTTTGAAAAAAAGATCTTCTCCACTATATTTTGTTCTAGTGAAGAGATACAACAGCTCACCGAACGATTGAATAATGAAAAGGAAAACGTTAATCGACTGGAGCAGCAATTACTTGAAAATGACAATGAGAAAAAAGCATTGGAGACTACCAGACACGAACTTATCAAGCGCAAGCAAGAACTTGACGATGAACGTGTCACTCTTGTCAATCAACAAGATGAATTAAAAGTTAAACAAACTGCTACTGAGAATGCGTTGCAAGAAATTAAAACAAAAATACTCGATATCGAAGGTAAACAGCAGAGATTACAGTCACTGTTAGCCGATTTGGATAAACAAGAAGAACTGTGTCAAGCAGCTCTCGTTCAAAAGGCCAATGAATGCGAAAATTTATCGGAGAATCGAGACGAAGCGAATCGAAATTTACAACGAATCGAAAATGAACGACGAGAAAGCGAACAAAGATTGCAACAAACTAAACAACAGTTAATGGAAGCGAATCGTCAGTATGAACAGGCGACAAGCGAAGAGCAAATGGCATTGGTACAACTGAATGATGCAGCACATGAAATGCGGATAGCTGAAGAAGAAGTGCGCGCGAAACAAGAAGCACTTGAAGCTAAGCAAGCGCTTGCTGCCGGGTGTACGGTAATTAGTATATTCGGTTTATTTAGTTTTGGCAAAGCCGCTAAGGCAGCACATACAGCCGCAGTTCAACATGCGCAACGAGAACTGAGTGAAGCCAAATCACGCTTAGAAACAGCACGGCATCAACATCGAGATGCTCAACAACGACATTCAACAAGCAAAAATAAAACTACCGACGCTGGTCGACAGTTAAGATATAAAAAAGATGAACTTGCCAATCAAGAACAGATATTGCAAATGAAGATCGACGAAGTGACTCAAGCAAAGTGCAAATTCGACGGGTTGAAGATAGCCTACCAACGAGCTCAATTGAAAAAAAGCGAATTAGAAAACGATTTGAAAAGAGTGGCGAAGAGAATTACAGAAACTCGATCTAATATTAGCGTTGCAGAAACCGAATTACAAAAACACCAACAAGCTGAAGCGACGTACGAAGCTCAAAAGGATGATCTTATTTCCAGATTGAAGACTATGGATACTGAAATTACAAAGCACAATCGAACGATCAAAGATCACAAGGAAATAATGAATCAAAACGAATTGAATTTAGCTGGAAAATTAAAAAAACAGCAAGATCTAACTAGAGAGATTCAGCAAGGAAAGCAGAAGGTACGATCAACAAAGCAAGCGCTAGGAGCCAAAGAAAACGAAGGGAAAGCGAAGAAACGTGAAATTACCATGGAGGAAACACATCTGGCATCGCAAAAGCAAAGTATCGTTGAGTTGCAACAGCAGATTCAAACTCAACAGGGACGATTAGCCGAAGTTCGACAGCAGAGTGCAACGAATCGATCCGAACTAAATGCTGTTGCTGACAAGTTGACAGAATTAACCGAAGAAAAGAGTCGAACGCAACAAAACTATGATGAATGTACGAACGATATAAAAAAGAAAGAGAAAGTCTGCCATGATAGATATGCTCGTGTCTTACAACTCAACAACGAAATCCGAAGTTTAGAACGAAAATTAGCTACGCTGAATGAGCGTGACAATCAATTAATGAAACAAATCTCCAATCTGGACAAAGAATTGCAAAACAAGAAAACAGCAACGGACAAAAGCCGTTTACGTCTGGAGAAAGCCAAAGATAAAAAGAAGTCCGTTGAGTCAGAACGTACTGCAGCAGCGAAAATATTGGAAGAAACGAAGTCTCGAACAGAAGATCTCAGATTGAAACTAGATCAAAATGTAAAAAAATTCAACGAAAATGAGCAAGTTTTTCATCAATTACAAGATAATCTTAATCAATCAAATGAACAAATCGACATGAATGAGAATAAGCGTACTCAAGTTCTTGATGCGCTTCACGGACATGAAAAAACAATGACAGATATAAAAATCTATTATGCTCAAACGCATGACGAGTTGGAAAAGAGATCATTTGAACTGATTGATCAAGATATCCAACGGCGTCCGAATCATCGCTGGAATCCAATAACACAAGTTCAACAGACTCCTGTCTTTCGTTCCAACCAACAAAATCGATATCAATGACATCGCACATGACTAATAAAAGTAATCCGATTTGTTTTTCGTTTCAATATATTTTCATTTTCACCTATTGTTAATAAATACCGAAACCGTTTACTTTTTCATCACAAGAAACGCTTGTTGCGGGTATTTTCAGATACTTTGAGAGAGAAATGCCGTTTGTGAAGATGGAATCGTCGTTTCTTCCTTCTCCATCACCGACGAGAAGTACCTCCGCTTCGACTTCTTCCCCAACATCGCCACCAACAGCAACAACGGTCATGATCATCAATGATCTGATTCTACGTGTAAAATTGAATTATCCTTACAAGGAGATTCGTGATTTTTACAATGAATTATCAACGCCAAATGAAGATAAGGCTATTGGTAATCCAACGTTATCTATATTACAACTCTACGCATTACACGCACTCAACACTCCCGTCGATATGAGTAATCAGAGTGTACGTACCGTTTATCGGCCGATATTGAACATACATCGGAACGATGAATTTAGTCCATTTAAGCATAATTTTCTTTTGAATTTACTCGATATCGAATATACTATTGATGGAGAAAATGGTGGTCAATTTCCAGTACTATGGAAAACAACATTTGACACTAATGTGACTGTTCGGTTGATCGAATCGAACAGTACCGACAATTGCCAAACGACATCGGCAGCAAATGTCAATAAATACAATAGTCCTACGACATTATTAGACTTATTTAAGACGATTTGTCGAGAACAGAAGTACGACGAATCACATGCAACTCTGTGGGAACATAGTTTCAAAGGTATGCACTGCACTCAGACAATAATTAATGACATCTTTTCTCATTTAGCTGAACATATCAATACACTCAATCACTTACGAAGCGTGACAAAGAGTAGTTGGGAGAAACTCTCGAGAGTTCCCGAAGTTGTGAAACAATTAATCAAGAATTACATTGAAATGAATGTAGATACTGCTGTCAGTGGATTGAATCCGCGAGCGAGTGATCCATATCAACATTCGAAAGCAACATTATTTGCTGATATTCATCGAGTTCGTCGATACTTTTATTATGCCATACAAAAACTTCATTTACTTGCATATCTCTCACGGCAGGCAGTGACTTTAGCAATTGAAGAGGTTAAAAAAACATATGACGACGACGGGAATATTTTGATTAACATCCAAAACTATCTCAATACATTCTGTTTAGAAAATCGACTCGAAGACGTAGCTTCGTATGAACAGAAGAAGGCTGACTGGCAACGCGAATTAGATAGATTAACGCAGGCTGAGTTGAACAATGAAGACAAGGTAACGAAATTAAAAGCCGAAGTTCAGAAAGCTGAGGAAAAATGGAAACAATCGGAAGAACGTAGAGAACGTGTATGTCACAGTACGAATGAGGAACTGTTGAATAAACAAATTCAGACGATATTGCAAAGGAGAACTATGAACGAACGTGAAAGACAAGCGAATATACAAGAAGCAAATCGAATTAGAGCTGATCATGAACAGAAGAGACGAGAAGCAGATGAGAACGCCAGACGAGATTTCAACGAATACAATGAAAAGAAAGAAGAGCACTGGAATTTAATTGCGCAAATACCAAGTGAAAAGGCTCAAATTGAACATCTACAAAGTTTAATTGACATGAAATTCGAAGAAGCAGAGAAGAAATTGATGGTCAAATATGGACGAGGATTGTTACTCTACGGACCACCTGGCACAGGCATGTCGTTCTTATAGTAAACCATTGAACAGATCTATTTTTCTCTATCTAGGTAAATCTGAGTTACTTAAACGAATTGCCGTTTATGCTGGTATCACTATGATTACTGTACCATTATCTGCAGGTGAACTCAATCGTCCATTAGTTGGCGAAACGGAAAAACTTCTCGTGGATATCATGAATCGCGCTCACACGATACCTTTTCTCATCTGTGCAATGACTATCGATGAGATCGATGGACTCGTACCGAAGCGAGATAACAACGCTCAACAATCGAAAGTCGATGGCATCTCGGTCTTACTTTCTCATATTGAAGGTGTCAAAAACATTCCGAATTTGATTGTTTTCGGTGCAACAAACCGTCGAAATATGATGGATGAAGCGTTTCTTCGACGCATGCAAGCGAAAGTGTTTGTTGGTCGACCATCTCCAACAACACGCAAGAAGATGCTCAATCCTCTTGTTTGTATATCGAAGACTTTTACAGCGCAACTCATCGATTCGTTAGTCAAAGTAACTACCAATTTTAGTGGTGCTGCTGTTGGTGCACTTCGATCAAGTATCGTTGTCGAAATCGACCGTAATCGAGACATTCATGATCGACGTCTTTTGGAACTAGCGGACACAGTTGCCAGAGAATATAATATTTGGTTTGGCATCACAACATTGCCGGCTATTTGTCGTCTCAACCCGAAAATCTTTAGTTCGGAGAACGAGGATGAACACTATTCACTTGATTTCCGTGATGTACCGCCAAGTGGACGTATTCTGATCGATTTGCAAGATAAAAAATGTTTGATCGAACTTCAAGAAAACGAACCGACGATAGAACGTAATTTAGAAGCAAAAGAAACCGCAGTTCAATCTCTTCTAGCGCGATTAATTCAAGGCTGTTCGACACGTAACATTGATACTATTCAAGTAATTGATTTAAATTTTTTAACTAAACAAAACGCCACCGATGAAAACCAAATATTCGAATCTTTAACGACACTGTTTTTGGAATGCGATGAGTACAGTAAATCCATGCTCGTCTTCGACATTGATTCGTTGATTATGTTGAATAAATCAGATTCAGATATGACCAAGTCTACGTCGATCTCGAACATCCGTCTCTATCAATTTATCCGTGAGAAATGTAAAGAAGCGATTGTCGAGCAAGAAAAGAATGAAGCATGTGCTAATCGGGTGAGTTTCTCCAAGAGATGACATCAAGTTAACCACATCTTTTTCATTTTGAATTTAGAAGAATAGTGCTAAGCTAATTGAAAAATGGATCGTTATGGTTGTTAAAGATCCTTATCTGAAATCGACGTTAATCAAAGATATTGAATTTAAAAAGACGACGGCACAGATCAATGAAGAGGAGTACGAAAAAGAGAAGAGTGAAGATGACGAACGTTCAAGAAAGTGTCCAAAATGTTTTCGAGATTATGTCCCAAAGGATACGAAATTTGGTGACTGTCACTATCATGATGGTTTTATTATCGATTGCGATAAACCAATCGAAGCAGCGGTGGTCACCATTGAAGTCGCTCGACTGAGAATGCAGCAGGCGGAATTGCTTAAAGAAGAGGAGGAACATACGCCAGTGAAAACACCTGTTCCAAAACTTTTTTGGTCTTGCTGTCAACATCGTTATGGTGGCACTCACCCTGAGTGCCGAATCTCAAAATGCGGTTTACCAGAAGAGCTGGAAAGTCAAGTAAACATGAAACGCGATGATTACATGACTATCGTCGAACAACACTTCATGAAAAATAAAATGGCGATTAATAATGCGAAGAAGATCATAGAAGAATACAAGAAGCGACCAAAACCAAGACTTAACTTGCCAACCAGTAGTAAATAATTTTTTTTCAACTGATAGTATTCAAAATTCTGTGCCTTTCATCATTGTGCAACATTCACCCATTCCTGTTTCATGCACGTAAATATAGCAACTATTACACGTACACACTCAGTGGATGACTCAGTTGATTTTATCATGGCAGAAAGCAATTAGATCAAAACCTTATAACAAATATGAAAGACAGAGGCAGTAGAGATAGTATCTACCGATGTTTGGTTTAGATAAAAATACAAGCGCTACACTCTCTTGATAAGTGAAGCATATCTTTGAGATTAATGTTTATTCATAAGAAAGAGAAAAATTCATGGTCTGTTCAAGTTTTGAAGATCACATATTCGCTGAGTATGAAATATCATGTTTGTCTAGTTTATAGTGCGGCGAGACTGATTTACTCATAGATAATCCACGTGCCATCTCCACTCGTCTGAGAAACTCGAGTCTTGTTTCTCCATTTCGTACGGCAATAGGCTTTGATCCAGGAAGATTACGAAATACTACATTTCCAGCAGCCATTACTTCATTTTGCTTCTTACTACTCAAATTCTTCAGCTGTTCGACTGTACACACTTCATACCACATTGTCAGTCGAATGCCGGCAGTTTGAGGATAAACAACTCGATGAATACCTGCCTTCAACCGGTTCTCCGTTGCTCGAACTGCTGCTTCACCCAACCAAATAACACCCACATTCGATTCCATTGGTCCATCGATCCATTCATTTCTTCTCATATCTTTCAGCTGTAGTCCTTCATGTGTTGATAGAATACTGATCGACAGCAGACCAGGATCATAGTGTGGAACACAGTTGACTTCTTCGGTCGATTCTCCATTTTCTGGTGCTTTGAAGCCATTCTTCTTGTTGAAATAGGAGACAATGTCGAGCATTCCAAAGTGTTCATCTTTCAGTGGCAGATCTGCTTTCTCGATGAGTGTAGACAATGATGGTTGTGATTGAAAGACACAATGTTGATCGAGAAGTTCGATGAGTCGTTTTGTCACTGCATCGAATGCTTGCGAGAGATAGTTCAATGGTTGGATAAGATTTCGGGGAACTAAACCTTTGTTGGCAAACTGTCCATAGTAACTACCTGTTAACAGTTTTAGTCCTTCTTTATGATTGACTTGAGAATAACCGTAGATTGGATCGAATTGAGAATATCTCTTCTTGGTTGCATCACTTTGGAAAAACGTCTGGAGTTCCTGAGTCAAAGTGGATGTTGGAATAAGTTCTTTTGGTAACGACACGAAACACCAGCCATTAGATTCGAATTCTTGCTGCATTCGTTGGATTTCAGTTGAATCATTTGAAGTTAAAATTTTGTTCAAATCAATGATCTCCCTTGTACTTGAGTTTAATGACGACGCCATTGTGAAAGCAGGTTGTTTTCTTATTGTCGAATAATTTTACGTATAATATTTCTTCTCTTTGATTACAGTAGCGTTAGTGAGCATACGCTTCATTTTATAGAGATACTCAAACGTGAATTGTGCAATATTTCTTTCTTTTTCTGTAATAGCGACAAATATACAAAAACGTATTCTGACTATTTGCTCATCGATGAGTCATTTAAAAAGAATACTTTTTCTTTTTTTTTCATAAATGGAAAAGGTTGCCACGAATAACCATTGTCGATCATGAGTCACTGAGTCTATTTACTTTTCAAAGAACTATGACATACTTTCTTCATCCTACTCGAGAAGAACAGAGTTTTAATAACTCCATTTGAGGCAATAATTGTAATAGCAGAAAGCTTGACTGTTGTGTTCACAATTTCTTTTCAGGGAGTAGTACTGTCTCAGTTGTGTTACCAGCAACGATCGTTTAATGCACAATTCAGTGTTTATTTAGAACCAAACTGCTATTCTTTTCATCAAATCCTAGTTTTAATCATATATTTTTCATAACAGAACAGAGTTCCGACTGCCTGAATCTTATTCTCTATTGGATTCGGATTACGTAGAACAAATCTATTCATAGTAGCACTTTTAGTACAAACCACATTCATTGCTTTGTTTTATATCATATGATCTTTCGAAAAAGGCAAAGCTACTGAGGCCTCGATTAGTTATGAATACGGAATATTTTCATAGGTCGGCATTTCTAATCAAAGGTTTTTTCATTCCTTTATGTGAAAAGCTATCATGAGTTTGTTAAATAGTATAATCGGTTAACATTTTTGCACGTATTTCAATTGTTACCAATGACCAACGATTCGTTAGAACTAGATCCATTGACGCTGTTAAAAGCATCGGATACACCGACAGTAATCGACGATAAGTCATTTATTAGTATTTATGATGTTCGCAGCAACCGACGGCGTCTTTTCATATTGATTATGATAGCTTTTTCGTCTCTTATACTTCCATTTTGCGATACGGTTTACTTGCCAGCATTAGCTCAATTAGAACACGATTTGAAGACAAGTACAACATTGGTGGATTATACCATTTCATCGTATCTAGTAACATGTGGAAGTTTTGGTCTGCTTTGGGGTCCATTAAGTGATCGATTCGGCCGAAAGATTATACTTTTAATCTCGTTTGCCTTCTTTACAGCGTTTACTATCGTGTGCACGCTTGCCCGTTCGATAACCGTTCTATTAATTTTCCGTTCATTACAAGGAGGAGCAATATCTGCATCGTTGATTGTGGGACAGAGTGTTGTTGTAGACATGTATCCACCGGAACGGCTCGGTTTCGCCATGGGCCTATTTCTTGTTCCGTTACTAGTCGGACCAATCATCGGTCCATTTATTGGTGGTGCTCTTGCGAGCTCATTCGGATGGCGAAGTACATTTGTCGCTTTGATAATTATGGCTGCAATTTCGACAATTGTTATTCTCGTATTCGTACCGGAAACTCATCATTATTTTATAACGCAGCGTCAGTTGAAATCAGGAAAGAAAATCGAAACGAAAACAATTCGCGAGATTCATTCAATTAGCAAACCTACTTTTATGCCACCATGGCGACCGTTCGTCTTCTTACTCGATATAACCATAACACCGCATATCTTCGTATGCGCTACTATTTTCGGTACTCTATTTATTTCGCTTACTCTGATAGCCAATCGAGCAGCTGACAAACCATATTCACTCTCGCCATTCCTCATCGGTCTCTGTTATATTCCAACTGGTACTTCTTCATTGCTCGGCAGTCTGTGCGGTGGTTATGTGTCCGATTGGTCAGCGAAACGTTTTTCACGAATACCGGAAGGCCGTCTGGTTATTAGCTTATTGGGTTCGACTTTATGTCCAATGGGATTGTTACTATGCGGGTGGACATTTCATTTCAATGTTCATATAGTGGTGCCACTGATTGGTGCATCGATGTTTTGTTTTGGTGAAACGTTTATATTCACAAGTGTTGCCGCTTTCGTCAACATAAAAAAATCAACAATGGCCGGTGCAATTCTCGCCCTTATCAACGCACTCAGTTTTGTATGTGCTGGCCTGGGAATTATCGGTGCAATTCCTTTAGTAGCAGTGATTAAATTCGGACCTTTGTTTAGTCTTTTAGCTGGACTATCATTCTTTACCATTATCATCGCGATGGTAGTCGTAGCGAATCAATTTCGAAAAACAACATTCATCATCAGGGCATCCGATCTACCGAAAGCTGAATCGTTCTCTATCAAAAATAGGCAAATTATAGAGGAATCAACTGCACTGCAATGGTTTTAACGATGTTTTTATACAACAAATACACCGTATAATACGCCATGTAATTAATAAATCTAAATATATCTTTTCTCACGTCATATGTTCTCTTAGTTTTTTTCTTTCTTTTTCTTATTATTGGTTGATAATAAACAGGTATATATTATTCAACGATGACAGAAAACAAATTTCGTATATATGTATGCCTTTTATATAATGCGCATCGTTAATATCTGAGGACATTTGATAAAAATGGATCATTTGAATATTTCAGCTTTCCCACAACGAACATCGATTACTACAGAGCATTCTTCGAATGCATCGAGAAATACGTCAATTCAGTTTGTCCACCCGTACGATAACAAATATGTCCTAGAGAAAACATCGACGAATTCCAAAATCAGGTAAGTGTCACGTAAGTTATTTCATCGAATCGTGTTTCCTACACATTTTTCTTCAAGCTGTTGTCCGTTTCTTTCATCATCGGTTAAGCGCATAGTTTTCTTCAGTATATTCACAATCGTAATCATAATCATTGCTGTTATCGTAGTTTGTTTAACATCACCAGAACCGCCAAGTATGTTGTTCACACTGAGTCGAATTCTTCGTTATTTAAATCCGAATTTAGGTGCAACATGTCGATATATCATCAAATCGGAAGTTGAAATTTTCATCAATACCGATTCGTATCCAAACGGAATGGCAACCGGTGATTTTAACAATGATGGTCGAATTGATATTGTTACAGCAAATTCTGGAGCAAACAAAATGGGACTATTCCTTCGACATGATGCACAAACATTTCAAAATCAAATCACTTACTCTACTGGAAGTGGCTCTCGTCCATATTCAGTAACAGTAGCAGATTTCAATGGTGACGAGCAATTAGACACTGCTGTAGCGAACTATGGTACAAATAGTATCGGAATTTTCTTCGGAAATGGTAATGGTTCATTGACATTCTACAAAACTTTTTCTCTTCGATCATCTCGCCCACAATGGATTGATCATGGTGATTTTAATCACGATACTTTCATTGACTTAGTTGTAGTTAACAATGGTACGAACAATATCGGGATTTTGTTCGGAGATGGACTTGGTAATTTTGCCGAACAAGTTACTTACTCAACTGGATTCGATTCCGAGTCGTCTTCATTGACTGTTAACCATCTTAATAACGACAATAATCTGGATATTATTGTTACTAATCGCGGAACAAATACTCTTCTGATCTTTCTTGGAGACACAAATGGAACATTTGCTAATCCAATGAGTTTCTATACTGGCATGAATACTCACCCGTATGCAATCGCTGTGAATGATCTGAACAATGATAAGCACATGGACTTTGTCGTGACATATTCCGGTACAAATCAAATTGGTGTTTTTCTTGGTTTCGGTAACGGAACTTTTACATTGTCAAATCTGTACTCAACTGGAAACAATTCTTTACCGTTATCAGTCGTTGTTGGTGATTTCAACAATGATGATCAACCCGACATCGCTGTCGGTAACTATGATATTCGCAATATCGGCGTCTTCTACGGAAATGGAACCGGCCTCTTCGCTGCTCAAACGGTATTCTATACGAACAGTGATTGCAATCCACATTTAATTGCCACCAATGACTTTAATAATGATACTCAATTAGACATCGCAATAGTCAATTATGATTACAACTATCTCGATATTGTTTTGGCGCATAAAAACTATGCTTATTTAAAGCAGATTTCTTATCCAACCACTCGCGGTACATCTGGATCTTGTCCTCAATCCGTTGCAGTTGGGGATCTGAATAATGATCATCGACTGGACATGGTTGTTGAAAACTATTGCAGCAGTACGGTGGATATTTTTTTAGGAGATAACAATGGCAATTTTGTCAAAAATAAGAGTTACTCAACGGGAAATAGCTCAGGGCCGTACTTCGTTGCAGTAAGCGACTTAAACAATGATCAACAATTGGATATTCTTGTTACAAATTACGATGTAGATAATATCGGAATACTCTATAACGACGGAAATGCAACATTTCGAAATATAGTGACTTATCCAACTGGAAATGGTTCATATCCGTACTCTCTTGCCGTTGGAGATCTAAATAATGACAATAGATCGGACATTGTCGTTGCGAATTATAACTCAGACAACATAGGAATATTCTTTGCTGATGCGAACGGAAATTTTAATGAACAAATAACTTATTCGACTGGAGATAATTCTGGTCCGCAGATGATAGCTGTTGGACATTTTAATAAGGATAATTATCTGGATATCGCTGTTGTCTGTCAATATTCTTCCAGTTTGAATATATTTCTTATGGAGGACGATGGAGTATTTTCTAAACAAAATGTTTATCCGTTGGGAGCTAGCATTGAACCAAATAGTTTGGCCACTGGTGATTTGAATGAAGATGGTCACTTGGATGTAGTTGTGACCACTCTTTACGGCCGTAACATTCACGTTCTAATTGGATCCAGTGATGGTACATTTCGAAAGGTAGCGATCTATTCAACTGGTAGTGGATCTCGACCATATTCATGTGCTATCACAGATTGGAATAATGATCAACATTTAGATATTGTTGTAAGCAATTGTCTCACAGATAACATAGTATTATTCGAAGGGTATGGAAATGGAACATTTTCTCTTGAACAGAATTACTCAACTGGTGCCGGTTCGTGTCCCATGTCAATCGCATTCGGGTATTTTAATAATGATAGTCTAGTTGATATTGCTGTTACAAATTCTGATAGTGATAGTCTTGGTGTTTTCCTTGGATACACTTATATGAACGGTAAACGTGAAGCAGCGTATTCAACTGGATCTGCTTCTCTACCGCGAGCTGTGACACTTGGTAATTTCAACAACGATGATTATTTGGATATCGTTATGGCAAATTATGGATTGGGCAACATTGACATTTTGTTAGGACACGCCAATGCAACTTTTCCGATGCAAACGACATTCTCAACTGGCGTCTTATCATTTCCAACTTCACTTGCTATTGGTGATGTTGATAATGATGAGAAATTAGATGTGATAATTGCAAACTCGGGTACTGAAAGTATACTTATTTACTATGGGTATGAAAACGAGAATTTTACAAGAATGAAGTTGTATTCGACTGGCGTTGGTTCATCACCACAATCATTGGCTATCGGTGATTTCAATAATGATAAGAAACTTGATATTGCTGTCGTGAATTCTGATACAAATAATGCTTTAACACTGATGAAATATGACATAGGGGCATTCAGACAGCAAGTATCTCATTCGTTGAGTGAAAATTCTTCCCCACATTCAGTAGAAGTCGGCGATTTTAACAATGATAATCGATCGGATTTTGTTGTTGTAAACAGAGATAGTAGCAGTATTGCTGTTTTTCTAGGACAAGGTAATGGAACTTTTTCCAATCAAACAACCTATTCAACTGGTCAAAGATCGAATTCCTGGTCAGTCACAACTGCTGATCTCACGAATGACAGTTATATAGATATTATTGTTAGTAATTATTGGCAAGATTATATCAGTATTTTTCTTGGTCTCGGTAATGGGACTTTTTCCAATGAAATAACTTCTTCAACTGGTGATGATACCGGATCATCTGATACTGCCGTCGGTGATTTTAATAATGATGCTCAATTGGATATAGTCGTTTCTCTCCAGTTTTCTTATAAAATATGTATTTTGTATGGATATGGTAATGGCACTTTTTCATATGGAGAAGATTATTCTACAGGCAGCGATTCCTATCCATCATCAGTGGTCACTGCCGATTTGAATCTCGATGGATATTTAGATATTGTCGTTGCCAACTATGGAACGTGGAATCTATATGTATACCACGGACAGCAAGATGGGACTTTTATACGTATATTCATTTTGTCTACTGGTAGTGGTTCATCTCCACAATCACTTGTTATTGACGATTTTAATAAGGATGGTCGTTTGGATATTGCTGTTGCCAATAGTGGTGCGGATAACGTTGGAATATTCTTTGGCGCTGTCAATAGTACATTTCTCAATCAAACCACTCTTTCCACAGGCAAAGGTTCTGCTCCATATGGTATTTCTATTGGCGATTTTAATGGTGATATGCAATTGGATATTGCTGTTGCCAATTATGGCTCTAATAGTCTAGGAATTCTCCTCGGATGTATGAATGGTACTTTCTTCAATCAGTTAACGTACAAAACTGGTGATTATTCTCAACCGTGGAGTGTAGCCGTTGCTGACTTTGATAATGATCATCGTTTAGATGTTATCATCGCTAATTTGGGCACTAACAATGTGGGTGTGTTTTTTGGATATACTATGGAAGATTTTCTAACAGCGCCTGCTTATTCCATACCATCTTCGTCACAACCGGCCTCGATTGCCATTGGAGACTTCAATTACGATACTCGGTTGGATATTGTGATTGCTAACGAAGGAGCAAATAACATAATGATATTGTATGGATCAGGCTATGGAACTTTTATTGGTGAATCAGTCTACTCGACTGGTAATGATTCTCGGCCACATTCAACCGCTACTGCCGATGTAAATAACGATCAGCGATTGGACATTATCGTAGCCAATTCTGGTACGAACAACATCGGAATATTCTTAGGAAGCAAAAATGGAACATTCTCCAATCAAATAATATACTCTCTTGATGTCTATGCTCGACCAAGTTCTCTCGTAATTTTAGACATTAATAATGATACATACTTGGATATTGCTGTCGCTAACTTTGGCTCAAGCAGTATCGCTGTTTTATTCGGTGATGGCAATGGAAATTTTGGCAATGGATTGGTATTTAACACCGGCTATCGTTCGTATCCATATGCACTCAACGTGGGCGACATCAACAAAGATAATCTAACTGATATCGTTGCGACAAACAGTGGCTTTGGAAATATTGATATTATCATGAAAACATGCTCTTAGAATGTACGGTAAAACTTCTCTATAGTGAACACGTTAACAAGCTAATCTTCGGATATACTCGCAATCATCCAACTGCTACGATTTGATCGCCATGTTACAAATGTGAAGAGAAAAACATGTTCTCCTTACAGATGCAGAGAATCAATCCATAATTAACTTTTCATTATCATTGATCCTTGATTTCATGCACACGACGGGTTTTCTTATATCAAATAGACCATCAATGAATTTTATCACAATTGCTTCCAAATGTACGCTTCTTTTTCTCTTCTCTTCAATTTGTAACACTATATGCATATATTTTATTGAATATGTATTCATTATATAAAGGTTATTTTATCATTGGGATAAAAAAGAAGCGTTCACTCTTCAAAGCTTAGAAGTGTTCGCTAAGAGTAGCTCTACTACATCAATACTCTACTTGTAAAATGACTGATTCTGTTTTTGTTGTTGATGATAACAACTTCTTTTCATCATGATGATGTTAATAATCAGTGTTCTCGATAAGATATATTCTTATCTAGCTAGTTTGCATATTCACATCGACTGTGAAGCATGATGAAGATACGTTTCATTTGTGAGCTTATTCTGGGTTTTACCCTGGTTAGTATAATCCTCGCTGATTTATCGACTGAATGGGATAACTTCAAACACAAATATAACAAGCAGTATAAAACTATCAATGAAGAAAACGAACGAAAACAGATATTTTTTGAAAATTTGAATGAAGTACATACATTTCAACAAATGCATCCTGATGCAAGTTTTACATTAGCAATTAATCACTTATCAGATCGACGTATCCAAGTATTTCACAAAATTTCATGTAGATCAGTATTTAAATCAATTTCGTCTTTCTCATAGGAAATCGTACCTCCACGAAGAAAGTCGATTCAATCTTATGCATCGCCATCATCATTCAAAACTTCAACTGACGTTCAAGATTTACCCAGCAAACTTGATTGGCGTGAGAAAGGTGTTATTACAGAAGTGTATCATGATGAAGCAGGAATGATTGTTACTGCTGTTGTCAGCACCGGTGAGTATCAATAAAGAAAAGGAAAGACTTGAGCATATTTCTTCTTTGTTTAGAACTCGTTGAAACACTTCATGCGATCGAAACCGGTAAACTTATTGCAGGCAGTATCTCACAAGTATACGATTGTTGTCCACAGCCTGCTGACGCTTTTGATTGTATCAAGAATATGAGTGGTATTTGCCGAAAAGTAGATTATCCGAAGGAATTGGGCAAATGTCAACCGAATACATGCACACCATTTGCTAGTGTATGAGTCGATTTGATATTTCGAATGAGGGCAAAGATTGGTTTTCTTTATTTGTAGTTTGATACAATTAAACGAATGGGAAAACCAGATGAAAAATTGATGCTAGAATGGATTCAAGATTCGACTTTATGGGCAGAGATGAATGTTCAGGGGAAAGGTTTCGTTACGTATAGCGGAGGTATTTACGATGAGCCATCGTGTGCTCAACATGATTTGAATGATGTCGTAAGAAAATTAAAGAATACTCTGTAGTTAAATCGAGTTGATATTGTTGTACAGGTACAAATTGTTGGATATGGCAGCGAAGAAGGAAAACCGTACTGGATATGCAGAAATTACTGGGGTACGTATTGGTGAGAGATACATTTCGCTATTCTTTCTTGTGAATTTAGGCTCAAATTGGGGTGAAAAAGGGTATTTTCGAATTGCACGCGGGAAAAATATGTGCGGAATTGCTGATCTCATTATACAAGTGGCAAATACGAAGAAAAGTGTCGCTACTCAACAAAGTCCTCTTCTTTTCATCCTTTTTGTAGCAACGATCATCCCAATGATTATTAATCATTAACGAAACTAATACAAAAATAATAAATCAATGATATTTCTGTTGATATGCTAGTAAAGTGTACTAAACCTCGCCGATAACTAACTTCTTTGATGATTAAGAGCGAGCATGCTCGTCAGTTCTTGATCTTCATTGCATCTAATGAAAGAAAACACAAAATAAATAAAATCATACCATCCAGACTCTTAAACGCATAACTTGGACAATAAATGTATGATTGAGATATGTTTACACATTCCGCTCTGTAATTGTCGATATAAAATTGCTTGACGAATTGTCTATAAACTATAATGCTCAAACAAACTAGTAACTTCTCTGACGTCATTTTTTTGTTACAATGATCAGCCACGGAACTTCCAGCAATTTCATAATCTGGAATGTATAATTTACTCAAAATTACTAGACCATCGAAAAAGTTAAGAAATCATGTTATGTTCGATGCTCGAGAGTGAAGAGGCGTGTGTTCGATAGTAGTTAGAACATAACTGACTTTACTTTTATTTCACCAGGTTATATAGAAACAACACACAAAGGAAAGAAAGAGATGATCACGGCCACGAAAGATCTGTGGACGTGCCATCAGATGGCGGGATGTAACAAATCAACACAGCGATTATGCCAAATTTTCTTGCCTATGTTTATGTACTAATCAGCTGCTTGTATGCCAAGTTGAGCTGCCTGTACTTCGCCGTGTAGTATTCCATGTGTATGTCTCAAACGTTCGAATGCGTTTTCAGCAAAATTGCTTCGTATATAAGATCTCCAATCATGCCGATATATGGCATAGCCAATTTTCACCCATAACACATCCTCTTCGAACTTTTCAATCCACATCCACGGATCTTCACCATTTTCAGAAATATAATTCGTAGTTGGATAATAAATGTGAAAAAAGATATTAGAAAATAATACTAAATCATTTCCGATAATGTTCTTATGTTGTGAAGGAAGAAAAAGATCGATTCGTTCGTAATTTTTCATTTGATTTCGTACATACTGGATGCATTCGTTTTGGTTGAAATAATACTGTACACGATAACCGAGATGACTTTCGATAGTCCGATGTCGACGTTCGATGTCAAGAAGAACAACAAGTTGCATTGTTCATATGGAGAAAAGAAAAGACGAGGAAATCTACAAAAGGAATCAAAAATGGGTAATATGCGTGTTTAAGTATAGAAATTACGTTGTTTATTATTCGTTAAGATGATTACAGTAAATGAATTGATGTGAAATAAAAATTACTGTCTACATCCAAGATTACTTGACATTGATTTCACCAAAGGCATTCAATTGATCAAGAATACCGATACATTGATCATAATCGTGTACCGCACTGTTCTGATTTTGTTCTCTAGCATGTCGATAGCCAGAGATTCGATGTTTAAGAGCCATATCGATTGCGATTTGAATGGTTAACTCTTCTGGATCATCCGACATGTAACGAATTGAGTAATATTTCGTAAAGAATGTTTTCTTCTCGTTCGGAGTAACAGGCTGGCGTCCCAATATATAAATTACAGATGGATGACTACACGAACATAAGTTGTCCAAGAGTAGTGCATCATCATCATTGGACGACGATAAAACGATAATTGTTGAATCAGTTCGCTTTAATAGTTGTTGATAATTCCGGTGTTCTGTTATATATATCGAGTTTTTACCAAACAGATTGGTCAGATTTGTACAAATTTTTCGAAAATTTTCATCTGGACATGATGGCTTGAAAAGAATGATCTCCACATCAAAATTTAACGAAATACTACCTGAGTGACAGGATTGCTTGACATCGACAGCAGTGCCTTCTATGATATTTTCATAAGAATTCGGTCGATACAGTTGTTCACGTTCTTGGCTGACAATTACTTGTTCGAGTAGTTGTTTGGCCTTCGTTATATATTCTTTCGCAATCGATATACGACCATTTAATACGATAGATGGGTAATAATGATTAAATCTTTCGAAGATCGACACAACTCGATTAAAGTTTTTGCATGCTTGCGATAGAGATTGGTATGTGTTCTTATTGAGTTGTTCTTGCCCAAGACAAACGAAGTAATCTCCGATATCTTGTACTAATCGGGCTAGAAGGTTAGTAGCACTTTCGTCAATTCGTACATGGTGTTCAAGTTGTTCTTGTATTTCGGAAGTACTCTCGCAGAGTATATAAATTGAGATGTTCTGTGAATTTCCGTGATCTTCAACTATCTTCTTTGGAAAATTTGTTGACGAATAGTTTGAAATGAGCAAGAAAATTCTCTTCGATCTGCTGTTTTGTAAACATTGGGTACACTCCATTTCGTCGCTAAACGTACAAATTTCAACAGCATTGATTATTGACAAACATATTGAGTGTATCCATTGAAGATGTAAAACTTTTGACAAAAGTGCTTTTAGCGTTTGATACCGAGTTTCTCCACCAATACTGCAATCAAGCCAGAAAATAATTGGTTCTGATGTATAAGACATTGTAAAGATGCTTCTATTGCTGTGTACTTTAGAAAAGGAATGAAATGACGACTTTGTTGTAATTCGACTTTTTAACGTTCTGTATGTGATAAGATCAAAATGATACATAACTGCATCTGTGATTTTGTGGGAAGTGAAAACAATCTCAATGACCTTTGATCGACCTTCGGAAGAGAAAAATATCAATGATAGCGTGCGAAATTGACGCATTTAGGAAGCACCCTGTTCGATCAATAACGATAAAATAACTTCTTCACAAGTTTTTCGGGAAATTTACGTTTCATCCTGTGACGATTTCTGATGGAAGAGATGTGTATCCTAATGGAATCATGTCTTCCTTTATTCTTCCTATCATAAGTCGCCTCGTTTTAATACAAAGCATGCGTTTATATACTCATCCACAGAGAATACGAAAAGGAAAGGTGATCCAAAATGCATCGAAATATGCACCGGGTTAAAGGCAAATAACATGCGTACAAGGTATGGAATAGATAGATCGTCACACATCCCATGTGTCCGTTTCCGAACACCCGGTCACGTCGCCACAAGGTAACGTAAAATCCTGGTTCTTATATTCGTTTATCAGTTTCCTTGCTGTCAATCTTCGAACGAAATTCTGTCCACTCGAATTATATTCTTAATTCATGTTTTATTCATCAATTTCAGCTACATTTAGTTATTAGCGAGCTGTCGAAGAGCAGCAATATCCTTTTGAACATCTCGTGTGCTTCCCGAACACGAATGTGCTCCTTTGCTTTCTGTTAACCACATTTGCCAACACTGACTAACTGGAGTTTTACTACGACCACATATTGCTTCTTGTAAACTAGTACGAACAATAATTTCATCGCCAGCTGTTACGCCCTGGAACAATTCATACTCTACTTTCATAAAAAAAGAACATTGTGTATCTTATTCACGAACCTTGAATACTTCTTCCACTTTCATAGTTATGTCAGCATAACCCATAAATGGATTGGGTGATGTCACAGTTCTCGAAATGGCTCCTCTAACGAGAATAATTGGTATTCAAGCGATAGTTACTAACAACAATCAACTCGGCCTAATTTGCGAACGTTTTCGTTCTATTTGAGTATATGAGACAACATGAAAACAAAGACTATTATCATCCGTTATGCATTCCAAGATCTATGGATACATTCGATATTTACCAAGGAAGAGTCGAAGCGATGGTATCTTGTTGACCACTTTTGTTGGATCAAGCGAAGGAAAAACATTTGCAGCCACATTAGGACAAGTACCGGCATATACGTACATGCACAGAAATATCTGAGTTGGATAAAGATAGATGAATTTTTTATTCGTTTACAAATTCACGAAAGCTTTTGAAGANCTCCATTTCGTCGCTAAACGTACAAATTTCAACAGCATTGATTATTGACAAACATATTGAGTGTATCCATTGAAGATGTAAAACTTTTGACAAAAGTGCTTTTAGCGTTTGATACCGAGTTCCTCCACCAATACTGCAATCAAGCCAGAAAATAATTGGTTCTGATGTACAAGACATTGTATACGGGATTGAAAAAGATATTTGTTCCGTCACAAGATGCTTCTTTTGCTGTGTACTTTAGAAAAGGAATGAAATGACGACTTTATTGTGATGGGATTTTTAACGTTCTGTATGTGATAAGATCAAAAAGATACATAAGTGCATCTTTGATTTTGTGGGAAGTGAAAACAATCTCAATGACCTTTGATCGACCTTCGGAAGAGAAAAATATCAAAGATAGCGTGCGAAATTGACGCATTTAAGAAGCACCCTATTCGATCAATAACGATAAAAATAACTTCTTCACGAGTTTTTCGGGAAATTTACGTTTTATCCCGTGACAATTTCTAATGGAATCATGTCTGTCTTTATTCTTCTCATCATAAATCGCCTCGTGTTAATACAAAGCACGCGTTTATATACTCATCCACAGAGAATACGAAAAGGAAAGGTGATCCAAAGTGCATCGAAATATGCACCGGGTTACGAGCAAATAATATGCGTACAAGGCATGGAACAGATAGATCGTCACACATCCCATGTGTCCGTTTCCGAACATCCGGTCACGTCGCCACAAGAAAACGTAAAATCCTGGTTCTCATATTCATTTATCAGTTTTCTTGCTGTCAATCTTCGAACGAAATTCTGTCCACTCGAATTGTATTCTTAATTCATGTTTTATTTATCGATTTCGGCTACATGTAGTTATTTAGCGAGCTGTCGAAGAGCAGCAATATCCTTTTGAACATCTCGTGTGCTTCTTTGTTTTCTGTTAACCACATTTGCCAACGTTGACTAACTGGAATTTTACTACGACCACACATTGCTCCTCGTAAACTAGTACGAACAACAATTTCATCGCCAGCTGTTACACCCTGGAACAAATCATACTCTACTTTTATAAAAAAAGAACATTGTGTATCTTATTCACGGACCTTGAATGCTTCTTCCACTTTCATCGTTATGTCAGCATAACCCATAAATGGATTGGGTGATGTCACAGTTCTCGAAATGGCTCTTCCAACGAGAATAATCGGTGTTCAAGCGAAGTCATACATGAGGAACCAGAGGTTGAACCAACAAAAGTAAAAAGAAATATCAACGCGAGAAACATCTTATCGATCGAAGAAAAATGAAATGTAAATTAAAAGCTTACAGTCTTATTATTTATAATTGAATACAATGAAAGCAAATCTAGTAAATATTTTCGCAGAACTAAGGAAAAATATGAATCCATCAATTTGGTAGCGCAGGTTTTACTCATTAGATACTAACAACAATCAACTCGGTCTAATTTGCGAACGTTTTCGTTCTATTTGAGTACATGAGACTTGTATCCATTCTGATAACGTCTTATTTAAGTACTTTCGATATTACCTCCAGCGAAAAGAAGCACAAAATATTTTTATTTTACTTTCAAGGTTATGGTCATTTCAACAGTTCAGGAGTTATACCTCCTGAGCTTAGTTACTGAATCCAGCTTCACAGTCGAAAGTGACAAATTGTGTTGTGTTGAGTACGAATTTACGTGGTATGAACATTTTAAATATGATATAAGTCAACCCGACAGCTCGATTCGCGTTAGTTGAGTCTATCAGCAACAAGAAGATGTTGATTTTAGTATTGCATTCAGCAAAAGTTTGGCGGCTTGCAGTAAACAGAATTGCGATGTGCTCTCTATTTTCCTCAATGGCAGTAAACAAGCTGTAGTGACAATTGGAAGCGGATGGGACAACAAGTGAAGATTTCTCGAATTGCTGTTGATCATCAGCGTTAGACGATAAAAATACATGTCTTTCTACTGTACACAGTTATTTCTTGCGTCTCATTTAGGCAGAAGAGTCCATATGGCATCGTTGAAATAGATGAACAAACTATCATGATGATTATACCGCACACATGTACAAATAACAAAATAACTTAACCTTCGATCATTTCGAACAGTTCTGAATATTCAATTCGTCTGTCGCGTATGTTCGCAGAGAAGTTTCATACATAGCAACCATGTGTGAGTGAGAACGAAAGTGTTCTTTTCTTTCATCAGGTTGTCAACGAACAGAACTATTAACAATGCATCTCGACGATCTCGCCAATGAATTGTTTCTCGAGATTTTTCAATACTTATCAACTTTTGATCTTCTTCGATCATTCTATGACCTGAACCATCGCATCAATCAACTTCTCTTTGCTCATTTTCGCACTGCTGTCATTGATTTTGGATCAACATCTCTGGATGATTTTCGTCTTGTGTGTCGAGATTATTTTCCATCATTCGTCAATTGTGTAACATCATTACGATTGTCCAATGATGATGAGACACCGCAACAAATGGAAGTTTTCCTTGAGCACGGTTTAGCACTTCCTCAACTGTTGAATTTACGATCACTTACATTGCATAATATCCGATCTAATAGTAATGTTCTGCATACAATGATATCAGAATGCAGATCTCTTCCTCGTTTGACCCGTTTAACATTATCGGATTGCTATTTACCTGGTGATCGGATGAATACTCCGACTTTCTTTAACAACATATGGAGTTTATCAAATCTGATCTATTGTTATCTGAGCATCGGTTTCACATCGGGAGGCTTCGTTTTACCAACAGTCAAATCAACGTCGTTGAAATCTTTATTCGTCCCCTATGTTAAATTTGATCAAATTGAATTCAGCATGATCTGTCAACAAACGCCTAGCCTAGAACAATTTGATAGTTCATTTAAACTGAAGTTCTCTGATCAGGTCGTGTCCTCAACACATCAATGCGCATCGATAGTTCGTCTGAAACTGTTCTCAATCGATATATCAGAAAATCACCTGAATCAATTATTTGAGATGGTGCCGAACTTACGTCAATTAGTTATTGACATAAANGAATGGTTAACGAAAGAAGAAAAAGAAACAGATACAATCGAGTTGATTGCCGTTCGTTTTCAACCACTTCTTCATCTTCGATTCCACTTTGAAAAAGATTTAGTTGAAAGAAATACGATTTCAAACTAACAAGCAAGAAGAACAGTTTAGCAGTCAACATGATTTGTCGCTCACTGTGAAATGAGCTGATGAAAGTATTTAGTTAATGATTTTTTCCCTAAAACATATGGATTCTGATAAAGGAACAATTTGCTTAAGTTAAATGATTATATTTAGTATTTTAGAGAATTGTAGCAAAAACGAGGCGTACTGATACAATTTTTTAACGGTATACGAACGTGTTGATGTTTAGCGGGACAAATATTCATTGTTCTCAGAATAGACTACAGTCCGATCTGAGCTTTGACTATTGTTCGTCATCAGGTCTTACGCTGATGTCTCGTATTTGTTGTTTCATTCTGTAGACAAATACAAGGAAACACGTCAGCCATTAGAAAAGTGTTTTTTTTTGTATCAGGATTTGTTACTTTCAGATAGACGTAAGAATATCTTCATGGTCATATAGCGGCACATAAAAGCCAATGAAAGATTTTCTCGGGCGTTAGAAAAACGCGAGCGTCATCGAAATGGAGCAAAGAATCAATTTAGTCGATGTCGTCATTTTAGCCACGTTCTATCCGTGCATATGTTCTGCTAATAGTTTTGCTTCTTTCTATATGTCACCATTGTTAGCTTGAAAAACGATGCCTGATTAATTGAAATCAATAATTGATTGTCTTAGAAAAAAAAATGAAAGAATATTGATGAGATTCACTTAGTACCTAAAAATATACGATGTGCATTTTCTAGAAGTCTTCAAAATAAAGCATAGGAACGTTTTTGTCATGCTGAAAGCTTATTATTTAACCATATGTGTGCAGGATAGTCTAATAAAAGAATTTCCTTCTCGTTTTATATTGCCGAACTTGAGTAACATAGATGAGTGTGAATAAATTCGATCTTTTAGTCTTTCATGGTACAGCTCCGAGTTTAATCGAAACTATCTGTTATGTTACTGATAGAATTGACTGGAGTGGTTCCAAGTGCTTGGCTTCCTTGTTGAAGTTTGATACTACTTGTCTCTCATCAATATCAATAGAATGTCAGAACAAGAATAAAGATCGCTGTTGCTACATTAAATTATCATTTTATATTGATATTTTTGGTTTGCAGGCGATAGTTCTATTCGTTGTACTTCATGTCTAAGTACGAAGAACTCACACGATCGTTAGTTCACCTGCTCTTTTTACATTAATTGAGCTTCTGACCTGTGCCAATCAATGCAGTTTATTTCTATACGTAAATGTTCACATATGTGTGATAAATATTTCAGACCCTGTGGATGAAATAAAATAATACAGTATTGCCTATGTTACTCCGAGGACATTTTAGATGTGCTGCTGACATTCGTACTTTCAAAGTAATGCACCGATTTATTAAAAAAGCTTTTAGCGCAATCCCTTGTGGGGTTGAAAATGTTAAACGTGATAAATCGGTTTTGTATCATTGCAACGGAGGTTTTCCCATCGAGGGTGAGGGTGGCCTCAGCATAGAATCGTTGCGTCTGTCCGTGGGGGTCCACATTTCTGCTTTTGAACAACACTCTCTTTTAGATTGTGTTTCACAAAAGTGCTAATTACTTTCATCAGACGAATATGTGCTTATTCTTAACCATAAAGAAAAGTAGTCACACACAGACACAGCACGCGATCTTTTATACCGCGACTAATTTACTAAAACGGCCATGAATAAATAGTTAGATTGTCCGACACGAAGTGACAAGGCACTGTGTTCAAATCTCAGTACCATCATCCATAGAATGATCCTAGACACGTCACTAACGCCTAAGTTATCTACGTGGCTCTTGGTACGGAAGCCATTGATATTGATTGCACACTTCGTCAGTATGTTGAACGGAAGAGAGTACAGATACCACTGTTCACAAGGCAGAAACGACGGCAGGACCTGGCCGCATGTGGAAAAATACCAATAATAACAACGGGCGTCAATTCTATGAGACGCTATAATTATTAACTTACTAATAGAGAGCAGTCATCCTATTCCGCAATGTTGAACATTTGGGAACCAGTTCCGCACACGGAATCGATTCCTACGATTCCGGAATTCCGTAAACGAAATTCGGTCGTGTATAGGGGAGATGATATGTGAGGGTGTGGGTGTGGGTGTAATTCTGGAATTGGTAGGAATTCCGCGGAATTGTGTGTATCGATTCCGGAATTGCTTCGGGTTAATTCCGGAATCGTAGGAGCTGATTTCGTGTGCGGAACTGGTTCCCAAATGTTCAACATTGCGGAATAGAATGACTGCTCGCGTACAAGGCATGGAATAGATAGATCGTCACACATCCCATGTGTCCGTTTCCGAACACCCGGTCACGTCGCCACAAGGTAACGTAAAATCCTGGTTCTTATATTCATTTATCAGTTTCCTTGCTGTCAATCTTCGAACGAAATTCTGTCCACTCGAATTATATTCTTAATTCATGTTTTATTCATCAATTTCAGCTACATTTAGCTATTAGCGAGCTGTCGAAGAGCAGCAATATCCTTTTGAACATCTCGTGTGCTTCTCGAACACGAATGTGCTCCTTTGTTTTCTGTTAACCACATTTGCCAACGTTGACTAACTGGAGTTTTACTACGACCACATATTGCTCCTTGTAAACTAGTACGAACAATAATTTCATCGCCAGCTGTTACACCCTGGAGCAATTCATACTCTACTTTCATAAAAAAGAACATTGTGTATCTTATTCACGAACCTTGAATGCTTCTTCCACTTTCATAGTTATGTCAGCATAACCCATAAATGGATTGGGTGATGTCACAGTTCTCGAAATGGCTCCTCTAACGAGAATAATTGGTATTCAAGCGAAATCATCATTCAATGCTGGTGAAATCATGCATGAGCAACCAAAGGTTGAACCAACAAAAGTAAAAAGAAATATCGACGCGAGAAACACCTTATCGATCGAAGAAAAATGAAATGTAAATTAAAAGCTTACAGTCTTACTATTTATAATTGAATACAATGAAAGCAAATCCATGAAATATTTTCACAGAATTAAGGAAAAATATGAAGCCATCGATTTGGCGGTGCAGGTTTCACTCATTAGTTACTAACAACAATCAACTCGGCCTAATTTGCGAACGTTTTCGTTCTATTTGAGTACAGAAATAGCTCTTGTTAAATAACAAACAATGATATTTTTATTTCAGTACATGAGACTTATATCCATTCTGATAACGTCTTATTTAAGTACTCTCGATATTACCTCCAGTGAAAAGAAGCACAAAATATTTTTATTTTACTTTCAAGATTATGGTCATTTCAACAGTTCAGGAATTATACCTCCTGAGCTTATTTACTGAATCCAGCTTCACAGTCGAAAGTGACGAATTGTATTGTGTTGAGTACGAATTTACGTGGTGTGAACACTTTAAATATGATATAAGTCAACCCGACAGCTCGATTCGCGTTACTTGCGCCTATGAGCAACAAGAAGATGTTGATTTTAGTATTGGCTTCAGCAAAAGTTTGGCGGCTTGCAGTAAACAGAGTTACAATGCGCTCTCTATTTTCCTCAATGGCAGTAAACAAAGCCGACAGAACTATGGATTCACACGGAAATGTATAAAAATCCACTGTTCTATCAAGTAATGGGTTATCAGCTTACGCCTGGTAAACAAGCTGTAGTGACAATTGGAAGCGGATGGGACAACAAGTGAAGATTTCTCGAATTGCTGTTGATCATCAACTACTGTATACAATTATTTCTTGCGTCTCCTTTAGGCAGAAGAGTCCATATGACATCGTTGAAATAGATGAACAAACTATTATCATGATTATACCGCACACATGTTCAAATAACAAAATAACTTAACCTTCGATCATTTCGAACAGTTCTGAAAATTCAATTCGTCTGTCGCGTGTGTTCGCAGAGAAGTTTCAAACATAACAACCGTGTGCGAGTGAGAACGAAAGTGTTCTTTTCTTTCATCAGGTTGTCAACGAACAGAACTATTAACAATGCATCTCGACGATCTCGCCAATGAATTGTTTCTCGAGATTTTTCGATACTTATCAACTTTGGATCTTCTTCGATCATTCTATAATCTGAACCATCGCCTCAATCAACTTCTCTTTGCTCATTTTCGCACTACTGTCATTGATTTTCGATCAACATCTCTGGATGATTTTCGTCTTGTGTGTCGAGATTATTTTCCATCATTAGTCAATTGTGTAACATTATTACGATTGTCCAATGATGATGAGACACCGCAACAAATGGAAGTTTTCCTTGAGCACGGCTTAGCACTTCCTCAACTGTTGAAATTACGATCACTTACATTGCATAATATCCGATCTAATAGTAATGTTCTGCATACAATGATATCAGAATGCAGATCTCTTCCTTATTTGACCCGTTTAACATTATCGGATTGCTATTTACCTGGTGATCGGATCAATATTCCGACTTTCTTTAACAACATATGGAGTTTATCAAATCTGATCTATTGTTATCTGAGCATCGGTTTCACATCGGGAGGCTTCGTTATACCAACAGTCAAATCAACGTCGTTGAAATCTTTATTCGTCCCCTATGTTAAGTTTGATCAAATTGAATTCAGCATGATCTGTCAACAAACGCCTAGCCTAGAACAATTTGATAGTTCATTTAAACTGAAGTTCTCTGATCAGGTCGTGTCCTCAACACATCAATGCGCATCGATAGTTCGTCTGAAACTGTTCTCAATCAATATATCAGAAAATCACCTGAATCAATTACTTGAGATGGTGCCGAACTTACGTCAATTAGTTATTGACATCAANTTTGATCAAATTGAATTCAGCATGATCTGTCAACAAACGCCTAGCCTAGAACAATTTGATAGTTCATTTAAACTGAAGTTCTCTGATCAGGTCGTGTCCTCAACACATCAATGCGCATCGATAGTTCGTCTGAAACTGTTCTCAATCAATATATCAGAAAATCACCTGAATCAATTACTTGAGATGGTGCCGAACTTACGTCAATTAGTTATTGACATCAAATATGTTGATCCACCTCCTCCAACTCCAGTTTTAGATGGCTATTCATGGGAAAAGATCTTCCGCTGCCATTTGCCTCAACTTCATGTGTTTCAGATGAGAATGGATATCTTTTTCTTCGATGCATATATCTATGACGAACAAATGATTGGTTTCCTTGAATCCTTTCGAAGTTCGTTTTGGCTTGAAGAACGCCAATGGTTTGTTCAATGTCATTGGCAGCCAAAAAGTCAAGCTTATCTATACACACTACCTTACAAATTTACAGATTTTCGACTTGATTCCACAATGAACTCTCTATCGACATGTTCAAACAATAATCTTTGTCTTTCCTATGATCATGTGACTGAACTTGATTACCGATATGTACCTGATCAGCCACAAATTGCATCACCTATTCGTCTCGTTAATATCGGCCATTTAGAAGTTCGTTCTCCCGAATCAAATCGATTTTTATCTCATATTCCTCGATTAGACCAAATCATTTCATTGGCAATTTACACCGATAGTAAAACTTACACTGAAGTTGAACTTCAATGTCTGATTAATCAAATGCCTCATCTTGCAACATTCAGCTTTTACACAGATTCATTATCGTTTATGAACAATGCTTTCTGTTACTTGGCTCACCCGAGAATTCGTCGACTAAATCTGCGTTGTTGGCATGATTGTTTTGATGTCGAACGTTGTGCTGCATTGTGGGGTTCATCACTAGGCAAACAATGCCAAATTCTGTGTATAAGAGTTAAAAAACCTATAGTCGTACATGAATTTGTCAACAACATGAGAAATCTTCGTGCATTGACGGTTGAGTTTCAAGGTGATCATCTTTGGAGAGCAAATGACGACAAAGTTGTTTGTTGGCTGCAAAAGCATTTGTCATCGGCATGCCTAATCAAAAGAGATTCTATGTGCACTAAAAATATACATATTTGGATTGGATCAAACCGAAATATATGAACAGATTCCATTCGCGTTTATTTAACATATGTCGCTTTTAAGAAAAATGCAATGTGAAATCATTCCATTGTTCATCTTCTATTGATGCTAACGCTAATTTAATAGTCCATAATCGATCTCTCAGTTGTTTCCTTTCTCCAACACTGAAAACTGCACTCATCGAGAAGAGAACTTCATCTTCATCTTTGAAAATACTCTGATAATCAATACTTGCAAAGCGAATCGATTGTTTCATTGTTGTATCAACAACGATACGATAAATAACTGAGATCGAGTTTCCCTCCTCATTTCCATCACCAGAAAATGCCAGAGCAGCTTCATAATCACTTGTTGTTGACAGAAATGTGTTTGTTGAAACAAGTTGTCCTCGATTTTGTTGTAACTGATGCAGTTCACACAAGTGCATCCTCAAGCCTCGATAAAGTTGTAGAACTCTTTGATTTGATGGTAATTGCCGAAGAAATTCCATCTGCATCTGAGCAAGTTGATTGTGAAGATCATGAATGAAGTAACGTAGTTTAAAAATCCAATCAATATTTTCATTTCGAAGTGCGCGATTAATTAGTTGATAAAGAAAACAATCAACAGTGTACCATTTTATTGCATCTCGAGGATCGTAAGTGGCATCGAAATGATAAATTTTCTTCAATTCGACAGTATCTTTAGCATAAGCTTCTCGACAAACGTCAAGAAGTTCTTTTCGAGCAAAGTCATTTTGATCTAAACGTAGCATCATATCGATGAACAATTGAGACGCTAAAAACGATCCTTTTTCGAATGTGAGATAATGAAAGAAGTTTTTCTTTGATTGAATGTTTCGTACCGTAAAGAATGATTGTTGATTGAGAATATCTTTCGTTCGCAAATACCATGGATTCATAATCGAAATATATTGTTCGTCATTTTCATCAATTAACGTCAAATCAATATACCAAAATTCGTCGAGAGTATTTTTTGTCACTCGTTCAATACGAAACAACGAACGAAACGAGAACAAAATTTCCAACTCGTGATCTGCAACACTTATATACTGTGATATATCGCAATAAGCAGCCTGGATATGTTGAGGAATATCGATCGAAAATAGGACTTGTCTGATCAGGCCTGTTCGATGGGGAGACGAGATGCTTGCGAAGTTAAAAGCTGTTTCTCTCGACAACGTTGTTGACAAAAAGGCTGTTAATCCAATAAGACCACTGACATTGGCTTGAATTTCTAGGATTTCTTCCAAATGCATCTGCTGGCCGCGATAGACAGTGGCAATTGAATGGATTTCATGACGATGGTTTTGTATATAGTTTTCTAGATCAGATATGACATCACGCATAGCGAAAATATGATTAATATATTCGGATCTGAGTGTACGATTCAACAAAATATAGAAGAAGGATTCTCTTGTATATCATTTAATAATTTCATTCGACTTATAAGTTCGTACGAATTCTGAGCATGATCGTTGAATGATTTCAGTTTGTTTTGTATGAAATGCTTTGACATTGTTTAACTTTTTTTTTTCAGCTACATCAGTTTGTTTTAAACATGACAGGATAGTAGAAATATTGATACCAAAGATATTTAGTAGTGTGCATGTTAAGATCGTATGATGTTCGTTCAACAGGCCAAGAATCGAATGTTATGTAAAGCCGATGTCGGTTACCTATTGTCAATGACAGATGATCAACAAGTGATTGAGTATTCGAAAAATATTCGACATTTTCATACGAAAATCGTCGTGTGCCAACAATAATCGTGCGAGTAATTTGAGGAAATATTGGACGATAATTATCGCATACAAGAGAAGAAATAAGATCCGACAAAACCAAAGTTATTTGTAGATCTGCATTTAAAACAAGGTAATCGAAAAGATCATCGACGTCGATAAACCAGTGTTTGATGTAATAAGATAATCGAGGATTTGATCGAAAATCTTGTTCAGTTAGATCAAAACTGATAAAACACTGGCCAAACGAATCAGAATTTTGAATACGTGTGTAAAATCGCTACATACTTGATGGAAAATAAACCGTCTTTTTCGCCTCCAGTTTATGTAAACACGTGGAGAAAACAGCCAAATATTATAATGTTATGCTGTTCACTTACCATTCTTTCATTGGCAGAAAAAAAGCGATGAAACAACGGCATCTTTACATTCAACTATATATGTTATTTCTTCTAGTTTCCGATATCAGATAAAGAGAATAACAGAATATCGATTAGTAGAATCGCAGTTTTCAGTATGCTAAACATGAGATATACAAGGGAACTTCAGTAGATGATATTTACGCAAAGCATTTATATCCTAGTAAATTAAAAGAAGATACCGGAACTTTTTCATAAAAGGCTCCATTCAAACACTTGGCTCATTGTTCTGATATCAAGCCATGACATGTATCATGTACCCGTGCCTTTCAAACGCAAATATTCTATAGGATGCGAGCGTGAAGGTTTCGGCGAGAGTATATTTTCTATACTTCACTATATCATCATGCTCGTTCTATATGGATATTTTCACCCACACGCTCACCCCCATCCTTACCCAAACCCTCATTCTACGAAAAATAACATTTTTTCCAACTTATAGCTGATAAGCAAAAACTACATGATAACATGATATAGAGCGATAAGTGTAACGTATTTACACAGAATGAAAAAGACAAGCTTTCTTTGTATAAACCTATCCATTCAATCGTGAATCATTCATTCACCTGAGTGGTAGAAAGAAGTCGAAATCTCTGCTGCAAAAAATTAGAAAGTGCGTTTCATTTGTTTCATTGGTTGTACTAGCTAAAGGGTGAGCGCAAATACTAAACAGGTCTTTTTTCGCGTATCTTTTAGAACATCAAGTTCTATACACTTTCCTATCCCACTCACATTGGTGACATCCATCTATATACATTCATAGGGAAGAGCTGTTGCGAATGCTAAGTTTCGGCTTCATGCACTTAGATATGCATCAGTGTGGAAAGTCACCCACTTACATTCTCTACATCCGATGTAGGCTATATACTATTCCACAATGTTGCATACTCGAATATCAGTTTCGTCACCGGAATCCCATATTGTTACAATTACAGCTAAAACACATACCCCATGCTTATGTATTTCCTCAGTCTGAGATAACTTTTCTCTTGTTCTTCCAGTTAGAGTCATGGCGTGGAATCGGAACCCTAACGTTGAATGGATTTTCAATAACAGTCCGGACCCATGGTCGTCGACTGCGACGGAAGCTGTATGGGAAAGATACAATGACATAGATTCAGATATACTTGAAAAAGCCTTTCAAAACAAGCAGAAAACCGTCTCCTTAGGTAACTATTATGTTAGCTTGGTTCCTAACAAAATGGTTCAAGTTCATAAACTCGATGAGTATCGTCAACGTCCAATAAGACGCCGTGAAGGAACACCAGTAAGTCGAATAGCACAGCGTCAAGATCGTTTCAATTTCACCGACAAATTGGGCTCGAAAACATTCGGTAACACAGGCGTTTGCATGTCACCTTTTGTCGAAGAATGGATTCGCAGAAATCCTAATTACAAATTTAAAGAAGAAACTATTGAACAATTAGCTTCCGGATTAGAGCAAGAAGGCGTCGCCATAGGGGAAGCAGATGCGGCAAAATTTATTGCTTTAGAAATTCGTCAACATAAACACGAAGAGCGGTCAAAAATGATTGAATACTGTGTTCGGCTATACACGGCTGATACATGGATTTACCGTTTAGTTAATTCTACTCTGCGAGAAAATGATATGAGTAAAGTCGATACTTTAGGACCTTTCTGTTGCTTTATTAGAAATTTTCTACACGCTTCACAAAAAGAACATGAAGACGAAGAGATGGTTGTTTATCGCGGCATGGAACTCGAACCTAAAGACATACAAGTGTACAAGGATTGTGTGGGAGAAGTTCATTCTTGGTTCGCCTTTTCGTCAACAACTAAAAGCAGAGCTGTTGCCGAAAACTTTGCAGTAAATGTCCTATTCGAGATTCACTTCGATGGATTTTCTGCATCACATTATCCTGGCAGAGACATCTCAATTTTGTCAAATTATCCGAAAGAAGAAGAAATTCTGCTGCAGCCCGGAGCTGATTTTAGAATTGATGAGGTCAAAGAACAGAAAATAGGAGGAAGAAAGCTGACCATTATTCGATTGGCCTTGATGTAATGTCTTTTTTATTATGTTTGCGACTATTGAATGAAGAAAGCGGACTACGAACAAATCCTTTTCAATAAATCTAGCACGACGTGCCAGAATTTACTTTACTAAATTAAATTTTACACCGATTTCTTTTTCAGATTTGTGAAATATTCAACAGTATATAAGTTTCAAAGCATTACATCATTGATTACTCCGCTATTCAATCTTGAAACTTTTCAAAAGATCGCTGACATTAGTCGACGGAGATTGTAATTAATTTTGCCATTTGGTAAATCTGCTATTCATCGGTAATTGAGAGATATTGGTAAGAAAAGTAACTAAACGCACTGGCTCCATACATGTAGAAGTCGAGAGGGCGTTTCGAGTACTGAGGATGGGTGAGGTGAAAGAGATGTAACGCGGTGATATGTTAAACAAAAGTTTCGAATTTAGAAACCTAATGGTCCAAGTGATGAAGTTTGAAACTCGAGTATTCGAATTGTTAAGCTAGAATTTAAAAAGTCAAACATGTTTAGTACTCGAATCGAATTAACGATTTTTAGAGGACTCTTCTTGTAGATACATCCAGAACAATTCCTTTTTTTCTTCGAAGTGTTCATCTAAAAGATTTGTCGGAATCGATGGACTACTCGAAAACTCAGCGAAGTCATACATCCAGATCCTCAACAGCAAATAATACCATCGACTGGATCATCCAACAATGTGAAAAGGTGACATTACACCGCGATATTATCTCCTTAATAGTAAAAAGACTCAATCGTATAAAAATTATAATAAAAGAAAAGAGCGATGTTGATGGGAAGATCGTGGAACATGTTCTGGTTGAACTACACCGTACATGTACTGCTTTTAAGGAATTTTTGCAGCAAGAAGACGTTATCTATCGGTCAAGCGGCAAGAAGCTTGATAATGCAGCAAAAAAATATATAGACACGTTCCTTAACAATATTCTTTCACGTTTGGTAAAACAGGAAGTCGATCTCACTCAAGATCATCAAGCGAAAATTCAAATTTATAGTGAGGCTATTTCTGAACAACAGGCCATCAAACATACGACTTTGGATGAAGAAATTAGAAAACGAATTCGAGAAGCGGGAGACAAAATGAAGATAAATGCACAAAAACGACTTCTTCATTTAACAAAGCAGTACTCACACATTACTGGGCCATATTTAACTCGGTGTTTTGAGTTGTACAGCACCATTGTAATTAATGGGCTAGATGCTCAAGTAACTGGTGAAGTGGCACAGAATTATTATGAAATTTCATCTTATCAGAGAAATAAGTTTGAATGTGCGTGGAAATCATTCAAAATGCCGCTTAAATACATGCCAATCCAACTTCGAATCGATTCCTCTACTTCGTTTGAACGAAACGCTGCTCGACAGATGGTTATGACTGATCATCACGATTTGAGGACGTTGTTGTTCAAAGAGGCGCCAGTAGGTACTTGGCGGCAACGCCTTTTAGTAGCACCTTATATGCCTTCAATGCTCGAACGAGATCGTCTCAGTGACAACAGCAAAAGTCAATCGGCAGCTCTCGAAGATGTTTTACAACAGCATCGCTGGATTGTGATGCTGGGTGATCCTGGTAGTGGTAAAACAAGTTTCGTCCAGTGGTTGTGCACTAAATACATTCGAGCTGCTGAGAACGTTCAAGAGAATTTTGAATTTGGTCCTTTTAGAATGCCCATTGTTATTCGAATTGGTGAATTTGCTGATGCTCTGCGGAAAAAGCAGAACTTGACACTTTTCGAACATATCGGCGAGCACAAATGGTTCGGAAGATCAATGTTGTCGAGAGTTGACAGTTCAAAGATTTCCGAAAGAGAATTAGCTATGGTTTTACAAGATTATGTGAGAGAAGGACACGCTCTAATTATTTTAGACGGTCTAGACGAAATTGTGGTTTCTCAGGAACGTATGCGACTTGTCAATCTTGTTGAAACATTTGTTGAGACATACGTACAAACACCATCTCACAGAGCAGTTTTGGATGACTGTTTCCAAGTTGAAATCTTAGACGAACCGGGTCAGCTGGGTGGCAATCAACTTATTGTAACGAGCCGCATTGTGGGTTATCATGCGGCTCCACTAGGTGGTCGATTTGCTCATTATATAATCGAGAAGCTAGATACTGAGCGTATAAGTGGCTTCATAGACAATTGGTTCAAGACAGTTCATGCTGAAATGATTCGAGTAATCAGAAAAGTAGATACATCCGTTCATATATCAAACAATAAATGGGAAGGGCAAGCAAAATTTCTTAAAGTTGAATTAAGTAATCCGGATCAAATTGGTTTAAAAGAGCTGTCCTCGAATCCTTGTCTGCTTTCGTTTATATGTAGTATTGCCTTTAGTTCTAAAGAATCATCTCTGCCCTCGCAACGTATCTTACTGTACGAAAAGACGGTCAATGCAATGTTAGATTCGTGGAAGAATAAAGAAACAAATGATACAACTATTCAAGGATCTAAAGTAATTCGAATATTTTGTGACATTGCATGGTACATACACATGAATTCAGCTGCTGGATTGATTGAAGAGAACCGGTTAAAAGAACTTTGCGTTCGATCTCTGCAAGTATATGAAGGAAAGAAGGCTCCAACAGCTGCTGATGAGCTGCGTGTCGAAAAGGATGCAGAAGATTTCGTACAGATAGTCCGTAGAGACGTTGGTGTTCTAGCGGAGCGCGGCGAATCTTTCTACGGGTTTCTTCACCTTACATTTCAAGAATACTTTGTTTGTCTCGATCTTACGAATGTCACAAAGCAAAGACATAGCATTATCTCGCCTGACGGCAAGGTACTCGATGATGTTCAGGTACTTATACATTCACTCCATCGCCATATGAATGATCCTAGGTTCCGCGTACCAATTGCTCTCGCTTTTGGACGACTAAGTTCGAAATGGAAAAAGAAGCCAGAGACGTTGGATCGCTTATGCTATGAATTTTTAAAAACTGACTCAACATCGTTCTTTCCAATCAACGCATTATTCGTAATAAACAATCTAAGTGATTTCGTCCAACGACCATCATTAGATGTTCTCATTATAGCTTTGAATCAACTATTGAAGATTGCTACTAAAGAAAAATGGGCTAATACGAATCCTGCACTTCATTCGCAGATAAAAGACGCCATACACAAGTTACCAGACAATGATATCTCTAAATGGGTGCGATCAATACTTGCCACAAGTCACAACCAATTCAATCACTCAATACCTACTCTCTGTAGTTTGTTAGTGAGACAAAGTGAGGATTCGTTTGAAATTCGAGGAATCGATGCATCCACTTGCGAATCGCTCATTTCATTTCTGAAATACGATGATGAGGACAATAACTTTGCCATCGATATGATTCTGATGCAAATTGCTTACAAAAATCATCGTTTACTACCAACTATTCCAACAGGTCTTAAAGCACTCTTAATACGTGAAAAAGTCGATTTCGCAACAATTCATCCATCCATTTTGGCTGTCATTATTATAATCTATGGTGGGCTGAAGCGATATGAAGATACAGTCATGTTTGATGTATCCCGAATGTACCGAGAATCGAACTTTCTAACACCGCTGCTGATCGGATATTTCAGTACTAAAAATCAAACACATGATTCAAAAATAGTCTTTATAGAACGACAATGTGTAAGCTGTTTATCAACGGTTATCAACAGCGACAATCAAATGAAAGCCGTAGATGCACTTGTCACTATGCTTTGCTTATTTGGAGTAAGCAAATTATGGACATTATCGAGTCTTTCGTCGACAACTGTTTTCTCGGCAGCACTAGTCAAGCTGAAACGTACTTCAATGATCCTCCGACAGTTTTACATGCAATCAAGCACTCAAGTAGCAGCGGATGTGCTAACAACTTCTGTGAACGACCATTTATCAAACGAATGTAATTCAAAACCTAAGAATAATCAATCGAAAGCAACAGATGTAATAGCGTATACTAAAGCAATGACTTCTGCTCTTGCACGTTTACGATCTTCTAAGAAATCCATAATTGTACTGAGCAAAAATGAAGAACATGGACTTACGTTTCCTTTACCCAAGTTATTACGAGATCAGGCGATATTTGAACAATTACTTCGAAAGAATATGACACTTTCATCTAACCAGTTATCATGTAAGACTCTTCCAGAATTTGCTCGTCTCTTTTGGATTTTGAACGACGATGAGACTACTGATACTCAATATCGAATGGCTGTTGCAGCCGATACTATTCCGACTTTTTTATTAGTCCATAGCAATAGTGATCCGATTTTTGCACTGACATTTGTTGCTGATCATCTTAGACCACTCTATTGTCATCTCTTAGAACAATATCAGATCATTCTGAACAATTCATCAACTGAATCGTCTAAAAAACAACCATTTCTCTTATTCCAACACATCCTGATACAATCTATAATGGAACTATCAGAGTCTTCCTGTAAGCGACTCTCTCTAACATTAGCATTATGTGCTATGCTGCCTGTTCTTCGTATGAATCGTCTTGAAAACGTTGCAATAGGTCTAGCGTCTAAATTGAACACGGATAACAATTACAGAGCTATGATCGAATACACAAAACAAAGGCCGGTAGATTCAAATACAGGTGAATATACTGATGGGTTGGGGGATTTTCCCTCACCGCCGGAGGATTACGAGATTGCGTACAATCATCAAAAGACTATTCGTATGTGTATTGAAGAAGAAAGACAACGTCTTCAAGTTGCAATGAGACTTCTCAATGAGAAGAACAAGGAAGTAAATGCAAACTCACAATTATATTCAGCTTCTGTTTCTTTATCCTATTTGTGTTGGTTTTCCGGTGATACGGAATTATCTCGTTTGTTTGCAGAATCTTTAAATGCTGTGGACTGCATCACCGATCCGTTGCTTCGTTTTGATGCTTTGTGTGCATTGGGTGTCAGTCCACAAGGATGGACGACTTCTTATCGATTGAAAAATGGTCGTACTTTGATGGAAGAACTTGAAAAGCAACTAGTAAAAATAACTTCTGATTTACATTGTACCCTTCATGCGGCTGTATTACTACGTTGCTGTTCATCTCGTTTGCAAAAGGAAATGATTGAAAAGAGTTTACGAGATCTTCTGAAAAAAGTAACGAAAGCAGATCAAGCTGACCAATTAGTCATTAACTCTGCACTCTTCGGTATCTTACGCTCTGATCCTCTGGTAGCGACACATTTAATCCAGTTTCTTCAAAAGTCCAAATTACCCATGTATGACATCTGCAAAGAATTATTTCAGTCGAAATCGTCCATTTTTCAGCGATTTTTCGCAAACCAGAACTTCATCAATAATACATTATTAGCATCAATGTTCATCGTCGAATTAACAAGCGAGACACATCTGATTCTCGAATGGCTCAACTCAACTGAAATACGTCCATCAATCGATCCGTCGCTCAAGACAACGGGCAATATTAATGAAAAGATCATTTTAATTCATGATAATCTTACATTATCTCAAGCCATTTCCATCAATCGTATGATGCAGCCCATTGGTCAGTCACCAAATAAGCAAGATATTGCAAATATAAAGTGTTTAGTTTCTCAACTGCACTCTGTGTCTATGCTGGAATTGGAAGCGCGAGAAATTGCCGAAAGTTGGCTTAATCTTGAAGTAAATCCCACTCTAAACGTTTTCGCGTGGCATGCAGCTTTATTATTATTGAAATCAAATTATTGGAGTCCTAGGGCGGTCCGTATTGCGGCTGATCTTTTACTATGTGAACAGGATAGATTTCGACAAAGAGCAGAGAGCGTTTTTCTCCTGAACAATAATGATCATATTCAAACTAGTACTCAACTGACGTTAGAGGTTATATTGCAACTGCATGAGTATGGGTCATTGTTGTGCAGGAAATCAGCATATGCTGCATTAATGCTTTTAAGAAAGCACGAGCATATCGAAATTGATCAGCGATCTCATTTGGATGCACTTCTATATCTAGAGAAGCAACGTATTCTACTAACCAACAACAAAACGCTCTCTAATGCTGAACAAAGACTTCCTTCACCTCTAAATGAAATATTTGATAATTGCATCAGAACAAATAATACGGAGTTCTCATTTATTAAGACAACAGTGAAACATTTCTCATCAGATGTTATTGAATATGTAGTTGAACTAATCGAAGATGGCTTCAATAAGTTCTGGAAAAATGAGATTAGTCGACAAAACATTCAACAACGTGAACTTCGAGAAAAATTTATTGAACGCGTATTACTTTCTCTGCATTGTATTTTAAATAACTCAAAATGCGGCACATCTAAACTAGTGGAATCTCTAGCAGATCTAATAAGCAATAACTCATCAGATCTCATCAGAAAAGCTGCCATCTTCACTTTGGGCTTTAGCAAGAATGAAGACACTCTGTCCATTATATTTACTATCATCGAATTAGTTGCTAGAGACTTGTCTGATACTTCACACGGTTATTCCGATGAGTTAATTAGTACTGCCATTCGATCTTACTGTTACAATGCATCAACTGTAGGTTATGATGTTTCTCCGAATGGCGAAATAGAAACATTGCAAAGATTACTCGATCATCCGTCTGTCATTGTTTCTACTGCAACAATCTATGGTCTAGGTCGTATACTTGATGTTGATGCATTAATGAAAATACTAAGTTCGAATTGTATTCAGTGTTATAAGGCATTTATCGCAGGAACATCCGATTCATTTTTGCACTCAGCTTCTACTCGCTGTGTGAAGGCAGCAGCAGCACTTATTGAACAACATCCTGATCTATTACCAATACTTATACAAGAACTCTACGAACACATTCGTTACTTTACGGATGTGATTTTCAATGATGTCAGCGTAGAATATTTATACAACTATAGTTATCCTCACTACGCCAATGTGGCTGCTGTGGTTGCTGAATCTATGCCTGCAGCATTTTGTACTGCTGTAAATGATTTTGTAAACGGCGAAAACCTAAAGCGTTCACTTTATTACACTAGCAAACAACATCATTTTCCTCGCCGTGCTGCTTGTCTCACCGTTCTCTCTGTGTTTGGTGAACTTACTGCTGAGCTCTGCGAGATGTTAATTCGCGCTCTTCTCGATGATCCTTCTATACAAAACACGTGCTATCGTTGCTTATCTCGTATCCAATCAGTTAAAGATGAAAAGGTCATTGTCAAAATTAAAGAATATTTACGTTCAAAATCAATGAATGCACGATATGTATCCTGCAAATTGCTACTTATCCTTTCTAGACTACCGAATACAATATCACTAGATAAAATACAAAAACTCTTTAACGATGTTATGCGCGATCCAGAATCCGATGAAGACCTCTGGTTAATTGTCGAACAAGATGATATCTTTTGCGGAAGCATATACTACAATGCTGGCAAGTTAAAGAATGTTGTTTACGCTTTGCTTGTCGATCATTTCATAAGTAGTGGTAAAACTGGAACAACGACGATGCAAAAAGAAGCCGCTACTCAGAGTATTCTACAACAGGACTTCATTGCATCTGAAAAAGCGGCCAGACTTGCTGCTTGTTTATTCAAATCAACTTAAAAGATATTACATACTTAGAGATGAACTCTGTTGGTTTTAATAGCATAACAATTTTCTGAAACGAAATCCGAGCACACGAGTACCACGAGATCAAGATAAAAAAAGTAATCCTAAAGAACGAAAAGTTGCTTCTCAGAGTATGCGTTCAATTATGAACTAATGTCTTCTAAACTAAATCAGTCCGGTGAGGATGAGGATGAGTAAGAGAGAAAATATTCACACTTACATCTTTATCGAAGTGCATTTCTGCCTTTCGAACTGGAATCTCTGAAGTTTTAATTTCCTTCATTTTCGTTTTTATTCCTCATCTACAATATTGGGAAATCAATCCCTTTATTCAATCACATTCGCATTTTCAAAATAATTTCCTTACAAAATCATTTAATTGAAACTATATAAAAACAACACAATAGTTTGATCGATACGCCAGGGATTAATCTTCTTCGCAAACTTGTTGATTATAAATTTCTGTTAATGTCATTGGTTCAATAATATTCTCACTACAAAAACCTAATTTGTTCGATAGTTTTCTCTAACTCTCAATATCCAATCTATTGAATTCATAATTAGCAATCAGTCGACCTTTCCGCAGTAGAGCTCGATCGACAATTGTTAAATCACAATTAAATGTAGCAATAATCTGTTGATGCATCGCATCACCTAATAACCCATCCGACCTACAAAAGAAATCTATGAAACATAATGAATATTCAGATGAAAACTTACAAGTTAAGAAGATTCGCAACAGCTTGTGGTGATGATACTGTCGTTCCACTGCGATCTCTAATGATATTCTCTGCATCTTCACTGATCAAAATAGCATTTTCATATTCCATAAAAAATGGAAGAAATTCAGGAGATGAAATTTCTTTTGCCATATCAGGTGGTATGTAAATCAACGTTTTATCTTGGATTTCGTGAATAAGGTATCGAATATAATTTGTTCTACTTGATCCTGGAACGCCACGCAAAAGAACGATGCCTTCTGAGTCATTTGTATTGAGCTTTTTGAGAATTTTTTCGTGTAATGGTACAAATGCTTCACCATAGTGAAGAGCATAAGGTTAGTGATTAGTGGCTTTTGTATTGTAATTTCATTTGTATAATATCCAGATGCATTACGACAAACCATTCGTAATGTGCACGTCCTCGCAGTGAAAACAGTCATTTCTTTGAACTGATTCGCCAAGTTTTCAACGAATGAATTATGCTTTGGTAAATGATATATTTTGATTACTTGGCAAACGAGAAAATAATCATCCGAATGGTCTGATTTGAGTTTCTTTGGATTTTGAACATCATTTCTCAATTTTGATGCACTGAATTCAATTATAATACCATTACCGAGGTCGATTGCACGATAAGAAACATAATTTTGTTTAGTTTTTTTTATTATATTTCCATACAACACGATCTTTGTCGAGATCATGATCAAATTCATTGTGAAGATAATCGAGAATAGTCGTAACATAAAAACAAAGACTATTATCATCGGTTATGCATTCCAAGATCTATGGATACATTCGATATTTACCAAGGAAGAGTCGAAGCGATGGTATCTTGTTGACCACTTTTGTTGGATCAAGCGAAGGAAAAACATTTGCAGCCACATTAGGACAAGTAACGACATATGGTTCGTCATTTCTTTCTGTCATGTTAGACGATGAACAATTATGAGAGAATGGCTGTTTTTATAGAATAACAACTGAAGCAGAAGTCTTCTTGCTCATTTTGTTGTGAAAGAACGTATGTTTTTATGCAAGTCTCTGGCAATACACTCACTATTACTCATACGCAAGGCAATAAGTAATGGCGATGGTGAAATTACTAACATCTTGAGAATGAACATAGAGGCGTCTATATAAAAGAGTATTGCGACTGGAATAATTGTTCATGTATTTATGTTTCTCAACATTTTTCAGAACTTTCCTCACCACGGTGATATTTCCTAGCCTCTTTTTTTGTTAAAATGCAAACAAGTCAGTAGAGTACCTATCCAAAGTTATACGATTATGTACATGCACAGAAATATCTGAGTTGGATAAAGATAGATGAATTTTTTATTCGTTTACAAATTCACGAAAGCTTCAGAAGATTAATGACAAGCTGCTCCTAGCGAAACTCGAATACTGTTCATTTCTGTGTCAATGAAAACCAGATCATCTTTTCCATCTTGATTTAAATCAATAACTTTTAGTGATTGAAAACATTTACTATTGTTAATTCTATCCATATGAAATGACAAATAGTTTTTATCAAAAAATCCAATTTTGGTTCCGAGAAAGATTGTTACTGTTCCATTGCAATGCAACAGAGCTATATCGTCAATCTGATCGTTGTTGAAATTGATTCGACTAATTGATGTTGGAAAATCGCTCGTTAAGTAAATTTGCTGCGTAAAATTTCCTTTGAGGTACGCAAGTAANAAATAATCACCTTTGTCTTTCCTATGATCATGTGACTGAACTTGATTACCGATATGTACCTGATCAGCCACAAATTGCATCGCCTATTCGTCTCGTTAATATCGACCATTTAACAGTTCGTTCTCCCGAATCAAATCGATTTTTATCTCATATTCCTCGATTAGACCAAATCATTTCATTGACAATTTACATCGATAGTAAAACTTACACTGAAGTTGAACTTCAATGTCTGATCAATCAAATGCCTCATCTTGCAACATTCAGCTTTTACACAGATTCATTATCGTTTATGAACAATGCTTTCTGTTACTTGGCTCACCCGAGAATTCGTCGACTAAATCTGCGTTGTTGCCATGATTGTTTTGATGTCGAACGTTGTGCTGCATTGTGGGATTCATCACTAGGCAAACAATGCCAAATTCTGTGTATAAGCGTTGAAAAACCTATAGTCGTACATGAACTTATCAACAACATGAGAAATCTTCGTGCATTGACGGTTGAGTTTCAAGGTGATCGTCTTTGGGGAGCAAACGACGACAAAGTTGTTTATTGGCTGCACAAGCATTTGCCATCGGCATGCCTAATCAAAAGAGATTCTGTGTGCACTAAAAATATACATATTTGGATTGGATCAAACCGAAACATATGAACAGATTCCATTCGTGTTTATTTAACATATGTCGCTTTCAAGAAAAATGCGATGTGAAAACATTCCATTGTTCATCTTCTATTGATGTTAACGCTAATTTAATAGTCCATAATCGATCTCTCAGTTGTTTGCTTTCTCCAACACTGAAAACTGCTCCCATCGAGAAAAGAACTTCATCTTCATCTTTGAAAATACTCTGATAAACAAGACTTGCAAAGGGAATCGATTGTTTCATTGTTGTATCAACAAGGATACAATAAATAACTGAGATCGAGTTTTCCTCGACATTTCCATCACCAGAAAATGCCAGAGCAGCTTCATAATCACTTGTTGTTGACAGAAATGTGTTTGTTGAAACAAGATGTCCTCGATTTTTTTGTAACTGATGCAGTTCACACAAGTGCATCCTCAAACCTCGATAAAGTTGCAGAACTCTTTGATTTGATGGTAATTGTCGAAGAAATTCCATCTGCATCTGAGCAAGTTGATTGTGAAGATCATGAATAAAGTAACGTAGTTTAAAAATCCGATCAATATTTTCATTTCGAAGTGCGCGATTAATTAGTCGATAAAGAAAACAATCAACACTGTACCATTTGATTGCATCTCGAGGATCGTAAGTGGCATCGAAATGATCAATTTTCTTCAATTCGACAGTATCTTCAGCATAAGCTTCTCGACAAACGTCAAGAAGTTCATTTCGAGCAAAATCATTTTGATCTAAACGTAGCATCATATCGATGAACAATTGAGACGCTAAAAACGATCCATTTTCTAATGTGAGATCATGAAAGAAGTTTTTCTTTGATTGAATGTTTTGTAATGTAAAGAATGATCGTTGATTGAGAATATCTTTCGTTCGCAAATACCATGGATTCATAATTGAAACAAATTGTTCGTCATTTTCATCAATTAACGTCAAATCAATATACCAAAATTCGTCGAGAGTATTTTTTGTCACTCGTTCAACACGAAACAACGAACGAAACGAGAACAAAATTTCCAACTCGTGATCTGCAACACTAAACTGTGATATATCGCAATAAGCACCCTGGATATGTTGAGGAATATCGATGGAAAATAGGACTTGTCCGATTTGGTCTGTTCGATGTGGAGACAAGATGCTTGTGAAGTCAAAAGCTGTGTCTCTCGACAACGTTGTTGACCAAAAGGCTGTTAATCCAATAAGACCACCGATATTGGCTTGAATTTCTAGGATTTCTTCTAAATGCATCTGCTGACCGCGATAGATACGTGCAATTGAATGGATTTCATGACGATGGTTTTGTATATAGTTTTCTAGATCAGATATGACATAACGCATAGCGAAAATATGATTGATATCTTCAGATCTGAGTGTACGATTCAACAAAATATAGAAGAAGGATTCTCTTGTATACCATTTAATGATTTCATTTGAGTTATAAGTTTGTACGAATTCTGAGCATGATCGTTGAATGATTTCAGTTTGTTTTGTATGAAATGCTTTGACATTGTTTAACATTTCTTTTTGAGCGACATCAGTTTGTTTTAAACACGACAGAATATAGTAGAAATATTGATACCAAAGATATTTAGCAGTGTGCTTGCTAAGATCGTATGATGTTCGTTCAACAGGCCAAGAATCGAATGTTATGTAAAGCCGATGTCGGTTACGTATTGTGAATGACAGATGATCAACAAGTGATTGAGTATTCGAAAAATATTCAACATTTTCATACGAGAATCGTCGTGTGCCAACAATAATTGTGCGAGTAATTTGAGGAAATATTGGACGATAATTATCGCATACAAGAGAAGAAATAAGATCCGACAAAACTAAAGTTATTTGTAGATTTGCATTTAAAACAAGATAATCGAAAAGATCATCGATGTCGATAAACCAGTGTTTGATGTAATAAGATAATCGAGGATTTGATCGAAAATCTTGTTGAGTTAGATCAAAACTGATAAAACACTGGCCAAACGAATCAGAATTTTGAATACGTGTGTAAAATCGATACATATTTGATGCAAAAATAAACCGTCATTTTCGCCTCCATTTTATGTAAACACGTGGAGAGAATAGGCAAATATTATGTTGGCTTCCCACTCGTCTTCTTTTTTTCTTTTCTTTCTTCTTTAGTTTTCTCAATTTTCTTATCTACGTTATTACTTCGCAATTTTTTTATAAACTTATATTTGATGATGTTTAACTTTTTGCAAAAAGAAAAGGAAAAAGAGGAAGTGGGAAGCCAGATCTTATGTTATGCTGTTCACTTAACGTTCTTTCGTTGGCAGAAAAAAAGCGATGAAACAACGACATATTTACATTCAACTGTATATGTTATTTCTTCTACTTTCTGATATCAGATAAAGAGACTAACAGAATATCGATTAGTAGAATCGTAGTTTTTAGTATGCTAAACATGAGATATACAAGGGAACTTCAGTAGATGATATTTACGCAAATCATTTATATCCTAGTAAATTATAAAAGAAGATACGGGAACTTTTTCATAAAAGGCTCCATTCAAACACTTGACTCATTGTTCTGATATCAAGCAATGACATGTATCCGTGTCTTTCAAACGCAAATATCCTATAGGATGCGAATGTGAAGGTTTCGCTAAGAGTATATTTTCTATACTTCACTCGATATCCTCACACTCGTTCCATCTCGATGTTTTCATCCGCACCCATAACATCATCCACTGCGAGTATGATCATAGAGGAATCTATACAAAAAAGAACAACGAATATTGCTACTGCAATTAAATATATAATCGTAGCATATAGAAATGTTCTTCAACAACTTGCAGAACCTTTCTTATAACCGTGATATCTATCCTATCTTCCTTGTTTAGATACATATACGTCATTTATTTTATTTACGAAAGCTTTCTGAAGATTAATGACAAGCTGCTCCTAGCGAAACTCGAATACTGTTCATTTCTGTGTCAATGAAAACCAGATCATCTTTTCCATCTTGATTTAAATCAATAACTTTCAGCGATTGGAAACATTTACTATTGTGAATTCTATCCATATGAAATGACAAATAGTTTTTATCAAAAAATCCAATTTTGGTTCCGAGAAAGATTGTTACTGTTCCATTGCAATGCAACAGAGCTAAATCATCAATCTGATCGTTGTTGAAATTGATTCGACTAATCGATGTTGGAAAATCGCTCGTTAAGTAAATTTGCTGGGTAAAATTTCCTTTCAGGTNAAACATTTACTATTGTTAATTCTATCCATATGAAATGACAAATAGTTTTTATCAAAAAATCCAATTTTGGTTCCGAGAAAGATTGTTACTGTTCCATTGCAATGCAACAGAGCTATATCGTCAATCTGATCGTTGTTGAAATTGATTCGACTAATTGATGTTGGAAAATCGCTCGTTAAGTAAATTTGCTGCGTAAAATTTCCTTTGAGGTACGCAAGTAAGACTTGTAATGTGCTCGATTGAGATGAAATCGTTGCTAAATCTTCGCGATCATCGTAATTAAACTTTCCTTTAATTAATATTGACGGATCCTCGTAAATATCGTACCTTGATAGAGGTTTTACTTGTAATGATCTATCAATCGAAACTGTGTAAAGATCATTATTACGACTACAAAAACTTATTTCATTTTGTTTTCCATTATTGTCAAAATCACCACCAACTATTGATAAAATACCTTGCTTAGCAACTTTTGAATATACTCGTATCCCACCAAAATTAGAACCATTACCATAATTGACGAAAAGTATCACGTTATTTAGTGCATGTATTCGATTTGTCTGACGACTTACAATCAAATCAATAAATCCATCATCATTTACATCATGGGCTAGAATTGCCTGTGGCTTATCTGTGGAATTATAAGCAGAGAGTTCGATCGGAGATGAAAATATTGTATCACTTCCTGTAAGACCAAAGAAAAAAATGATTTTCTTCGCTTCATATAATGTAACCGCTAAGAAAAAGGAAAAATGTCCTCGTTATGCGAATTTCTGTTTCTATTAATTACCTAAATCTAAACATGTATCATGGTTAAAGTCAGCGGCGATGACCTGTTGCGGCGATGTTTCATCTCCAGTTCGATAAATTAACTGTGTTTCAAACGTCCCATCACCTTTACCTAACAAAACGCTCAAACTATGAGAATCAGCATTGGTTACCACCAAATCTATCATCGAATCTTGATTAAAATCACCCGTCGCAATTGATGTTGGACGTTGACCTACTCGATAAGTTTTATCTTGATATTTGAAAGTCATATAACAATTATCTAAGCATAATTCAAACTAATTATTAGTATCGGACCCTTTCTCCATTCGGCATACTTGCTGTTGTTGCTGTTGGTGATGATGATGTTTGCAATAGCGTATCATTGACATCAATCGTCGTCGTTGTTGTTATGATTGCTGTAGTTGATTTGTGTTGTTTCTTATCTCGATTGACCGCAACAATAATAGAAAGTAGAACGATAGCAGTGAGAGACAAAGAAATCAAGCACATGATCAATACTCGGTGTTGATGTCTTTGTTTCGATCTTCAATATGAATATAAACAGACGAGTTCTATCAAATAGAATATCTCTTACACATTTCCTCGTTGTTTATCAACGCTATCTCCTTTTATCTAGAAAAATATTCTCAGAAAAAAAGTGAAGTCTCTATCTATCAATCTTACCGTTGTATCTGCTTCTACATCGATCTCATCTTGATTTATCGGTGGAATATCGGACATTGATGGTACACTTATCGATAATTGTTTTTCTTCGTTCTTTCGACGTTTAACAATTGTACGCACCGCTAAATCCATATAGAAAACAAAGAAATACAAACCTTTTGTCAATCCACCAAAAAGGCCGAGTAATGTTGTTATAACATACATTAAATTACGATCTTGTACGTATGAATATTCGCATAAATAAGGACTGCACTCATTAAAATATTGTTCAAATGAAATTTTTTCTTTCCATCTAATAACGAAAAGTTGATTAAGAAGTGTTTCAATCGTGGCATTCATCGGTGATAATGGCGAAGGATGTAATGCATTAACTGGATATGGTTTTGCATAGAAGATTGATGCACGCATCATGTCAATGCACGTTTGACTATAGAGACAAGCTAAAGTCGATTGAAGTATTGAATCTAAAAGTATGCAACCAACACGAAATCCAGCAATACTTTGTCTTGATGAAGTACTCGACGATCGAAACGGAAAGCCGATCAATTCTCCACAAGTTGACTGTAATCCACATGAGCAGTTTTCGTCTTCATAGGTTTGTGCTGTAGTTAGAATATGTATGGGTTGATCAAGAAAGCCGTTAAACACTTTTATTGGATATCTCGAAATAAATTTCCAATTTGATGAAAATAAACTTGTCAGCTGATTTGCTTGATTAGTTAATTGTAGCAATTTCAATGTTTCGGCGAATTGATTAGCTGTTGAAAGTCTGAATTGTTCAATAATGATTGGTACGCGTTTCGAAAATTCTTTTTCCGATACAATATTTCCACTGATAAAATCTGTTTGATGAAAAATCTGTAATGATGTTTTTAACGTAGTTTCTGAAAGTAAGCATAATTGAGACAAAATTTGAAATAATAAACGAATTACTGAACGAAAATCAGTTCCGTATGCCTCATTCGTAAATAAACCTTCGGAATCGTCAAAAGTCATAAGCCATTTTAGTGAGACAAAATCACTTGCACACACAGAATGATATTTCGGTTGAAGTTCAACTATGAATTTATGATATTTTATAGCTGTTTGAGTGCAGGGACAGTAAAGTGTGTGTTCGTATTGAGAATACAAGTGTTTATATTTGCTAATCGATGGTGATTTAACAATAATTTGTTTTGTTTCTTGTTCTAATGATGTATAAATGATGAGAATAGAAAATGCTGTTATTAAGAAAATGAGATATATCCGTGTTTTGTATCGATCTCGGCGTAGAACATTTTGGTCATTGGATAGTGGAATACGAATAAAAAGATTTAATTTCATAACATACTCTTTGCTCATCATAGTAAATGAAGAGAGTTTTTCATACAATCCTAGAAAATATTCAAAGGTGCACCAAAGTTGAGCAGATTCTCAACATTTTAGACAATGTAAAACGGTAAGGGTTCAAAAGAATCTCTGCTGTCCAACAGAGACAGCTTACAGTGTAGATGAATACACTCGACCTGTGATGTAATCGTTAAAATAAATGCGACAACTTCGGACTTTATCCGAAAGTTATGTGTACTTCAAAAAGTGTATCAGATGGCACACAAAAATCTGAGAATTTTTCTGTAAGTTAGTAGTATTACAGTCGATCGGGCTCATCTTCGAACTCGTCTGCGGCATTGACAATATACTGCTATGTACTAAATTTCACGACAATTGGATCATTCTTTCGGGAGTTATCGGATTAACAGTGAGACGGACCTATTCTATAGTATACTCACTTTTTGAGTACACAAAAACCAGCACGCAAAGTTTGACTACCTTATCTGCCATAGAATCACTTGGATAATAACTCACCGACGCCAACCTTATCCATCTACCCTTCCATATGTCCACAAAAGTAGCACGGAGGGTTTGGCGTACAGTCTTGACACGAAATCGCGTGGGTGAAATTTCACTCAGACACCACCCATGTCGTCAACACCTATCGTCCTCACTAGTATGCGAACAGTCGTTTGAGGCTTTCTAGACATATGGAACCAGCATGCAAAGTTTCGCGGCGTTTTCAGTTATAGGACCACTTGGGTGAGATTGCACCCACACCATCCTTACCCACCCTCATCACTGGTCCACTAACTCTCTTTCGATGTTTCCCTACATTCACAGAAGCACTATGAAAGATTTCGTGACTTTTTCTGATGCAAAATCGCTGGGGTGAAATTCCACCCAGGCCTACCCCTTCACTGGCCAATCAGCATTTTTCTGGATCCAAAGAAACAGTACAGAAGCTTTCGTGGCCATGGCTGATACAAAAAGTGAATGCAAATCGAATAAGCGGATAAACAGGCAAATCTTCAAGTTTTTCATATAGGAATTAGAGAAAACTTTATCAAAAGTCAGCAAGAGTACAGCCGATCAGGCTCATCTTCGAACTCGACCGAGATATTTACAAGATAATGCTATGTATCAAATTTCATGAAAATTGGATTATTCATTCAGGAGTTATCGGATTAACGGCCGGACGGACATACTGACCGATTCTATAGTGTACTCACTTTTTGAGTACACAAAAAGATGATTTAAACTGTGACAATCTCTCACGCTCACAATAACACGTAGTGCCAGTGGTGAAAAAAGTCCCTTGTAAGATAATCTGACTTACGTGTTCGTATAGATTCGAGTTCATTGATATTCATTTGTCGATGTTGAAATATAAAAGTTTGCATCTTTACTAATATGAGAATTATTATTGGTAAAACTAATCGAAGAGCAATTTGAAGGCCACCCATTACACCAATAAGATTTGTGACAATATAAATAGTTTGAAATTTTGTTTTATAAGTATATTGACATGATAATGGTCGGCATTGATTAAAATAAGATTGATATGAACTTCCACTAAGCCAAGATCGAATGAATAACTTATTTGTTAAATTTTCTATTGGACTAAATGTTTCATTCTCTGATAAATCTGTTAAAATATTATAGTCATCTAATGATATGTTTGATAGAATAAATTTTTTGATCTCAGACAGACACGTGTGATTATAAAGACATTCTAGTGTTGATATCAAAACTGCTTGTAATGGAAACCATGTTTGATACATTCCTGGTATAATAATAGAGTCAAACCTTTTGTCTTTAATGATTGTTTGTTTATGACATAGATCATAGGAGAGTAGAGAACACGAATAACCAAAGGGATCTTCTGATGAAGCATCACAAGTCGGTCTTTCTTTCGAATTATAACGAAAATACAGTAAACGAAGGACGTAATTTCCGTTTGAATCTCTGTAATCGTATAAGAACCACGAGTTTGTTGGTGTAACAAATTGATTGATTTCAAAATTCGATTTTAATAAACCAATGATACGTTGGTATGATTCAGGAATTGTTTGTTGGAATTGCTTCATAATTAAATCCGTTTGCATATTAAATACTTTGGAATGATACAATTCCTTACTCACAAATTTCGTTCGATAGAATAGCTCAAGAGATTCATTAATCGTTTGATTAGCCATAGTGCATAATGTTGATAAAAGTTGAAAATAGAATTGAGATTGATAACGATAATCCTGTGTGAAAATCGGCGATTGAGAGAATCGCATATTTATCCATTCTGATGAAAGAAATTTACTTGAACATATCCCGTAATATTGAGGAGTAAGCGACAAAATCGATTGATAATCGATAGCGGTATGTTGACAGGGACAATGAAGCGTTAAGAGATGCTTTTCATAAAGCTCTTCAAAGAGTTCTCTTGATGGATGTTTAACGGTTACTTGTCGAGTTTCTGATTGTATCGATGTAAAACTTATTAGAATTAGTACGGCTACGAGCAAAACAAATAAATAAGTCCATGTTGTGTAACGCTCAATCCGACGAATCGTTTCTTTACTTGTCGGAGGAACTTTCTCGAATAAATTCAACTCCACTAACTGTTTTCTGGTCAATTGAAGTGATTTTGTTAGGAACTGCTTCAAAGAAGACTCTAAAAGAAAACATCGAAGTTTACATAAAAGTCTTCATACAAAAGATATTTACTCGGCTTAGTCTCAGATTCATTCTGAAACGTGTAAGAGTGTTTTCGTTGTGAAAGAAATCTCCATATCATTGGCCATACGGTTTTTATAATGATAGGTACGATTATTTTTAATACTGTTGATAATCCTCCGGCTAAACCAATCACTGTGGTTATAATAATCAACACACTATGTCGATTGGTAGCATATTGGCATAAATTCGGTTTACAATTGTTGAAATATCGATCGTAGAATGTTTCATTGGACCACTGAATAACCAACATTTGACTGAGTAGGTTTTCAATTGTGAAATTTGAGCTTGATGAATCATTCAAGTTCTTGTATTTATTTACTGATCCTGTCAAGTTATTAACAAATTCTTGATCGTATAATATTTCCAATGTAGATTTCAGGAGTGCACTGAACATGTAACAACCTGTTTGAAAACCGGGAACAGTTTTATTATTTAACATTGCTGAACCGAGACAATGGGTCGATGTTGAACTCGAACACGTACAGTTCGATCCATCTGGAAATGTGTAGTGTATTCCATCGTAAGGAACACCGTCTTCGTCTTCGAGTAAACTAAAAAGTTTATAGTGATTTCTTGGCAAAACACTTGTTAATGAAGCTCCGGTCATGAGTAAACTCTGAGCTGTAATATTTTGAATAAAACTTAATGTTCTCAAAAATGGCTTTGGTGTCAGAATGATAAAATCATTGATTAAAGAAGATATTTGAGAATGAAATAGATCTGATGGAACTAAATTTGATTGAATCAATTCAGTGTGCAGGAACTCTTGCAGATTGTATTCAACTGTTTTCTGTGTTAATTCGCAAAGTGTGCGAAGAGTTTGAAATTGAAAAGTAGCAATTCGATAAACATCAGTCAAAATCGACTTGTTCGACGTTTGCTCGTAGAAATCGTATAAATTACGAATAAAATCATCAGAAATGAACTGACTTTGACAGAATTCATGATAAATCGGTTGAATACGAAGGAATGTTTCGTATCTTATCGAGATTGTCGTGCATGGACATTGTAATGAACGAGTTTCTGATAGAAAGAGATATCTTTTGAATGAAGGGGATTTGATCACAACTGTTCGTGTGGAACTTGTGACCGAATAATAAAAAATCAGAATGGTTAACGAAAGAAGAAAAAGAAACAGATACAATCGAGTTGATTGCCGTTCGTTTTCAACCACTTCTTCATCTTCGATTCCACTTTGAAAAAGATTTAGTTGAAAGAAATACGATTT